TTATTAGCATTATAAAATGCTAAACTTATTAATAAGCATTAAGCTTAATGCTTTATAAATTAATAACTTAGCCTTAAGATTAAATTTAATTATCCTTATAATTATTAAAGGGCTTTTTATAAAGATTTAAAAATTATTAAGAATTAATTTAAATTACTTTATAATATAATAGCTAAGTATTAAATTATTAATAATAACCTTTATAACTTTAATAAAATTAGTTTTATAATAAATATAATTATTATATTAATAATTATTATATATATTAATAAATATAAAAAGGTTAAATTAATTTAATTTAATAATTAAAAATAAACAATTATTATTAAATGCATTAATATAAGTAAGTTATAAATTTCTTTATTTATAATTATTTAAAGCGCTTATTATTTTATAAATTAAGTAATAAAGTTAAGGTTTTTAAATAATTAAGTTATTAAGCTTACTTTTAATAAATAAATAAATAATAAAATTAATTTAAAATAAATTTAATACTTTAATAAATATATTAAATTAAAGAAATATATTAATTATTAAATATTAATTATAAATAATTATAAAAGCTATATATTAATTAAGTTTAATTAATATTATAAGAATAATAAGATTATTATTATTAGCATATTATTATATTTATCTTACTTACTTTAATTATTAAATATTGCATTATATTTACCTTTAAAGTATATATATAATAATTAAATTAATTTCTTTATTTAAGCTTTTATTAATTATATTATTAAATTTAAGTTTTTTCTTATATTTAGGAAAGCTTATAATAAGATTTTTATAATAAAAAATATTAAGTTTATATTTAAAGGAGCTAAAATTTCTCCTTAAAACCTTAATTTTATAATTTTTAAGCTTAATATTTGCTTATAAACTTTAATATAATTCTTTTTTATTTCTCTTTAAAAATAAAAGTTTTAAATATTATTAAATGCTTAATAAATTATTTATTAATTAAGTTTTATTAAAAATAAAATCTTTGCTTATTAAGGAAGCTCCCTTATATTAATTATAAAGGCTATTAATTAAATAATAAAGAACGTATAAATAATAATATATAAATTAATTATTTTAAAGAATTAAATTTATATTTTTAAAAAGGTTAATATAGTATTTATTAAATGCTAAAGAGCTAAAAAAACTTAAATATAATTTAAAGAAATACTTATTATTAAGGAATTTTAAGCTTTTATTTAAGAAAAATAAAAGGCAAAGCGGCTAGCTAATAAAATAAGTAGTAATGCTAAAGGGTTGGTTTATAGCGGATTAATTAAATAACGGTATAATAACTATAGCAAGATTAAGCATAATATAAAAACTTATAAGAAAGATAAAGAAAGGTTTATTTAATTAAATTTTAACTATATTATAATAAGTTTAGCTTAATTAATATTAATTAATATAAATATATTTATTTTAATAATTCGCGGTAAATTATATTTTTAATAATATAATTAGCATTAATTAATGTTAAATATATATTTTTTATTAAAAGTTAATTAATTTAAATTAGCATTGTAATTATATTAATGCCTTTAAATTAATAAAATTAATTAAAAATAAGTATTTAATTATAGTTAGCATTAATTAATGTTAAATTTAATTAAATTATTTGCATTAAGTAGGTATTAAAGTTAACTAAAGTTAGTGAAAGTTGTAAAAGTGCGCTATTTATTAATATGCGCTACTTATTAATAAACTACATTATTTTTTTAAATTTATAATAATTTTATTTATAATTTTAAAGCATTTAAATAGCTTTAAGCATTATATAAATAATTATAAAATATAATCCTTAAAACGCTTTAATATAAGGCAACTTTTTGCTAATTAATATTAATTAAAGTTACTTTAAGCATTACATTAATATTATTTTTAATATATAACTTTATTAATAATAAATAATATAATGTTTAATGTTTAAAGAGAAGAAAAAAATTTATCGTAAAGATATCGCGTTATATGCAAGGGGGTGGACTTAACGCGTACGCGGGTGTGGAGTGGTCCAAATCAGGGGGTGGTCCAAATGTAAGCCACTAGACTTACTGATCCTAGCAAGGCACCGCGGGAGGATGGCCAGACAAAGACGCTTCGACCTTCGCCCGCACGACTCCCACGATCAAAATTGCAGAACGCTACTCTTGGCCACAGCCAACAACGGCTCGTGCAAGGACTGGGAACGGCAAGGAAACTGTGCAGTGTACCATTATCTGACCGGAACCATTCTACCTACCTTCACCACAACTCGCAAAGCCGTCAAAACCTTCCAAACTCACGCCTCAATCTCCAACCTCTTCTGTACCAGCCTCAAGATCCAATTCTTCGCTCCTACCCTGTCTTCGTACTGGGACAACGTCTCACTAACAGCTTCCTGCAAATCCTTGGCCGTATTCTTGGCGTACTCCAGTCCACCGGTGGCTCTGATATCGTTCAAGGCGAGCTGACGTATATCAACTGAAAGTTCAACGCCTGCTTTCCGCCGCTGAAGAATGCTCATCAAGCGGCCACGGTGCTGTGTCTTTGAACGAAGTGCGTGGATGAGGGGCAGGGAAAGCTTTCCCTCGCTGATGTCTTCAGCAAACCCTTTCTTCTCGGTGTACTAGGTTCGCCAAAACATGATTAGTAACGAGAGGACAGACGTCTATGGAACTCGAACTTTGCAATGACGTACCAGAGCTGACTCGAGATTCTGGTAGTCGTCTCGGGCCTGAAAGAAACGACCGAACAGCTTCATGAGAAGGCTGGTGTCGAGGTCTTTATGCTTTGAAGCCTCTGAACGCATCAACTCGGCCAAGAGCATGAAAAGGGCCCCGGTTTCTAGCTCACAACCTTAGCATGGTCAGGAGAGCTACCAAGGAACACGATTACTCACTTCCGTCCACCATCACAAAGTACTCTTCCTCGGTGGGTATTTGCGTGTGATAAGTCCAGTATAGATCCATTCCTTGGCCAATATGACCTTCGATGATCCTTTCTGTGAAGATGTGTACCGCAGTAGGAGAGAGTGACTCAGCAGCCCTTAGCGCTTTGAACACGAGCAGGTTGGCCGAGTTGATGGTCTGATTGATCCCAAAGACAGTGTGCGTCGCAGGGAGCCCTCTCCTTAACGGCGAGTTGTCTTCGATATCGTCCAACCTAGTATGCAGGTCAGTAGGTCCTATCCGAGTCCTCGACTAGAAGATGATTCCAACATCAGGGAGGAGCTGTGAAGCAGATTCACAATCTCGCGAATGATAGCGAGTGACCTCTCGGGAACCTGGTACCACATCTCGAGACCATCTATCACAGAGTTCCTCACCCCTTTCGATGGCATGGACTCTAGATAATGCTGGGGTTGTAGGACTATCTGGGCTATCATTAGTATTTAGAAGCATTCCGATAGAGATGTTATACTAACCGCCTCGTATTGAGCCAACATTCGCGGTTGGGTAGTCCGAGAACGTACAAGCTCTGCTTCTGTGTTCGATTGAATCAACTGAGTGTCGACCAATATTGGGGGAGAGTCCACCGCGTTGTCTTCGGATGTAGTCATATCCATGTACTTGCGCTCTTTCAAGACGAGGTCCATTTCCTTCGCCATGTTAGCCGCGTTCAGCGAGATTGGTTGGCTGAGGCTGTCTACAATCCCGGATTCAGGACTTTCCCCATGTGCGGCTCGTAGAGCTGGATAGGCATCTTCACCGCCAAGTCTGTAACGGGCAGTTGTCATACTCCAGGCGAAATTGCCTGCGGTAACATGGTCAAGCAGTTTCAACCACTGGCTTGTCTTGTCTGTGGCATGACCGCTGGCGAGGAATTTTTCTTTCTCCTTGCAATACTTCTCCTCACGAGCCAAAATCTCCTTGCGTAGCAATCCTTTTCCTTCCGTGGCGTCGACAGAGTACCATCTCATGAACAGAAAGATAGCATTGGCTATAATGCCAACACCACCATTGGCTTGATGGTTTTGCCATTCCTTCTCCCACGAAAAGTAGTCATTGACCAGGACCCAAGCACCGTACGCTGATGAAGTGATAGCCGAGGTTTTCTCCACTTCGTCCTCATTTAAGGTGAAGTCCATGGAGAAACACAGAAGACTCATAGTCCATCTGGAAGGTATCATCAGCGGTAAATCTTGCGATGCAAACAGTAGTAAGACGATCAATGGCTCACGGGCATCCGGCATCAACCACGCGGAAACTCAGGTAGTCGTCCAACCTGGTAAATTTCATATCTCGAATCTCGACGAAGATCTCCGACATTTCCTTCCACAAACGAAGACATTCTTTCGCTTGGTTCTTGTCCACGTCCATAAGTTCCACAGCCATCTTAGCCTGCAACTGTCGTCTTCTCACGTGGTCCTTGGTGCCAGCGCCAGCTTCTTCGCCCAAGCTAAGACCTTCGATGAGCTCCTTGTTCGCTTCCACGAGCTACAATAAATGTCAGATATGAAGTCAACTCCATAAACACAGCTGTTTAATATTACTGACCTGAGATTCCTTCTTGTTCTCAGCGTACTCGATGACTGGTTGTGTTAGCTAGGAAAGCACAGGCCAAGCGGGTAGTGAAAGAGCTCTCACCATCGTCGTGAATGTAAGCATACTCAACCATGTACGTTGTGAGCGCAAGGCGACTGGGTATGGCCTCACAAGCACACAAGGCGGTGAAGTTACCAACGACTGGGTTGATGCAGCCCACGGCGTAACTCGTGTGGTTCTTGTTGCGCGCTGAATCAGCACGTGCAGCTGCGCTGGAACCGAGGAAGTCCACCTGGCATTGCCATGAGCCCGCATCAGCTAGATGGGCGTCGCGATGGATGCGCGGTTCAAACCGACAAAAGTACTCATTTCCCTCGTAGGCAGACCGTGGGAGGGCAATGGAGTGGCGGATAAAGGGCGTTGTGCCCGGTTTCGAGGGATCCGAGCCTGCCATGGCGATGGTCTCATGTTGACCATAAATTTGATGCAGAAAACCTGAGGCTTCCGCGCTGTTTTATGAGGGAAAACTGCGGAGGCCTTAACCGCAATTTGGAATAATGAGCTGAAGCACTATTACTCGCTCCCGCGACACAAAGCCACAAATGACGATGAATCAAGTCAAGGCATGTAGAACCCACCGAGAAAAGCAAATCGGTCAGTTTGTTAGTTCCAATAGTCCCTGGCAGGGGTACCGGTTTGGTTCTTTGCACGATATTGTGGAAACACGAGAATTTTTGTTCCGAGCGAAAGCAAAACGGTCGCCATTGCATCATGCGGAATCATGATGAAGATTCCCATCGATGGCAGTGTGACACAATCCATTATCTAGCTTCATGTGTTATCCTAGCGTTGGTGGGGCGTGGCTGTTCAGCCGTGCTGTAGGTCCAACCAGGTCATCCAGAGACTGTGAGCCTCAGCTACGGTAAAATCCGAGTCGATCCATTTGAACTCCAGATCTTTTCCCGCGAGAGAATTCGGCATACGAAGCAAATATGTGTTATTAGATTGGGGAAGCTCCGATGGCTGAGACTGTCTCACTGTGAAATAATACATATAACCTAGTATTTGTGGATCGGGACCCGGCTTATTCGCTGTTGATTGCAAGGAGTGTGCGGTGATACGAGTTGCGTTCCTTGTCCCGTTGCAAAATGGCTGAGGAGACGAAAAGTCTGGACCGCTGCTTACTTCTTATTCCCAGATAAAGAAGTAGCTGATGTTAGGGTACCACAAACGATATTCCACTCACTGCTAGGGTATTTTCAGGCGCTTGGTGCAGTCACGAGACCCAATCATGACATCTCGACCGTTATCACAGTTTCCAATAGAGGAAAAGAGGTCTTGGGCGGACAGACTGTCGTTTCTTCTGGGATTTGAGTGGTACGTAACGTCCCCTCACCCCTTCTGCCGCACCCCCGATCTGCCGCACCATTTCACATAGTAAAGCCCTATTTTTAAACAACTTAAACTAAATGTATTTAAATTCTAAAAATAATTAAACTTTAATACTTAATTTAATATTATAAATATTATATATTAAAAATTATTTTATAAGAATATATTATATAATAATTTAATTATAAATTTTTAAATATAATCTTTTAAAAATATTAAGAATTCTTAATAAATTATTAATAATTTTAAATAATAATATATATAATTTATTTACTTAAAATAAAAATGTATTAAATTTATATTAAATTAAATTTAATATTAAAAGTTTAAAATAATAATATACTTATAACTTTAATATTATATATATATATATATAATTAATAATAAATAGGTAAATATTTTATTAATAAATATTTATATAAATAAAATTTTAAATAAAATCTTATAAGTAAAAAAAATATTTTAAAAAAATACTTTTTTAAATTTTTTATTATAAATATTTTTTTATTTATAATTTTTAAAAAGGAAAAACTTTAATTAATTATATATATTAAATATTAATATTATTATATAAATTATTAAGAAATCTTAATATATAGCTTATTTTAATATTTTAAAATTATTTTAAACTTATTATATTATAATATAATTTAAATTAATATTTTTACATAAAACTATATATTATTAAATATATAAAGCGTATTGTTTTATATTTTTGATATTTAATTTGGAATTAATACTGGGGGTTGAAAAGTGGGTATTTTAAGGTGTGTTTGCACTAGAAAAGTGGTGCGGCAGATCAGGTGTGCGGCAGAAGGAGTGAGGGGACGTTACGTGAGTGTCCTGCATCAATTGTAAGTTGATCGATTCAATGGTTGTAAAGCTGGGTGGTTCGATCTCCCCGGAGAAACGTGTTTTAGGTACAAAGGTATTCGGCATGTAGATTGCCTGATTGAGAGTGTGCAGGAGGTAGTACCAAGGCATGATTGTCATATTCAAGCAGTGGATGGGGCGGACGGCACCCCACCCACTTTGCTTCGGGCCCAAGGGCCAGGGATAAACAGTGCCAGACTATCCCTTCTGTTAGGAAATAACAACCTAGGCGATCTTTCTCTATCTGAGCAGACGTATTGTGCTACGGTGACTTTGTTTCTTCACAATTTACAGCTCTTGGCAAGGCAACCCGAAACGATGAGGAACGACCAGACAAGAATGTTGTCGACCTTGGCCTGCACGGCTCCAGGATTTCAAAACGCAGAGCCTCCTCTTGGCAGCAGGGCTACTGTCCTTTGCGGTGGCGCAAGCCCAGCCCTCAAGCATCATCTACAACCCATCTACTTCAGCTTCTTGGCCCCAGCCTCCTGCCGCTTCAACAACACCTCGAGCAATGGCAGCTTGAACATGCGGTAGACTATGGTATCCATCAGCCACTCCCCGATGCACGAGCCCCACCACGACGTCCTGGCCATTCCGCCGTAGTAGTGCCAGTCCGGCCTGCAGAGCCCGAGGTTGCCGAGCAGGCCGCGGAGGACCACGGGCGCCTCGGGCTTGAGCGCGTCTGCCGCCAGCTTTCTCGCATAGCTGGCGGGCGGGATGGAGCCCGGGTTCCGCTTGCTGAAGGTCAGGCGCCACTTGTAGACGTCCTCGATGGGCGTGTACAGGCTGTCGGGCGGCAGCTGCCGGTCGGCCTGGGCGGTGATGTTGGTGTTGACGGTGCCGGGCAGGGCGACCATGACCCTGACGCCGAAGGGCCGCAGCTCCTGGCGCAGGGTGCGCGAGTAGCTGTTGACGGCGCCCTTGGTTGCGCAGTAGGCGGAGCCGAAGGGGTACGGCGCGATGGAGGAGACCGAGGACAGGTTGATGACGAGGCCCTTGGCCGGGATGAGCAGGCGGGCAAAGGCCTTGACCATGGCCATGACCCCGAAGACATTGGCCTCGAACGTGGACCGGACGTCGTCCATGTCGAGGTCCGTCGCCGGCACCGTGTGCGTCCTGCCAGCATTGTTGACGAGCATGTCGAGCTTGCCTCCGGTCAGCCTGGCCACCTCGTCCCTGCACTCATCTATGCTTCCTTGGCTGGTGACGTCGAGCGGCAGGCACGTGAATCCGGGTTTGTCGGCCAGTTCTGCCAGGACCGAAGGGTTGCGGGCCGTCGCGACGACATGCAGGCCTGCGGGTGTTGCCGCCGCTGCCGTTAGATCCTCTCTTCAACAACCTCTGCGTGAGTCGGTTGGCCGTTGACGTACCTCGAGCACGGAACGCCTCGCACAGTTCGTGGCCAATGCCTCCGGGTGTGCAGCTGTGGAGGAGACGTGTCAGGGCAAAGTCCAAGGTTGGGTCGTGCGAGACACCCGTGACGCGAGTTTATCGGACTCGATGCAACACTGCGACATAACTCACCCCGTTATGAGGACCGTTTTTTGACTCATGGCGGCACGAAGAATTGAAAAAGGAAGAAGTGAAATAACATGAACTCCAGCTCGTGGACCCAAGAAGGTAGACTACATGAGAATCCCAATCCATCTTTCTTATGACGACTCGACAACGCGAGGGCGGGAGTTCCACTAGCCAGCTAAGTAAGTACCTAGGTACCTAGTCTAGCACGTTCATGGAATCCACGGGCTGCCCAGGCAGTCGCGTTCGCTTAGCTCCTGACTCGTTCGGTGCTCGACGGTGGCCCGCGGGCGTCTCCCTCCATATCTTTCACCTTTCACCCCTAACCCGGCATGGAGGTCTCTAATGATTGATTCGTGATTCATTCGTGCTGACTGACATACTGTACATGTCACCTGTCATCTCCTCAGACCCGCATCCATTCTAGACTGGATGTGCACCTATAGACATACAGAAACCCAACCCCCCTCCGCAGCATCAACTCCGTCACCAAGCCAGAAGCTCTTCATTCTGCACTCCGCACGCAATCCCCTGACAGATCTCGACATCCTCCATGGCCACTGTCGCATTCTCTGGCAGCTGCTGTCTCGCCGGCCATATCTCCTGTCCCTCCATCCTCTCGCGTTTGAAGTGCTCACTGACTGCCTCACGGATAAGCCCCTGGATGAAGATCGGGGCTTTCTCGTGCTTCGGGTGCAGCTGGCCCGTGACGTAGACCCCGCTGTTGATGTTCTTTTGCGCGTTGTGGCACAGCACCTTGTCCTCGGACATCACCTTGGCATATGTCTTGCTGATGACGTCGAAGTCCTCCTGGGAGGAATGCTTGTTGCGGAAAACCTCGTAATGCATGGATGACTTCTTCGCTCCATTAGGTAGGAACTTCTGGATCATCATGAAGTGCGGTCTGTCCAGCAGGCCTCATCGTCAGAAATGTGAATCTGGCATGATCGAGGGTTGGAGACTTACGAGATAGTCATTGAAGTATTAGGGAAATAATAGGTGCTCAAGGCGTTGAGCCCCCTTTCGAGCTGATCCGGGGTGTACTCGCAGTGGTGCTGGATGTGGCCGTCCTTGAGGTCGCTGTCGAAGGAGTCGAGGTTGAGGAATGTGGGAATATCGGCATGGGTGGTCGGACAGTGATAGCACTCGTTGAAGTTGTCCTGCAGCGCCTTCCAGTTGAAGTCGCCCTCCAGCTCGTATGTGTGGTCCAGCTCGTAGTCATCGAAGTTCATCGTCTTGTATCTCTCCTGGATGTCGACGCCATCGAAATGCTCTTCCCAGGGCACCTCCGGCTCTTGGTTTGAATCCATATTTATCCAAATGAATCCATTGGTATCAATCTTGGTGTGAATCTTGAATAGACCGTTCTGCTCCTTCTCCGCCTTGTCCATGTCCTTGAATCCGGTAGCTTTGGCCAGCTTGCCATTCAACCCATAGGACCAGCCATGGTATCTGCCAAAGGTGCGTCAGCATGTTTGAAATATGAATTCACAGCCTGTTGTCATACCTGCAGGCCAAAATCATGGCTGTTCCCTGTCCTTCCTTCTCAACGACGGGATACGCGCGGTGACGGCACACGTTGTGGAATGCGTTGATGTTGTCTTGACGGTCACGGATGATGATCAGGTCATAGCCAGCAACATTGTAGCGAAGCCAGTCTCCCGGTCCCTTGAGGCGGGATTGGTGTGTCATGAACAACCATCTCCGGGAGAAGATGGCTCGTCGCTCGAGATTGTAGAAGTTCTCGTCGCTGTACCATGAAGCTGGCAGCGCGCGGACCGGCTCTTTCTTGACTGCCGGACCATCGGCGGGCTTGGTGTTTGCTCCGAAACCAAAATAATGCAGCATTGACGAGGCCATGATGAATAAATTCGCTGAAAGATGTTGTAACACGCGTATGAGAAGAGAGGATAAAACGGCAGGCTGATGCACGAACAGAGTCAAGTATCAGAATAAGGACGTCAATGCGCAATGGCTTTCTCCTGGCTCCCATGTTTGCTTCGCATCTTGTTATATAGCCAGCCGTGTCCTCTCATGCTCGTGGGTCGGATTCTACAGACAATGCGGCAGGCCTATAGGGTGCCATCGGATGACCATCCGATCCGATGGTGTATATCGGCCGCTAGACCAAGTTGGCTTATAACTGATACTGTATACTCCGTAGACATCGTGGGCGGAGCCTATCTTGCCCACGGCATGACTGCTGAGCTGGTCACCTGAGCTTGCTTTTCGGTTGGTGCTACGCTCGTGGGCGCGTGGTTCGTATTCCTTGACTCATTCTTGCATCGGCTCGTCCACGACTGGTGGAAGTGGTTACTGAAGCATACCCGATATCGGTGTCTCTGACAACATGAAACTGACGATTGCCAATTAAATCCAGCCCGGTCAACCTCCAAGTCCTTTGTACGACAGCAATTCGATCGAGTTGGGCCCAAATCATCGCCACGAGCGCAGCCGAGCCGTGGCCGTAGCTTCAATGTGGCGAGCTACGGCGCACGTCTCTGCTGTGCGGAAACCGTTGTGGTCTCGTGTGCAGCAACCCATGCAAGATGACCTTATGCTTCGCCGATTGAGAACTCATTGAATGCAGGCACGAACGCTGACATGGTCAAATTCGAATGCATCGTGGCAACGGGTGGCTGGTCTTTGGCTGCGAAAACGGGGTAAATCGAGATCAGATGTAGATGAGTGTTGGATATCAGCATACCCGTAATATTTGTATCCCTAGGCCAAACTAGATAATGCCCTAGCCTCGTTTGCCATTGTTCCAATGTGAGCTAGGCCTATTGCACCTGATAGAGCCGCTTGTTGGAGATACCATCTATGATGACCAGCCAAGGAGCTGTGGATGTTGATTCGTCAACTGAGTTCCGGCCAGTCTCCTTACAACGATAGCAGATATGGCGAGTCAAGGATAGCATTGACTGCGCGTCTAAGTTCCAACGCTTATCACTCTCCTCGCTGCAATTTTGCTTTTGCCCAGACTGGTCTAGACCGAGTCGGTGCTGTCGTTTCCCAGAGCCATCCTGTGTCTGCGATTAGATACTCGAGTCTGTGCAAAAAAAGAGAGACATAGGTCTACCTGCCATTTTTAGCTCTTCCCCACACGTCAGAACGAGTTGGTGACACTAGGCCGAAGCCATGGTGGCAAAGGGCGTAAGACGGTTTCGGAACATTCCCTCCTGGGTGGAGGGGTACCCCTAAGGCAGCTAGGTAATAATGATTTCATCACGGTAATTCGTCGTTCTGGGCCGACCGGAGCACCACACGATGACAGCGGTGCCAGTTGTGCCAGTGTCGTTACTTGGCCACGATCAAAAGGCCCACCAGGGTATGCATTGATAACCGCCCTGGTATCAGTTCGTTGGTAAGGACGAGGCTGATTGTAGCCTTTCTGCTGGTCCAATCAAGTGTTTTCGTGCTGCTGTATCTGTGGTGGAGGCTTACTCGCTGTCAGGTGGACTGGCGCATATGCACCACCGGAAGCGCTTCCGATCCGAACCCGATCCGAGAGTTTGCGGGGAGACACTGAGCAGACCAGTCACCGGCAGACACATCACGAGGCGAAACGAGATTGCGACGACGGGACCCTATCTCCAACGATTGCCGAGCTGGCTTCCTGTCTCATCCACTCCCTTGACACGGCTACGGATCAGACAGTGCAAATCGTGAGCTTGGACTGCCCCACGTCTCTGATCGCGGTGCTGGCAGCTTGTCTGTGCCGATGGTCGGGGACCGTTGAGCTCCACGACGTGCCCCGGCAAGGTGCTCCGATCCGTCGACAGTATCCCTTGAACACATCAACATCATGAACAGAGCCGCGAATTCAAGTGCATCGAGGCTTCTAAGGCGCTCACCTAACGCGTAAGTCGTCCACCTTGGCTTATCCCACTTGAGTCTTTGTCAATCGCGCTGGCCCGTGCTGACATTGTGCTCAGATGCGAACGATGCCGCAAGCAAAAGATTAGGTGCAGCGGGTGCCTGCCTTGCGATGCATGTACCAAGCGCAACCTGGCATGTCATTTCAACGAGAGGCATCGGAAGGTCGTAGTCACTCAAGGGTATGTGGAGCCCCAAGGGACACGGGAAGTCTATGCGGGCCTTGTGACGGGTTAACTTACTCCTGCCAGCTATATACACGAGCTCCAGAAGAAGGCATCCCGCCAGCATGACGTCCCTTCCCGGCAAGAGACGACAGTGATGCAACGGCAACCTGACGACTTTCAACGTTCCTCTTCTTCCAACCATGGAGAAGATGAAGCCTTGCAGCGTAATCAGCAATCCAACGGAATGCGCGATGCCGACGGGTGTTCAACGCGCGGGACGAGCGAAGAACCGGCTTTGACTAACTTTCTGGCCACTGATTGCTCCACATTCATGACAGCAAATAATGGTATGACCTTTTACCTAGGATCGACATCAAATTGGACGTTCACGCAAAAGATCCTCAGCATGGTGTACGAGCGTGTGTTCAGAAACCGCCTTCCGGACATGAACCGGAACGTTGAAGGTTTGGGCAATGCGTACGATCTTCAGTGGGACGGGGCACCCACATGTGCTGATCCGCTTTCTGCGACTGTCCCGACAATCGATCACGCTATATATCTCATCAACGCTGTGAAGTTTCATTGCGCCCAGCTGTTTCATGTCTTTGATGAAGACACGTTCATGCCGGCTCTGTATGCCTTCTACGAGAACCCGTCGGATCGGAACGCAACCGACAAGGTGTGGTTGGTACACTTCATGGTAATTCTAGCATTTGGCAAGGGTTTCACAGTCAACAAGAATGGAAAGGATCCTCCTGGGGTTGAGTATTTCATACAGGCACTTCAGATGTTGCCCAACATGATTATGCTGTGGAGATATCCCGTGCATTCCGTCGAGGTCCTGACATGTATCGCTTTATACCTATGTTGTCTAGACTATCGAATCGTGGCACACAACTTTGTAAGACGGACTAGTTGTTTGGTCCAGATATCTTCCGAGCACAGAACTGACATGTCATATTTACAGATGGGTCAAGCAATGCGGCTTGCTTTAAACTATGGCCTACACACAAACATCAGAGCAGACCGTTTCGGCATTGCGTCGGTGGAACGGATACGCAGGGCCTGGTGGACAGTATTCATTCTGGATCGTGAGATGACAGCAGTGGCAGGACTGCCACAGTCCATCGAGATTCAGGATGTTTACTGCCAATTGCCGGCATTCTCTGGTTCGGTCACAAGGATCTCGGCACTCAAGATGCAGCTCAAGTTGTCTCAGCTGATTGCTGATATCAACCGCAGTATGTCAGAGCAACTTACTCCCCTTCGGTCGAACGTCTACTAAAGCCCGTGCAGATGTGTATGGGGTCGGCGGCCGGCTCAACAGCGGTTTCCAAAGCGGCATCAAGGGCGCCCTGGCAGATATCGCCTGTGCGCACGAGGAACTACAGCAGTGGTTCCCACTGTGTCTGGAACAAAAGACTGATGGGATCTCCAAAACTTCTGCATACCTGCACCTGGAGTACCACCGGGTCAGTCTTTGGTTTCTGGTTGTTGCAGCATCATATGGCTTCATATGACATGTGCTGACTTGGCGTCATCTCCACAGTGTATCATCCTTGCCACCCGGCCATTACTATTCTGCTTCTTGAAGCTTCGCTTGGAATCTCGAGAAGATTGCCAGTCAAAGCTGAATAGCTCCAGGACGTCTCGGAACTTTATTCAGACGTGCCTTGACTCTTCGATCCAGATATTGACAATCTTGGAGTCACTGCTGGGCCAGTCTTTGATCGGTCTGTTATACCGTCATCTCTTTTGGTCCCATGGAATTCATCATCACCGGCTAACCTCAAAGCTAGATCCATTCTTGCCTTTCAGCCTGGACCAACTTTCTGCAGCGACGATCAATGTTCTTGTGGCAATAGCACTGGACCACAGCCTGATCGACAATGCATCCAGGTGGATCATGGCCTCTTATTCCGTCTTTGATGACTTGATCACAAGCGGGAATCAAGTCGCTGTTTTGCGCAAGGGCGAATTGGACCATCTGAGGAAGATGCTAGAGGAGCTGAATACAGTGTCACAGGGTGCATGGCAGCCTGGTCACTCGTCGCCCCAGCAGTCTGGTTCTCGGCAGCAGTCGCCCCTGGAAGGTCCGCTGACGGACTCGACGATATTTGTCTCTCGGCCGCCAGACTTTGATCCCTCATGTTCAAATCTCGAGATTGACCCTGGGGAGCCATTGACGACTACTGATCTCATGGATCTAGCGAACTCGATCGACGATATCGATATTGAGTGGATATCACAGACTATAGGGCATGATCGAATTTGGTAGCAATAATTCAAGAGGGCTGTGTTGCTGATTGTGCCTCTGTACATCAACATGTCTCATTCTAGTAGAAGTCGTATGCTGCTTCTCATTAGAGTGCCACCTAAAAGAACTGGTATCTGCACCCGCTGAACAAACTGTACTCATTTCATGCCCAATACCATCATCTGTTCGAATTCGGCGCCAGGCATGTTATCGCCTGCATCCCCATCCTTCGGCCTCGGATTCTAGGTCCGAAGGACCGCATGTGCTATCCTCGTCCGAGGGCTGCCTGAACTTGTTTGATATCATTATTTCAAACAAAACAGACGGGAAACGGCTTTTGATCGAGAGAATCCAGAAGATGGGGTCAACTGAGTACAAGGAAATTTTGTAAATTTTGGTTGAAGGGTGGCAGTCCTGCGGGATTCCAACGTCGAGCGGGAACGGGGCAAAACCACACCCGAGATGTGGTCTACACTCATTTGCATTCCACACCGCCACATTGCTGCATACCTAATTTATATGGACACAATCATTTTAGCAGCATATTAAGTATTTCTCAACAAATACTGCTTTAATTTAATTTAACCCAACGTAAAGATATAAAGGGCATTCCCAGCTATTTAACGCTTTTTTTACATTAATTTTTAAAGATTTAATTAAATTATAATTAATATTAAAAGTTTAATTAAATTATAACATGCATTAAAAATATAATTTTAATTAATATTTATTATTTCTTAAAAAATATAAGGAAAGTATTTTTAATATTTTTTTAAAAAAAAATACTTTATTTACATTAAATATTTATATTATTTATATACTCTTATTTAAAACCTTAATCCAACCACCTTTACGTAATTATTTTAAATAAAATTTATAACGTAAATTATAACATAATTAAAATTTTAAATTTAATATAAAAAAAGCATTAAATAGCTGGGAATGCCCTTTATTTATTAATATTAAGCTTTATTAAATTAATATTAAGTTAATAAAGTTAATTTTATACGCACATAAATGAGGTATATAACAATATGGCGGCGTCACTGGCGTGGTTTTGGCGGTGTGTAATGCAAATGAGTGTACACACAGGGCCCCTGGGCACTCTCAAACCGTAGCTGTATTCCCGTATTTCCGACCGCTGAGCTGCGAACCCTGACAGCTCCGCGAGCTTGACACTTTTCAAAATACAGTACATGCCGCCTCCGGAGAAGGGGAAGAGCGGATGCCGGGATGGCGGGATAGCGAGTCATTTTCATGGACAGGAATTCTCAAAAGTGGCCGAAAGAACCTTGGAAGAATGACAAGCAGAGAGGAAGCAACAGGCTGACCACCAACACTAAGGAGCCCCCATCCCCCATGTTAGTTCGTATACACAGGGTTTGGGTTCGGCTCCGGGCTCTCTCCAGCCCCTCTCGCCGCGGGAACGTTCCACGCGGGGCATGGTTAATCCCGCGGAATTTGGAGAGGCGGGACTGGATGAGCCGACCAGCCGACCAAGGCTTGCCCTGAGGAAGTGCCGCGCCGGATGGATGGGCATCTCTGGCGACCTGGGGAACCCCCGTGCCAAGCTGCGCAGGTGAGGTGGGGACGGAGGCTCATTCATAGCACTAATGATGGAGGTTGAGCGAAAGGCATGATACACTCCGCCGTTGACCCAAACGCATACCGCCGTGACAATGCTGGTGCTGACGATGATACCTGCCGCAATATACTGATGCTCCGTTCACGACACGACACCACACGACAACACACGGGGTCCATAACATCTCACTGGCCGGGATATTACCCAGATACCTTTTCAACAGTCTGTACTACACACCTGCCGCACTATCCACCTCATAGGTGCTGCCCGTAGCAAACTCTCAGCCAGAACCCCTCCGCCATGGCAGACTTCGAGTACAACGCCAACCCGGGCCGGGTCATCTTTGGCCGCGGCACCATCAAGAAGCTCCCAGCCGAGCTGGAGCGCCAGAAGCTCTCGCGGCCACTGCTGCTCACCACCCCGGAGCAGGTCGGCCAGGGTGAGGACCTGAAGGCCGTGCTGGGCGGGAACGTCGCCGGTGTCTTCAGCAGGGCCACCATGCACACGCCCACGGCCGTGACCGAGGAGGCGCTGGGGCACGCCCGGTCCGTCGAGGCCGACTGCGTGGTCTCCATCGGAGGCGGGTCGACGATCGGCCTGGGCAAGGCCATCAGCATCCGCACGGGGCTGCCGCACATCTGCATCCCGACGACGTATGCGGGCAGCGAGATGACGCCCATCCTGGGCGAGACGGCCGACGGCGCCAAGACGACCCGCTCCGACCCCAAGATCCTGCCGGGCACCGTCATATACGATGTCGACCTGACCATGACGCTGCCCGTAGGCATGAGCGCCGTCAGCGGCGTCAACGCCATTGCCCATGCCGTCGAGGCCCTCTACGCCCGCAACACCAACCCCATCGTCAACCTGCTTGCCGCCGAGGGCACCAAGGCGCTCGCCTCCTCCCTGCCCGCCATCGTCGCCAACCCCTCCGACCCGGAGGCGAGGTCGAGAGCCCTCTACGGCGCCTGGCTGTGCGGGACGTGCCTCGGCAGCGTGGGCATGTCGCTGCACCACAAGCTGTGCCACACGCTCGGGGGCAGCTTCGGCCTGCCACACGCCGAGACCCACACCGCCGTGCTGCCTCACGCGCTGGCGTACAATGCGCCCCGCGTGCCAGAGGCGATGGCGAAGCTGGCCGAGGCGTTGCCGGGCAGCAATGGCGACGCAATCCAGGGGCTGAATCTCCTGCTCGAGAAGCTCAAGGTGAAGAGGGGCCTCAGGGACTTTGGGCTCAAGGAGGAGGATGTCGACAGGGCGGCTGACATCGCAGTTAGTAACCCGTACTGGAACCCGCGTGAAATCGAGAGGGCGCCGGTGAGGGAGTTGATCCGGAGGGTCTGGGCCGGCGAGCCCGCCAAGGCTGATTTGTGAGCGTCCTTGGCCAGGCTGGACGACCGTGGCATGGCCTAGCTGTCATGAGTGTAGTTCATCCGGGGTCCCGTGCACACGCCGGGCTGGGCGGCTGAGGGCTCACGATGCTTCCTACCTGCATCCTCTGGGGTAAATAAGCTGCGTCTGACCGGCTGACTGGACCGGCGCTACCGCTTCGGCGACATGTGTCCTAGGCGTGACGAGACAGCTGGCGGACTTGATGCTCGGCTTGCAATAGTTGCACCAACCCCCACAGACCCATAGTCCTGATCCTTTTTGTGCTTCGCAGGATCACACCCTTAGTCGAACCTACGAATGTTCTAAATCCGGGATTCGTGGCTTTCATATGCACCAGTAACATCTACATCCCCACGTGCAGGACAACAGGATGAAGAGGGGATTTGCCTCAGCAAGAGTCCACACACTGGATTCCGATGAATGTCTACCGAGTTTCAGCATGTAATCGAATCCTCACGGATGAGCGAGTGCGCGCACGCGTGAATGCACAAGCTTTCCCAGAGGATGCTCTCACCCCGATGGAATACGGAAGCCTCACCACCAAAAGCTGCGACGCGTGCGCCGAGGAAGGATGTGTGCTTATGCTGCGCGGTCATGCACGACCGCCTGCGGTTGGCCGACCCGAGCTGGGAGGATTCTCGCCCTGACCCTGCGCCCTAACACATGGTTTAGCGCTCCAGAAAGTGGGACGGGGCGTGGGCGTGGGGGGGGGCTAGGGGGGGGCGATTCCCCCGGTTCGCAGCTTAGCCTGCCTCGATCCCGAAAGCTTGGTAGGAGAAGGGGAGGGGGAGGGGCAGGCCACGTCCATTTGCCAGCCCAGAGATGTTCCTTGCGGGCCGTGACACAGCAGGCAGGACGGGTCCCAGTCCAGACTCCCGCGTTTCCCAGACTGAGAGCATCGCAGGCTGGCAGGTTACCCAGGGAGGACAAAACATGTCTCATCTGTGCCGGCTTATGAGATGCAAAAGTCCCCTTTCCTTGTGCACATATGTCACATTCCGCTTCCTCGTAACGATCCAAAAGTCTCGTCTTGGGCCACCTGTGTACTCCGTAGGTGGTTCGGATCGATAGAGTGCATGGTCTTTGGTCCTTGCAGCCTGGAATCCCAATTCGGATGCTCCCCACCCTGGCTAGCGTACTCGCGCTCATTAAACCCAGAAGCGCCAGGTGGTATTCTAGCGTCTAAGCTGACCTAGACGCAGACGTTCTTCCGGATTCCCAACGGTGACTCCAGGACTCCTGCGTCCTTTGTCTCACCGGCACCTCACCATTCAATCACCGTCTGTGAAGATGAGAAGAAAATGAAGGCCACAGTGCCGTGCAGCCTCGAGATACCACTCCGCACTTGCCCTTCAAACGAACCTGCCTGGGGACAGCATCGCTAGGGAATCTGTCCCACAACCCGTTCACGTCTTCTGTCCAGGAACTCTGGACAAACCCCAGAAATAAGGACCAACCCTGAGATGGAGACAGCCACGGGCATGAAGATGGCCACACCACCAGCGAGCCCGGTGTCCAGCCTGACGCCGGCGTCACAGCAGCCGGTCGGCACATGGGCAACGCCTGACGATTGGATCAAGTTCCGGCCCATCATCACCCAGCACTACCGGGACGAGAACATGAAGCTCAAGGAGCTCATCGCCTTCATGGACAAGACGTACGGGTTCAGGGCGACGTGAGTGCAGCCATCCCTGCCAACCCAAATCCGCCGACGCGAGGCTTCAATGATGCTAATCGCACACCGCAGGGCAAAGATGTACAAGGACCGCCTGACAAAGTGGCGTATTTCCAAGAACGTCAGGGCCAGCGACATCACCACCATCGTGAGGAAGGACGACAGCGTAGGCGGCGATGCATCAGCGCCCGAGTTCTACAAGGTGGGCGACCGTCTCATCCGAGCCGACAGGCTGCAGCAGGCCATGCAGAGGAGGGCCACCGTCGCCCGGCGAGCCCTGAAGAACGACACCAAGACCCGGGGCAGCGCAAGTCCGAGTCCCGGCTGGGACACACTGGCGTCCGGCCCGTTTTCGCCCTGGGACTTTGCCCAGTTCACCTCGCCTTTGTCGCCGCAGGTCAGCCTGCCCGACAACATCCGGATCCCCGAGAGCATCCTGCTGCACAGCAGGGGATACGTGCTTGGCACGTTCGAGACCGCCAAGACGGACGGTGTGATTGTCGACATCAAGCTCGAGGGGCCGGTGCATCGATGCCACATGGCCTTTGAAGAGACACTGGCCAACCTCAGCCTCATCTCCGGGCTCGACCGGGTCGCGTTCAAGTCGCTGGACGGGGCATTCGACTTGATCAGGCCGTGCCTCCTCGACCGGGACCCGCAGTTCATAGTCGTGCTCATGCAGATCATGTCCCTGTGCATCTGGTTCAAGAAGCCGGACATCATGCACATGCTGGTGTCGTACCTGCACGACCTCAGCAAGGTGGTGTTGGGGCCGAGCCACCCCATCACATTGATATGCAGGGACCTGAAGCTCGCCGACGTCGAGACGAGCCGCAACATCTGCAAGCTGGCGGCGGAGGCGGCGTGGCACCAGTTCCGGGGATACCTGTACCCGTTCAAGATTGACTCGTTCGTGCGGCTGACGGCGACGTACGCGGACATCCTCGACTCGCTGCGCCTCAACGACGAGCGGGAGGCGTTCCTGCGGTACGTGGTCGGCTCATGTGACCCGGAAATCGTGCCGGTGGAGCAGCGGCTGCACCTGGAGCTTCACCTGATCATGTGCCTACGGCGGCAGGACAAGTTCCCCGAGGCGCTGCGGAGGCTGGACCAGGTCCGGCAGGACATCATGGACAACGAGCCGACGCTGATGCGGGAGAGCGAGGAGCGGTGCGTCGAGCTGACGTACCAGGCGCTGCGCATCAACGGCATGTGCGAGTGCGACGGCGGCGACGCCGACAAGGGCAAGAGCTTCTTCAGGGAGGCCTTCGAGCTGATGCAGGAGAAGCATGGGCCGTACAGCCCGAGGACAACCAGGGCGCTGCGGGACCTGGTGCGGTACAGCGGCCACGACGAGGAGCTGGTAAGAGACCTGGAGGAGCGCCTGACGCGCTTCAACCTGGACGCGGACAATTTCCCTTGAGCAGAGGGCGATGTTTGTCGACAACATCGAGCCCTGAGATTGACAGGCCAGGGGCTGAGGCTCACTTTTGGCTGACCTGGTGCCTTGTTATTTGGGCTGCTGCTTTGGCTTGTACATGGACTGGGAGAGATTGTGCATTGGAAACGCGACGGCTTGGACACATCGGATGCCCTCCCAACCTTGACACCAACATTGTCAACATCCCTCCCACCTTCCTGGTGGGGGCAGAACATGGCCACCATGTCGCCCTCTCCGGGTTGCACTTGACTTATCAGGCCCAGGCCTATGCCCATAGCAGCTGCCTTAGCAACAGTCAACAGCCCACTGTCTTTGCCACGCATCAGCACCATTGGATTAACGAGTGGGATTGACACGCCTACCCGTCTCTGTACACGGCCTCCATCATCCACCAGAGCATCGATGCATTTTCGGAACATGTCATATTGCACAAGCAGCACTTGAAATCACTTGGCCATCGACTGTCCTGCTTGGTTCAGGTCATCCGACCTCTTCAGCATCTACGACCATTCTGCTAGAGCCCGTGAAATCCCACTCCAACCAGCTAGTCCAAGTACTAGACGGACGGTGGGACTATTTGGCTTGCTTGGCTAGTTTTATTTTGTTTTGGTGAATATCAAACCATGCCCATTGTCACCATCTGTTCAATCATCCTCATTCTCCTTGGCCCCCCAGCGGCCTACGCCGAGACAACACTGAGCTTTGTTATCAAGACAAGCCATGACGCGAAACTGGAACAGAGTCCGGGCGAGGCTCACAGACCCGTTCGACCCTGACAACGAAGAGGTCGACCAACAAATCCAGGCCATGATAGCCAAGCAGGATGCCCAAGGTGGTCATATATACCCCGAATTCCATCTACCAGACTCTGTAAGCCACGCTGCGGAACTTCCTCTCCCCACTCCACTCCCATCGTTTATCTCTCAAGGTCACAGCTGACATCTTCGTCGCAATCCTTTAGCACCCGTCTAAATCCTCACGCCCAGCCGGAGATGGCTCCCATCTCGTCGAGCGACCCGTACCCACTCGTGGTAAACCCACGGCGACCACGTCCTCTACACGTAAAGTTGCCGACGCACTCGAGGTCTCGCCATCCAAGCCGCGCAAACGGGCCAAATTGCAGGACAAATCAGACTCGCTAGCTTCCAGGCTGGATAATGCGCTGACAGCGTCGAAGCGGGCGGCCTTTGGCAGGAGAAAAGACGGGACTCGCCAGCGGGACACCCAAAATCCGTACACTGATACAAATGTGTCGAAGTTGGACCAGCCTCTCCGCGGCTCCAAGAGGAAGGCGGACGGCGCTGACCATGAAGAAGAGCGTGGTCGCGAGGCCAAGCGCCGGATCGGTCCCGGCGGTCGACCGACGGCCCCGCCTTTCGAGGACTCCTGGGACTACTGATGCCAGTGATGGAGGCAGGTTTCTGGAAAGTTCTACGGGCGTTCTTTGATGCTCCAGACGTCTAAGCCAGGTCGATGGAAGTTTCGATCTGAGCGTGGCTGTGAGGAGGATGAGGTGGAGCCGTCGACGTCCAGATTGGGTACGGAAACGTAGGCATTTCAGCGTTTAGTCACGTGTACGATAATTACATGATGACTTTATCAGTATTCCAATTGTGGTATCGCATTTGTAATTGGATAACATGATTGATGGGTGTCCTTGAGGAACTAAACTTTCCCCGTCCATTTGGGCTGGGGACGAAGGTCTCGGTGGCAAATGGCTGTGAACAGGGCAAAGTCAAGCCCAAAACACTGCCTCCTCCTTAGCCCCCAAGCCACAGCATGTTCGAGACAGGGTGACAGGCTCACACTAATAGGCGATTGCTGCAAGCGAAGGATCGCACTAAAGACGCGAACATGTTGCACCTGACCGAAACAAACCTGCCTCGGCAGCTCGGTAAGGCAGAGACAACGTCAGCCTGCTGGCGAGCCTGCAGATCTGGCAGATCTGGCCGTAAATATGTGGAGGCTGTTGAGGCGGCTCGAGACGGCCTGAGGCTCGGCCCTGCTTGGATGAGAATGCGGTTTTGGCGTGCATTGCCGACGGTGGAATCTCGAGTCAGCCCTACTCATCATGGAACAAAGGACGGTTGCTCAGCCGCAGCAAACGACGTCATTCGCAGGATGTATCTTGGACGGGCATTGCTCCGCCAGCACACGATGCTGCTGCTATCTTCGACGATCTGAGAACGTGTCGTTGCATATATATCTGCAGTGTAAATTCGCCCAGGCCGACAAGCTTTCCTGGCTCCCGAATGCAGGAGATGCTTGTCTAAGGTTGTCTGAGACCAAAAGTGACCTCGCCAAAAGATACCCCGCATCGCCACTGTCCCCAACGTGGTCCCCTAAACTGCAGCCTGTTGCAGGTGCACTCACTTAAACCCCAAGGGACCCCACTTCCCCAGATCCCAGGAGTCAGGGCCCTGCCAAGCTCCCCAAGCTTTTTGAGAGGTGCCCAAGCTGCAGGTGGAGCCAACAGTCAAGATGCCCTCGCTCTTCAAATCCAAGGCCAAGTCCAACGGCGAGTCCAAGGACGACACCCCTTCCCAGCCAACCCATCGGCCCAATGGCAGTCTCCACGAGGCCCCTCCAGCCTACGCTGCTGCCCAGCCTGTACAGAATCCTCCCGATGTCGTCGACATAACCGCCGCTTTCTCGAGCCTGAACATCTCGCCCACGCCCCAAGACCCCACCGTCGACACCTGCCTCGCCCACCTGAAGCTCCTCTACGCCTTGCAGTCCCTCAAGGAAGATGTCGGCTACACGGACGGGCTGTGGGATATCTGGGACAGCCGTGCTGACGGCCAGGATTCCGATATCGACACAGAGCTCCCCGACGACCTCCTCCCGCCATCTGCTGCTGAGGCCGTAGATCTGCGCGGCTCGCAAGGAGAGAAGGGCAGGTTAGCACCGTCCGATATACAAAAGATCCGTCTGAGCAAGATCCGCGAGAAGAGATGGGCCCTGTTTGTCGCTCGCGCCGTCGACCGCTACGAGGCCTGGTGGAACGTGTTCCCCAAGACAATGCTAAGGGAGGCCGACATGAACGACCAGTCGGGGGCAAAGTACCACCACTTTGTCGACGAGACCGCATACCTGCGGTGGACACAGGACATGCTGCCCCCGCTTGATGTGCTGATGGTGTAAGTCCCCAGAGACCCCAGAGCCACCAGCTCGATCTGTCATCCTGTCATACGACATGCTGACACGGCCCAGGTGGCACGCACACATGCTCAATCCCCGCGCCTACCTCGAAGATACCCTCCGCTGCGGCCTTTCCTCTCTATGGGCCACCGGAATGCCCTGGGGCGTCATCTCGTCCGCCATCGACACCGACTTCAACTACGATGTATCGGCCGAGACAAAGGCGGCGTGGGTGGCCAGCACGGGTCGCAACTGGGAGAATGCAGACGACGCCACCACCAAACACATCAAGTGCCCCGCCTGCCAGATAACCATAGAGCATCCATGGACAAACTGCGGGGCAGGTGAGGCATCCAAGACTCCCGCTTTCGGTGGCTTGGTGGGGTCCGGATATGGTGACGGCCAGTTCAAGCGTCCGTGTCCGTCGTGTGGGATACAGATCGACAAGGAGCTGCTGTCTGTTGCCAAATTCACGAAAGACGCCCAGTCTCTAGTCGTCAACTCCGTTCCGATGCCCGGGACGATCCTCGATCCTATCAAAGGGAGTCCGGAGCCGGTCCCCATAGATATGCGCGGCCCAACCTTCCCTCGAACGTTTCCAAACCGGATGATCGCCAGCAAGCTCATTTCTCAGATTGCCGGCCTTGTCCAACCTGGCTCAACACCACGTCCCACTATGGAAAATGTACGCGACAAGATCGAGGAAGTCCTGCGCGACGGTGTGGCCCTGCGAGAGATCGAGGGTCGGCCCGCCTATGGTCGCGGGAGGATCTTCACGGCAGCCAAGATCTGCGTCCGCAAAATGATGTCCCGCTACTGGGAGAACTTCAGTCCCTTCGCCTTGGACCTCAGCGGTGCTGTCATGAGGCAAGGCGTCTTCACTGGCAAGATGTACCAGATCGACTGGCTACATAGCCCAGCGTGCCGCGAGACCATGACCCGCCTGGTCAAAAAGTACGAGAGGTTCATCTCCCTCATGGCGGATAACCCTACCAAGACATGCGTGCCGACCTTGGACGTGGACCTCGCATGGCACACCCACCAGCTCTCCCCTAGCGCCTATTACGCCTACACCACGGCCCGGACGACCAAGTTCATCGACCACGACGACAAGATCGACGAAGACAAGCTCTCCGATTGCTTCGCGTGGACCGTCAAGGCCTACCAGGCCAAGTACTCGGTCGTCTACAGCGAGTGCACCTGCTGGTACTGCGAGACCATCCGATCGACCCACATCAACACCGTGTCGCGTGTCCTCGGCGTGTCGGACCAGGACAAGGCCGCCGAGAACTTCCACGCGTCGGGCCAGGCCCAGTTCTGCCCACCCGACAAGAGCGCTCACATATCCTCCCACAATGCCGTGCGCGCCGCGCCTGACGTCTCCTCCGCCAAGGAGAGACTCACGGCCTATGCCCGGGACAGAAAGTACCGCCAGCTCGAGCTCAACTACGAAAAGGCCCGCCGGCGCGCCGAGAAGAAGGGCCGCAAGCTGCCGCCTCGTGACCAATACTACGACCACTGGGGATACTCGTACTTCATGTACAGCCCCTTTATTTACCCCATGTATTTCACGCCGGGCATGTACTACGGTTGGGATCCCGGGTACGTAAGCTCGGGCGGGTGCGAGGGTTGGGCCAGCTGTGCTGCTGCTGGAAGTTGTTCCGGCGGCGTCGCGGCGGGGGCCTGTGGCGGGGCTGGTGGGTGCGGTGGCGCCGGAGTAAGTGTCTTCTCTTTTCGTCGCCGTCCTCTCTGTCCTTTTTGCTATATCCAAAACTATTTGTGCTTCTCTTTGTGCTGACTGTTCTTGACAGGCTGGTGGTGCATGTGGAGGAGGAGGCGGAGGCGGCTGTGGAGGCGGTGGAGGGGGAGGTGGTGGTAAGTTGACTTCCTTCTCAGTACAAAATACTCCCCGACTTTTGACTGACTTTCCAACTCAGGCTGTGGCGGCGGCGGAGGTGGTGGCGGCTGTGGTGGTGGGGGAGGAGGAGGAGGATGTTGAAGGCCTGATTGAGATCTAATTCCCTCGACTAGATACCCACGTTGGCAATAGTTTGAAGTTTGCCCTAGATACACGATGAGGCTGCTCGTGTAGTGAATAGCAACTGTTCCAGTTTTTACACGTCTTGAAGGGAGGCTACTTGTGGCTTCGTTCTTGTTCCATTGGAACCGGTAGAGGAAAGTCCGGGGTCTATACCTTTGATTTTAAGACTCAGTACTCCTTACTTGTGCTATCCATCTAGAATAATCTATGAATAAAAAGGAATTATATTACTAGACTAAACTTAAAGCTTAAAAGCTAAAAAAGTTATATAGTAAGGTATAATTTTTATTTTTTAATATAAAGATTAATATTAACGTTCTTAAAATAATACATGGTTAAAAACTATTTTAAAAGAATAATAAGATAATAAAACTTTTAAGGATTTAAAAAAAAAATATAACATAGGTATACTATTTTATATAAAAGCGTTTAAGGCTTTTGGCCGATTACTACCACCCTGTTAAGTTGGTAGGTAGCACCCCTCCTAGATTCTATAAAGGCTTTTTGGAAGACTTCGTGTATTTCAGACGCCTTTTGCGGATTTCTCGGCCGGAGCTTCGCAATGACCATCTCATGCACAGGTAGGTTACAGAAATGCATTGCGATGCCTGTGTGGTCTTTCCCTTGCCGCCAATCTGCCTCAACCCCTACGAGTCCCTCCTCCCTAAAGACCCGCGGTAGGTCCTTGGCCCAACCGGGCGTCATCCGCGTGCCCTTGGGAATGGTCTCGTCCCACAGCGCTCTAAGGTTAACCGTCGGAACATCCGGGCTGCTGGTGTTGATGCGCATAGACGAAACATCGACCTCGCACCACTGCAAGTATCCTCCAGGCTCTGGAGGCTATCTGTTAGCGAAACTTCCGCCTTACCAGGGTCATCTGTACCACCAAGGAAGCTGGAGTAGAGAGGACTTGCTTAACAACTTGGCAACATTTCGCAACACAAATGTCGGATCGTCTTCCAGGACATAACAAAATAGGCGCAGGTTGACGATGTCAAACGTTGCTACAAGCTCATCCGGTGGTTCGGTGAAGACATCCCAATCCATGACCGACATATTCTCCGGGAGCCATTCCCGTGGCCCGACTTGGGTGATATCGGTATCGAAACCAACAAGCTCAGCGGAGGAATCGAGCTGGGATGACAAGTCCAAAAGCCATACACTTTGAAAAGAACTTAGCGATTTCTTCACACGACTTGTATATCGAGTCTCCATACCCAGTTCCGGTTGCAACATCGGCGATTTTCAAGGACCTTTTACTGCGTGGGATCTTGGGATGGAGGATGTATCCAAAGATGTCTTTATACAGGTAGTGCTGAAGATTGAGCCTGGACGCCTCATCAACTTGTGTTTCGGCGCTGGAACACGAGAAACCACTTACCTATTAAAGTCAACAAGGTCTCGAGCAAGGGGGTAGTCCCCTACGACTATATCCTCAACCTGAGCCATGAATACAGTATGGAAAGGACAATGTAGGTAGGATTTGGAAACTGGATCTACCAGAGGAAGCCAAAAGATCAACTTTACGGTGAACATTCAACCCGCACGTTCAAGCCCCGTCTGATAAGAAAATCGTATGTACGGCTTACGTACGAGACATATTGATGCCTGACCGCTACTCAATCACCAGCTGACAGAAAATGCTGTGTCCGCATGGCGTTACACCGCAGGATCTACATAGGTTCTCGACCCCAAGGGATTCCTCGGATTTCAAAAAGGGAGGGAGGATCCAAGCTCGGGGCATGTACCTAGGTAGGTACAGTCCCCGAGTGGCGAGTGACTTTCGCTTGTCATCATATGTACGTGATTGTCCAGGTGGCAAGATCTTTTGCCACTTAAAGACTCCCCCCCCCGCGGATCATGCGTTGTCATGCAGAAGCGAGGCTGACTGTACCTAGCTACATGTGTACAGTATGTAAGACCGGGCTTACCTTCCAAGGTTGGCTTCAGCTCTCTCAATCGCCGTAGTACCTAGCAACCAACACGCGCAATTGAGGTCAAAACATCTTCACCTCAAGTGCTTATACTCACACGCAGGAGTGGCTGAAAATATAGTGTACAAGTCCAAAAACACCACCATCTCCAAGATCCAGCATCGTCTTTAGGACTCTGCCACAGCATGAGGCGCAGTGCAACGACAGCAGCTGGCAATGATGATATAGCGTAGCCCACCAGGCCTGTATCCCAGAAATACGGACATAGCAAGGACCAAGCACAGACAAAGGCCACAATAGATATCCGTGATACCGTGTCCCCCATCAGCAGTGCAACAGTCTTCCGCCCTCGGGTTCTGTCACCCGCCTGGTCCTTAAGATCTTGTATCTGCATAGTGGTCAAGATCACCGCGCTGACCATAGCCGTCCAAATGATTCCTCTGTCATTGATACTGTTCCGGTCCCCCAAGGCGACCTCCAACGACGCGCTGTTAAACAGGCCGTAGGCAATTGAGATCAAGACGTCCCGCAGCATCCCATCACCCCCTCTTATATCGTTGTACAGCCAGGTGATGATCAAGATGAAGACTCCCTGCCTCCACACCCCTAGCGCGTAGTTGAACAGCAGCGCGGACGGGACGGTGAGCAGCATCAGCCCGCGCGTCTGCTCCGCCGTGATCCTGCCCGTGACGATGGGCCGCCACGGCTTGTTGAGCCTGTCCTCCCGCACCGACGCCGGTGACCTCTGGTTGGCGAGGTCGAAGTTGAGAACATTGTGCCAGTTGAACAGCACGACCAGGGGCGCGCGCGCGAGGACGCCTGCGGCGGACGGAGGCGTCGGGCCGTCGGCCAGGGAGCGCGCTGCTAGGGCGCCCAGGAGGCCGAAGGCGCTGTTGGGCACGACGAAAGTGCCGAAGTTGCTCTCGGTGAAGGCCCAGATGAGCCCGGGGGCGGCGAGGGTGTGGGTGATGATGGGGCTGGAGTTGCGGCACGTGTTCTTCTTTTCTTGTTGTTGCGACATGATGCTCAATGTCGGTCCGTAATACCTAACGATGCGTGAGAAAGGCAGGGCTGATACCCGTGGGCATCAAAGCGCTGTATGGGCGTTGTATCCATTGGTTGAATGGAAACAGTGTAAATTCCCAGCTGGAGAGCCATCTCTGTCCATGCCTAGGGCGAGTTAAATAACAACAAGGTTGATATCGTCCACGACGTCGGATGACGAACGCCGTGAAACTAATGCGTAGACAGCAAGCTAACCGTGGAAGCCTTTGTGTATTCCTACATAGTGTGGAGGATGTTGATGCTTTGGTAATCGTTCAAGTGCGCATTCTACATGGTGATTGCTTATGCATGTGTCACTTGACCAGAGATCTGACATCTGCCCAGGTGGTGTGTTCACTCCGTACACCCCGAACCAACTTGGGAAGTCTCGGGCGTATATGCTACACGTAGATAAGCGTAAGTTGCGCATCCTCCAGTCCGCGGGCGGAAAAGAGTGCTGAGAATGGTGATAACGCCCAGAATCATGATAGGTTCCAAGGTTGGACCGAGTAAGCCTCCCAAAATATGTTCAATGTTGTGTAACAACAGTTTGAAGCAGGCTGGCAGGATCGCCGGCCATCACACTTGATTGAGCAAGGAAATCAATACAAGGTTGTGCTGAATAAGCCTCCCAAGTGATGTTCAATGTTGTGTGACAATAGTTTGAAGCAGGCTGGCAGGATTGTCGGCCATCACACTTGATTGAGTAAGGAAATCAATGCACGATATCCCCCTCAGCCACTGATAGTGTAACTCTTTCCGCAATTTCAAAATGTTCGATCCCGATGGTCTTATCCCTAGCACCGCTCGTGCATTTTTCCCGACCACGTTACACCCGGTAGGATCAAAGACATGGGATATTTCAAATTTCAGCATATTACTGCTTGTGTACGGCGTGGCTCTAGTGTACCCTGGTACTTGGAAGCCCGCATTCACTAATTACATAAGAGCACCTGTATCTGATTAAATGATTAGTACTATAACGATTTTTAGGACTTGGATACTCCACAACATCCTATCAGCTGAGGGAATACTGCATGCGAGCTTACAAGAGAGCAGCTCCATCAGGCCCCGATCATGACCGCGGACGACGGTGTTTCGGCGCAGGATAGAGCCGAGAACAATCACTCAGGCGCCGTGGTGGACGTCTTCCCAACAGTGAAGACAAGCTTGTTGTCCCGGTCAAGAAAATTGGCCTCGTCGTCGTTGATCTTCTGAGCCACATGATCCAACGCGAATATTTTGGCAAAGCGCCCGTGCGCCTCCTCGTCCTCCCACGTCATGACCGTCACCACGTCAAAGGTTATGTCAGATGGCCTGCCCTGGAGAAGAGTCGGCGCAGACTGATTGTCCAGATCCTTTAGGAGCAGAGGCGCCGCGTCAGCCGACCCACCCCCAGGCCGAGAAATGTAGTGGCGCACATAGGTCAACGGAAACTCCTTCTGGACCAGGGACCTGAGTAGCTCAACGTGAACAGTCTCGTAATGCGTTCGGAACTGCTCCGGGGTGATGTCGTCCCTTCGACGTAGAAGTGCGATGATTGTAAATGTCATGGTTTGGTTATTGTGCGCTTCAAATGTTCCTTGTTGGGTGTCCGGGGCAGTCTGTCGAGTCCAAATACTCAAAGAGATGAGAAAGGAAGCAGGTTAGGTGAGATTGAACACGCGGTAGCTCCTAAATGAATAAGCACCGACGCACCAGTCGCTCTCTTGGAACGAGGGTGCTCACAAATGGGAAGAAGATCATGTAGCACCCAGTCGCCATGTGGCAGAAACGTGGTTGCCCGACCCGCCCCCCGACTGTGGCTGACAACCCGTGGGACCGCACCGGGCCCGAGAGCCCTACAAATTGAAAAGACGACCGTTCAGGCTGGAAAGACCGCCATGGCAAGGCCCCTGGAGCAAGCCCTCGCTTCCTAGAGCCAATATTGGGCACCGACGGCGTCCAATGATTGGGAGTCAAGCCCAAGTCGCTAGGGTCCTGCTATTTGCAACCTACCCTACCCTAGGGTACACATTGACCTGTGGCACACTTGAACAAGTCGCTCCCTGCTCGAAGGATCAATGATGCTGGATGAGGCGTTCAATTACGTGAATGAGCATCGGAGATTAAACCCCGCGCTTGTGTTACCCGAGTTCCTAGCAATATAGGGTTATCCCTATCACATTTGGACATGCGGGCAGCGTCACAGCTTCTTCTTTTTCTGAGGTCAAAGCTGGCACATCGAGAACATTTGACGCCGCATATCTAATTCCCTTGTCTTTGAGTCTTCAACGACTATGCTGGCAGCCATGTTCTCCGCCCCTCTTCTTCTCGTCCTCCTCTCTCTCGCCATTGCAACCAAAATTGACAGCGGACGCAGCACTCGGACGCCTGATGGTTGTCGCACCATCCCAGGCGATTCGTCATGGCCAGGCCCTTCACAGTGGGACCAGTTCAACCAGACAGTCGGTGGGAAGCTCATCGCAACGGTACCCATAGCAGCTCCTTGCCACAATACTCTGTTCGGCCAGCCCAGTGGCGTTTACAACCAAGACAAGTGCGATGCGCTGCGCAACACATGGTACTATCCTACCACACACCTGCTTTCGTCTTCATCACCCATGGCATACACTTTCTCGAATAATAGTTGCAACCCATTCTTGGGTCCAGACACTCCCTGCACCATCGGAGGCTATGTGGTCTTCACAGTCAACGCAACTAGCTCCGAGGACTTTCAGGCGACTGTTGAATTCGCTAAAAAAAAGAATATACGGTTGGTTATACGCAACTCTGGCCATGACTATCTCGGAAAATCGACTGGAGCCCACGCTTTGGGGCTTTGGACCCATAATCTCAAGTCAATGGAACTCATTCAAACATACCAGAACAACAACACCTATTACAATGGCCCAGCAATCAGACTGGGAGCTGGAGTTCGTACTATTGAAGCCTATGAGTTCGCAAATTCTCATGGCTACGTTGTGGTGGGAGGCAATTGTCCAACCGTTGGCTTGGCTGGTGGTTACATTCAAGGGGGAGGCCATGGCCCTCTTTCATCCATGTTTGGTCTGGCTGCGGACCAGGTGCTCGAGTACGAGCTTGTGACTGCTGATGGCAGGCTCGTCACAGCTACGAGAACGTCACATAGCGACCTATTCTGGGCATTACGAGGTGGCGGCGGGAGTACGTTTGGTATTGTGGTTTCGGTGGTGGTGAAAGCATTCCCCGACAGCTCCTTCTCGACGGCTTATATGATGATTTCGAACAACGGGACGAACGAAGAAGCCTTGTATTCTGCTGTGGGAACCTTTATACAGACACTGCCGTCGCTTGTTGATGCTGGTGCCATCGCGATTTGGGTCGTCATCCCGGAAGGCTTCTACGTCACACCAGTGATATACCCTGGGATCCAGTCTGCGGAACTTGACGCCAAATTGGCGCCCGTCACCGACAGTCTTCAGCGCCTCGGACTCACGTACACTTATTCATCGTCGAGCTATCCGACCTTCTTGACAACCTTCAACTCCGTGACCACAGTCAGCAATGTTTCGGACCAGAATATAGGAGGCAGGCTCATCCCAAGATCACTGGTAGAAGGCAACGATATCACCCAGCTGGTGGACTCCATCAGGTACATCAGTACTCAAGATGGCGGCGTCTTCGTCGGTAACGCAATCAACGTCAGGGGCGGTGTTGCGTCGCCTGACGACGTTGCCGCGAACCCCCATTTCCGGGACACCCTCTTCAGCGCCACCATCGGAACCACCATCGATTATCTCAACTGGGACACCACTCTTGCTGCCAAGCAAACCATCACGGACGATCTACTACCAAGGCTCGAGGCTCTCACTCCGGGTGGCGGGGCATATCTGAACGAAGGCGACGTCAATCAGCCTGAATTCCAGTCGACCTTCTTCGGAGACCACTACGATAGACTACTACAGATCAAACGGGAATATGATCCATGTGGCATCTTCTACGCTGAGACGGCTGTTGGAAGTGAGAGCTGGGTGCAGGACATCAACGGCAGACTCTGTCGGGCTTGATTTGGTGGGTCGAATTCCGAAATGGTCTGTCTACAACTTCAGGTGGCCATCAAATGCCATCAACTGGTCAAATGGACTATACCCATGAGCTGGTTACCTAGGTATACCAATGTAAATTCCAAGTCGTTGAGCCTTAAGATTTCTCAGCTCATATTAAACGTCTTATGAGGTCTTTCCGAGGCTCTATATTTCATGCGTCTCTTATGTACTCAAAATACATAAAATAGGGTGCACCACCTAATATGCTCAAGTAGGACAGACACCCTAGGGTAGGACTCGGATAAGTATACACGTGTCCAATGTTGCCGCGAAGGGCACGGACTCATCGCGTATGCATGTGTGGACGAAACCGGTCTTACACCCAGAAGTTATGCGATGAGTAAAAGAACTGACTAAACATTGCACTGCTAAATCATTCTGAATAAGTCTCCAATGGGAAGAGTCATAGTTACGCCAGTCAAGACGACTTTTATGGGCTTCTCTTTGGAATTTTCCACCCGCCAGGACAGAGTTCCTGGAATACCCGCTCTGGGTCGTACTTTTCCGCAACCTTCCTGATCCTGTCCAGGTTTCCGGCCCCGTAGCTCTGAAACACGTCTTGGGACATATCTGCGTAATTCATGTATATCCACGGCAAGTTCCCGCCCTCGACCGTCGCCGCTGCGTACTCCTTGACACCCTCTACCGCGGCCTTGACCTTGGGATGTACAAGCGCCTGCTGCCCCGCCGTCTTCATCATGGCTGACAGCAGGAAGAGAACGCCGTTGCTGGCGTGGCGCTCCACGCCCATGATGTTGCCGCCGGCTGCGGCTGAGTGGTCGGAGATGAGCTTGGGCACGGGTTGAAGGATGCACTGTGTTCGGAAGTCTCTGTCTGGAATTAGCGTGCGTAGTTCTTCCACCATGGTGTTGTGGGCCTCTACGGCTTTGGTGAGAATTCGCTCGTCGTTCTTGAAAGTGGCGGTGAACCAGACGTTGCTGCGATATCCATTGTCAGCTCATCAATAGCACTTCAGTGATTTTAGTCTCTGGTATGGTTCAGCTAGGCTGATCTCTTGTTTCCAAAATTGTGTTGAAGGCCCATAAAATTTTGATATGATTTGAGACACAAAACACAGACATTTGGAATTAACCGCAAGATGTGGGTGTTACTTACTGATATCCGTGAGGCAACATGATCTCGAACGTAAGATCGTAGATGGTAGTCGTCCGCGTGGTATCTAAAACCTTGGGCAGGGCCATCCATTCGTCAAGGCCGTGATCGAACTTCATCTCGGGGCTCTCCAGCTTGACCAAGGCCCCCGACGCGACAATCTCGTCCCGCTCCGGCACATACGTGACGACAATGACAAGGTTGCTGTTGGGGAACTCTGCGACCGTGTCCGGAAACCTCGACGCTATGCGTATCACATCCGGAATGGCATCCTTCGGAGCAATCGCCTTTCCGCCCCAGACGTGTCTGCACGGTATGGTGCTCATTGTGAAGCTCGTGACGATGCCGAAGTTGCTCCCTCCACCTTTGAGAGCTCGGAACAGATCCGGATGCTGATCCTCACGGCCCGAACTCGTAACGACTCGGCCATCGGCGAGGACAACTTGGTAGGCGAGAACGTTGTCGCAGCCCCAACCCTTGCGAGCCGTGATCCACGAGTAGCCTCCCCCGAGCAGGAAACCGCCAACACCGACGTTGCCATCCCTCGACCCCGCGACTGTTCGGTTCCACTTCTGCAGTCCCTTGTACACTTGCTTCCACTTCTGTCCGGGGCCGATTGTGACCGTCTCGGAAGTCTCGTCGTAGACGATTTGATCGAGCAGCCCGAGATCGATCGTTATGCCCTCACTGATATTGCTGACGCCGACTGAAGGAGCGTGGCCGCCGCTGCGGACTGCAAATTTCTGATTGGCCTGTACTACGGCTTCCAGGGCCCTGGAAACCTCTTCGGTGTTCTTGGGACGCACTATACAAGTCGGTTTCAGACTTGCTGATCTGGACCAGTACGCTGCCTCGCGGACATCATAGCCAACATCAGAGGACGTCAGGACCGAGCCTCTGAGTCCTGCCTGGATGAGACATTTCAGTTGCGGGCACATGTGTTCGGTTACAGAAGCCATGTCGCTGGGTTCTTCCTGTTGCGAGGATGAGCTTGTGCCCCGCCGACGAAGCACAACCCGAGCTACATGTATCAAGGGTAGAGACGGAAACCGTAGTTTGAGCAACGTGCTGTTCCACCCAACAGTACATGTGCAATTAAACCGTATTGTGCAGCTCCACTGCATGTGGCCTTGGAGCCAGCCACGATGGGAGGGCGTGTATCCAGAACAAGTACACACCGGTTGACGTGTGCGGCATGCTTCGGGGCAGCCACGCAGATCATCTGGAAATATCGCAACATGTGATCCAATTACCGTTTTCTGAGGCTCCGGACCAAGTGACCCTGAAGAGGTAATTATTTTCGTCGTCCAACGGTTACGGTGCATATTGGTGCTACCATCCGGAAGGCCTACCATCCATCCGGCCATGATCATGACATGGGATGATGTGTGGGTGCTGAATCCTGACCTTCTCCCCTGGGCCACCTGCCGCCTACGCGCAGTCTTTCATATCAATTCGTGCTTCTTTCAACATCCAATGACCTTGGGGGTGCAAAATTGTGGTACATGAACTTCTGCATTGGATTGCCTAGTGCTTACTGTAGTTCTTGCACGTTGTCGGCTGCGCCGTATACGCATTCAGTCAGACGTGCATGGACGTGCTGCCCACTGCAGGTAGCCGGTCTGGCTCTGGACTCAAACATGCAACTCGGGCGTACCACCCTGAGTTAATACATGGTTCCATTTACGCCGGGGCGGTTACGGGAACGCAAACAAATGCTACGCTGACATGCGGACATTGTAGGATACCGGCTCCTCGTGCCACATCTTCGGAGACAGGGCCTCCTTCCAACGGCTTGATTAATCTGACTTGTAATCTGTACACATGCAAGTAGCTCGCACCAAGACCCGCTGGGGATGGTAATCGCCTCAGCTCACATGTGCTCGTGGACCCTGCCCCGGTCCCCGGGGCACCCTACACAACCTCCCTTTCGGCTCTGTCATCCATGCCTCACTGCCGACCGCAGTCAGACCATAGAGGATATCCTCGGGGTCGTACTTGTGTTTGATCTCGAGAAGACGCAAATAGTTGACGCCGTAAAACACCTGCTGGAAGTCGGGCTCACGGAAGTCTCCTTCGTTCAGATATGCGGCTCCGTCGGGCGTCAACTCGGCCAGCTTTGGCATAAAGGTCGTTGTGATTCTCTCCTGGGCCTCGACATTGGCTTGCAAGTCGAGAGGATCATAGAGTCTGCAATAATAGCAAAGATTAGAACCTTGTTCGATGATATTGAGGAGCGGTACGGGATATGGGTCCATAGTACATGGCGATTACCGCACTGAACAACGCGGTGCGCCATGCTGGATTCACCGAGTTTGGCACCGGTGGCTCCGTTGTGACGTTGATGGATACTCCGGAAACAAGCCCGTCGTTTGCGGTTATAAACCGGATAGCACTCATCAAGCGAGCTGTAGAATCATCCGATTCCACTATGGAGCGTGGAATAAGTCGACCGCCTATGGAAGCCTCTGTGATATTATACTTTGGGTGCAAGTTGTAGCTCTCAAGATAGTTGGTCGAGTCTGCAACCGCCAAGTCTGCAACGGTCATTAGTGCCCACGGGCCTTGAATATAACACACACAAGGGGGGCAGAGATTTATGTCAAACTTGCCATATGATATTTTGAGGTCGTTCAGCCGGTCTAGAGTGAGCTGTAACAGTGACTGTAGTTGCTGAGAGGTCATGCCCGGTGCTGCCACAGGCGATAACGTAAAGGAGGTGTTGGTCAGTACCCAAATGCAGACGGCACCGGCATCAGTGATGGCAGGTAGACTGGCCAGAAACGTCTCTACAGCCGCAAAGAATGGCTCCGGCGGCTCCGATATGTCGCTGGAGAAAGTGAGGTTTGCGGTAGCCGTCTGAAAGTCCGGGTATGCCCTCACCGTGAGAGAATACACAATACCGTAAGTGCCACCCCCACCCCCCGAGAGCGCCCAATACAAATCCCTGTTCTGAGTTGGCGTCGCCTTCAAGTAGTGCCCTCTTGTAGTTACGACTTCCCATTCGAGCACCTGATCTGCTCCCAGGCCGAGTTTCGACGCAAGTGGGCCGTGTCCGCCTCCTTGGGTATATCCACCAGCAAGACCGACAGATTGGCAATCACCGCCAACAATGACCAGGCGTTGCTCGTGGGCTGCTTCTTGTGCTTCAAAGTTCATCACACCAGCGCCAATCTTCATTGCTTTGCCCGTGTAAAACGGAGAATGGTGATGGTAGAAACTGATATCTTTCAGATTATGGGTCCAGAGAGCGAGGGCACCGGCGCCGGTTGACTTGCCGAAATAGTCGTGACCTGTGTTGCGGACCACAAGGCGGATGTTGTGCGTTCGCACAAACGTTAGAGCTGTTTGAATATCGTCGATGGATGACACGTTTACAGCATACTGGACATAAGCTCCCACGACGCACTGAGCGGCCGTTGGGGTAAAAGGGTCACAGCTCATGTTGGCGAAGAAGGGAGCCATTGGTGATGATGAGCTCTCGTAGTGGGTTTCCGGGTATTGCCAAACAGACTGGAGCCGAGCACACGCTTCTGAATCGTACGGTGCGAACGAGTCTTGGTGACACACGCTCGCAATGGGGATGGTGGCGATGAGTCTGCCGCTGAGAGTCTTGTTCAAGCTGGTCCATTCTTCTAAAGATGGCCAGCACGCATCGCCGGGGAAACAGCGGCATCTTGGAGAGCTGTTGTTTGCGTACTGATCTTGGGTCTCCAAAGTGGTTGTTGCCAGGCCGGGAGGTGGTAAAGCAACGATGAGTTGCTGTAGCAGAGACAACAACGACAGGCTGAAGGTGCGAATCCGCATTGTAATTGATACTGCTCAAAAATTACTCTCGTTGCGGTGGTGTGCCAAACGGGGCAAAGTGTGACTCAAGTGGGGCAGAATGTCCTTGAACTGGAACATATATACCTTCAATAACTATCCAAGTTTACGCTCAAGAGAGTCTTCAGCCTTTGTCAAACGGCAACCGCCCAAGGACATCATAGTGCCACTGCCAGATGTCTTTCTTGCTGATGAGTCACCTTTGCATACATGGAATACGTCTTGCGATTACCTGGCCCACCTACTACTAGGTACCTTAAGTAGGTGATCTTCAACCCCGTTATAATCCATGGATGTGATTATATGTACTCAGCACTCAAGCTGCGCCCATGTGGCGTTGCTCAAGTGCCAGTAACACGAATAGATCACGAGAGGTCAGCCCGGCATGCCCGACTTACAGGGTCCTTCATTTGGACAAACATTGGACTTCATATATCCTATAGTCTATGCTGTCTCATATGAGAGCTAAATAAAATCCAACAACTTCAGACGTGATTTAATGTTCTTACCGGTTGAGCTGAATGCGGTCGGCTCTACAGCCCCACATGATCCTGGAATCTTTTGAAAGGTAGAAAAGGCGAGTTCCTGCTCTGGAGACCTCCCATGTGCCCGAAAGAATTCCTGATTCAGGGATATTGCTTTTGGGGGCCAACTCCGCAGCTGACGGAGAACCAACCTTGACTCGCATGGAGTGACACGACACGCATGCACCTTGCCCCTCGCCCCCAACTGCAGCACTCAATCACCTCGTGTTACAATCCGTATTGGTAAGGCTTGGATCCGAGTTGTCCGACAGGGCGGCTAGACTCTGTATAGTAGCATTCCATAGAAGACAGAACGATCCTCGTTCGCATAAGCGACGGCGTGCTGACACGACATGGGTCCTTTTGCGACGCTTCGGGCCAACCAGATTATAACACGCAACGGCTCAGAGATATGCACAATCGGTACCAGCTAATGATGGATGCTACAGCAGTTAAATGAGCTGTCAGCCCTAGAGGATTAATCCCAGTGGCCCCGGGTTACCTTGCGGGAGGTCGAGGATGCTGGAGACATCTGGACCTACATCTAGCCGAGGAAGATCGTTTAACTCCGGACTGTCATCCTCATCGATCGGATAGCTGGTTGAGACCAGTTGACGTCTGCCTACATGAAAAGAAAAAGAAAAAGGTGAATCGCGAACGACTTTCACGCACTGCGAATACTGTCAGGTATTACCCTACCGCCAGCATCCGGTGCCCCAAGTTCGTTCAGCAATGGCTGATCAGCCCGGGCCGCGTGGGCTCGCGTTGATGAGATGGATCATCGCCTTTCTTGTCATCTGTTCCATCTTCATGCTTCTACGCCTCTACGCCGCGAGACTGATTAAACGAAAATGGTTTGCCGATGATGTATTCTCGGCCATAGGCTACGTAAGCATCCCCTCTCTTTCGTTAAGATGAGTCTTTCCAAAGTTCAGGGCTGTCTTGCAATGCGATATTGACGCGTAAACTTCCTTCAAACAGGCAGCCACAGTATCACAGGGCGCCGTGACCATCTGGGCCATCTACCATGGCGCCGGCAAGCACCAGGCAGATTTGCCTCTACAAGACATTGCACTCATACTCAAGGTACTGTATGGCCACAGCGATATAATCCTCAAGGAAGTAGATACTGATTCGCTTCAAATGTTTGCACACCAGATCTTTCAACTCCCCTGCGCCATCACTTGGCTCGTCGGGACCGTCTCGGTCAAGATAGCCATGCTCTGCCTGTACACCCGAATCTTCACAACACGTCAGTTCAGGCGATGGGCATATTCCCTGATGGCAGCCGTCGCAATCTATTTCGTCGCTTTCCTGATCCTGTTCATGACCAACTGCATACCTCTCTCCCACCTTTGGAATCCCGTCCCGGGAGGTTGGTGTCGCGCCATCGAGATCGAAGAATACACCTCGGTGGTCTTTAACCTGATGATCGATCTCTGCATCGTTATCTTGCCCATGCCGTCTCTTTGGAACCTGAAGATGCCTCTGCGGAACAAGTTCTTCGTCAGCATCATGTTTAGCATTGGTTTGATGTGCGTGCCATCATCCCAAAGACTCCCAGCTTGAGATCGAACGCTGACCGACCTTTAGTACCATTGGTGTAATGTGCTGGAAGTTGGAAGCAACGACTGCAACACTCAATGACCCCGACTTCACGCACTACTTTACAGATATCGGTCTCATCAGTTGCCTTGAGCTGTGGCTTGGAGTCATCGTGACCTGCATGCCAACGCTTGGCCCGTTGTTCAAAGCTTACATGAAGCCGATGTTCACCAGAGTGAATGCCTATTTCAGCGGAGGTTCTGGTAAAGGCGAGCAGCCGGTCCGTCTTGAATCGTTATCCAACAGGAAAAGATACCATCACATTGACTCGGGCCACGACACAAACTTGGGCTACACTGTCACGACGGAAATCACACATGATAATGCCAGAAAAGACCACCATCCTGAAGCAAGTTTCGTCGAAGGAGCAGTTCGGGTCCAGAATGACATCGAGATACAAGCTGGACACGACTCCACACGGGAGAGTGTGTACCTAGGTAGCACTACATAGGGTATGTATGTAGGTATACACTGGCAACGAGAATTTGTCGCGATATAAGTCAAGTCCAATTCTCTGTTGCTAGTAATACCTAGGCAGGGTATTACCTCATACCTCAAGCGTGCTCATGTCTTTGCTCTACAGATTTATTCCAGATTTCTGTTCAACATTGGTCGTTGAAATGATTGGTCAAGAACCTTGGAAATACTGGCTTCCCTTCAAGGCCATCCCAAAATCGTCGCTACGTAGTCTTTTTGGACATGCCTATACCGAAAATAGAGAGAGGCCTTCAACAGCACGAGGTTTAAAGGAAAATTCGTAGTAGGGTGTGGTGAAAAAGTCCCATTAAACGTATGGTACAAAATTATGCATGGTGGATAATTAGTCCGAAGCTGCCCAGAAGTGCGCCAACAGAAAGCTCACCGAAATCTCGATTACGTTGCGGGGCTACTTTGACCGGTACCCTAGAACAGCACTGCTGAGGTTCATGATGGCTGGGATGTAGTGATACATAAATGCCCGGGTGTGTCGCACGTACGTAAGTCAGCAAGTAGCGCTACAAAAGTACGGAGTGTATACCTAGGTACAGTACCTACCAGGGGGAGGGGGGGTTTCCGTTAACATGGCACCACTATGTTAATGGAATAGCGATATAATAATGACATGTAATTAAGGTTTTAATATGCTTTTTTTATGTATACATTGCATTATTTATATGTTATTAATATATAGTTATTTTTAATATGCTATGATATAATGTTAACTCTTAATATAGGGGTAAAAAAAAACTCTTTTTTTTCCTTATTCTTAACTTAATTACTTATTTAATTTTTATTAGCTTAATTATTTATTATGGGAATATTTATGAAATTATGGAAATATTTAAAAATAGAAATAAATTTAAAGTTAAGATGATTTAAATTAAAGCTTTTAATATAAAATTATAATAATATTGGCTGATATATAATTAATGTTAATATTAAATTAATATTAATATAATTTAAAGCCTTGATATAATTTACTTTTAATAATATTTTAATAGCTATTTATTAGCATTTTGCTGGAATTATATAATTTTAATTAAATGTTAAAACATGATTGCATTGCATGACCCATACAAAGACCCCCCCTCCCCCTGGTAGGTACCAGTCGACAGTTCAGGGTTGTGGGGGCCGTGACTTCCTTGGTGTAACCATCCCGGAATTCCACCCGCCCCTTGAGCTTTCCTTTGTGACACCGACCCTCCAAACTCTCAACATGTTTGTCATACCTTCTGAAGGCTCGTTCTCAATCCACGGACCACTCTCCTGCTCCCCAGACCTCTCCTGCTCCCCAGACCTCTCCTGCTCCCTCTTCCCTCGTTCCTCCTTCATCGATTCCCTCTAGTCGACCATCATCAGAATGAATCCGCCCTTCCCATCTGCGACGCCATCTTGGCATAACGATACCTACCCAGCCATCTCTCCCCAGCGCCCAGAGCTCAGTGCTGCAGGAAAGACCGTCGTGATAACTGGAGCAGTGAGCTTGACCCCACCTCTTACTCTGGGTGCCGTGAGCTCTGCCTGGGTTTGAAGCTGATAATAGACACTCGCAGGGTAGCGGCATTGGACGAGCGACAGCAGCTGCCTTTGCGGCTGCTGGAGCTTCCAATGTCGTGCTTCTCGGCCGTTCTGCTGGACCACTGAACGAGACCAAATCCCAACTCCCAGGTAACATCTCCGCCGCTGTCTTGCCGGTAGATATCACGGACGAGGCTGCTCTCAACAAGGCGTCAGCAGCAGTGGGAAAGTGGGACATACTGGTGCTCGCCGCTGGCTACTCTGCCACTCCGGGGCCGATGACCGAAGCAGACACGGACGAGTGGTGGCAAGGCTTTGAGGTAAGGCGCCACTTTGAACGGCTCTGCAGCAGTCAACCCGTCACTTGCATTACGACCAGTTCTTGAATCTTGCTGAGCTCGGGTTTCAACAGACAAACGTCAAAGGCACGTTTCTTGCTCTCAAGGCATTCATGCCCTTTGCCGAGCCCTCGCATGCAACAGTGCTGAGCTTAGTCACGGGTATGGCAGCACTGCCGGCCAAGAACTTGCCCAATCTGTCTTCATATCTGGCGTCCAAGCTTGCGCAGACCAAGGTCATCGAGTTCCTGCCCGTCGAAAACCCCAACATCTTTGCGGCCACTATACATCCTGGCATGGTTGAGACGGCGATTTTCAACAAATCAGGTGCGGATTCTACGAAGCTCCCCATGGACAAAGGTCAGTCTGGCTTTCTTCGACAAAGACCCTAAAAATGGTAGTTTTGTTGCCTGACCAATCACTGACAATCTACCTGCAGTGGAGCTTTCCGCACATTTCATCGTTTGGATGTCCAGCCAGGAAGCTAGCTTCTTGAACGGTCGTTGTGTCTGGGCCAATTGGGACGTGGAAGAGCTCAAGGCACAAGCCGAGACCATTCAGTCAAGTCTGCAGATGACCTCCGGTATCTATGGATGGCCTTACCCGCACATGTAGCTTCCCATGTGTGGTGGTCAGCAGGCCATGTGGCCAAGCATGGTTTATTAGGTTCACCTCACTGTACCTATTAGTTTGAGCTACCGCGCGTTCTTGCCAGTAATCGACGCCGTTGTGACGAAACGTATCGATGTTATAGTTGTGATGGTGTCTTGATCCCCTGGAATTTGCGCCATCATGTGATTAATAACATATACACTCAATCTCGATTCTCTACTCTATTTTCTCTGTACTACTTGCCGCCTCTCTTTGAACCTCCGTATGTATTAATCACATCGACCTTTCCCCGGAGTTTAAAAACCAGCGTCAGCTTTCCAGGGTTCGCCGTGAACTGATCCGACATATTATCAAACATTCTTGTACCAGTCTCGCCAGGAGCCAGGCGAAACTGATACTTTTGGATGATCCTAGATATCACTAACCTCATGATGTCCAACGCTAGCTGGCGTCCGAGGCAGCTATGGTGACCTAAAGAAGAATAGATGAATTAGGACTGATGAGAGCAGGCTACGTAGAATCCAATCTGGTACACTAGGGTAGTCTTACCGATGCTGAAAGCATTAAAGGCGGCCATATTACGAACCATCTCGGGACGCGTGGTCCATCTTTCGGGAATGAAACTGGTCGCCTGTTCAAAGCAGTCCTCCCCTAATTAAATCAAAACAGACACATCGTTAGTCTCTCTGACGGGCATTATCCATGAAAATGAAAAAGTTGGAAAAGATCTATCCTTACGCCGCATAATAGAATATCTAGGCGCGACAATGGTTGTGTTGGGCGGGATAAACTTGTTGCCTATCCAGACGCCCTCGTCCATTGCCTTCCTCGCTCCGCCCGTGAGCAGCACCGGATACAGACGCAGCGTCTCGTTGATGACGGCGTTGAGATGGAGAAGCCGGTTCAGAGCCTTGACTTGGGACACGTTGACGTCTCTCACCTCTGCGTAGATCTGTTCTGCGTGTTGCGGGTGCTTTGCCAGCTCGCAGAAAATGCCAAGAAGTACGTATGCTGTTGGTTCGCTTTCGTGTTGTATCAGTTAGCCATTAGACGATTGATCCTGTGAGCGCTCGTTGTTCTTGACATGCGAGTGTAAGTAAGTGACACTCACCTTCCGGCCACGATTGCGAGGAGGCTATCTCCGTGCATCCAGTACAGGCTGTCGTCCTTGATACTCGTCTCGGCCTGTGCTTGTTCCATGAGGTAGTACGTGAGGTCTGGCGCGCTCTGTTTGGCCCTGCCTTGACTCAGCCTGGCGCGCATCTGATATTTGGACCAGGCTACTGAATCGTGCCAGTCTTTGAGTATCCAGACTCTGGGGCCTAAACGCAGACCCAGTTGGATGAGCCAGGGGGCCGGGCTGAACGGACCCAGAAGTGAGAGGGCCCTTTGAAGGCGGACGATGACATGGTGCCATTTGTTTTCGGTGAGCATTCCGAAGGGTTTGCTGAATATAAAGTCGCCCATCGTGTCGAATCCGAACCAAAAGCACAAGTCTCGCATCTCTGACGGTTTCTGGGACAGTATATCTTTCTCGATCTGGACATCTAGTTGAGCTACATGTTTGAGGGCCTTGCGCTCATGTTCGGCCAGGGCTGCGGTCATGGACGTTAGAATGGTGCAAAGGAGAGGAGAGTAGTGTGAATGAAGCAAGAAAACACACCCTTTGAGGTGAAACACCGGACCCATTCCCGGCGTCGAGCTGCATGTACCTCCTTGTCTCTTGCAGACACAAGAGAGAGGAATGGATACAGCAGATCGTACCATTCAGACTTGACACATACTGACCGAGGACCATCAAGTGTGGAATATACCTGAGGGTCGAACACGGTAACCTCAGCCGGCCCTGAGTCGAGAATTAGTATAGGAAACCAACTCTGCACAGTAGGGAAAAGGAGAGTTTATAACTGACCGGTTCTTACAAAGTCACCATATCTCTGACGAAATTCTTCCAGAATGATATAGTTCTTGGAGTGCCTCGCTTTCCAGACGTGAAAAAGCTTTGATATTCGCCAGTGCCAAGGTCCAGGAAAGCCAGCCCTCGACAGACGGTGGAAGCTGAGCCGATAGACGATGATGCTGATTAAGAGAGTAGCATGATAATAGAAGGTGGACAGAATAAGACCAGTCAAGATTCTCTCGTGATCTGTGTCCTTGTAGAGAAGCCTCATGGTCGTTGTAGAGATGAACAAGAGGGCATGGAACACCAAGATCCCAGGGGCCCGAACATGCCATTCCCCGTGCATGAACAAAACCTGATGAGCGAGGATACCAAGCACAGCACCTAGACCCGGAAAAACGAGTACAGTCGGTAGATGCATTATCACCACTATTGCTCGTTATGGCAGTGTTTCAACTTGCAATGTTCCATCTGGGACGTACAGTAGACTCAAAACTTATTAACTTGATCGAATTATAAGACTACGACCGTCATGATGCATTCCATGAAAGCCGGTAGCACAACAGTGACCTCATAAGAGCCTCCTCCTATACGTCAACTTGAGCGACCTTTGGAAGAGTGCTGTGCTTCTCACCTGCGCAGATACTTTGGTCTTTTCGTGGTGACTTGAATTGGGAGGGTCTTGGAGTTCGAAGGTTGTCAACTGGTCCCATGTCAGTGTCACATTTGGACGTTGCGGCAGTCAATGTGAGACTGATCAGCATGTTGCAGAGCACTTATGCACGTCTGTTTCTCGTTGGCGCACCCGAGCTGAAATTGGCGTTGACCGGTCAAGTCAAGTCAAGCGGGATGTCTCGGGTTGTACTAGGCGTATTGCAGCACCCAGCACTGGGAAGTTGCCCCTCTTTGATACACACACGCCCTTGCCTACCAAAGTACCATCACCTAGTACCTACCAGTTGGCCATTCACAATCACAACACATATGGCCTGTGCGACCATGTCGATCCTTCCCTCATCGGACAGATGGTGGTGGCGATCGGGCCAGGCCGAGCGGCAGGCTCCCGACCGACCTCATCAATGGCGGGACTGTGCATATGCTGACACAGTGTTGGTCTGTGTGGTGGATGCAAAAGGGTCCGAAAGAAATAGACGCATTAGATTGGTTGCGTAGATGATACTTGAAGAGGAGAAAGACAGCAGACAGGCTCCGTCTCGTTCAGACGCTTGTGTAGGCCTACCCTGTAGGGTGGCTCCTTCCACTACCGCATCTGCAACTGCCAACGCCTTAATTGCATACGATCCTGCCTCCTAGTACAACCTGGGGTACCTGTGTTTCCCAACCCCGGCCAGGCAATAACTATTAACGACAGCTTTATCCGCGATCGACTCCACTCTACTTCTGTGTCTCTCTCCACCCACGACAAACAACCCAACCGTAACGTAACTGTTCACCAAATGGCGTCCGAAACTTTCGACTTCGTCGTCGTCGGCGGAGGCTTGTCGGGCTTGGTTCTGGCTTCACGTCTTTCAGAAAACCGAGACTGCACTGTCTTGGTGATCGAGTCGGGCAAGGACCTCAGAGATGACCCCAGGGTGAAGATACCCGCCATGTGGGCCATGCTATTGGACGATCCCGACGCGACCTGGCAACTCAAGACCGTACCTCAGGTATGTCATTTTCTGGTGGCTTATTTACTAACCACATGTGCGCGCTCAAGTCATGCTGATGACTGGTCTTCTCTGTCAGGTAGCACTTGGGGGTCGCGAGATCACCCTCTCCCAGGGCCGCACTGTTGGAGGCTCGAGTGCCCTGAACGGCCTTTCGTTCAGTGCCACTTCCAAGGCCAACGTCGATGCGTGGGAAAGCCTTGGAAACACCGGCTGGGGCTGGGACGATTTCACCGCGTCCATGGACAAGTCGTACAAGAATGGACCACTCCAGCTGGCTGTCCCGGACGAGGACACCAAGTGGCCGCAAGTCTGGAGGGACACTTTGAGCAGTCTCGGCTTTTCCACCTCCAACGAAGCTTTCTCAGGACACGTCTCTGGTGCTCTTACCGTTCCAGACACTATTTCTGCTTCAAAGGAGAGGAGCTTCTCTGGTAATGCGTACTTTGGCTCCGCGAATGACCGGCCCAATGTTACTATCTGGACACAAACAACCGTCGGGAAAGTTCTCTTTGAAGCTCCCGATAATGGCCCTCCGTCAGACACCACTATCGCAACTGGTGTCGAGTACACCACTGTTGACGGGCAGACCAAGACGGTGAAAGCTGTCAAGGAAGTCGTACTCACAGCAGGCTCGATCAATTCACCCAGAATCCTCGAGCTCTCGGGGGTGGGCGACAAGACTCGTCTGGAAAAGCTTGGGATCAAGGTTCATATTGACAACCCGTTTGTCGGAGAGAATCTCCAGAACCACCCCATGTGTGGAGTGAACTTCGAGGTTCTCGGGGGCGAGGAAGGGTTCGAGACCATGGACAAGATTGCCCGTCAAGATGCAGAAGCTGTTGCGGCCGCTATGGATGACTACACCAAGCGACAGCGTGGTCCTTTGTCCAGGAGTGGTGCAAACTACGCGGCCCATCTCCCGTTTCCAGGCATCGGCGACACCACCGGAGCCGAGAACCTCAGCAAGATCCTCCAGATTCCCGTGCCCGGCGATTCCTCCAAGAACACGGCACCGCCATTCGCCAAAGCCCACGAGTCGTTCGTACACTCCGTTCTCAAGTCGCCCAGCGAGGCTTCTGGCTGCTACCTCTCCGCCGCAGCCTTCGCGGGCTTCAACCCCGATGGTTCGAGGGCCTCGGTAACCCAGTTCCCCGGAGACAAGAGTTATTTCACCATCGTGCTTTTGCTAGCCCACCCTCTATCCAGGGGCTCGGTACACATCAAGTCAGCCACTCCGTCCGTCTCGCCGGCCCATCTCGCCCTTGATCCTGCATACCTCACCCACCCCCTCGACATCGAGGTGCTGGCAAGCCACCTGCAATACGCAGCAGCCACCATCGCGACCACGGAGCCACTCGCGAGCCACCTGAAGCCCGACGGGGAACACAACCCGGGAGCCCCAGACGTCGGAAGCTTCAGAGACCTGGACAACGTCAAGAAGTACGTGCGTGAGACCGTGGTCGGCGCTCAGCACTGGACGGGCACGTGTTCCATGATGTCGCGGGACATGGGCGGCGTGGTCGACCCAAAGCTGCGCCTCTACGGCTGCCGCAACCTGCGCGTCTGCGACGCGAGCGTCATCCCCATCACCCCGCGTACGAACCCCCAGGCTACCGTCTATGGCATTGCGGAGCGGGCGGCGGACATCATCAAGGCGGAGTACTCGGTGGGTGAGTGAAATCTTGCATATTTTGCCCATGGACTTGAGGAGGAATTTGGTCGTAAGAACCAAAAGGACATGTGGTCGGGTAGAGAAAGTTGGCAAAATGAATCGTAGGGGAAACTTGAAGTCTAAAAGATAGTTCGTGGCTATCAGGCGAGGATAGCCCCCAAATTTATTACTGCAGTCTTCAATCAAGTGTACCATCAATGTGCCTTTACACGATAAACGGGTCAACCCATCCCTTGTCAATCATTTCCCGAAGGATTTATTGGGGCACGCGCTGTACGGAGTAACACGCACTCAGTCACCAACAGCTGCAGGCTAAGCCTGCTGCGGTGTATCTACTGTAGGACCGATCCACCCCGAGTGTCCGGCGGCTAACTTGCGGGCCCGTCAGTGAGCTTAATGCAATTGGTCTTGGAACATGGCGCGGATGGCGGATGGCACTTTCCATCTAGCCGCGGGAGCAAGGTATGCGTCGGATCACCTGGCGCTGCCTCTTGTAGGACCAGATATGCTTCGGAATGTCGTTTCCTCCCGTGTCGGTGAAAAGGCCGTGCTCGAAGTTAAGCGGGTTGATAATATGATGCTGCAGCAATCACAAACGCTGCTTTGGTAGTCCCCAAGGACGACTCGGTTGCCGGAGAATCCGTTTTCGATCAGAATTTGGTTCCACTGGTTCTCATTCATCGCCGGACTCCATCGACGCCCACTGCTCACTGCAAGACTACCACCCGGGAAAGTGACCGAATATAAAATTTGTCGCTGCCTGTGCGCGAAGAGTAGTAGTCGCCGGGAAGAGAAGATGGCCGCCAGATCTCAGTAGCGAGCCAATATTTGCCAAAGTCTTTGCCAGACTCGCAGTAGCATGCAATAGACTTCCGGCAGTCACCACATCGTAAGCTCCAAGATCGAAACCTCGGCTTTGGACTTCTTGCTCGAGACCCAGTGTCTTGGAGAGAACACGATTTTCAAGTTTGATAAATCGATTGCGGGCGTTCTCAAAAAGGAGGACGAGATATCAGTGTACGTATAGTCTCGAAGATTCTGCCCTGCCATTTCGTTTTTCGGTTTCGGCCAGAGCAGCAAGCACGTAGGCTGTCATCTAACCCGTCGCTTCCTCGACTTCGATAACCAATGACACATGATATAATCTTTAATATTATATAAAATGGGGTTGTAATATTTTTTCTTTTATTAAATTAGGTGTATAGTGATGTTGATGAGGTTATCCTTGATGATCTTGGTGCATATTCCGTATTCACAGCTAAATTTTAGTGTAGGGGGGGATAGCTGACGGGCAACACTTCGTTTTCCACACACAGCAGTTACAGGGGCTCTGGGCCCCACTCATGCCCGCTACGTATCTACCCGCAAGCCTGCGTTTACCTACAAGTAATGGGCAGACCGCACGCCGGCTGATCGTGATATGCTCGGCATGGTCACCGGTGAATAAGTGCAAGCGGGCCTCACGTCACCAGGGATGTTGCTCTCAATACATCATGTCTTGTCGACGCCCCGCGACTAGCCTTCTGAACCGTCTCTCCAGGCCGATCGGCAGATCCCCGCCTCAACGGAGGACGCGCCTGGCCTCCAACGGGTCGCCGTCGACGCGGATGGTCTCTTCATTACGCAAGCAGAATTCGCTCCCAGCGGCCTACTATCGCGGCGGAACCTCTCGGGCAGTCTTTTTCCGACAGGAAGATCTCCCGGAAAATAAAGATGAATGGGCCCAACCATTCCTCGGCGTGATCGGGAGCCCAGACCCCAACGGCCGACAGCTGGATGGCATGGGCGGCGGCATCTCCAGCCTGTCCAAGATCTGCGTGGTCGGGCGCTCCCCGCGCGAAGACGCAGACGTCGACTACACCTTCGTCTCGCTGGGGGTCAAGAACACACACGTTGACTACTCCAGCAACTGCGGCAACATGTCCTCGGCCGTGGGGCCGTTCGCGGTCGACAGCGGGATGGTGGAGGCGCCGCAGGGTGTCGAGTGCGAGGACTTCACGGTGCGCATCCACAACACGAACACGGGCAAGATCATCCACGCCAAGTTCCCAGTCGCCGACGGTGAGGCGGTGGCCGAAGGCGACTTCTCTATCGACGGGGTATCTGGCACCGCGGCACCCATCCGCCTCGACTTCGTCAGGCCGGCGGGCTCGCGGACGGGGAAGCTGCTCCCGACCGGCAGCGTGACGGATACTTTCGAGGGCGTCGGGACCACGTGCATCGACGTTGCTAATCCTTGCTGCTTCGTGCTTGCCTCGGACCTCGGTGTGGGCGGGCGGCTGACGCCACAGCAGATCGAGGACCATCCGACGCTCACTGACACCATGGACAAGATCCGGCGGCAGGTTGGTGTGCGGATGGGGTTGGCGGCTTCGCCTGAGGAGGTGCCTGGCAGTGTCCCTAAGATCGCCATCGTCTCTCCCAATGCAGACTCGGGTGAGAGTGTAGTCGCCCGAGCAATGTCTGTTGGCCAACCCCACAAGGCCATCCCCGTCACGGTCGCGCTTGCCCTCGCAGCAGCCTCCAAGCTTCCCGGCAGCACCGTCTCCCAATGCATGAGCGCAGAGCCGGGGGAGGCAGGACTGGTCATACACCACGCAAGCGGCACGTTGCATGTCGACGCAAAGTACGATGGAGCAGGTGGGCTTGAGAGGGCGACTGTTTTTAGGACGGCGAGGCGACTGATGGAGGGGAGGATATACTGGAAGTAGTCATTTTACATTAGTCTGTAGCTTACAATACATCAAGCTTACAGGATAGGAACGTATTGGATGAATGTTGTGGTGTTCTTCTTAGCTCCACATGATCTCGTCTTCTTGGGAGTGTATTGTTACTATTACAGTCCGCTATATAGGTGATAGCCACGGTAATGTTCTCGGCATTACAACGTCCCTCTTTTGTGGTGTTTTGGCGCAATAGGCTTTCTTGTGCCGTGATAGTTACACAAACACCTCAATACATAGATCATGTTCCAAGTTGAATCTCTGTCTGAGCAATTCCAAGGCAAAATATCACGAAGGGCACCATGAAGCTTCCCATTGCAAATCCACTCTGAATATCGCCACGTACTATTGACCATGCCACAGAAAATACCAGGGCACAGAAAAAGCCAACAAGCCCACAGGCGAACAAAGCCACCCAGTCAACTCCCTCGGTGAATTGCACTCCCCATCCCACAGCACTACCCTTCACGGGACAGGGCTCTAGTTTAGCACGGAGCTTCTTGGGAATCCTCCTGTACATGGCTGGTTCGACATCCGCGTGATTGGGATGTTGGAACATGTGCATGAGCAGATTTGGACCGATCGGTGGGTCATCGGCGGGCAGGGGAGTGTAACTGTAGTTCTGCTTTGCCTCGTCCTCTCCATCTCGATCTGGCACAGATGGTTTCTCGCGAATATCGACAAACTCCTTTCTGTACAGCTCGAACTAGTGCGATAGCCAGTTAGTGTCTCTGGGTGTGATCTAATTTATCCTTTGAGCATTGCCACATCATTTTGGGACTCCTGGCGGAGCTTGGTCAAGAGTGCTGTCACAGAATGCAACAGCAACGGATAGAGCAAGACCTAAAGAAATTTCCTACCTTGACAAAATCGATGGAAGTAATTCGGCGAAGCCTTCCAAAGGAATTCCACGGCCTGGACTTACGAGCGACGGCATATTGTTCTCGCAATGACCAAAAGAAATCCTGGTCTGAGTGTAGCTTGCACGTCTCCAATTGGTGAAGTTTCCTTGCCCATCGCATGAAGGGAAGACACAGTAAAACAAACGTGTGGTCTGCCCGTAAGTTTGCTGTCCCTGCCCGACAGCAATTGAGCTCCATGTCATTTGCGCGCCGCCTGGTCCATGGAAGCCGCAGGTCTTTCTGGCGGCCATGAAACATTTGTTTCCATAGACTCAACAGACCACCAAAGGCCTTGTTGCGGTTGGCGTTGTCTGGTGTGCCCGGAGGATCAAAGTCTCCGGGCTGTAAGGTGACGGGGTATTCTCCGAAGTAGCTCACAAGGAGCTTTTCGAAATTCTTCGGAGAGTCGGGCTGGACCTCTCGGAAGTCATCATATAATCTACGGCCGCATCTCTTCAATCAAGAAGAGAATCATTAGCATTTTCTCGGAGCATGATAGTAATGGAGTGCCATGATGAAATGCATCAAGGGTAGAAAAGACAGGTACAAAGTGAGATTCGTCGAACTGACACATGTGTATCGCAACCTAGTATATCCTGGTGCCAGAGAAGGCTCGTAGAGCGATAAGACTGTGTTCCCGATGAAGGTGCTCAATGAACCTGAAAGTCGATAAAAAATACCGTTGTCCCTTGAATTCGAAAGATTGAGCAGTAGCTTGATATTTGCCTGAAGGGAGAAAATTGGACCTTTGTCGAATAAAATCTCTTCAGCTTCCTCGTACAACAAGTCGTCATCTGTTGGCCCATCGCCGTCTTCATGAGCTTCTGAGTTAGGACCATCGATGTCTGAGAGGCTCTTCATGGTATCCTTTTCTGCCGAATTGCCCAAATCCAAAGACTGAGCCTTCCGTATCTTGCGCGCAACCTGGAGTCGTGATTTGCGAACCAATCGGGCAGCAGCGTGGCAGAGCCGACTATCTGACATCTTGGAGGCTTCCATTCCACGACTCATAAGTGCCACATCTTTGGCATAGCGCTGGAGAAGCCTCTCGATGACATGGATGCACATTTCCTCTGTGTCGCAACGTTCAACAAGTTGTGGCCAGAGACAGCCCAGACTCTGATATGTCATGATGTTGCGAGTAAATGCTTCCACCGCCCCTCGATCAGCTAGGGTTGTGGCCGAAGAGATCGTGCTAAAAGCAGTCTCGATATCCGTCGTATATGTATCAACAGTTTCAGGGCGCTCACCCTGTTGGTTCGATTGATCTTTCACGTCTAAAAGGTCTCTCATCAGATCACGAGGCTGTGGCGATGCTCCTTGATGAGTATCCGGAGTATTCGATATCGGCTCATCAGTTGGATCTGCCCTTTCTGGAGTCTCGGCATGGACCTGCCGCTCGCCTTTTGCGGCCGCTGTGGTGATAGGGCCATTGGATTCCTTTCTAGACTGCGCAGTGATGGGTTCCTTCTCATCAGGGAAGCCGCCAGGATGGCCACAGGTGGTGCAGGAAGGAGTAGTGGAGGATAGCATAGCACCAGCTCCGCAGTAACAGCAGTTCCAAACAGTCACCGTGGATCTTTTCTTTCCGCCAACTGACACAGGTACGCCGTACACATGGCAAGAAGTACATGGCATTGCTTCAGCTCTCTGACGGCCTGTTGCAGCTTATTCAAGAGCGGTCAACTGGGTGTGAATACAATCCAGGTAACATGGAATTGGTCGTGATGTTGATGTCACCGCCAGCCATCGTGTTGAAAGAGGGGCTTCTTGTGTAACGCACCGGTCACGAGGACAGCCTGCTGTTTCTGCACGTTCAGGTGCATGATTCTAATCCCAAACCAGGAAAGGCGTCTGGGGTTGCTCTACATGATGCCAGCCGGGCCGAAGATGGAGTCGTAACCAATTCCATAGTATTTCAGGCTGCACTTTGCAACCGGTGTTCAAGTATCTCTCTATAGATCATGACTACTGTGAATTCAAGCACAGTGCCAGCCAGGTACTATAGGGGTTGTTTATGTATTGTTGACGTGTCACTGGAAACGCGGATTTTATCTCTCGTGCAAGGGTATTAAACACATATTTTGGGATGAGATGAACAGGGTCAGATAAGTAACTCGAGATTCACTTTATTGTAGGAAGCATATTACTTGTAGGTAAGTCTCGTGCGTCGCCATACCTATGGTATCGTTGAATACGCGTTTAGGGCCAGCTGACCACCCAGGTGAGCGTACAATACGTTGCTTCCTCCAGGAATATCCCCCTTCTTGATCATGTCCATCATACCCGCCAGGCTCTTGCCCTCGTACACGGGGTCTGTAATGAAGGCCTCCGTGCTGGCACCGAACTTGATGGCCTCGATGGTCTGCTCATCCGGAATACCGTAGGTGCCAGCATGATACCTGTCCACCAGCTCGACATCCTTCTCCGTGATGTCATCTTCGGACAGACCGATCTTTTCGGCGGTGAACTTGGCGATCCTCAGAACCTGGTCAAAAGTCTGCTTCACCTTGGCACTCGCGTCGATGCCGATGACCCTCCTGGGCTTACCCCCGTTTTTTTGCGCCAGCTTGAACCCAGCGATCATGCCAGCAAATGTGCTCCCAGTGACGGCGCACACGAGGACAGTATCAAAGAAGACGCCGAGTTCTGCTTCCTGCTGTTCCACCTCGAATGCCCATCTCGCAAAGCCCAGCCCCCCAAAGGGGTGATCACTTGCGCCCGCCGGAATGTAATACGGCTTCTGCCCCTTGCTCTCCAGGTCCTTGGTGAGGTTCGCCAGGGTGGTCTTGTGCTCGATGCCAAAGCCGCTCGGGTCCAGGTGGACGTCCCCACCCATGAGCCGGCTCAGCTGCAGGTTGCCGACCTTCTCGTAGCCGGGGTCCGTCCAGTCGACCCAGTGCTCCTGCACGGTGGCCGCCTTGAGCCCGCTGGCGACGGCGACGGCTGTGACGGCGCGGGTGTGGTTGGACTGGACGCCGCCAATGGAGACGAGCGTGTCGGCGCCTTCCGAAATGGCCTGTGGGACCAGGTACTCCAGCTTGCGGACCTTGTTGCCGCCGTACGCCAGGCCTGAGTTAACATCTTCACGCTTGGCGTAGACGTTCACTTTGCCGCCGAGGGCTTGTGAGATCTTGGGGAGGGCCTGGATTGGTGATGGCCCGAATGTGAGGCTGGACCTGGGGATGGAGGCGAACGGCTCCGGGAGTGTGACGGCGGTGGACATGTTCACGGTATTCCGCTGTCTGGTAACTGGAAATTGGTGTGGTGACGAAGGACCGGGTTCATCAAAAGTGTTCACGATGAGTGACTCGGTGTACAATTGTCTGGTTATGTACGCGACATGTCTTTCGAAACGCACCTCCTCCGATCCGGCATCGGTCCGGATGATTGCGGCCGGGGACACGTCCGTGGCATTTCGGGCCCATGCTCAGCCACTTTTGCAGTATCGGAATCCGGTTTGAACAATTTTTATGAGACATTGTACAGGACACCTATCAATTCAACATGCATCAGTTTCCCGCGGGGAACTGAACGGACTGAGCCCACGCCATCCTTCTTCCCCGCCCGCCGGCCGCGGAACTCCACCTTTATCGGATAACACGATGCAGTGACATGCATATCTCGACCCATTGTGATGTCTTGGCAGTGGCAGTGGCTCTTCGATTCCGTAGACAATCGAAACAGTAATTAATACCCCGAGAATACAGCTGACTATTGGCTTGCTTCCTGGCTACTGCTGTGACAAATCCACTTTACTCCACCAGAACTCGCTTTCTTTTCTCGCCCACTGGTCGTCTACAAACTTGGCCGTCGTGCCCAGACCACCGCCTATCAGCTCCTCGTTCCCCAGCCCAAATGCCAACGACTTCGGTGTCTCTTTATTGTATGGCTCCCATCTTGGCTTGGCTATTCCGGCATTCGGGTCACCCTTGGTGATGAAGTTGGTGACATATGAGTTGATCGTCTTGGCCAGCGCGGCCTGGTTCTCGCTCACTGCCACGACTTTGGGATCGCAGACCTCGTACCTCATGTTGTCAGCGTGCTGCGCGCCGTTGAGAACTGTCGATATCGCAGCCCACTGGTACAGGTAGACCGGGACATCCACGCTCGCGAACTCTGCAGTTTGCCGGGCAGGGGCCACGTATGCGTAGTGACCGTAGGCCGCTTCTATTCGCTTGTACTGGGCACCCACTCCGTCCCGTTCCTCCTTCCATGGGGACCGAGGGACCTTTGCAGGGTCTGGGTAGAGCCCATCAATGGTGTTGAGGTCCTCCTCGGACAGCAGTGGCAACAAGTCACGGAAGAAACCCGTGAATTGCTCTGATTTGCTCATGGCCTTGTCCACGTAGAGACTGCCTTCGTTCCTCTGGAAACCTGTCATGATGGGAACCTTGTGCCACTTTCCTTGCCGCCATGTTTCCAAAGGCGGCCTTTTGATGATTTCCCCATCAATGACTGGCTGGAATGCCCACTTCAGGCTGGGGTTGTATGCACCAAAGACTGTGTTTTGTGCGTCCTGAATCTTTTCCGATGGCAGCGATCGCAGGAAGGGGAAGATCTTGTCCTCGGGCAGGTCAGAAGGCACCCCTGCCGCAGCAAGGTAGTCCTTGAACTGTGCCTCGTGGACGGGGGCGTCATAGGGTCTGACAGCGCGAGAAGTCGGTGCACCGGACTCGATAATCACGCGGTTGTACAAAGGCTTCACGCCCTCCGTGTAGTGCATGAGGTGATGGCCGATGGAATGCGCACCAGCACTCAACCCAAAGAGCGTGACGTTGGTCGGGTCTCCCCCGAACGCCTTGATGTTCTCCTGCACCCACTCAAGCAGCAGAATCTGGTCCTTCAACCCGAGATTCAGCGCACCCTCCTTCGCGCTCAGTCCGCTCGGCAGAAATCCCAAGGATCCCACACGGTAGTTGAATGAAACGCACACAAAGGGATCCTCGGCCCAGCTCAGCATGGATGCCGTGTTGTGCATGCTTGCGGTTCCGCGGTTGAAGGCCCCGCCGTGGATGTAGACGGCGACCGGCAACAGCTTTCCATCTGGAGACGTGCTTCCGGACTGCCGGAAAACGTTGGCGGTCAGGCAGTCTTCACTGTAGACCAGTGGCGGTGCCGATGGGTCCGCCGTCAGCAGCGGCTTTCCCGGAGCTGCCGGTCCGTACTTTGACGCGTCGAGAACATTTTCAGGGCTCGGCGGGAGCTTCTTGGCCGGACGAAATCTCAGATCGCCAACTGGTGGCACAGCGTAAGGGATTCCCAGGAACGCTTCGACTGCGCGTGGACGGTGGGCGCTCTCGTCCTTGGGGTGGGTGATGCCAATGACTTTACCCTGCTGCGGCAGCTGAACTGTTGGGCGCGAAGAGTCGACTTGCAGGAACATGACGAAAGCTGGCGGTGCACACGTGATGCACTTGACGTCTGTCGATGCATCGTCGTCGTGAACTAGACCTACCTACCGGGACGTCGTCGTTTTCGGGCTAAATACCGAGTCGAGGCCGATAGACGCGATGTCGGAGTGTCGGAGCCGAACCGGCAGGAGACCGGCACCACCGGAACAACCGCTATCTCGGCTATCTGCACGATAGGTTTGTCCGCAAGGCCAGATAGCAAGTGCCGAACGGGGTTGGCCGTTATCCCCAGGCCCGAAGCCCTATCATGTGGCTCTCCAGGAACGCCCTGCTTATTCTCCGCACGACACCAATCACTTATGTAACGAGAACCTGGGGCCACACGGACAAGCATCCGAGTCACAATTGCTTCGCGGTCCTGCTGGTCCTTACCATGGACGGAACAGGGAGTCGGGAGAGTCATGACCGAGACGGTCACGTACCACGAGCCCTTTTGCGTAGATCATGGTTCCTTGATCAAAAGAGCAGTTCAAGGCAGTGCCATGCTGGACTGCCTAGGGACTCATCACAGCTCGTGAACAAAGTCGTGCGCTCGCAGACTGCCTTCAAAGCTGCAGGAATAATACAAAGATGCACTGGTAATATCACTTTTGAGCTCGTGCCTCGTTCCGCTATCACAACGCCTCTGAGATGGATGTTCAAGAGAAACCCTGCCGTCCAAGACCTATGTGGGTACCAATTTGATAACAAAGCCAGCTGACCATGCGGCCGGTAAGCCTCTGTGGCAATTCGTTGATAACAGCAGAGACTAAGAGTGATATTTACCGGATTCCTTTTCCTACATAGCAGATTTGCTGTCCTCTCAATACCATTGCGCCTCAACAGTTCTCTGCGTCCTCGATCATTCATCCTACCGCCAATTCCTCCATCATGGCGACCCAGGACGAGAAGGTGGCTCTCGAGAAGCAGCCTACCATCTCCAAAGGTGCCGATGACAATGTTTCCATCTCCCGCATCAAGTCCATCACGCAGGGAGAGATCATCGCGCTCGATGCCTCCGAGGTCTTCCTCCGCGAACACAATTATTCCGACGACTATCTCGCCGAGCTCCTAGCCGACGAGGACAGGAACAGACGTCTCGTCCGCAAGATCGACTTCATCGTCCTGCCCCTCCTCGCCGGCACGTATGTTCTGCAGTATATCGACAAGCAGGCCATGTCATATGCCGCCGTGTTCGACCTCTTCAGCAGCACCGGCATCAACCAAGAACAGTATGCGTGGTTCACCTCCATGTTCTATCTCGCCTACCTGGTCGCCGAGTACCCTTGGATGTGGGCAGCGCAAAAGACACGCATGGCCAAGATTGTGTCCGCGTGCGTGTTAGGCTGGGGAGGGATATTGATGATCACAGCGGCCTGCCACAACTTTGCCGGCTTCGGGACGTGCCGCTTTCTGTTGGGCATCTTTGAGGCTCCCATCACGACCTGCTTCATGATGATAGTCTCTATGTGGTAGGTGGTAAATAGACCCCAGACTCGGAGTGCATGGTGCTAATACTCCAAAGGTACACTCGCCCAGAACAGCCGTTCCGTGCCGGCGTCTTCTATTGCTGCAATGGAGTTGGCTCAATGATCGGCGGCATCTTGACCTACGGAATTGGACAGATCCAGGGCTTCCCAGTGTGGAAAGCCATCTTCCTCCTCTGCGGCGGCGTAACAGTCATCTGGGGCATCGTTCTGATGTTCTTCTTGCCCGACTCAATCCTAACAGCGAAGAGATTTACCCTCGAAGAAAAGGCTCTGCTCATCGCCCGCGGCCGACTTGCCAAGACGGGAATTCTCAACAAGACGGTGAAATGGACCCAAGTCGGCGAGGCCTTCATGGACCCACAGGTCTGGCTGCTGTTCCTCTTTGTGCTCTTCAACGAGGTCATCAACGGGGGCTACGCGAGTTTCGGAAAACTCATCGTCAAGGGCCTCGTCACGGATCCACTCAGGACAACTGCCCTCGGCATTCCGCAGGGCGCATTCCAGGTCGTCTGGATCCTCTCCGGCACGTGGATCGCCTCGCACTACAAGAACCAGCGGACCACGGTGATGGCGCTATACAACATACCCACCATCATCGGCGTCAGCCTGATCTGGAGGATGGACCGCTCAGACTACGCCAATAAGATCGGTGTCTTGATCGGGTATTACATCTCCGGCTCTTACGTCGCCTCGCTCGTCCTGGCGCTGCAGATGCCCTCTGCCAACCTGGGAGGATACACAAAGCGAACATCGTCGTCAGCGCTGGTCTTCTTGGCGTACTGTGCTGGGAATATCATCGGCCCACATGCATTCTTGCAACAGGAATCGCCCTACTACAGAACAGGCTGCATCGTGATCCTCGCCTGTGCTGTGGCGCAGGTGTGCGTTGCTCTTGGTTTGAGAATGATGCTGCAGATGAGGAATAAGAGGAGAGATGATGCCGCTGCGGCGACGCAAGCACAGGGAGGCGATGCCTTTGATGGTGCTGATGCAACGGATTTCGAGAATCCCGAGTTCCGCTACTTGCTATGAGCTCTACTCGGGTGAGAGCCTAATCGTCTTGCCTTATTTGTAGACGCATGATGTCGGGCTTGTGGCGGATGGGGATAGAAAACTTGAGTAATAGTCACCATCCTACCCTCTCTGATACACTTCCACAATACCTTCGGTTATCATTATTATGTGCATGTGTCATGATCCGGCAAGCAGCGCGAGCCTGAAATGTTCCCAGTAAGACGCCTAGATTGTACACCTCTAGACGAGCCAAGTTTTCATTCGTTCGTAATGACTTGTTCGAAGAGCAATGTGTGCTTTCTACTCGTCAAACATTACCCACGACATACTGTCCTCACTTGGAGAGTCCGTACCATCGTCCAAAATCGGGGTCCCCCTTGCCTCGAAACCCCTTCGCGTGTTCGACTGCTTTGTATCGGTCTTGTATCTGATCGTATAGTTGTCTTCATCCCGTCGAAGTGAGTTCAATGTGATATCAGCATCCTCGGCCTCATAGTCGTCCAACAAGCCCAGGCTAGCCAAGATCGCGAGCTGAATATCCCAACTCATTGCTTTCCAGTCATCAGTAGGCAGGACAATGTCTTCTGACAAAGCTAGGTCACAGCCTTCGTCGATTGACCTAGACGTCGACGCCTCCCACTTGCTGGGCCTCTTGAGTCTTATCACGCTTGCTCTCGTCATGCTCTTCCTCTACCGCCTTCTCAGTTCTGGCAGCCCGCCTGCGTGTCTCATCCTTGGCAACATTTTGTTTCTTCTTGGGACGGATCCAAATCATTTTCTCTGGCCTGCAGCCCTTCCGGCCGACCAAACATGTCCCAGGCGGAGGGCTATAGGAGTACCCATAATAGTGGCGACCGTCGTTTGGTCTCCAGGGAGGCGACGGTCGGTAATACGGATTCGAAAGACCGGCAGCGGTCTCGGGGTGACAATGTTGACAGTTTGGCCGATCGCAGCTTAGGCCGTACGTCTTGGGATAGAGAGGCATGGCATGGCAGATTTTGGGAATGTAGCGTGTTCCGCCGCCCGGCCAGTCAACGTCTCTCTTGAAAATGTAGCCATTGGTTTTGCGGTTGTCTGATGGCTGGTCTTCCGTGTCCGTGGACTGCTCGTGGCATGTTGCCGACGGTATGGGGTTCCAGCATGGCATTTTGGGCGGTTCGTGAACACTCAATGATGATGGCGATAACACTTGCCGGGCGGAGAGGCTTGAGAACGTGAGTGTTGTGGAATGCGTCTTGTTCAACGATGGATGCACTCCGAATCTTATCCCAATGCAGCCACCTGTGTCTAGTCCTGTCATCTGGTGGCGCCAACCGCATTTGGTCTGACAAGCAATCCCATGTGACTCACGCCGCGCATGCTCATCATGAATGTCACATCGCCGCACGCCACAGTTCTAATACGGGTACGGGAAGCTAGATTCGCGATCCTTCAACGTTGCCATATCATGCGACTCAAGACGTGACACGGAAATTCCCCGTGGGCGCTGCATTTCTACCTGGCACGGTGAGTCAACATTTGCGGAGGGAACACTAGGTCTGTTCACGCTAGGTATGGATCTTGTCTAGAAAACCCCCCATCAGGCTATTGACCGCCCCGTTACTTAAAGAGGAGAATAGTAACTTTTGAGCCCTGAAATGCCAATGTTCGGCTGCGCGCAGAGTCGATCTAGTCAGATCATTTCGTTGCTTATGCGTCGATCACCCAACCGATACTTTGTCACCAATTCAGGCTATTGGCAGCGTCCAGGGGCTTTGAATCTGAACATGAGGACTCCAGCGCCGACGATCTCAGATGAGCTGGGGCGACTCATTGGAGCAAGTTTTGATGGCCACAGATTCGCTTACGAATGAAAGCGGAGACACGGCTCATTTAAATGAATTCAAGTCTTCTATCCCCTTACTTCTTTTTAGTGTGATAAAGATAGAGTGAAATCTGCGCTCCATATTCCTGCTTTAGTTGCTTCTTCAAGGTTCGTGAAGTAAAGATATCCACTAGTACTTGAACAGTTCAGCGACGCCCGCGTGATGTTAAGCTTGGTTTTTCCAAGCGTCATATGCGCCGCTCCCAGCGAGTTCTTCAGCCCAAGAATTGTGATATTGGCGATGGGAAGATGGTCGTTATATGATCCGGATACCTTGGTCGTAAGTGTGTTCTTGGTATATTTGAGCTGTATAAAAGTCAGTTCGTGGGATCCGGCAGACAATTACGATATGTTCGACTTTACCTTAATGCTCTTTGTGGCCTTTTGGACATAGCTGATACTATCATCCAGAAACAGCTCACCCTCGGCATTACCATGCTTATCTAATGCGACGATCAAGGTCCAAGGACTTTTGCGTGAAGTCTTGGTCGTGTTGCCAGCCTTCTGGATGGGAATGACGTACCCGCCGCGAATGTGGACGGGCTGGTGCACTAGAGGGCCATCAAGCGTCTTGTTCTCGCCCGGCTTTGCGTCGACCTCGTCGAGCGTGTACCACTCATACCAGCGCGTGCCATCCTTCACGCCTGGGAATACACCATTGACCGTCGTCGCAAGCGGTTCCAGAACGGGCGTCACGAGCAACGCGGGGCCAGACATGAATTGCGTCTCCACAGCCTTCAGCGACTCGTCGTTCGGGAACTCCCACGCCAAAGCGCGCAACACCGTCTCACCCGCCGTGTGGGCCTTGCGGAAAAGCGTGTAAGTGTAGGGCAGCAACGAGTATCGGATGTTCATGATCCTCCTCGTCGATTCGGCGGTGGCCGCCCAGCGGCAGGCCTCTTGTGCAATCGTGTTCCTGTTGTTGTGGTTACGGTACAGTGGAATCCATGCCGACAGCTGCATCCACCTCGTGCAAAGCTCAAGATCGGCGTTGAAGTTGAACCCACATGTTTCGATGCCAAACTACGGTATGCCGACGATGGAAAACTGAAGGGCTTGGGCGATTCCGAAGTACATGTTACCCCATTTTGAGTTGGCGTCCCCTCCCCTGACCTCGAAGAAAACAAGTTGCGCGAAGTCGTGGCTCATACTAGTCATTGAGAGAAATTACGATCTCCGCGGACAAAATCTTGCCAATGTGAGTGGGCAGAGGCGCATTGTTGATACGTTCTTCTAGCTCTTCCGCAAACCGGATGTATCACCGGGTTACCGTACTTGGCAGCACCAGCAGAAGAGGAGTCAATGCCAATGAAAGAGATGAAAGTGAAGATAATAGGTAAAAACGGCACAGAATCTATCGACAATGCGGGCCTAGAACTCAGATGACAATCACATTCTAAATTTAACTGCGGGATTCGACTTTCATGTACTGGACTAAATACAAAGACTAAAAGCCGTACTCAGCCCATTGGCCATCTACCTTGTCTTGGATCTCTTGAGAATAGGACCCGCGGAATGAGCCATGTTTCCAGTTCAGATTCGACTCGGTGAATTCCGCGGGGAACATGCAGCAACGAACAGCCTTGACGTGGTTTCTTGTCTCTTTGAGCCCGTGACTGACGTATGGAATAAGAGGGATATTGCCATACGCATCGAAGAAGAATTCGTTCACTTGTGGCTGACACCGTGTAGCTTCAGCCCAGATCACCTCATTGAGATTGGTAGGGTCAATGTCCTCGCCCACCAGGTAGATCTTCGGGATATAGAATCCCGGCTTGGACGCAAAAACGGTCCTGCCAACCCTCTCGCAGAAGTCCTTCACGTTGGTCCGTAGTGCCCGCAGCTTGGCCCAATTCACCTGCATCGCGAACCAGAGGCAGTGGGACTTGGAATGACTCCAGACCATGTTGATTGGCAGCCCAGCTGCCTGGCAAATATTGAGCACCTTCGCTGCCTGCGTGAGAGCCTACACTGTCTCGCTCTCCTTGGTTGCTCTTTTTGCGACGCAGATGGGCAGGATGGGGTCTTTTCGGTAGGTGATGGCGTTGACGTTGAAGACAGGAGCTGGCTTGCCTTTGCCAGGAAACACGTGCCCGTGGTACTCGACGAACGGACCCTCATCGGCGGTATTTGTGCTGGAGATGACGCCTTTGATGACCATTTCTGAGTCGCGAGGTACCTAGATGTTGTTGGTTTCGCACTTGACTACTTTTACGGATTGACTAAGCAGACTGCCGATACAGCTGCCCTCGTTGATGCCCTTAGGGATGGGCATACCGCTTACCATGATGGCTGCAGGTGGGACGCTAAAGCAAAGAGCAAAAGGCGTGTCCTCGCCTTTCAAGTTGTCCTGCCACATCCTTCGGATGACGCCGATGTCTTGGGCGGACATAGTGGGGCCGACCAAAGACCGCTTGCCATTGACCATACCGCGAGTGATGGACCAGTTGACCCATGTCCCATCAGGGCTCTGCACGATGTACATGTCAAAGGTCTGAAGGTACCTCCCACCATCTTGTTCGTGAAATATTGGAACAGGGGGGGCTTCCAGGTCGATGTCGTCTCCGAAAATCTTGCGGTCCATAACGGGACCCGTCTCGAATTCCTTAGGCGGAATGGGTCCAGTTTGCTTGAAACGGTTTATGGCGGAGACGATGTCGCCTCCGCTTGCGTTACTAGGCAACCCTAGAGACTTCGCTGTGCGAATGAAACGCTTTCCGGGCAGACTGCTCGCTCCCACCGGCGCGCCCAGCACGCGGAAGAGACCATTCTCGTGGCGTCCTTTCACGTTCTCGAACAGTGGGGCTTTATGTTCGGTCTCGTATACTTTTCGGACGATGGCAGCCAGCTCCAGGTGAGGGTCGACTTCCTTTGAAATGGAAACAAGGTCATTCTCCGAAGCTATCTCCCGTACATATCGGCGAAAGTCTGCAGCCGCAAGCTGACGATCCTGAGGTGTGGAGGGCGCCGACATTTCAACAATTTCAAGCCGTGGATGTATTTGAGAAGACGTGACTGTAATAAATGTGGAAGTGTGGCTATTGACTGAGATTCTGCACTAAGCTCATGACTAGGAGAGGAAGGAAACCCAATCATTTCTTATAGAATAGAGTTGGCTCGCGAGACAAAGTGCCCCACCACATCGCTCGATGCATAGCTATCACAACGACCTTCGCCCTTGGCCGACGCCGAGATCCAGTGGGACTCTCGTGATTTTGAGAGGTGAGGTTTTGCTGGTTACATGGCTCAAAGTAGACCAGATTTCTTGCGTCACTGCGACCCCTGCGGCTTTCTCCTTGCAGGGGCAGATGGAGCCCTGAAGCCGGTGTCATTACACTCGGATTTTCTGTTAGGCTTCCATGAGGTCCAGAAATTATGATTGAATTATCAGATCTTAAGATACCGATGCGCTATTGCGTCATAAAACGAGTCGAAACTTGGCTGGCAAAGACAATGCCTAAGGGAAGTGTCCGCGTCTCGGCGTCTTCGGTCTTCACGTGTAAACTTCACAATGCGGCGGGACCCGTTTCAAAACTCGGGACTGCTCCCGTAAAACTCGGAACTGCTTCCGTAGTTAATAAAAGAGAGGGTACCCTACGAAACTCGTGGCGCGAAGGGCCGAGACCTAAAGGTTGATGTGGAATTCGCTGTTAAAATCACGTTTTGTTTGACCGAAAGTGGGAAAAAGGCCCTTGAGCTCGCCCTGAATTATTCCCGAGAGTATTTCCCAGCGCATCCCGCCAAGGAAATTAAGAGTTGATATAATGTTCCAGGCTCGAGTCAGGCACTTATTGCCATGTGCATTGCTGTTCCTGGTGGGGCAATCGCTGTCGTTAGTTCACTATTATTGCGTTACGGACTCCATACTGCATCATCGTCGTGAACTTCCTTCTCAGGCGTCTTCCAATACAATTCACTTGCACATTTTTCCACCGATAAATCTGGATGCAGAGGCTCACGATTTGCATAACTTGTTATCATAGCGACTTTGGGTAGAGAATTTAACAATTAAATTGGGATGCCCGCAGAGGTATGCTGTCTTTTATTTAAAGGTTCCCTGAGAGCTTCTTTTCGTTGTGCGTGGCATAAACCTCACCAACGGAGTCTTGCAGGATATTTGAATCGGTATTAATAACTTTAGAACACGGGTGCGCATCGTCCGTTGTCTACTGAGAAGGTTGCCGGATTTAAATTACTCTGACTGCAGCTTTTGGGTATCTCTGGCTGGCTGTGCCCTCACATCTAAAAGTCTTCGAAGACCATCAATCGCAGCTCGGTCCAGATGTCCTCGGAGCACAATGTACGCATTGATTGAAGTTCTTCTGAACTTGACGCAAGCTCCATGATGAGTGAGGCCAGAGTTATGACAAGGAGTCAAATTAAAGATATCCCTAGTTTCTCTACTCATATTCCCCCTTGTTCAGTGGTTCCAATTAGTAGCTATCTCATGTGGTGCCCTCAAGTTGAGGAACTTTCAGATATACCCTTGCATGTGGAGCCGAGGAGGCACACATCTATGACAGGATCGACTAAGTCTGGCAAATACGCAACTGTTTGCATTCGAAGTGGGCGTATGGCCAAGTTGTGAGTGCAGAACGGGCCCTGGGCACCCTTTTAGAAGACGTACGTACGTTGTATGTACGTCCCCATTCACTGTACGTCCCCATTCACTGCCATAAGCCACCAGCCACCAGACAACGGCAAGGGTAGCGGCAAGCCTTTCCTTTCAATTGGGGCTGGGGAATCCACATCAACAGAATCCCAAACCCCTGTGTAACTCCTGCTCAAGTTCATTCCCAGTGACCAGCTTCTTGACCTCGACCCTGCTGGTCCCTTTGACTTTGCTTGCCTACATCCTACAGCTGCATGCCTCAGAATTTGATGCGCGTGCCATTTTTCACCTTCCCCAAGCCGATTTTGGCTACCACTGTCCTGATCACAATCCCGATTGAGAACAGTAGCCTCTTCAACTATTTCTTTGCTGCCATCAATCCCACGTTTCACCTCAACCCTAACCTCAAAATCAATCGGCACAACACCGCGACCGTTCGACGCCACCACAAATTCGAGCCAACAGCCATGGCCTCGAAGACTGCCCTCATCGTTGGCAAGTGTTTCTGGTACGGGAAGGTTATTGCGACAGGCTAACGTGCTTTCATATAAAAGGCGCGAAACAAGGCATCGGCCTCGAGCTCGGCAAGAAACTCAAAGCTCGTGGCTACGACGTGTACGGGACAGTGCGATCCCTGACTAAGGACGAGGGGGAGCTGGGTCCTGTAAGAAGCGCGGCCGAGATTCCACGAAAGACACCTAACGCTGAGTTTCAGTTGAGAGATATTGCTACGGAGATCTTTGAGATTGATGTGTTGAAAGGAGGAGACGGTGGAGGCAGCAGCCAACGCCTGGGGGACCAAGCCGTTGGACCTTCTCATTAACGCTGCTGGTATGGCCACGCCGAGATCCACCGAGGTGTGTAGTGCTCACTTAAAACAGGTCTTGGCCCCAAGCCATTCGACTGGCAGGACCACACTGCACGACTTGACAACCAAGTTCCAGACCAATACCGTGGTGCGAAGGAATTCCGCCTCCCAAAAACCTCGCCTCAGCGAACGCCAGCTGATCTAGTCACAGGGCCCATTCCTCACCATCAAGCACTTCTACCCTGCCCTGAAACAGAGCCATCAAGGAAGAATCATCAACATCTCGTCCAACATGGCTTCTATGTCGTCTTTGACCGGTAAGTCGGGTCGAACCACTGCCGTCCTGTACCAGATTGCGCTGAACTGCCGCATAGATAATCGTCGGGGCACATCTCTAGGTTATCGCCTCTCCAAGACAGCCCTCAACCAACTGACGGTAACACTGGGCAGAGAGTTCCAGTCCCACCAAAGCAACGTCACAGTCAACGCTATTCATCCTGGCTGGATTCCAACTGCGATGTCAGACTGGACTGGGCCCGACGACATGGACACCCAGACTGGCCTCATGATCGAGACTATTGAAGCGTTTGGCGCCGAGGACACAGGAAAATATGTCAATGCACAGGGTGAGGACATGCCATGGTAGGTAGCTCCGGGGATTTGATTACAATCGATATGTGTTCCTTGGATGGACTCGCTTTCAGGTGGTCATGGAACACAACATCTACAGGTAGTCTTTGCTCTGTTGAAAGCTATCGCCTTTCCCTTCGAGAACACCAATGAGTTATCTCAACATTCCTCCTGGTGGGCGTATTCGGCGGTGCAAATTCATTCCAAAATGTGCTGTGCAGACATGCTACTAACATTGAATGCATGAAGTCGGCGAGGTGTTAAATGGTCGCCTACCCACCACGCCTGGCTCCCTGAGCACTAATCATTTCCCTACCATGAGATAAATCGCCAAGCCAATATGATGTGTATCTTTTGCAGACACCAAAGACCTGCTTTGAAAGACACTCATTGCCTTCGTCGAGACTCATTGGCTTGTGGTACTCATCGTGTTGTTCCGCTACATTCTTGCTTATAACCCCAGAGTCAACCCCTTTAATGATAAAGACGAAAGTTCCCATGTCCAAGGATGCAACGGCAAACGCCAGTGGACGCCCAACCCGGTTGACGATATATCCATTGCGTGATTAACCAAAAAGACTCAGGCGAACTGATCGTGACGCGTGGAAGAAGGCCACGAAAGAGGTATAGCTGGCTAAATTTGGTCTTTGTTTCATTTAAATTCATGGTTCAAATCAGCAGCCCAAGAGTTTTCACGTGCTAGTCAGAATGATACATCCGCGCCTCACAGGCCGATGCCACCTACTCCTCTAGATCCGCCCGTCTCGTCGTCATGCTTCTTCGTATGCGATGATCCTCCTCTTCATCACGATGTAGGTGCTCGCCCGGCAGTCTCACAGCATGGTCCAACGCGACCGGCAACCCGCGATGCCTGCCACGCAGCATCACAAGGCACAATACAAGTTTGCTGCCGGTGTACCATGCTCCGGAGAAGCTATACGCGTCTGTCGGGATCCCCAGGGAGATTCCGACCGTGCCATAAGCAGACACGACCTCGAAGATGATATTAAATACCGAAAATGTCACCGGGTCTTCCAGGAAATGCGACGTCTCTATGGTAGCGATCACCAGGACTGCCAGCACCAGCCACCAGATGTCGTGGGCCAGCTGCCCGTGAATCTGCTGGCTGATAAAGCTGATGCGGCTATTGGGGTTGTTGCTGCCGTCCAGGCGGCCTGATGCAAGAAAGTTGTCTAGCTTGTTATTTCTGTGCCCCAAGGGCGGGACGCCGACCCCGTTCATCGTAAAGGTGCGCTGGAAGACTTTCCCGATGTCGACAGCCGCGGTGGAGCGGCTCAGACGGCGCATGAGGGGTGAGGCCAGTGACAGGACACCGTTGGTTGGGTGGGACTCGAGGTCCGGGCCTCCGGCGGCGAGCTCGGGGTCGGAATCGGACCCGGAAGACTCATCGCCGCTGTAGATACCGAGAGAGCGCTCCTCGTAGACGTTAGAGTGGCGGATTGTGATCACCACGGGGTACACGGAGATGTACATCATGATCACGTATAGTATCTGCAGGCCGATATAGACTTGGGAGATAGGTACGACGTAGAACCCACCAGATCGGACGGCTATGACGGCTTTGTTAGAAAGTTGATCGTGTCTTGGGGAACACAAAGCGAGAGACTTACCGAGAGCTTGGAACAGGCCGTCAAGGATTCGAGGCCCTGTAGGAATACTCGTGATAGCTGAATTTCCGAGATTGAGAAGCTCAAACGCAACCCAGTCAACGGCATTCAACCAGACCAGCATAAAGAAAAGCCACCAGGTGGGGCGAGACGGGAATAGATTTGTATAGACCCGGCGTGGGTATTTCAAAATAAACTCGAGCGTGGTCTTGAGGGTAACATGGGAATCCTCCGCGGTTATCGCTTTTAAGAGTTTGACGCCCGTCCATAGAATAAGGCGGAGGAAGAGAGGGTATGCGGTATTGCCCGCCAGGATCATCAACCCCATCGTGATGAGGACGTAGTAGGCTCTCTGAAATGGGATCATGTTCGCATCGAGGAGCGACATGCCCGAGTTGTTGAAGGCCGAGACTCCATTGAAGATGCCGTGCCACCATGGGTTTATGCCGTTCGCTCTTGCCGTGTCCGGCATGTTGTGATTCATCCATGCGCCGAGCGCGACGCATCCTAGGAATTGCCACAAGAAGAAGTAAACAGGCACAACGACTGCAAGAACTTTCAGAGCGCGGTATTCGCACCCACCGAGATGCTCACGCTCCTCGCTGCTGAGGTCATGAAACTGGCCTTTGCGACCAGAAGCCCGGTTCCTGAGGAAATGCTGCATGGTGAAATGATCCCCGTCTTGATCCGTCGACACCTTGGCGGCGCCATTCCTGCGCTTGGGCCGGTTCTCGCTGACTTCGGACACGCCAGTCGACGTAGCATTCCTGCCTTCCTGCGGATGCGGCGTGTCGACAAAGACAATATGTCCACCAGGACTGCTGGGCTCCGGGACAGTCTTGGGTTGCTCCAGCGGGGCCTTGGGTGGTTCCAGTGGAGCCTTGGGCGGCTCCACAGGACCTAGATCCGGCAAGGACGACGCGCGCCGACGTTTTGGCATCTCCTCGTCAACTTGCGACCTATCAAAATCAGGATCGGATGTCGAGGACTCATTCTTCAATGCTCGAGTTCCGGTCGCCGGCAGGGTCTTATCGGGCGCAGGGACGGTCTTGGCCTTGCGGAATGAGATGGCCTCCCGCAGCTTCGGTAGGCTCAGCGATGTGCTGCTGCCCCGTCGGTTGAGCCTGCGGATGCGCTCGGCACGCACGATACTCTCAAAGCGCTTCTCGAAGACATGTTTGCGCGCCAGTACAGTCCAGATGGAGACCCAGATCGTGCTTCCCAGCATGATGAGGAGAAAGAGCATCGTCTGTTGCCATGTTGTCAATGTGCTGAGATTGACCGTGTTCAATCCGGCCTCGGTCATGGCAGACACCACGAGGAACAGACTATCAGTGTAGCTAATGCTGAAGGCAGGCTCCGACGACCGCCAGAAGATGACGGAGCTGATGAGACACACGACGATGAAGTAGGCATAATGGATGGTGATAAAGTTCAAGGGCGGCAAATACTTGCGAATGGAAAAGATTTCTGCCACCCGTGGATGGTCGTCAACAAAGTCTTCCCAGCGCGACATCCTGTCCAAGGGGTCGCGAATACGGTGGCCAAACCACCTGCTCAGGTAGAAGCCGGAGGCTGGAGGACAGAACGTCGCGTTAGGCGAGTCATTAAAGACGAAGGAGTATGCAATCTAAGCCTTTGTCGGCCGGCAGTCACGTGACCAGGTCCAACACAGACGGCTAGAATGAGGCGCTAGGTTGGTTATATGATCCATATGTCACTGATCATAGTAGAAACGATCAATCACTCAGGATGTATAAGGTGCGCTGTGATGTGTGCGTTGACCAGTCTCAGTGCTTCGAGCGCTGCTATCAGGCCGGCAGGTCTGCATCGCAGGCCAAGCGCTGACAAGCTGAGACGCTCTTACCCAAAATAGTCTTTCCCAGTCCCGGAACTTGGTATCTATTTTTGCCGCCCCCCCCCTCCCCCCCGGCAACCTAAAGGATGACCTGGCGGCCCGCATATGAAACGAAGGTGAACAGCAGCAAGATAGAAATTATCAATGAAATATTCAGAGTGGTTGCATCCAGACGGCTGACGCCATACTCCCACGCGAGACTGACCGTTGCACAACAACAGTTGGGGTGACACCGGTAGCCCATCTCGGGTTGAAAGGCAACTATAGCTCGGTTGACCCCATGGTGCCAGCGCAAGGAGGTGAAAGAAGCTACCGTATTTATTTATCAGGCATTATACTTAAGTTACACTTCATGGTGTAGCACCAAGACTTGGAACAAAAATATGCGTATGTGGATGAAAGGCTCCATTTGATTTTACTAACGTTTGTATTGTGTTCTTGACATAGTATGCCAGTCGTCACCGGGAATTTATTGTTCTATCATCATGCGACAAGCCGGCCTGAATCTTGTGTTTGGGTCTGCCCGCGAGGCACGAGGCACGAGGACAGATGACGCATGACGCATGACCAGCAACCCCTGCCAAAGGTCAGGCATGGGCCGGGCGTGCCCGGAGAATGGGTGGCTGGCGTAACGCGGCAGCACGACATAGAGCTGCGCCGCTCCCTGCGCTCACCCGAAACCGCGGATCCCAGTGCTGTTTTCTGTTTATCTCGCACCCGGCAGCCATGTAAATGCGGCGCGTGAACAGTGTCCTGCGCCCCCAAGGAACTTGGCTTGGGGCGGAGGATGGCGGTGGGAAGCGCGGCTAGCAGGTTCGGTCGCTGATCTCATCTCTAATTCAGTACGGGGCCCCCATGCACCGCCTTATCTCTTAAAGCCTTCCTGCATCAACCTCGGTGCTAGTCAGAACGAACTTTATCCCGTCACGTCCCCCTCTCCTTTAAGAGTTACATCCCACGCATTTCTCCTCGTCAAGCTTCGTCCTTTAATATGTACATATAAAATTGTAAGGGTACACCGAAAATTAAAGCATCAGACACGCAGTAGAGTGCACCTGAAATCCCACGATGTTGCTCGCCATCACAAACTTCAACGTTGTTATCAGCGTGGTGGGCGGCTGGCTCGTTCTGGTCGGCGTCTTCTCACACCTCCTCAGCGACGCCTTCTACCTTTCCGAAGCCCGTGAGCTCAGTTCCGCCCTGCCCTACGCTGCCGTGGGCAAAAATAATGAATTGAAATGGATGCCAATAAAGAAGATCTCATCAGTTAACACCCGCAATCACAGTTGTCTCGCTCCTGGGCGGCGTTACATTCACCCATGTCGCGAAACTGTTCAAGCCCGTAGAATATGTCGTCTCCGAGGACGCCGTCGCCTCAGTCACGCTCGACTTCAGCCGCCTCGTCCTCGGCATCCAGCTCGTCCTCGAGGGCATCCGGCTGCCCAGGCGCTACCTGCGCACCGAGTGGAAGTCGCTCGCCCTGCTCCTGGGCCCCGGCATGCTCGGCATGTGGGCGTGCAGCAGCGCCGTCATCTGGCTGCTCGTGCCGGGCCTGCCGCTCCTGCACGCCCTCGCCGTCGCCGCGTGCATCACCCCGACGGACCCGGTGCTTTCCAGCACCATCGTCAAGGGCAAGTGGGCCGACGAGAACGTCCCCGAGGAGCTGCAGCAGATCATCGTCGCTGAGTCGGGCGCGAACGACGGCCTCGGCTACCCGTTCCTCTTCATCGCCCTGTATCTTATCAAGTACGCCACTGCCGAGTCAAGTGCCGACGGCGGGACTCTGAAGGCGCTGGAGCTCTTCTTCGGACAGACTTGTGTCTACGTGGTGCTGATGAGCGTCCTGTATGGCGCGGTCGTGGGCCTTCTCGCCCAGAAGCTCCTCTCCTGGGCCGAGCGGCACAAGTACGTCGACCGCGAGAGTTTCCTCCTTTTCCCCATCGGCCTCGCCATCTTCATCATCGGAACCTGTGGAAGCCTGGGTAGCGACGACGTGCTGGCGTGCTTTGTAGCCGGCAATGCCTTCACCTGGAACGACTGGTTCCGCATCAAGACGCTCGACGACCCGCTGCAGCCCTCCATGGAGATGTTGCTCAACCTGGCCGTCTTCATGTGGTTCGGCGCAGTGTGTCCGTGGGGGAGTTTCTGGTCGTCCGATCTGATCCATCCGGTCCGGCTGTTCGCCCTCGGAGCCCTCATTCTCCTCCTGCGACGCATTCCTACCATCCTTGGCCTGCATCCCTACATTCGCCAGATCCAGGGGCGCCAGCAGGCCATGTTTGTCGGCTACTTTGGGCCCATTGGCGTCTCCGCCATCTTTTATCTCTACGTCGGCTTGGAGTTTCTAGATACCGTTTCCAGCGATGATGGGCAACGGGAGGACGCAAAGCAGCTGGGCGATACCATGATGGTCGTCATCTGGTTCTTGGTCATTTGCAGCATTGTGGGTGTCCCTATGCCGCTGATTTTGTGTGACTTCCTTTGGTTTTGTCACTCTTAAAACTAACGCCCACCAGGTTATTCACGGCTTGAGCGTGCCTTTGGCCAAACTGGGATCCCATCTTGTGGGCCTGTTCCGCCCCCGTCGAATTGCTTTGCCTGCGTGAAAGCCGATCTCGAGCTCCCCCATCCGCGGGGCCTCGCGGAGGAATGCGGCCAGCTGCCTACAGTCTTTTAAGTCTATTGATGAGAGCATCGCTCGGCATGGCCGCAAGAGGCTGGTCGTGAAAACATGTAATGTTCACAAGTACGGATTTGTGACCAGGAACTTATAAGAGACACATCCCGGCAGAATACCATAGGATGCTGCGACTCTGGCAGTCCAAGGCGGCCAGACGTAGTTGACACAGTAAATAATGGGCTGAAAATGAGGGAATTGGGGACAAGGCTACTTCATAATCCTCGGACGTTCTACCAAATCAGCCATTGACCCAATCTCAACGCCGTGGCTGGCTGTGTAGCTCCATTTAAAAGCCATATCCTCAACACCATCTTCCGTCACGTTTAACACAAGTGAAACACTAAGACGTTCCGGCGTAATTCGAGACCAAATTTAAGCAGAGGTGAGCCTCCACTCGGCAAACAGAGAGGCTGCTGAGTCGTCCAAGGGCCGCAGTGCTTCACCATGCAAGTCCGCGTGGCGCTCCTGGCAATATTTGAACAAGGCGCCATTTAGCCGACCGCCCATCGCATCCTCGCAGCAGTCGAAGCATTTCTCATGATGGCAGGATGCTTCATTGAGCACAACTTTAAGCTCCCTTAGAGACGAGAGAGATGCATCCCTCAGGTTTCGCACTCGACGGAGAGACCCTGCCCTCTTGTACGATATCTCGAAGTCGTTGGTAGAATAAAGCACTTCGGCAACCTCCTCATAGATTGTGCGACATGATAGGAGCAGTGAGTGGAACCTCATGAGTTCCCGTTTGTTCCGCCTGTCGAGGCGGAATTGAAAGCGCAAGCCCCCCAGTGCAGGATGAATGTGGGGGTAAATACGATGCCGTTTAGCGGGGGAAGTTGGAGGATTGGAGGAACTCGGGCGTCTTGTGACCCCTGCATACTTGATGGTATGATATGTGGCATACGAGAGAGCTTCAATGGCGGTGAGTGCAAAAGGAAGGTTGGAAAAGGAGGATGGAGAGCTTGGAAGGAAGGCGGCACGATGTGAAAGTTGAGGTCAGAAGGATTTATGTTTGTTGGTTTTGGGGTTTGGTTTTGGGGACTTGAACTCCGTCGACGGTTGCCTACCTCAGATTGGTTACAATAGATCTTACATAATTGCATAACATGAGCAATCCAATGGGCTGCGGCACAGCAATGTACAAGTCCTTCCACATAACCAACGTACAACTGAAGTTGCAGATCATCGCTACTCTGGGAGCCCTGTTCGCATATGTTGGTAGCATTCGGTCTCGACGGAAGGATGCATTCTTTCAATGGCTGTGACGTTTGGCCTGCCAGGAGCCCAGTGACGAGGCGCCGCTGGCCTGGAAAAGGTTGAAACAAGCCGAGGAGAAACGAGCAGTTTCGAGAAGCTATTGGTTCACACCGCAAGGTGGATGGAAGGTCTTGAGAAAAGCTGTTGGTTCATATCACAAGGTCGCCGCCTGGTCGAGAAGGCTGTTCAAGCTGTTCTGATGGCTAACCGCTGCATTCGGCCTGGATCACGACCGTTTACCAATTCGCAGCGCAGCAATCCAACGTGGCCTGAGACCCCTCCCTGCGACCTTCATTGTCCTCGACTGAAGCTGGCCATTTCTCAACGGGCACCTTGGTGTTATGCAAGGTGGGAGACGCACATATCACCTCTGCGCCATCAAGCGATGCAGGATCTTGAGTCTGCAGTTTGCTGATATGATCATGAGGACTGGGGAATCCGGAAAGGAGAGTGATGAGAAATCAGCAATATGTATTTGTGTCCCGAAACTCTCCAGCCAGTGTAATAGGTAGTAAGCCGGATACAATTCTTAACTAATTCCCATATTATTATAATCCACTTTATGTTAAGCTCGGTCCGATCAATAGTCGTGGATATACCAGTATCTGGTGACAAAGAAGTGACACCTGTGTATTACTATTCAGGTGTCCTCGTAATCTCGGGTTGAACGTACCCCTGAAGAACGCCAATACTTTCTTGCTAAACATGACCAAACCTGGGCTGATGCGGCACCCAAAATGATAGAAGGAGCGTACCTAGGTAGACGGAGGGGTAGCTGGTACCAAGATCGCAGCGTGGACACCAGGGCAGATGCCCGTGCCCCGGAACGGATGCGTTCCTCTTGCAGCAATAAGCCAGATCGGTGAAGTGGTTTCAGCACTACGCGATTAAAGAAGAGGTTAGTAAAATGTTTAGGTAGCCAGTGGAGACGAATTCATTGTAGGCGGACTCACATGAACACACATATCAGGGCAATGACCATCTCACAGTTTAGGACCCTGCAGCAGCTCGAGCCGACAAAACCACGAGCCCAATCAGACCACCGCCAAAAACGAAGCATCCCCTGGAAATGTTCATCCATTTCCACCTCTTCAATAGGCGCTCTACCTCAGCCTGATCCACCCCGTCCGTCAACTTCACCCCGTGGGAGTTATCCAGAAGCACACGCGTAACTCTCATCATGACAAGTCTTGTCCAAAGGAATGCTGCAAATGTAAGGCCTGCCGCATGACCCAAAGCAATATTGAATCCGTGGCCTGCTCCTACGAAGAAGTAGGCGGACAGACCAAACATGGTAGTACAGAAGGCGGTCAGCGGCGCAGCAATCTTAGCACTGCGTCGATAGAAGTTGGCAAAGACCTCGGTGCTTGTGTCGGCAGGAAGGTTGGAGAGCATCGGCAAGGTGAGAAATGATGAGCTGAAGTGGATGCCGGAGACGATAAGAGAGGAAGAGATTCCGAACGAGAGCCGTGTTGCCCAAGGCAAAGGGGGACTGGGTATCATGTAGTACGATGGACATTTTTTTGCCGAATTCGGAGCGGTATGAGAACGGTTTGTAAACGGTTTGTGATGTGCTTTGGATTTTTGACAGAATGGATAGGAGCGTTTTTCAGAATCTAAGTCAAGAAGACCTCAGGTAGTAGAAATTTGCTTGATCTTCGGATGTAAACTTTGCATCGACTTTTCGCCCTGGCAGCTGCCAGGGCTGGTTTAAATACACTTGCGGGCTTCATTAAGCTCCGAAGTGCATCGGCGGCTAAACAAACGGCTGACGTTGAACACCCATCAAGGATGTGCTAGTCAAGGCTGGCTGGCGGCTGTGAGCAGGTCAGTAGGGCCCCTGCAGCCCGCCTGCACAGGCCCCCTTATCGATAAGCCCCGCCTTCCTTACCACTGCAGCCCAGAGGGTCCTTTAGGGCTCCCTTTCCTTTCAGAAACCCCTAGTAAACAGGAGCACGGCAGAATGGCATGTGAAACGCCTGTACAGTCAGCGCTTCCAAGGCGGGCGAATATTTGCCTAACAAATCGCAACGCAGGGGCGTAAGAGTAGGATTACAACATGCATGCCATGAAATCACTCGACTCATCTGATGCGATCTCTATTGCTGCTTAGAAATCGTACAGACCAAGTCAGGCCGGCATGGTCAAACCCGTGGCTCCATGCACAAATTCAGTCGTCTACAACTCGTTGTCCACCTCCCTAGGCCAACCTCACTGCCGACCAAATCCCGCATTGCGCAACTTATTGTACCGATCGTAACATCCACGTTCTGTCCGGTCAATTCGTTTCTGTTTCCACACCATTAGACTTGGCGCTGTAGACATAAAATAGAGAGAGAAAGACCAGTCTGGGGTATACTTGCCGCGATGTGGTTAAACTGCATTCCCTGTCGCCGCAGCTTCCACAGGGCCACCTCTTCTTCACGAGTCCACTGCTGACCCCGTTTCTGCCGGCAAATATTAGTCGAACACTCGAGTTCCATTGTGAACAACACCATAATTTACCTTGGACCAGGGTCTCGACTTTCCGTGCAGGCCGGAAGGATTTGGCTTGTTCACCGGCTGGAAGCCAATGATAGGGAGTTCAGGGGGACTCTAAGATGGGTCTTGAAGTTAGTCGCTGATACGGAAAAAAAAAAAAATGACACCGCACATACCTCAATTGCTGGCATGGACTCATCCAAGAATGGAAGAATGCAGAGCGAAAGGCAGTTCTCGTGCGACTCCCTCAGAAACCGCTTGGCGTGGTCTCTGGCACGCTGTAGCTCTGCTTCCTCCTCGACGGCGGTGAGCGTGGTTCGAGCGTCCCCACAGCCAGGGGTCGAGCACTCAAAGTCGGGATGGCTGACTTCGCGCTTGGTCATGAGCCGAGTGGTAGAGCCGCAGACGTCTTCGGGCGGGCAGTGACCGCAACAGACCTCATCCGAGTAGATGACTTCCTCGCCCAGGCCGCTTGGCTCCTCACAGCCCGGACAGAGAGGAATGATGTGGAAACACATTGCGACGTCGAGGCATCGCACGGTTGACGGTTGGTTTCCGCGGTCTCAAACAGCTAGGATAGTTCTTGGCGACAACCAGGTAGGAGGTCCTACTACCGAGGATGACAGGAAATCGCGTCTAGTGGCACCGGACTTATGTGTCTAGTTGCGTAAGCGAGAGGCAGCTAGGCTGCGTTGATGTTGCATCCTGAAGGGATCTCAGTTTGCTAGGCTCATTGATCATCCCTTGTTGTGGTCCTCATTGTCCGCAAGGCTCGCACTCTTCTTTATCACAGTTGCCATACTAGTATCTTTGAACCACGTACAAGCAACAGTTTGGCGATGAAATGAAAATAAAATCGGGTTTTATATGATCAATGCTGTTTCTGATCAATTTTGCCCCAAGAAAACACTTTAGTAGTCATTGTGATCTGCCGATGCTTTGCTTTGAGTTTTGGAAGGCTGCTGAGCCTGAAAATGACAAACTCGGCGGATCCAACGAGGTGGACAGGCATTTTCTTTGGGCAGAAAAGTGTGCTGGGTGAATCAATCACTTTTTCCTTCGACAGTTCATCAAAAGCAGTACTTCTGCAAGTTCATAAAAGTGATATTGGCTACAAGTCAATCCAGGATTGTACTGCATTGTACGATTCAGTGGCATGCGGCGGGCCCGACGGTCCCGTCAGACCCCCCTACAGCAAAGATGTGGTCGGAAAATTACACGGCCAAGTGACATGATTTCTTGGCTTCTCATTTCCACTCCCCACTGAGCCCGCAAAGCGCTCTTGGTTGTGGGTTGTTGTGCATGGAGGCTGAAATGTTGTTCATCGCCCCATCCACGTCAACACAAGGCGCTGACGTCGCCCTTTGCTCGTAGTGTTGATTTCATCCTCCACTATCCATCTGTTCTTGTGGTCGTAGATGAGTCTCTGAGAATTATACACGACTTTACGCAAGATGTACGCATCTGCATTTTGATCTTACAAGCGACTGCGGTTCTCGTCAGTGCGCGTCACTTAACGGTTGTGCACAGGCTAGCCTGTCGCAAGAATTGATTGCTATAAGAATATTGTATCCTAGGATTAAGTATCTCCGGCGGGGTAAAATCTTCACATTATCTTGCTCAAGACAAGACCATCTATGGGTCTCCGGACAAGCCGGTGGAAATCAGGTTGTTTGGGACGTGAACAGTCTTGGTGGAAGTGACACCTCATTGAGTCTCGGAGACCGCCCGTGGATGGCTCTGGGGATTTTCTCATGGTCGGGCGAAATAAATGGGGACGGGGTTTATTCGGTAGAAGTCTTGAGTCATCTCCTTTGCCTCTGAGGTCATTTTTGAAGCTGATGGACACAAAGCCGCACCACGATCTTCCCATGTTTTCCAAGTCCCAAGCCATGCTCAACATTAATACATCTAGTGACGTGGAATCTGCCGCTCAAAATGTCATCTACTCAGCAACATTGTGGTCACACTTTCGGATGATTATAGTCGGCCATCTACGCGGTTAATGTACAGTATTCCCGAAGCCCGGCACTGATGCGATTTGACTGTGTATTGGACAACCTTGCGTAACGGCCCCGCATCCGGCCCGCGGGGATGGAGCTTAACTTAATCTCAAGCCCCACAACAGACGTCAGACCAGCTTGATAGCCGAGTAAAACTTTGACTTCAAGACAAATCCGGGGTGATTAGCTTGTCGATGGGAGGGCGGATGAGGTATTAAACTATATGGTACTTTAATTATTGTGGCTGCATGTGTTCAATGGAAACAGCTGTTATATTCTATACTTGACTGCTTTATGATTCTCTCTTCTAATGAATGCTCCTTAACTCTATATAGCCTTACGAGCGTCGAGCGCCTTTCTGGCTGCCAATCTGATGGTGGCGATGGCGATGGCGACGCTGCTAGGAACCCTATGGTCGAGGCACCTGAACCTGGATCTGGACCCAGTCCCGGTAGACATTCAAAGAATATACATGCATGACTATGCAGATCAGTTCCGCTAACGCTCTCTCATAGTAAATCCAGACCACTTCACGTGTGCCACCACCAACGACTGTCTTTTGGACCCCCCGGAGAGGCCTGTCTCGCCGATCCCCAGCACTGAAGCTATGCATTGGATAACATATGGCTGGGAAGATAGTGGCTTGAACCCATTCTCAGTGACCGACTTCGATCCATCCAACAGAGCTATGATGCCCGACACCCTGGGAAGCCCTGCTGACCTACTGCACGGGCTTCAGCACCCCGGTGTCGTCACAGCTTTGACGAATTCAGTCTCTGCGAGAGACGCAGGTGACTCTTTTCTTGGGCTCGAGGGAGATGCTTGTCCCACACGGAGGCCACCATCGACTGCCTCGGGCGACGCCGTTTCTGGTCGTCTCCCGCAAGCCGACAGACAGTGTTTACAAAGGCTAGTCGAGATCAACATGCAGTTATTTGACCGCGCGAACAACGCCAAGGCCGGGGACGCGAACCCGGCTTCGGAATCAACGAGGGATAACGAAGTCCCATCCACTGTTCATCGACCCTCTGGATTCAACAGCTTCGACGAGACTATCGTGCTATCTTTCTACCTGGTCAAGGCCCTCCAAAGCCTGTACAACCCAAAGAGCCTCAAATTGGACGAACAATCGTCTGTCCCTGTCGGCCCGCCGCTCACCCTCGACTCAGGAACGATCCTGATTATCTTCTCGTGCTACTTCCGCATGTCGGACCTGTTCATGGACAGGCTGGGCGCCCTCAGGTCTGCACTCGATACCACCACCGCTACAAAACCCACAGCAGCTTCCTCGCTCGCCGCCACCACTACACCGTCCTTCTCCCTGTCCAATGTATCCGCTAGCAATGGCGCAAGCCCCAATGGCGCTGCTCTACATCTGCCGACTCTATCCGCGTGCGGCTGCCCGCTCGAGGGATATCCAGTTCTTCGCCTCCGCATGACACTCGAGCTGGTTGAGGAGGTACTGGAAGTCACAAGTGCGCTCGTGACGCCGATTTGCACGGTATTGATAACGAGTCGCAGTCCGGGCAGAGTAGCCTGATGCCCGTGGTGTCGCCCCAGGCGTTGTCTGCACGGGAACAAGCTGTTCACCATATCATCAACGAGACACGGATGGATCTGAGGCGCCATCGCCGGGTCATGGTCATTTAGAAAAAGAAAAAGAAAAACGATCGCTTCTAATCTTCCTTCCAGCATGCGCACAGTGCAGATGCCGACCCTCGGGAGTCAAGTTCCCATATTCATGGCTTGGGGAAGATATTTGGACTGGAATGGGAAATGCCAATATTATTCAGTCTATCTTTAAAGGCCTTGACTAAACTGCAACACGGAATATCACAAAGGAAATTTTCCTACCATCAAAACACACGTATACACGCCCAGGTAACAACCAACAGAGCTAGACTAGACTACTTGATGCTCAGCCGTCTCCTGTCGAACCTTCTGTCGACGAAGGCTTGGCGGGCAGTGACGCCTCCAGGTGCTTCGGCTTCACCACCTTGTCGAGCCCAAACTCGGACGCCTCGAGCTCCGTCTGCATGGGGATCTCCGCCTCTAAGAAGACCGCGACGACGGCGACGGCCGCCAGGGCCAGCCCCACAGCCCAGACGATCCTTAGCGAGTCCGAGTACACGTTGATGACCTGGCCCCGCACGGCCTGCGGCAGCGACGATATGAAGACGCTCGAGACGTGCGAGTACGCATCGCCCCGGGCCACGGCGGCGGCGACGGCCGGCTCGGCGATGTAGCCGCTGGCGCGCGACGACATCTGGCTCTTGAAGACGGCGGAGGGGATGGCGATGCCCCAGATGCCGCCGAAGGCGCGGTAGAAGTTCCACGAGGACGTGACGGCCGAGACGTCGGCCTGCGGGTGCGCGGCCTGGATCGCGGGAAGCATGGCGACGAGGAGCACGCCGGCGAGGCCCTGTACCATCTGGTAGGGGACGACCTCGGCGAGTGACGAGTTGACGTCGAAGTTGATGCACAGGCCGAAGCCCAGCACCGAGCACGCGAAGCCGAACCAGTGCACCGGCTTGTACCTGCCGACCTTTGTCATGACGGCCCCGGCGGCGACGGCCGAGGGGATGCCGAACAGGATAAAGGGCATGAGGAGCACGCCGGCGCGGGTGGACGAGGCGAGCAGCACGGACTGGAAGTACACGGGCAGGACTGAGTGGTATTAGTATCATGTGTCGGGAGCCCTTTCGTGATGCTTTCGACTTTTCTTCTTCAAAATACGGGTTTGGGGTAGGCGGCGGAGGAGGGATCATGTTCCACTTACAATAGGTTGCCCAGTACATGAGCATTGGCTGGATGAAGACGAGAAGTATATTGATGACGCTGGTGCGGTTGGTCCAGATCCGGGGCGCGATGGTGGCGATGTCAGCCACCCAGCAGGAGATCTCGTACGCATGGAAGAGGCCCATGCCAGCGAAGCCGACAAGGAGCGTCACGAGGACGTGCCACCGCCACCGAGGCCCTGCACCAGCCGCCCGGCGATGAGCATAGCCGTCGAGGTTGCGCCGCCGCTGATGCCGCTGCCGACGACGAATGTGGCCACTGCGAAGATAGTCGGCCCTGTTTTTTCAAAGTGCGAATCAGCTACTGTATTCCTTCCCTAGCATGATACATGTTGTGGCGCTCTCGTCTCTTTTCCGGCCCAGCGTGAACCAAGCAAAGTCTTCTAAGTTGACATCGATGGGCGTTGGAAGCAACAGAGGAGGGGTGTTGACCTACATCGCCGTCCGACCACGTCGGCTAGCTGGCCGTAAAGAGGAAGAAAGATGGTCCTGGAAGAAAGGTACTGCCAGTCTTCTTCGCGTCCCGCACCACAGCAGGCCACAGTCACCCATCACAACACTTGGTCTCTGTGCAACTCACGCGGTCAGGAGGTACCCGTTCATGAACCATACATAGTTCTCTCCGGCATTCAGTTCCTCTGTGATTTTGGGCAGCGCCGTGGCCGTCACTGTGGACTCGAGAGCCATGAGAAGAGTGGCAATGACGAGGGCCGGGGAGATGGCCCCGAATCTCCATCCCTTGGCGGAGGGTTGGTCCTTTGGCAGCAATATAAAAGCAAGTTATGATGTCTAGGACAGTAGCTAGTGAATTAGAAAATACGTGGCATTTCTGGAGAGTTTACTTTCGAGCTGGACCAATGTTGAAAAGCTGGAAATTCTAAGGTAATAGCAGGCAAGTCGGTGGGGAAAAGTCGGCGATGGGTACAATATAAGTGACTCGGACGTGCTATGCGACATGTGCCTGGGCCAAGTAGACAACCGACACAGCAAGCTCCGTACTAGTATTACATCTGAACTATTCGAAAAGACAGACAACATCTACCCTAGCATCGCCGAACCTCCCATTGTTGTTCTTGCAACTCTGAGCCAATCAGAACTTAGAGCGTCGCCGAATGACTAAGCCAAGCGCCGAAACTCAAAGCCGACTCGAGCTCACTCACACGGCGGACGAGATCCTCCGCAAAATGCTGAAAACGCCATCCAGTCAGGCAGACGCCTTCTGGTTGAAGGATGCCAAGCACGCCGGCCTTATAATCTCAGGCTTCCTCCAGGGAAGGGGAAAGGGGCAGGCTGTAGGGGTAGCAAGGAAGGACAGGTTGGTGATGCTTGATTTGCCAGGGGTGGATGGTTATAGTAGGAAACCCAGGGGCTGTCTGGAACTTTCCAATACTTAATTATAGACCTGGAGTACTCGTCTGAGCTGAAGAAGAGCAAAGATGCAATGATTTCCTCGTGAACATCATGCCCCTTCAGATTCCATCAAATCATGCACCCCTTGACTCTAGATGGCATTTCGACAGCTGCAAATAAAGAAATAGCGGGTATGAACCGCACTACCCAACCATACTGAAGACATGTCATCTAGTATCCGGACATAGAGATAGGGAGGAACACAAGTCATTCCGAGATTTGTCGTTTGGAATGGTCACCAATCTGCTCCAGACTCTTCATACGCGCCATACTTTTTAATTTGATGATTCTGAACCTAGAACAAACTAATTCGCGGTCCATCGAAGATGATTAAATGAGTGTGAGCATGGGTTGGAAGCACAGTCTGTGATAAAAGAAAAACGTGTAATTGAATTGCCCAACTATTTTCTCACTGCATCCTCAGCATTCGCTTATTTTTCCCCTTGTATAAGACTCAGATTTATGAAAGACTATGATGAGATACAGAAAGCACAAGATTACGCATAATATGGCTTAGAATTTCTCAAATTTGCTGTTCCAAGGCCAGTTGACCTTGTTACATCTTGAGCCGGTTTGCTGCTCTCGTATCCTACCCAGCTCCTCCCCATGGCACATAATCTCAGGGCTTGATGTGGGAAGCCATCATGGCTTCAAAAAGGCAAAAGATAGCTCTGGCCACGGTTGGAGCCACCTATACTCCGGACCACGAGAAAGCTCGTCGTCATCATCGCTGAAGTCGGATCCCATCTCTCCATGCTGCATCCTTAAAATCGCCTCGTGGAGTTCTCGCTCGCTGGTGGCCAGCTTTATGCACTCACTTTGTAGCGCCACGTACTTCTCAAAGGCGGAATGGCACCTGGCCGGCCCATCCTCGTCGCTTATTTCGTACGCTGTAGGATCATCCGGCCTGATGATTTGGATCTGATCCAAGGCAACGTGGTCTCGAGGGGCGTCGACCATTACGATTAAGTTCTTCATGACAGGGAAGCGGAAAAAGAACTCTCGCAGTAAAGAGTTCCGCCCCACATTCGGCCCGTTGACGTACTCACCAGTCATCTGGTTCTTCTCCCTCCAGTGCAAAGCCTGCTCGAACGCATGGAGGCTGATCACGACCGAATGCATTTTCGCCTCCTCACGAGGCCCCTTTCTAAGGGAGGGAAGGTCCCAATAAATATTAACCAACCGCGGAAAATCATCAAGGAGCCAAAAGATGTCGGACGTAAGTGAAAGGCCGAGCCCCGTCAGCGCGTCAGTGAAGCAAGGCGGGTTTATGGTCTCTGGGGGCTGGTCGAGGAAACGGGTCGCCACGTGCCTACTAGCACTACTTACCTCCAACAGGCTCCGGGCGACCACGGGCGGGTTCGACGCGTGTAGCTGCCCTGGGTTTCCCACACTGAATCTCCAGCCGCGCAAATCGGGATAGTCCGAGTCGTCGAGTCCGACTTCCTCGATACTCATGAGTACAATGCGAGGTTCTTTGGTGGGTGAAATGAACTCTTCGAAGATCATGAGCTGTATTTCCCGAGGTAAGGATTGAAAAAGGTGAAATATGGTGGACCTCGTGGTTGTTTGGCGGCCTTGCGGAAGTTTAGACAGCGATATATCGCAGTCGGCCGGTGGATGATAGTTCGAGACTGTGTGCACGGGCATGATTCCTTTCGTTCAGTGATTTCTTACCTGTTGATAAAGTTTCGGGGATACTAGCAGTTGTCTTTGCAATGATGGCATAGGACCGTTTTGTGGCTGTGGGAATTAGATACGACTTTATGCATAGCAGTTGTGCTGTTCTTCCGGACAATGCTATTCACTGGCCCATTCCGGGCAATGGTTTCTCCTCGTGTCATATCAAAGGCACGGCTAGTCACGACATAAAGATGCTTGAACTCACTTCATGGCAATAGATACATTCATTCATTGTCACTTTGATATTTCGTTTTACTTTGCTTTCATTGCTTTCTTCACTGAATTGCCCCCTGTTTGCGGGGAGAAGTGAGTCAAACAATTACTAAAGTCTCTAACAAAATATACTCAATCTAAGCAATTCAATCAATAATCAGCTATAACCTGAAGAATTTAAGATCTTATTAAGCATAAATAGGGGTCTTCCTAATTAGGAAAGAGATATTATATCTAATTTATCTATCTTCTTTCGTCTCGCTTGACCTCGTTATCTCCATGCCCGGCGTTATTGTCAACGCCAGTTGTCTGCACAGAAATCACACAATCTCGAAGACATCTGTAACTTCCTTTCCCTTCGCTGTCTCAAAAGTAATCCCATCCATGCCTCCATGCATGTAGCACTCGCCAACAAGCAGATACTTGGACCCCCGCCGTCTCAAGCAAAATGGCACTTTGGCCCCTTTAAAAATACACAAAACATCACCAGGTATCATCGACTTTGAGCCGAGCACGTAATATCCATCCCTAGTCAGGGCGAAAACTCGGTTGCCTGACGGCCCATTGGCGGCACGAGCCCATTTGCCTCCATCTCCGGCCTCCGCGGCCTCCTGCAGCCCATCCGAGACGCCAAGTGACATTGCTGCTGCAGCGCGATATATATATGCCGCGCCATGCGCCAGGGAGAACAAGACCCTTCAAATAGGCTCTGAGGTAGGCACATGCGCCATGCCCTAGGAGTCAAGATGGGAGCCAAGGAGATTCGCGGTCTCTGCTCGCTATTTCAGTCCCTCCACATAGATCATGACAAGAACCAGCTGCGATTGATAGTCAAGCTCACGCGCATCTTGCGCACTACCAAAATCAACAAGATTCGACAATTCAAAAAGCTTTTCGACTCAGAGAAAGTCAAAGACGATGACGAAAACGTGATGTTGGCCGAGGTGGACCGTTCCAAGGAGACGACATCAAACGATACCTCCAACTGTCGCGTTCGGTGCGCACGAAGAACCTCAAGGAACTGAGTGCCTACGCAAAACTTGAGAGACTATGAAACCCAGGATATCGGTAAGCTCAAAAGGCTACGGAATGAACAGGAAAGTGCAGGGAGAGTTCGCGGTCTAAACAACAACAGTATGTTAGGGGATGACTTGTATGACTCGAGAGCCGCCTTGTCTGACAACACGAGGGCAAGGTCAGCAGATATTAGCTACAATGAGGACTGATATTGTTTCATTAGGGTGTAGTGCTTGTCTGGAGGTAAGGTAGTTCTGGGTCACACTATCACAGAGCTTCCAAGGGCATCGCTCTGAAACCACAGTCTTTACCGTAGGCAGTCAACCAATCCACAATCTTTTAAATCAGCATTCGTTGAGTATTCTTATGCCCCGCTGCATCGTCAGTCGCTTCGTGTCGCGGTGTCGCTCAAGTGCTCGCTGATTCTGCATGCAAGGTAAAGTGACGATGCTCACCTAGCCCACCTCCGAAGAAACTCCCGAAAAACTCCAGGCTTGGCCCCGGATGAGCCGACCGCTCGGCCATCACCCGACGGCCTGGGGACGGTGCCACTCCTCCGGATTCTCCATACCCCCGGTCAACCTGTCAACAATGACCACACTGCACAAACCTGGGCTGAGAACTTTATGATCTCAACCCTGCCGGTGACCGTGTTTTGACGTGATCTGGCCCGCACTCGACTGCAAGTCCTGTGTCAAGACATCAAACATTTTCTGAACATCTCGTGGAATTATGCCCTCGCCCACTTTCCACCCGGCACTGCAGCTGAAGTCGTCGTGCGGGGACGCGCCGTCGGACCGATACCACACTCGCCATGTCATCATCGGCGGAGGCTGTCTTGGAGAACTGCAAGATTCTGCCCTAAGACCCGGTCTAGTGAGGGCCCAAGACGCAAGTGAGGTGTTCGTCTTGTTTTTCCCTGCATCCCCACGCATAATCCCGCCATTTGCAACCCCAAAACCGGGGCGCCGGGTCTGGATGCTACTCTCGCGCCGAGGAGTCTGTACATGCTACGTCAATGGCCAGTCTCTTAGCTAGCTTGCGCAGGCTCCTAATGGCTTCACCTGATGCTGATTTGATCGTCATATGCAGGTGGCGTGAGATGTGCCCCAGCTCGTAGGCATCGCTGCAGTGTTATTAAAGGGCCTGCCCTCGCAGCTCAGGATGGCTTACGATGCTCTTTAGGAGCCTCAGCCACCAGGCGTAAACCCTGGCCAGTAAAACTCACCCATCACTATGAAGTTCACCGTGGGAATAGCTTCAACGGCCCTGGCAGCCACCTGTGCTTATGCGCAGGATGTGCCCACCTACGTCAACCCAGCCGTGCCCACCGGTACCCCCATTCCGGGAAACTACACCGGCCCCCTCAGACCTCAGGTTCACTTTTCACCCCCGGAGCACTTCATGAACGACCCCAATGGCATGTTTGTCGATGCAGACGGCACATACCATCTCTACTACCAGTACAATCCCACGGGCGTCGTCGCCGGAAACCAACACTGGGGCCACGCCACAAGCAAGGATCTCTACCACTGGGAGAACCAGCAGATTGCCCTCTTTCCACCTGAGGAGCGGGTCTATGTATTTTCCGGCAGTGCGGTGGTGGATGTCAATAACACGTCCGGTTTTTTCCCCGACCAGGACAACGGCGTAGTCGCCATGCTCACCCTGGCACGTTACTACGAAGACGGATCAGCTGGTCCACAGGTTCAGGCCATCGCGTATTCCCATGATGGCGGCTATACGTTTGAATATTATGACGGCAACCCCGTCATAAATAGCACAAGCACCCAGTTCCGTGACCCAAAGGTAATCTGGTACGAGGATCACTGGATCGCTGTCGTCGCTTGGTCGCAGGAATTCGTCATCGGGATATTCACCAGCCCTGACCTGAAGACCTGGGAGCACGCCTCCAACTTCTCCCACCACGGCCTTCTCGGCGCTCAATATGAGTGTCCCAACATGGTGAAGATCCCCGTGCGTGATAGCATCGGCGGCGAGGTGGTGGACGATGCGTACGTCATGACCATCTCGCTGCAGCCTGGCGCGCCCCTGGGCGGATCAGTCACGCAGTACTTCCCAGGCTCGTTCAACGGGACTCATTTCGAGACGCTCGATGATGCCACGCGCCTCACCGATTTTGCCAAGGACAACTACGCGGCGCAGTATTTCTACGGCCTGCCGGATGGGAGCAATGCCATCAACCTTGGCTGGGCGTCAAACTGGCAGTACACTCAGCAGGTTCCGACAGGAAACCTCGAGGGCTGGAGGAGTGCCATGACCTTGCCCAGGGCCAACTACCTCACCAATGCGCCCCGAATTGGCTGGGTCGTCGCCAACGAGCTGGTTGACCCGAGCCCTATCCTCGACACGCCGCTGAACACGACCACCTTTGAGGGCAACGGCTCCGTCGAGGTCGATTTCTCCTCAGTCGCCTCCAACGCCCTGTACATCGAGGCCAACGTGACCGGGCTCAACTCGAGCACCATCACCGGCTCCTCCACGCTGAACATGACCTTCACCTCGCCTTCGTCCGAAGAGACATTGAGCTCCGGGTACTACTTTGGCGGCGACCAACCCTTCTTTGTCGACAGGGGGGAGATCGCAGGGTTCGATAACATCTTCTTCACCGACAAATTCTCTGTGGCTGATGTTTGGAACACCTCATCCGGCACCTGGCGCGTGCAGGCTGTCATAGACAGGTCTATTCTCGAGGTTTTCCTGGATGGTGGTGTCCACGCAGCCACTGTTCTGTTCTACCCTGAGGAGCCTTTGACTGTTTTGAATTTGGGAACAGCCGATTTGCCAGCCGGGGTGGAAGTAAGCGTCGCCATTTGGGCCCTGAAGAGTGCCTGGGCCGAGTACGAGGATGACCAAGGCATAGTGGCCGGCAATGTGACCGACGCTGGCAGTTCCACGAGGCGAGACATGGTCTACGAGGCTACATGGCAGACATGAAGCCACCAATTAAATGAATACTCAATACACTTTCCTACTTAGTACAGCAAATTCAACTGCAACACAATTTAAGATTTCTGTGAGACCCTCTGCCGTGTCCGTCGGCGCACTGATCCGAACGTCACGATCAAGGTTCATCCCTCGTCTAGCTCGAAGTCATCCCATGCTACGTCGATCAGCACTGCCAAGAGCAGCTGAACGCCATTTTACCTAATAGGGCGGTGTGTGAAGCATGTCATGTTAAGCTTCAATCCTCTCTCGGGCCACACGTGCCTCCCCGGTGTCTTCGATCCACGTGCATGCTGCGTGCAGATATTGCAGGCTCACTCGAAAGACATGAGCTCCCGGGATGATACTGTATCCTCGGGTGTCGGATTCACCCCTGGCGCACGCCAAATCCGACGGCTGACTCTCCTCTCACTCGAGCGGGTGGCCTCGTATTGGCTGCAGTGCTACCTTGGCAAACCCCGTACCTGACCTAGTGCGCGCCTCTACTGCTTACCTTTAATATCCATGGAGAACAGGTCTGTCAACCCGTTTCTCGTACAGTAAGCCGGGCCAGCCATGTCGAGCATTAGCCTCAATATTGAGATTACTCCAGATGCAGCGATAGCATGACCGCCATGCAGCTTGACGGGTTTTCCACGCCGTCCCGCAGCCCTTGAGAGTGGCGCCTGATGATCCTCCGCCTTAGGCAGTCCACCACCAAGTCAGCTTGAGCACTGATTAGGACTCAATACGCGTTTCTATAAGAATCGCTGATCGCGGCGATCACTTGCGCCCCTTTCTACTCTTTTAGCTCAAGTCCCGACTCCCGTCGACTTGGTACCCGTTGAGACAAGGACCGTCCACTTGCAATTGCTTGTTGAAAGCCACCATGATCCGAGCAACTCGTCTCTCGAACCTCCTGGCCGTGGTGCCCTTCGTGGCCGGAGCCATACTGGAGACCAGGCAGGGCAATGCCACCACCATCCCCTCCAGGGTGGAGAGTGGTATCGCGACTGAGTGCAAGACATGCCCTTACTCGCTCTGCACGAACCAGCTCGCGTTCGACTATGGCAACGAAATGACGCTGACCTGTTGGACCTATGGAGACAATATTGTCGATTCCAAGTGAGTTGTCGATCCTCTCTATAAACAGGCTTTGCTAATACTGGCAAAGCATCTGGCTGAGGACCACGGATGGCTGCTATGTCACCCAATGGGACATCATCGAGTACGACGGAGACTGTAAGTCACAACCCAAACGAAGACCCACTGTTGCGAAGTGAGTGTTGGGGCACAGGACTGAAAAGATGCGTGGCTCCGCGCAGATACAAACACGCCGGGTTTCCCCTACTGCGGTGATATTCCCCAAGTATACACCACCGGCCCTAGCGCGACAGTCTACTACACAGAGTGCAACATCATACCACACTTCACCGAAAAGCAAGACCACATCAAGATGTACAAGACCGAGGTAGACCTCACGCTCACTTGCTACACGGACGACGGCGACTCCGTACTCGGCAACTCGTAAGTGAACACCAAACCACACGAGGTCAACACTTGCAGAAAACAGCCGGAGCTAACCCGCCACCGCAGGAGATGGTTCAGGACCCTGTCGAACTGCTACGTCCCCGAGGCCCAGATCGAGTACGTCGACAGCGGGCTCGACGACTGCGGCCCCATCCCCTTCATGGAGACCAAGATGCGCGACCCGGACCCGGAGCCCACCCCCGAGGCGGCATCTTTCGCGGCCGCGGCGGCGGCCGGCGGCGCCGTGCAGGCCCGCGGCGAGGAAGCCCCGCCCGGGGGCAGCTGGAAGCGGTGGCTGTACCTGACCCAGATCGGCGCCGACTCGGCCAACTGCACGTCCGAGGCGGACGGCAACTCGGCCGTGCAGCAGGTGCTGCCGTTTGGGAACTACATTGTCGTCCAGTGTGCCACGTTCGGGCCTAATCCTGAGACTGACCGACAGTGAGTCTTTTCCCCTCTCTTTGTCAATTCCCTCAGGGAGGCCGTGGGAAAGAAGAGAGGAAAAAGAAGTCATGGACACAAAACATTAACGCTTACCCACCTCCCAACAGGATTTACTTGCTCACGGATGACTTTTGCTGGGTCAATGACAACCTCGCAGATCCTCAGTTGATTGACAGCGAGATTCGATGTAAGCATCTCTTTCCTCTGGCAGAACAATGGATGAGCCTCCTCACTGACCCGGCTCAGCCCAACGCTATCCGAACTGCAACGAATTCGTCGACACCGAGGTCTGAGTCGAGGTTGTAATTGCGTGTCGTGGGATCGCAATAGTGCACAAGGGTTTGCCAATGTATTAGTACCTAGGTAGTGACCCGAACAGATTGTAACCCGCAGTGCAGTGTATCTCGACAGTCTGATGACAGCCCAGGTGATGTGACGTGTTGAAAGCCAACTGAGTGCGTTATGCTTGAGGATAACCCACCTGCGGTTGGCGTTGCTCTCTTCCTTGCGATCCAAGCTACAATTTGAGCTGAGCGTGACTCTCTCAAACTCATCCCTCCTCATATCAGGTCTGAGTTGACGACGACTTCACACGTACCATGACTCTTCGAGCACGCAATGGCCTACCAGCTGACAGGCCTTTTGTTCTCTTTGAGATCCATACGCAAGTGAGTTAGATGGATGTGTCTCTAGCAGCTGTTGGTGTGAAGATGGAAGTATTACCGGTGGCACTTTGTTGACATGAAACTCCAACTGTTGATTGACCGCTGGATGATGCCATTCTGCCAGCGACGTACAGAGGCTATCTGATATGAAAAGAGACAGACAAAGGAAGTTTTGTCATGACGACGCCTGGCCCGCAAGCCCTATACCACTCGTAAGGAAAATTCCCATTCGGCCGTTATATTACTAATCATTCTCTTTCCCTCTCCCGCCTCCTCACTTCATCAATCTTTGCTGCTATGGGGAAATAGCAAGCTCGACCGTGATCTCCGAAACGGTCGGGCTCGTGCCGGCCGGGATGGGCTCCGGCACCTTGGACTTCCACGCCTCGCCCAGGGCGAGCTCGTACACCTCCAGCTCCCTGGGGGGCCCGCCGCCGAAGAAGGGGATGTCCTCGAGGATGGACTGCATGCAGCTGTTGAGCTCCGGGGTGTTGCGGGTCGAAGTATAGACGATGCCCAGCGGGGCGAGGATGACCATGATGCGGTCCTTGGTAGTGACCAGGTTCTTGTACAGCGAGGGGATCAGCCGGAACGCCTCGAGCGCCGGCTGGCAGATGAACCTGGCCTCGTCGGGGAGCAGCAGGGGCGTCGACGGGTGCCGGGCGGCGGCGTGGCGGATGTAGTCCATGTCGTCGTCCGACAGGCGCGAGGGGTTGTGCGGCTCGCCCATCTCGAGGAGGTCCTCTAGCTGGAGGAGGTAGAGGAGGGCGGCGTTGTATGTCAGCATCTCGAGGGCCTGCTGGGTGGTGTTGAATTCGATCATGGTGGCGAGCTGTTCCCTGAAGACGGGAGTCTCGATGCTGTCGAGTTTGAGGTTGGATGGGACTTCGCGGGCCACGTTGGGGTATTTTCTGTCCCATTTCCACCGCCAGGTTCCCAGTTGCTCCCGCAGTTCACCGACCTTTTCGTGGAACGAGGCCCTGGTTGTGGGGGATATTGGCTGCTCAGAAGCGGCCATGTCGTTCACCAGCCCCGGCATGTCAGCCATGATGTCGATGAGACTGTCCAGCGCCGTCTTGGGCAGCTTCTCCCACGGCACGTTCTTCCATTTCTTGTCCTCGAGGAACGTCCTCCGACGGATTGCAAAGGACTGACAAATCTACGTCACAGGATCAGACAGAGGTATAACACAACACGTCAGTAATGAATGACGCAACGTACCAGCAAAGCCCTGCATGACCTGAACGCAGTCAGCAGAGGATCCTCCTGGAAAGCCTCTGGTCCACAGTGCTTAAGGATCTGGGCCACGCCGATATTATGTATCAACCGTAGGTCACGGTCGATGGCAAACTGAGAAGATGCCCCGAGTCAGCCGCCGCGATTCGCACAAGGAAGAGAAGAGGGGGGGGGGGACAGGGGATATTGTGGGATCAGAGCCGGTGGGGGCGAGCTTAAGTTCGGTACAGCATAAGGTGTGGACCAACAAACGTACAGAGTACATGCCCAGTATCACAATGGGCACACACAGTTGGGCGAGCTCTGTCTTGGCCCCAGGGCCTCGGGTCAGCAGGGACTGGACCTCCCTCAGGCTGCGGCCGTACAGCTCGAGGCCCATGGACTTGAGGCCCTTGTCCGAGTTGCCGGTGCCCATGTGCCCGTAGGCCAGGGCCAGACTACACATGCGGCTCGCCGTGGGGGCAAGGTCCGTCTCCCTCGCTAGGGAGAGGAACGGCTTCCAGAAGTAGGCCCAGCCGTAGGTTGCAAAGAAGTAGCTGAAGGCCATGTGCTCCTGAAACGCCGTTAGGTTCATCTCGGGCGGCGGGTCGAGCCGGCGCCGAGCCTGCTGCTGCTGCTGCCTCGTGCGCCGTGCCGCCCAGGATCTTGTAGCCGCCCCCGTAGCCGCCATCATCGTCGTCGTCGGCGCCGCCTCCGCGACGTTCCAGGGCCCGGGCCAGGCCGCGCCTAAGCTGGTGTAGGGGCGGAGGGGCGGGCCCTGTGGTTGTCAGGCTTGATGCAGGGGCTGCCGGCGGTGCTACGATGCGGGCTAGCCGTTGGGAGCCCTCTGGTTCGGTGACGACGACGAGGGATTGCATGCGCAGGCCGAGGTCGTATCCCTTGCATGCATAGCCGGACTTGAGGCACCGGAGACATGAGGGGCGCGTCCGGTCTGTAGTCAGGGACACAATGTGACGAGTCAGCGGCAAATCGAGGCACAGAATCAGATACTAGACCGGTAGACGAGATGATGGACAGCCCTCTCCTGAGCAGCGTGGGATGGCCGACAGGATGATGACGGTATGCACCTCCCCCCCCCCCACCACCCCCGAGAGGACGTCAGATTAAGGTGTCCCATCAACATCCCCTCCACCATCCCGGCCTCCTCCTGCTGCTCCTCCTCCATCCCCGTGGGCAGACGCAATACGCACCGCACTTTATTCGTCGCTTCCGGCAGGTGTGGCAGTACCCGCTGGTCGGCGGACGACCCATTTGGCCTCGGGGAGTCGCCGATTTGCCCGGGACAGGCACACCCCAAGCTAGACGGAGGTCGAGGGCTCTAAGCTGTCAGAGAGAAGGTGCCGAGAGCGAGAACGAGTCGCCTGCTAACCCGCTCGGTGCCAGCAGCAGGTCTGGGAACAGCTCGTGGCTTCCGCTGGGTTGACTCGCAGATTGGCGCGCCAGGAGGCCAGAAAATGCGGAGTGTGGACCCAGCTCGTCCGCTGCCGCTCGACTTTGGATGCCCGATGTAGAAAAGCTCGGCCGGGCCAGACCAGGGTCGACCGTTCAAGACTCGAGACGACTGAGATTGGGTTCGTGGGGAATGTTGGTTGTGGATCGGGGGTGGGTGTTGGTCGTTGATGTCGCTGGTGCTGTTGTCGGTCTAAATATCCGGGGCACGTGTGTTGTTGTTGTTGCTGTTCTCTACCACCCGTCGATGGACACGCAAAAAGATCATCCCCCCCTTGCTGTGGCAGCTGTGGCTGTTGAGGACGGCGAGGACGAGGGACGGGGGCTGACGGCAGGTGCAGAGAGGGGGGGGTGTAATATCCGGGCAGAGTAAGGTCTGCTCCCCAACCCGGCACTCCCTGAATCAGGACCCCAGCAACGCCACCCAGCACACGGCAGAGCTGGCCCAGGGGCTGGCCGACGTGGTACTGGGTGTGCCACGGCATACATTAGGCCTCCCACCCTTGGCGGCTGTCGGCTCCGACAATGGCTCCGCTTGCTCCGAATGGCGAATGGGCTCTCGGCATCTTGGAGGCCCTTTTTCCACGGACAAGCTACTTGCAGTGGATTGGTCCGGGTCACTCTGTAGATGTAATGCGGTGTGTATGTACTAGACTAGATATGTATGTACGATGTAAAAGGCAAGTTTCCACGACTTCTATGCTGTTCTGTGCCGCGACGTTGACATCACGACATCACGACATCAGACACCAAAAATATGAAATCAGAAATCACAGTCTATCGCACAGGCTCTCCAGCCATACCCTTTCCTCCGGGAGCAGGTCTAGCTCCGGCGGCACCGTGATGCCGTGTTTCGTCACCATCAGCCTGCAGTCTTCGTCGTGAGAAGTCTTGCACGGCTCGAGATCTGCAGAGTCACCGCTTGCATTCCTGTCCTTCAGCGCTTCGGGATCCGTGCCCCTCCCGGCACGAACCCTACGCCGCCGAGCCCAGAATGACCCGACTTCCTCCGGAGTCCACCAATACACCGGGAACCGCCGCTGGATGTTGTTGACTATGAACGCTACGACAAACATCACAGCTGCGCTTAACACAACCATGGGGACAAGCAACCAGCCGATGCCCGAGACGTCGTCGCTCGTCACGCCGAGCAGTGCCGTCGCGCCGGCTGGCGGGTGCATGGTCCCGGTGAGGGCCATCACCAGTATCGAGGTCGCGCAGGACAGGGCGCCAGCAAGCCAGCGAAGGTCCTGGTAGCGGGCGGCCGAGAGCTGGGAGAAGGCCGTGTTCATGGCCACGCTGATGGAGCTGGCGATGAGCTGCCCGAGCAGGGCATTGCGTGGCTGGGAGAGTGGCGAGTCGATGGCGTAGAACTCGAGGACGGCCGCCGCACCCTGGCTCGTGGTGGTCAGTCACTGTGGGAAGAAGAGAATATCCGGCCAGCTTTGGGGCGCTCCAGGGGGGGACTCACGAAGCTGCCGATGACGAGCGGTGATCCGGCTGACTCGAAGGCCGGCACATGTCTGTCGATGATGGATATCAGGGACAGCGAAGCCAGCGCCCCGATGAAGGCCCAAAAGCCGAGGGCAACATTTCCCAGCTGCGGTCGTGAGCGCCTATGGCGGTCGAGGAGGCGCTGGACACTGCCGGGTAGGAGCCTCGTCGGCGGTGGTATCAGAAAAGGGTTGATGTATTGGTCAAAGTTGACCTGCCATTGAGTCGGACGGAGCATATGCGTGCTGGCGACGCTCACTGCCGCGCTGCTCCTGTCTCGTCAGAAGAGTCTCCGGGGATTTAAGGTGTGCGTGTGCGTGTGCGTGTGCGTGTCCTAATCGTGTTGTCTCACACGAATTCAGGACCGTCGAATTGGGAACAACGTGGCCTTCGAACCCAAGGTAATGGTCACTGGAGGCTCCTGCGGATGAGAATGGACTGTGCGCCAAAGTCTGTGAGGAAGGCGTGGCCATGTGGAAGACTCTTGTCTTGTACTGTTACTTACGGCGCCTCGCGCCTTCTTAGACGCGGGACGGCCTCGACTCGCCATCTTACAGTGCGGTCTGGTGCGTCTGATGTTCCTGGCGCGGCCAGTCACCCGTGTGTAATGGCCCTGCATCTTGGAATGGCAAGAGTCAGAATTATGTCGTGACCCAGGAGGCCGTTTTCTTTACGTGATGAGCAAGCAGAACAGCGTACAAACGGGCGTCATATTAGCAAAGAGAAACTACATGGAACCCATCCCTTGTCATCTGACAGCTTTAGCCCAGACCTTTAAACAGACATCAAGGAGCCGGGAGCGACTCCAAACGAGTGTATCTCCGCGGAGGAGGCCCAAGTCGTTACCCGAACCCTCCGCCGCAGCACAACAGGACAACCGCTTCGTGGCTCGCCTTAAACAAGAGCACACGACTCGTCAGGGCGATCGGTATACTGGAGACTAGACAGAGACGGGAAGCAGGTCGGAATGTGGATAGAGATCAGCCGGTGTTGATGGGCTGTGTTGTGTTCTGTTGTGGTGGTGAGGATTGGGTGATGTCACGAGACCCAAGTCTTGGTCTCACAGCATTTGGAGGCTGAATTCAAAGGGGTACCGGGGGTGGAGGACTGTTCATAGGGGAGTTGGGTGGTCATTAAGCCAACCTTGGAAGTGGTACCACAGGGATGACAAGGAAACAACCGGCGACAACTACTCATATTGGCTTTAAATATGTCTTGGATCGCCTTTGCCATATGCTCTGATGTTCTCGCGTTCTCCACTGGGATAGCATCGTAGCATCGATTGTATGCTGTGGTATGGACAGCTCATATAAGCTTGGCTTGACCAGTGTTCGGAACATAGGAACCGACCTGGCAGCGCTGGGCCGCCTCCCCCGCATACCAGGGCCGACCCCTTTCAGTTCCACACTCATTATGGCTGGGCAGGGCTGATGGAATGGGACAAATGGGTTAGGGCGAATATGTCTGTTTCTCATTTGGGACACTCAGGAGCTCCGACACAATCGACCCCGCGTTTCCTCCCGCCGTCGACATGTCGGGGTCATCGACGTCACGAGCAACAGGGCAGAGCAGCCAGCCTCTAACCGCAAAACCTCTTCAGATCCAACAACCAAAGTGCATTTATATCCTGCGTCTTGTTGAAACATGTTCACCCTTTCGTCAAACATCTCGCCCCGCGCCAGTGGTGTAGTACGCACAAGCAGCGGCTGCGGGCGGCTGCCGTTCAGCACAGGTCACGCGTTGCGTTACGGGGGCGGGCCTCTCTTCAACCTCGGCGGCCTGGGCGCTTCACGAGAGGCCCAGTATCTCTCCAAGGAGCGCGGCATCCCGCGCACCGAGTACTCGGCCAACATCCACCTTATCCGCTCTAGCGAGGTCGACCCGTTCGCGCCGGCCCCCGGCTCGACCCGCACCGCCGCCGCCAGGGCAGCCGCTCGGGCTCAGGCCGAAGCCCACTCCCAGCTCGCATCAGCTGCTGTTCCGAATGGCAGAGCCGCCCCCGATCCCGCGGCACACGGAGGCCTGGCAGCCATGGCTGCCCAGCTGCAGGCCCTGAGGGACGAGCTCGCCGAGACCAAGAGGGTCTTGCGGGGGGTGCAGGCCAGACGAGAGAGACCTGGGAATTCCATGGCCTCCCATCTGCTCAGCACCGCCATCATACTCACTCTCATGTTCTTCATTGGCAAGGACGTAAGCCAGAGGGTCACAGGGCCGTCAAAGCCTGCAGACAGCCTTATCGAGGCACACCCCCTCGCCGACGCAGTCGACGAAGCAACAGCGCAACGCCAGAGGGATGCACCCGTCGAGGAACAAGCCCTGGCTGAGTCTGGACTGACATCTTTCGAAGGCGAGCCTGCCGTGCTGGGAAACTATCCAAGGAGATCTGTGCTGAGCGGCCTCTTCTGGGCCAGAACATGATGTGGGCCGTGTGGTTTCAAAAGGTGGCTATCAGCGGGTCAAGGCCACGTATCGAGACGTCCAGCGAGCCCGATCGTCCTCGCCACGGGGCGGTGACACAACACCATTCAGGCTCAATCATGCTGCTCGACGGTGCACAGAAACGGCATTGGGCAAATACGTTTTTGTTGGACGGGGTGCTTTCCTTTGGGCCGGTTATTTGAGCAGTCTAGGTCGGCTGTTCCTTTACGCCGAAGCAGAGCTTTATTGCCTACTGCGAACGGCACAAATGCCTGACAGCTGCAGGACCCCAGACTTCCATTGGACCCTGGATTTCCCGCATCTATGGGGTCTGTATGGGTCTTGCAAATCAAATCTCCCAGGTCACAACTGCTGCTCGTGTCTGCAAACAGGGGGTATCACCGCAAAATCCATTGCCATCGGGGCCTGAACAGGAGACTCAACGGATTTCCATGAACTCCCGGAGATTTGGCGATGGAGGTGATGTTGTTCATACAATTCATACGTAGTCACGGCCTAGTGCCAACGAGTGCGGTCTCAAGCTGTGAGATCAACAATGTGGTTTACCATGACATTCACTGATCTTCGTCCTCGTTTGACGCTGTGACCCAGGCCTACCTTGGCCTCTGGCATCCGCTCCGGGGGCCCTGAGTGCCCTCAAATCATTCGCTTGTGGGGTAGATCTCCATCTGCGGCCGCCTAGAACCAAGGCATTGCACCCGATGTGACGCAGGAGCACAGCTTCCCTCCTCGCACACACCCTTCTGCTGCTGCTGCTGCTGCTGCCGCTGCCACTGCCGTCATCGGAGCAGGTCTGCCCCCTCAGGCCTGTTGCTTCGCGGCTCCCTCAGCCAGGACCTCCATGGCACGCGCCAGCACCCAGTCCTCGCTGGGGTAGTCGGGCCCCCTGATGGCCTCGGCGACGGGCAGGATGACCGCCTCGTCAATCTCCTTGAACTTGCCGCACTGGACGTGGATCGACTGGCCGTGGCGGGCCCCGTCGGCCATGAGCAGGGCGGCCGCGCGCGCGACGGCCGAGGCGGGCTGCAGCTCGACGCCGATCTTGGCCATGATGTCCTCGAGGCCGGGGAGCACGCTGCTGTTGGTCCAGGTCGGCGCCACCGCGTTGATGCGGATCGGGAGCTTGTACGCGGCGATGATGGGGTGGAGGCCCCTTGCGAAACCGTGCACGGCGGCCTTGGCCGTGGCTGTGTCGCGGTTTTGTCAGTGTGCGATCGCCCAATATTGGATTCCCTCTGCCGGTGGCAACTCACCATAGTCGGCTGCCCGACAGCGCTGGATGCCCATCACGGAGCCGTTGACCACGACGCTGCCGCCCTCGGGCTGCTGGCGGAAGTGGTAGATGGCCAGGGTGGTCGTGTTCATGACCCCCTTGAGGCTGACATCCAGGAGGTCGTACGTCGGCTCCTTTAGGTCGCCGTTCTCATCCACTTCGGTGGAGAAGTAGTCCGCACGGGGCCCGAGACCTGCGTTGGCGAAGACATGGTCGATACGCCCGTGGATCTCCTTGGTCTTCTTGAAAAGTGCGACCAGGTCTGCCCACTTCGAGACGTCGGTCTTGATAAAGGTGACGCCCTTGTCTGCCGACTCGGCAGGGGGTGCAACATCGGCATTGATGACAGATGCTCCCAGCGAGGAGAGCAGCTGGACGGTTCCTTGGCCGATGCCCGAGGAGCCGCCTACGGGTTTTCAATGCATCGGTTAGTCTGAGGCACTATGTTTATCCTCTTTGCAAAAATGACACCTATGCTTGGTAGTAGCAGTCGGGGCATACCTGTGATGATGACCACCTTGCCCTTGAGGCCGTTCAGATCCTCGTTGTTGATTTGGAACTCGGCCATGGTATCGATACGACGTTGCTCTGGGGATGGAGACGTAAGGTTTTCGCCTACAAGCCAAGTCGGTCCACGAGTCGAATGCTTTTCTCTTATTTGGAGAGGCACGGAGCACGAGAACAGTTGCAAAGGCTTATCTTAAAAGTTAGATGTCTTTTCATATGCGTGATCAGGCCTGCGGCCTGGCCGTGATATGGAGGCGTAGAATAGGTAGGGAGTTTGCATTAAAGAATTAATTATTATAGCATATAATGCTAAGCAAAGAATATATATAAATTAACATAGCCTTCCCACTTATTTTAAGTAAGGAGGCTGCGCTTTATTATAAAGCTATGGTAAAATTAATTATTAAGCTAGTTTTAAATATATATAAAAGATATTTAAAATTAAAATGCAAAAAAAGTTAAATTTAAGTACTATTTTATATAAAAGCATAAAAAATATATTAAAAATACTTTATAATATTATTATAAAACTTTATATTTATACTTTTAAAAATTATTATTTAAGTTATAATTTTAAATAAGGATTTTAAAAATATAATTTTTATTTTTTTTAAAGCAAAATTTATAAAGTTTAATATATTTAATTAAAAAACTATATTAAGAAGCGCTTTACTTATTATTAATTATTTATATTTTAATTATTAATAATAATAGCTAAAAGTATAAAACTTTTATAAAAGATTCTTAATTAGCTATTAAGACTTATATAAATATTAACTTATTTTTATAAGGTATTATTATTAGTAAAGATAAGTATTTATTTAAAAGTTAATTTATTAAATAATTAAAGATTATTAATTAAGATTTTGCCTATTAATATTATAAATATAATTAAAAATATAATTAAATATTCTTTAGTTTATAAGGAATAAATAAAAGCTATTATAACTTTATTTAAAGGTTAAGATATTATGCTTATTGCAGCTATTAAGTATAGAAAGAGTGCTTTGCAATATATATTTATTATACTTTAAAATAAAATTATTATTTGCTTTATACCTTTAATAAAGCTTAGGAAGGAGTAAGTTAAAGATATTATAAAGAATATATAGTATATATATTTTATTTAAGTTAATGCTAACTTTTATATATAAGTAAGTTTAATAGCATAATATTAATTAAGATAAACTTTTTATTAAATTTAAGTGGGAAGTTTGCTAAAAAATATAGTATTAATATAATTATAAAACTTTTAAATTTAGAAATAAATTAAAAAGGGCGATTTTATATATATTATTATAAGTTTAAAGCAGGAATAAAATTAGCGCTTTAAGAGGTTTTTTTATAATTTAATATTTAATAGTTAAGTAGGCGTAATTATTATTAATAAAGCATATATAATTGCTATATAGGGGAAGAGCTTTTAAATTAACTTTTCTTTTATTTATTAAGTTAAAGAATTAATGCCTTGCTAAATATTATTATTTGCTTATATAGCTACCCTTAATTATATAAATTAAGATTATATTTTTAAGCATATAAGCTTAAATATTAATAATATAAAGATGATTTAAATATTAATTAACCATTTTAAACTTTTAATAATTATTTAGCCTTTTATTTATAGATATATAAAAAACTTTTAGCGCTTATACTTTTTATTAAATAGCGCAAATCCTTTTAACTTAATTACTATTATAAAAAGTTTAATATATATTAATAATAAGAATAAATTACTATAAGCTTATAAGTTATTTATTAAATATCTTTAAGAATATCATAGCTTTAACCTTTAATAAATATTAAACTTTTTAAAATGCTTTAATATAAATATTTATAAGCTAAATTAAGATTATATATTTAAAGAGTTTAAAAAACTAAACTTTAAATATTAAGTAATAATTTTAATTATATCTTTTAATATTAGCCTTAATATTAACAATATTATTATTATTATATAATTTAACTTGCTATAGTAACTTAATATATTTAACTTTTAATAATATAATAAATATAGCATAAGAAAGCAATAATCTTAAAGGTAGTTTATTATATTTATCCTTGCTTATTAATTTAATTACTTAGATATAAAGGAAATATAATTACGTTAAACTTAGCAAACTTAATTATTTAATGCTTTTTATTATAAATAAGTATATTAACTTGCTTAGCTTAATTATTTTTATAAAGTAATGCTAATAATAAATAGCATTATTAGTAAAGATAGTAATGAAAATAATATAAGGAGTATTATAAGTGCTAAGTTTTAAGCAAGCTATGATTTTAATATTATAATTAATCTTATAGCTAAGCTAGTAAATAGCTAAGCTCTTAGCATTATATCTTAAGATCTTTGGAATTTAAAATTAATAAAATGGTTTTAATTTAAAATAAAAATATAAGATATGCTAAATCTTAAGTATAAGGCATTCTTAAACTTTCTTTATTTTTAAAAATATATTATGGGTTTTCTTTAAAAGCTAAATGATTTTATATTAAAGTATAAGCAGCTTATAAATGCATTTATTTATTATAATGGTTAAGTTTATAAGGAAAATAGCTTAATATTTAAGCTTTTAATAATTAACTTTAGCTAAATTAATAAGAGTATAAAGCTATATATTAACTTTATTTAATATATAGCTTTTAAGATCCTATCTTTATAATACTTTATTAAAGCTTAAGATTTAGTATTAAAGGCATGCTATTAAGATTTAATTAATAGCGGGATATTTATAAAAAATATAATATAATAAGCTATTAACCGTCTTTATTATAAGGCTTAAGCAAGGAAAGATTAGCTTAAGAAGGTTATTCTTTAGGTAAGCAATTTTAAATAGCTTTTAAAAAAGGTTTTTGCTTTATATATATGGAAATTCCTTAATTAAAAGGGTAATATCTTACTTAGCTTGCTAAAAAACTTTATTTTAATAATTTAAGAAAGGGTAAATACTTTTATTATTATTAAATATAGTAAGCATTTAATTAAAAAGGTATTAAAAGATATTAAAGCTATAAAGCGATTAAATGTAAGTTTATAAATAGAATAATAATATATAAAATTATAGTTAGGTTAACTTAGTTAAGGTTAGCAAACTCCTTATTATATTTTAATAAGGAGCTTGCATTGCTTTATATTTGCAGCCTAAAATGCATTGCCCCTATGCTTAGCATTTATTAATCCTTCCTTAGCAATAATAGCAATAATAGCAATAATAGCAATAGTAATAATAATAATAATAATTAATTTATTATAAATCTTTTAATAATATGTATTTATTTAATTATTAAATTAATTATTTATGCAATAATATTTTATAATTTTAAAGTAGTTAATAGAAAAGGCAGTAAAGGAGGTGGTGGTATAGGTAATAGCAACTTAGGTATGTTTTACCCTTATGGTTATATTAATATATATTAAATAGGCATTTAGCAAATAAGGAATTGCCGATTAGCTTAAAGATATGTATAATATTAATTTTATTTTTTTAATTAAGCATTTTTAATAGTTTCTCTTAATGCTTATATGGAATTATATTAAGGCAAACATTTTTACAATAGCTATGCGCTATTTAATAATAAGGCTAAATAATTAGCTTATTAAGAAGTTATTAAATTTACTAATAGTTAATAAGCTTATTAATAGTAATTATTGCTGCATAAATAGTGCAGCCTTTGCATTAAGCTTTGCCTTTAATATATTTCTTATTAATAAAAACCTAATTACAATCCTTTATTAGGTTATTAGCTTATTTAGCTTTATTTGCAATAAGTATTATTGGCAGCATAGCTTATAATAAGGTTACATAAGGGCTTTTAATATTAGTTTTATACCTTTAATTCCAGGAAATATTTATTTAAATTATATATATAATGGTTGGGCTAAAGATTGTTAAATTATATTATAGCTAGTTATTAATATATTAGCATTTTAATTTATTTAGCCTATTTAGCTTTTTATTTATAGGCATTAAGTATATAATATTGAAGGAAATGAAGAGGAGGAGGAGGAGGAAGATAATTATAATATAGGCTTTGGTGCTATATTTAATAAGAACTTATATTTGTTATATCTTTTTTTAAGTTTAGCTTAAGCATTTATTTTAATTAATGGTTAAAAGCTATTTATTAATTTAAATATAAAGGTTATAAATATTAATAAAGTTAAAGGCATCTTGGCGCCTTAAAGCTAAGAATGGTTAAAGAATTATTCTTTAAGTTTTAAAAGGATGGTGGAGCTTAATAAATTAGCTATTGCGCTAATTTATTATTATTTATAAGGAGTTGTAAAATAAAAGAAGGCTTATAAAAGTAAGCTTTATTAATAAATATAAGATAAAAAGGGTAAACTGCCTTAACTTAATATTATATAAAGCATATAAGAGGGGACTTAAGGGGTTGCATCGCTATATAAATATGTAAATAGTGTTTATAGTTAGCGTTTTATTTTTTATTTTCTTTATATTTACTTTTTATGGTTGGGGATATTAATTGGTTTGCTTAAGTAGGATATAGCGCTTATTTAAATAAGTATGATTATTATAATGTTTAGCTTATTAAGTATATAAAGATTGCTTAAAGCTATTATAGGGAGTTGGTAATGGGAATTTATATTTAGGCATATAAGGGTTGGCAAATTCCTTATTTAATTTAAATAAGGAGTTTGTTAATGCTTATAGCTTTATAATATATTTACCTTATCTTTATATATAAAAATTATTAAAGGCTGCTAAAGAGTAGATTTTGTGAATTGGCGCTTTAGCCTGTTAAGATTTGCAAACTTTTACTTAAATTGAGTAGGGAGTTTGCTAATCTTGGAATTTAAGTGGTAAGTTTATAAGTCTTGGTAAGTAGCTAAGTTATTTAAAATAGCTCCTTTTATATAAATAAGTTGCTCTTTCCTTTTTATAATAAATGCTTAAATAATGTAATAATAATATATCTTATATAGTTTAACCTTTAGTTTATTATATATTTATAAGGATATATATATAATGGAGTTTAAATATAAGGGGTTTTGAGTTTAACCCTTAGTTTAAGCAATTATTTTTAGTACTTTTATATACCTTCTTTTTATATATGTATATTTATTTCCCCTTTTTTGCAGTTCTTTCCCTTTTTAAAGTATTTTAAAATAGCAATAGGGAGCGCTAATATCTTAAGTATGCATACTTATTCTTTTTTTTTTATGGTCCTTTCTTTTGTTATCCTTTATTTTTTTGTTTTTATGGTTTTATATCTTAGTTTTATGGTCTTATGTCTTATTCTTGCGATCCTTTATTTAATGGTCTTTATTCTTATAAGGAGGGGGATGCTTTATAGGGTGCTTAAGTTAATGTTTCTTCCTTAGGGATAAATCTTAGTTTTTATAATAGCTGCTATTAGGTAATTATATTATAAATTAATTATTATAGCTTTAACTTAGCATTTAATTAAGAAGCTAAATATATTATTGGAATTACTATGATTAGCTTATTTAAGAGCAAAAATCGTATTATATTTAATATTTTTTTCTAATGGAGTTATAATATTATAAAGTTAGTAACTTTTTGCATTACTTTGCATTTATAATAATCATAACTTTATGTACCTTAATATATATTAAGTTAAGAACCTTACTTAATTAAGCATAAACTTTTTATTTAATTAAGGTAGGGAGTTTGCATTTAATTAGGTAAGGTTTTTAAATTATATATAAGTTAATAAACTTCCTGTTAAAAAAAATAATTAATAATTTTATTATTATATTATTTAAGCCATTAATTTTCTTATATTAAATTAATAAGATTAATATCTTATATATTATTAGCCCTTATATAATATAAATAATTATTATTATTAAAGATAAATGGAAAGTTTTCACTATTAAGATTTTTTTCTTTAATTATAGGAATTATCCCTTAAATAATATCTTTCTTAAGCTTTAAAAATATTTAGTTTTATATATTTAGCTTTTTAATTAAAATATTTTATCCTTTTATTATAAGATTAAGGAAGTTAAAGCCTTACTACCTTAATTATTATCTTATAGCGCTATTAATATATAACTTTTAGCTAAATTAAAGAATGTTATCCTTAAGGTTTTTAAATATATAGGTTCTCTTTATATAAGTGCTAAAGGATTTCTTAATAGTTTTGCATATAGTTAATGTTTATAGGCTATACTAAGCAAGCTAAGTAAATATAGATTAAATATTATATATTAAGTTCTTATTATATTTAATATTTATAGCATAGGAATTATTAATATATTTATTAGCTTAATTAATAAGCTTAAAGCTATATTTAGCAATAATATACTTAATAAGCCTAGCCTTAAGAATGTTATTATAAACCCTCTTATTAAGGGTTACTTCCTTAGTTAAAATTTAAGCTATATTAAGCATTTTAAGTTTATAATTATATAACTTTTTGCCTTAAAAAAAGGTTAAGAGCTATATAATAATATTATAGATAAGATTATAGTTATTATGCTAAGTAGCCTTGTTAAAAATAAGCAGCATCTTAATGCTTATTATATATTAACATTAACTTTAAAACTTAATATTAATTACTTCCCTATTCTTATATTTACTTATTTAGCCCTTATAATTAAAAATTAATTAATAAATATTATTTAAAATATTATTAAGTACCTTATTAAAGATTTATTTTATTATATTATAAAACTATTAAGTATTAGCTTTGCTAGCTTTAATAATTAATAGCTTATATTAAATTAAAGCATTAATTATAAAGGTAATGATTTAGGCATTAAGATTATAATAAAATAATAGCATAACCTTATAATATTTAATATCCTTCTTATTAATAAATTTAATTTATATAAATAATAATATATTATAAAAAATAATAATAAAGGACTTTATCTTTAAGTTTTTAATATTATAATAGTTATAAAAGAAGAGCTTAATGTAATTTAACTTAATATAAAAGCTAGCTAAGAAAGCTTTTATTTACCTTTAAATTTTATAAGTATCTTAAGATTTTTGCTAATTGCACTTAATGTATTAAATATAGCTAATTATTTTATAATTACTATATATTAGGATAATATATATTTTATAAAAATCTTTATTTAAGTATAAGTACTTTTTAAAGAGCTTATTATATATATTATAAATATTAAATATCTTACCCTTATCCTTATATATAGCATTAGCTTAAAGGAAAGGGGTTTTAAAAAACCTTATTTTAATGCGGTTAATGTTAAGTAGTGGTGGATTTAGGTTTTTACTATTATAAGTAAATAGCTAATATATATAATATAAGAAAAGTTACTTAAATGCTTTATTAAAATTATTTTATTATGGGAAAAGGTATTTTTAAATTATTTATATAGTAAATTGCTGCTTTAAGTTAAAGTTTATTTATTAAATATATTTACCTTTTTAATTAAGTATTTTAAAGCATATTATAATTATAAGATTTATAAATTAATTTTGCTTTTTATTAATATAATTTTAAACTTTGCTTAAGAAATTAAAGTTATTATATTAAATTATTATCCTTAGATTATATGTATATTATTAAAGGTCTTAAATAATAGTTTCTTATATATAATTTAATAAATAGTTTAAGGTTTAATATAATAAATAAATGCTTATATTTATAAATATTAATTTTAAGATATAAATTTATTAATTATTTAAAGCATAAACTTTTTATTTAATTAAGGTAGGGAGTTTATATTTAGGAAGGAATATATAATTCTTATCTTAAAGTTAAGTTAATAATATAGTATCTTAAATATATCTTATAAGGGAAAGGTGCTTATTTTAAACATAAATTTTTTATTTAATTAAGGTAGGGAGTTTACGTTTAATTAAGAATATATTTATCTTATTTCTTAATTAAGCTAATAATGTAATATTTTAAGCATATTATATAAGGAATAAATGCTTATACTTATATTTATTAATTATAGCCTTAAGTATATAAACTTTATATATAAATTTATTAATAAGCATATTAATTATATAAATATATATACCGTTAAAAAGGAGGTATAACTTAAGAAGCTTTTAAAGAAAAGAGGTTTATTTATATATAAAGCTATATATAAGATATGATAATAAGAAGTAAATATATATTTCCTTTCCCTTATTAAGAAATAAATTAAGTATTTTCTTGCGGCTTATGCATTAATTTTAAAGGAGTTAAGAGAAAAGAAGAAGTAAGTTTAATGCTTTTTGCTTTATAATAGTTTATATATAGTTAATATTACGCTGGATATAATTAGTCCTAATAATAAAGTTTAAAGTTACTTTTAAGTTGCTTAACATACTTAAGAGCTTATTTTTTTCCTTAAATAAGCTAAAAATTAAAAATAATTCTTTATTTATAAGGTTAGCTATTTCCTTTTATAAAGATATAACTAAAGGAATATCTTCCTTTTCTTTATTTAAATTATATATTATAACTTTAGATAATTTAAGCGCTATATAAATAATAGGGTATTTTAAAGCATTCTTTATTATAAATATGCAGCGTAAATCCTTTAATTATTTAGCAAGAAATGCTTATAAATTATAGGATTTATTATTTTTTATATCTTTATTTATATTTTTATAAAGCTTTTTTTATAATATTAAAGTCTTAAAGATAATGTTTTTTAGCAATATTTTTATGCTTTCCTTATTATTAAAACTTTAATTATTATAAAAAGAGCTTTTAAATAAATTCTTTTTATAAATAGCCTTTAGCTTAAAATTTAGTTTTATAATATTATTTATATTAACTTAAGGATTTTTATAATTATGCTATATTGCTTAAATTAAGTTTATAAAAAGTAATATATTTAATAAAAGAAGAAATAGGTTTAATATATTAATATATAGGTAATTAAATATAAAAGGGGTTGCTGGGTATTAATGGGCTGCTTAAGAGTTTGCATAGGGCTGGGAATTTGCATATATTAAGCATAAATTAATTATTATTATTAATAATATAGGAGTTAGGATATAGTAAAAATAATACTAAAATAATTGCTTAATTTTATAAATTTTAAAGTATATATTAATATTTAATAGTAATGTAGTTTCGTGGTAATGCAGGCAATTCTTAATTTCTATGGATAATTATAATACCTTAGTTATGATTGCAATTATAATTTGGTTATAAACCTTTGCCGCTTATGTAACGTCCCTCTTTCCCTAGCCATAATTATATAAGTCTTGGCAGACTTCTTACCCAAATTACGTGGGGAGTTTGCGCTAAGTCATGCAGGCAGAGGAGGTCTGTGAGTCAGAGATAAGCAAAGGCTCGCTTTTACGGCCAAGGCTGCACGAACAGCAGCCACTTCCAGTGCTGGACGGCGACGGTCTCGTCCCATTTAGAGTTCGATGGCCTCATCCCCGGTGTCGATAAGGGTCGCTATCTCGACAAACATGCCCAGAAAGGGGTCTGTCAAGCTCGCACGAAAAGGGGCTGGAGTCTATCAGCCAGTGTCACCCCCGGTAGCGCGTGGTGCAGTAACAGCCGGCGTGGACCGTAGCAGATCAAGGTGCGCAGCGTGCAGCGGGTGGCTTGCACAGGTGGATCGCATTACCAATGTACGACTCAGACGACGCAACGCCATTCGAGAAAGCCCGCTGAACCCATGCACGAGTGGGACTGGGCACTGTCGGACCCCCGTCCCCAACCCCACAGCAATCCATGACAGACGCCACGAACGGGTGCCCGGTAAAAAACACACCTCTCAAACGCGAGGCCAGGGTGGGAGTCCGTACAACTGGAGACAGAAGATGGACTCTTTCCGCAGAGCCTCCCAGCTGTGATGGAGATTTTACCACGATCCTGCACAGGAGAAATGATCAATCCCAGGCCGGACGTGAGTGGCAATAAAACTTGACTCTCACAAGCCCCTGTCCTGACAGCTCGGCACTTGGGGCGACACATCGTGCCAATAGGGAATCATCCATATCCGGGGTCTCGCGAGTGAAGCCTGGGCTTGCCCTGAACACTGCGCCGATATTGGCGAGCCGGAGAAGCTCAAATCAAGCCCATACTCTTCCTACAAGGACAGAACAAGCCGCGCTTGCCAACAGACCTGCCAGATTCTCCATTGTTTACCGATTCTATACGTGTATTCTCGCCGACACCCGATCCTCAGAATCCGGGTGAACCCCACGCCACGTCACACAGCACGCACAAGCTGCCGCCGCCATGGTCGATCCCGCCGGCGATGGCGTCGTCGCCCTGCATGTCACCATTGCCATGCTAACGCTGAGTTGGGTAACGCTCAGCGCACGGCTCGCGGTGCGTAAATGGCTGAAGCCAGAGGCGATGGGGGCCGACGACTATCTGATGTTCGCTGGTCTGGTACGCGTTCCCACTTACCCGTCCCGTCGGTGCAGGCAAGTCTCGTGGAGGGCAGATGATTGACACTCAGCCTCAGATCCTCTACTCGGTGACATGCGCCCTAGTCATCGTCTGCTGCTTCTACGGCGCCGGGCAGCACTCGAAAGATCTCACCCCGCCTGTTATCATGCACGGGACTAAGGTGAAGATCCCCAGGCGGTCAGCCCTCCTCATGGGGACAGCAGTTGACGATTCCCACAGCTGTTCTTCATCGCCGAGTTCTTTTATTCGTCATGTACGGTGCCCATCAAGTCCAGCATCTGTATAACCCTCCTCCGCATCGCTGATGCCCGCCGTCGGTTCGTGTGGACCATCTGGCTCGTCATTGGCGCAACCGCCGTCGCTTCCATTGTGTTCATCCTCGTCATCGCCAACATCTGCCACCCCATCACGGCGCTGTGGGGCGAGACGACCGGCGTCTGCAATCCCGTCCTCAACAGCAGCGTCAGCTTCTTCTTCTCGGCCGTGTCCATCGTCACCGACTTGACCCTGGCGATCCTGCCCGCCATCCTGCTGATCCCCCTCCAAATGAGATGGCGAGTCAAGATCTCGGTGGCCCTGATGCTTGGCCTCGCTGCTTTGTGAGTGCTCATTGCACACCTACTGGGTGTCTTCGTCAGCCCCTCAAGCCCATGAAGCTGACCATCTCACTAGTGCGAGTTGCGCAACCATCATCCGCCTCCGATACCTCACACTGTACAATGACCAGGCCGAGTTCATGTTCAGCACGGGCCAGATCGGGCTATGGTCCGTAGTCGAGGAGGGAATCGGCATCTGTGCTGGATCGATGCCCACTCTGAAGCCCCTGCTCAGCCTGTCCATCTTTGGCGGAAGCACCAATGCCAGTCATGATCCGAGCCGGGGCACCCTCCCTTTATCTGCATCCAACCAACTGAAGCAAAGCGAGCAGGGAGAAGCCGTCAAGATGGAGACTATGCGCTCGCCGCGGATCAGCAAGAACAAACAACGCGGGTCCTCGGATGACGACAGTCTGAAGCACATATTGAAGGAGACCCGTGTTACCGTGACGGCCGAGACGTATAATACGAATGATGATGCATGGTCGAGGAATCAGGTGCTGGGATGGGACAACCGCGCCGGTCGGTAAGGGTGTCGGCAAGGTTTGATACCCGTGACACACCATGTGGCTTATTCGAGAGGTGGCACGCACAACTTGGGCTCACTTGTGCAAGAGACGTCGCTACTATCTGGACTGGATGGTCTATCCTGTTTGCGCAAGCAAAAAACACGGAGCTGACGCCAGCCTCAAATGTCTCATGTCGGATGAGACGCCGAGACGCGAGACTCGTGCAACGAACGATGCGGACATGTCGAGAGAGCGTCGAGACTCACTTTAGAAGCCACCTCAGCCACAAAAAGATTGCAAATGCTGGCCAAAAATCATCATATAAGCATTAGATCCTTTTGCATGTGAGCTCCAATACTCAAGGACATAGGCTGCCAGACGAAAGGTCATGGCCTGGGTGCATTATCCAGTCTCATAATCTGAATTTCTTGGGGCATTATTCTACCTGGATAGCTGAGCATTTTTTTCGTTGCAATTCTGGCAATGGGATAGATTTGGCCCTGTTCAATGACTTCTCGCGAGTGGACTGAAAGTGAGGGGACTTCAAACTCTTAGTGGACTTATGACCGTTACTTCGATGCTTAGCACGCAGGGGAATTGACCGAGGGCGTCGTTATGCACCATCAAAAATAATCAAGAGTAGGACGTTGTCTGTATGACAAGACACCCAAAAGTCGACTGGCGTGGTTGCATTTGGGAGCTCCGGTATTATAGTGCGGTCTGCTCTGATGGGGGGTTACTCGGCTGGTTCCGTCAAGATCCGCACGACCGGCACAGAATGCGCAGTGGGTGACGACTAAGAGGGGCCAAAGAAGCATGTCGAAAGCCCAGCCGTGGCATATATAGCTATTAAATACTAGCTCAACTCTCATTTGCTTCTCAGCCGCCTGCGTCACTGGATTAGTTATTGCCATTTAGGTAGGTGGCATGATGGACCAAGAACTCGATATTTGGTTGTCGCAGATTTAGCTGCGCTGCCGATGGACCGACTGTCAGGTGGTGCTGGCCATCCGGGCCGCTAACCCAGTCCATGATTCAACACGGGGGCGGGGGCGGTTGTGCTCCGGCCTACGAGATTGGCAGCCATGCGAGTGGCTACCCCTTAATTGAGGCAGTTCTTCCGGGGCGCCGGGGTGCATCTGGCCGCCAAGCAGTGCTAAGACCGGCGATCGAGCGCCAACGCGGGTTGAAGCGCTCCGTCTTTCCTCGGTGCGGTACGCGAGATGGCAAACAATCAACACGGAAGATGTATAAGACCAGCGATGTTTCATTCTCGGAAACATCATGGGCAATCGATTCAACATCTGCCTTACGAATTGCGGCAGGCCACTCCTTAAGTCTACCCAAGCAAAATGGCTCCCCTTTGGTCCATCGCCTCCTTCGTCACCCTTTGTGCCGCCGTACCGTTCGCCAAGCGGCAGGCCAACTCGAGCTCCTTCGTGACCGTCGAAGGTGGCCAGTTCCAGCTCGATGGCGAACCCTTCGTCTTCGCCGGAAGCAATGCCTACTATTTCCCATTCAGTGGCGTAAGTGATTTTCCTCGGCTGGAAATGCCGGCAAGATTGTGCCACGGCTAACAAGTCCACGCATTCAGACCCAGGCCGACATCGAAGCCGGCCTGACTGCTGCCAAAGACGCCGGGTTGAAGGTCTTCCGCACTTGGGGTTTCAATGACAAGAATGCCACCACTGTCTCTGGTGGTCTCCCTCAATATGGCACCGGAGATGAGGCGACGACATTCCAGAAGTTTTCGCCTGATGGAACCTCGGTCATCGATGTCACACACTTCGACAAGGTAGTTGCTGCGGCTGAAAAGACCGGCATAAAGCTGCTTGTCGCATTGACAAACAACTGGGCGTAAGTATATGGTTCATGTTCTTTCAGACGCATGTCGTCGAGAAGTGGCTAAACAATCATCTGATTAACAGTGATTACGGAGGCATGGACGTCTAGTAAGTCTCACTTACATACCCTGCCTATTTCAGTTCCCTATACCATACCGGATATAACAGCTTGGAGACTGTCAAAGTAGCCTCCAACTACATAGCTGACATATGACCGTTGCAGTACTGTCAACCTGGGCGGAGTCTACCATGACGACGTATGTGATCCTAACCTTTTTCCCACTCCGTATCGTTGTGCTATATTAGGTCGCAGGCTAACAAAAATGCCAGTTCTATCGACTTCCCCAAATCAAGGAGGCATACAAACGGTACGCGGAAGCCATGGTCACTCGCTTCAAGGACTCACCGGCAATCTTTGCATGGGAGCTCGCCAACGAGCCCCGCTGCGGCGCCGACGGCACTCGCAACCTCCCCCGGGGCCCAGACTGCACGCCCGACCTGCTCACGGAGTGGACCGACGAGATGAGCACCTACATCAAGAGCCTCGACAGCAACCACCTGGTCACCTGGGGCGGCGAGGGCGGCTTCAACGACCCCAGCAACGCCGACGGCTTCTACAACGGCGGCGACGGCGGCGACTTCGACGCCGAGCTGGCGCTGCCCAACATCGACTTCGGGGCCTTCCACTCGTACCCCGACTGGTGGAGCAAGACGGTCGAGTGGACGAGCCAGTGGATCAGGGACCACGCGGCCTCGGGGCGAGCCGCCGCCAAGCCGGTCGTGCACGAGGAGTACGGCTGGCTGACCCCGGAGAAGAAGCTCGAGTACCTGGGCACGACGTCCAACGTCACGCGGGTCGAGGCCCTGGGCGAGTGGCAGGCCATCGGGATCGACGAGGGGCTCTCGGACATGTACTGGCAGTTCGGCTTCTCGGACTACTCGTACGGGCGGAACCATGACGACGGCTTCACCATCTTCCTGGACGAGGAGGAGGCGCAGCCGCTGGTGTATGAGCACGCTGCCAAGGTCAACGCTCTCTAGATGCGACGTGCGGAACTGTAGGATAATTGCAGAATGAAAACGTGTAATTACCCGCGAAACTTGACGGCCATGACGATTCACATGTGCGTTACGCTCCACTCTCTTCTTGGCCCGAGTTAGAAACTGTCCGAGTTCTCTTGGTCTTTCTTGGCCATTCTCCCTCAGCGCGGGTCGGGGTTTGAGTCAAGCTCGTCGGTAACAAGACAAGCATGGGCGTAAAGGTCTAGATAATGCACATGTTTGCTACACGTAATTACTACCAGTGTAGTGTAAGCTGAGCTAGCACATGGGAAACTGTTGTTGGACAGGGAATGGAAAGGTGATAATTAAGTAGTCGGTCTCCAATCCACCTTCACCATAAGCCCATAAATATTTTAGAAATTTGATATTCTGCTTTGCCAGCGCTGTTGGTGCTCGGAGTTTCGCCTCATCAAGCACCCGAGGTTGAGCGGTTGTGTAATGTACGCAACCGGTCTGTGCTTACTAGTTGTTCAGAATAGGACCGGTTTTCTTCACCACACACACCGTATTTGTCTTGGCCCGAAGCAGTCAAGTACCAGAAGTAACTCCGAGATCACTGTTTACATATAGGCGAAGTCTGGCGACATTCAGATCCAATTGGGTATCAAAGTCCATACAGACGCCTTTTGCGTCCGGCAAGTAGCCTCACAATTTCGTCTTTTGTCTTTCTGCCCCATCATCACCAGTTCTGCTTGACATCAACATCCTGAGCCAACGTCAGTACACTCATTCTAGGCCACCAGGCCCAGAAGACTCCATTGTCCAACGTCAATGGGACTCCGCAACAGCATGGCCTGAGCAGGTTCTGTCGCTATGTCAAGAAGCTGGCCCCATGCCCCGACTTATGTAGGCACACAGAGCTTCCATCGCAATTTGGCCCTACAGAGCCTTGAGCAGCATGCATCCGCAAGAGCACATCCCCGCTCCGATGTGCTGATGGAGGCAGTGAAGGACATCGTCGTAGAGTTGAATCTCGACCGGGACACAGACCAAGAGGACTCTGCCGGCGATCTCAGTCCCTTCGCAAGGGAGTATCTCACCAACAGACATGGCACTTTTGACCTTGACACGATGCCCTCGGCTTGCGATGCGGATCCGTACAACTGGACGCCGGGAAAGAAGGCCAGCGTGCTGTGGCTGCATGCATTCTACTGCATGGTAGCAACCCTCAGTATGACTGCTCTCATTCCGGCCTACAACCAATTGGCTGAGGAATTCGACATGACGGAACACGACTGTACTTATCTCACCTTGATCCAAGTCATCGTTCTAGGGGTCGCGCCTCTGGCTTGGGGACCGCTTGCGACGGTCTATGGGCGACGGCCAGTATTTCTAGCGTCGCTGATCATGTCAGTGATTGGAAATGTCGCCTGTGGGGTGAGTCCAAACTATGGAGCCATAATGTTCTTTTGGGCATTTGTCGCCTTCTTGCTCTCTCCCGCCAATGCCCTCAGCAGTGCTATCGTAACAGACATGTTCCTCAAAACAGAACGAGCCAGGGGTGTTAGCATTTGTATGCTCATGTTCTCCCTGGGGGTTCCCTTCGGACCTCTCATCTTCGGATTCGTGGCCCCCAGAGCCGGCTTCCGATGGATTTTCTGGGTTTTGGCTATCGTCAATGTTGTGCAGTCTGTTGTGCACTTTTTCCTCGGCCACGAGACATTACTCACTCACAATCTCAACACACAGGACAGCGATGTCGACGAGATACCGCAGGACCTCAAGACAAAATTTCTGAAATTCGAGCGCGTTGGTTCAAGACGAATTTCTAAAATCGATTTTCTCGAGCCTCTTGCATTGGCTGCCTCTCTCCGCACCATCTTGCCGGCGCTTCGCCCAGTCCGTGGTATTCCTGTTCGGTAGCATCTTTGTCGTTGTCGAGATACCTCTGCAGCTCGAGAGCAAATTCCGACTCAGCTCTGACCAAGTCAGCCTGCAATATCTCGGCATGATCATTGGTTTTATACTAGCTGAGCCAGTGGGAGGTCTGCTGAGTGATGTTGGCTTGAATCTGCGCAGGATGACGAGAGAGAAAGACGCGTCTCCGCCGGAGTTCAGGTTGTGGCTGTGCTACGCAGGGTATTGCCTGATCCTCACTGGAATCCCACTGTTACTCGTCTCCACGAATAGTGCTATCACCGGAAGATGGACGGTTGTGCCGGTTGTTGGAACCGCCATTGCCGCTGGTGGACATCAGATCGCCATGACAACGTTCGCCACCTACGCAGTTGACTGTGCAGTCGACGACGCGGTGAGTGTGGGTATTCTCACCTCGCTGGTCAGACAAATCATCGCTTTCATTGGTCCACTGTGGTACTGTACACTCATTCTCTGTCGCTGTAAATGTACAGCATTAACATTTCCTTTAGGTTTCCCACCATGATACATAGCGTGGGCCTCAGCTGGTCTTCGTCCATTGCTTATTCGATCATTATTCTACTCGGTCTTTTACCTACCATCTTTTTGCACGTTAAAGGCTATCATTGGCTGCAGGTACGATAGGTCGGTAGCTTGAAGTGTCCATCGAAGCACTTGAGCATGTACTCGACGGAGGAGAGCACAAATCATATTTGTCTGGCAAGGCATCAACCCGAAAGCCAGGTCTGATACAAAACTTTCTATGATCTGTCCAACTTCATTGGTATTATTTGCAACGAGATCTTGTTGTACTGTCTATGCTGCTGTTGCTTCCCACCCGAATGATGTATTGCGTTCGTCGGTTTGACCCCACAAGGTACGCAACGGGCCAATTCAGTTACAAAGTGGTGAGCTACAAGACCGTGCACGTATAGCCATTTGCCCTGAAAGCATCAAGTTAAGCGGCCACGGATGAGTTCTCCCACTTCTTCTCTTGATTCTGGTCGACATGCTCAACAGTAGCTTCAACCTTCTCTGTCATCAACTCTTTGACGCCTCTCAGGAATGCTACGGCCACGATGGCCAGCACCACAAATGGGATGACACTTGCCCATGCCAGCTGGTAGGCCTTCGCATATTGCCATTTGCTCTCCTCAGCAGCAGCAGCCCAGACGGCAGAAGTCGCGCCTTCGACACCCGTCAGGACACCCGACTCCAGACCCGCCAGAAGGTCAGGGATGCTGGAGGCCGGGAGGCCGGCGTCGGTGGCAGCTTTGCCCACTGCCGGCGCATAGTTGCTAGCCAAGTGTCCGTTGATGATCACGTTGAGGACGGCCGAGCCAAAGGCGCCTCCGATGGCACGAGCGGAAAATGCCATTCCAGTTGCTGTTGACAGGAAGGCGTGAGGTGCTGTAAACTGTACGCAGGCGACGAGGAGCGTCAAGGGTCCAGATTGACCGATTCCAGCCAGCACGTTGAAGACAATCTGGGGTTTGTTCCAGGTTGGTTTGATGCATGCATAGCAGATAGTGCTGGCTTAAGGTCAGCCCATGGCTTCTGTAACTTCGTGTAGGCGAGACTTACACAACAAGAAAGATTCCGAATGTCACCAGCAGCGGGGACTTCATGTCCTTGTACGCAGTGGCGTACCACGTTATGGGAATAGAAGCAAACATGGTCAGGAGGCTGTAGCTTAGCTGCCTGATGGATATTGTCCATGCGTCCGTATCAAAGCCAAGGTGGAGGACGATCTGTGGCACGACGGAATTCACCGCACTGTAGAAGATCCAGCCCTCGACAGCAAAGGCAAATGTGGAAAGCGCAAAGTTCGCATTCCTGCGGAAGAACACGTGGGCAATGAGGCCATCCGTCCGCCCTTTCCATTCTGGTTTCATTGTTAGTGATGTCCTTCGGGGGCATGAGAGGAAGTAATAGTGGCTCACCATATCCAGCGAAAGCAACCAAAAGTGCCAGCCCCAGTGCAAGAGGAACTGCAACGTGCGGGTCTGACCAAGGATAGGCACCACCGACCCAGTCAAGGGCGAGTAGCATCAAGGTAGCACTGCAGATGAAGAGGGTGGAGCCGATTGGGTCACATGCCCAGATGTAGTCCTTTAGTCTCATCTTGGGGTACTCGACGTTCTTGGGCGGCCAGTAGAATAAAAACAATCCTAGGGACGTGGCACCGTGGAAGGCCGCTTGGATCCAGAAGATATAGCGCCAACCTGCCACATCGACGTTGGTGACTGCTCCGGCGCCTAGACCGCCAACACTACATGGATGTCAGATGCTTGGGCGAGCTAGGGGGCTCCGAGGAAGGGTACGAACAGTCCACCGATAGCACCTCCCATGAACGAGAAGCCGTTCGCCAGGGCTCGGTATTTCAGAGGCAAGATCTCGGATGGAATGGCCTGAACGATGGCAATGGTTGAGAGCGTCGTGCCAATCAAAATGCCTCCTCCGATCAACATGCTCATCGAGGTGGCTTTCGCGGAAATTATTGCACCGACAAATGCGATGAGAGGGGGTATTGCTGCGAGGTATTTTCGATCAAGCACATCGGATAGCCTGCCGACGATAGGGGAGAGAACGCTTTGCATCAGAAGAGGGCCCTGGAACACCTTGCATTAGAGCCACGATAACAGGAATGCGGTGTAACTCGACATCATCTGACGAACCTGGATGACCCAGCCGGCGAGGGGAGCTTCGCCCAGCTCCCTGATGATGAAGGCGATGACTGAGCCTGCAGCCACGACCACAAAGACCTGGGCCATGATGGCAAAGCAGGTGATGAAGACGACGAGCCATGACCTCCAGCTCAGGTGGACGTGCTCAGCATCTTCGAGGGCCTCTTCTTCGATAGGCACAATAACCGGCTGTTTGCCATGGTGGTGACCGTCCGAGGAAGCGCGCGGATCTGGGTGATGGGAGACTGCAGGCGTCTCGCCCTCACTTTTCGAGATATCCATTTCGACGTGAATGGGGATGACAGGCAATCACCGAGATTAATCAGGGATAAAGACGGGTATCTGCGTGTCTCTCCTCTCGGGGCGAAGGAGCAGTTATACACGGTGGAGCAAATATTCTTTTATGGGGCTGTTTACCCCGTGGCCGACCCCGTGGGGTAAGAATGCGGGGAGCCCCAGGTTTTCAAGACTGTCACTTGCACGAGGGACCAATGTGGCCCGAACGACTGGGTCGGCAGTTGCACGGACTCCCATTTGGTTCAGCTGAGCCGACCTAAACAGACAGACAGAGCGTGCCATTCCTCATTTCCTTCCCTGACATGATCGTCGACAGGGTCCCTTCACGCGCCAGGGGCACAGGCGTCCTAGCCCCGGGGCGCCAAATGCTGCTAGTGAAAAGCAGGAGGACTGCGTGCGGGGAAAAGAAAACCCCAGGGACGTGGACGACTTTGACGATAACCTCTTCAAATCCTCGGGCGGGAAAAGATGTAGAGCCTGAGAGTATGGTAACCCAATCCATTTCCTCCTATATGTGGATGTGACTAGTTTCAGCCACAGAGGGCTTGTTGAAGCTCTAGGATTTTACTGGAGGCGCCGCCAATAATCACAGAGGCCATTTGTAACGAGAGACCAGGTGGAATCGGTCACGAGGTTTGGATTTTCGGCAAAGAAATATTGCAGCTTCAGCATACCCATTGCTTCCCATTATTTTGGGACACCCATGGGATTCAGATAAAACTAAGCAGAGAGTGCTAGTCCCTCCCAGGCGAGTGTTGCCTCACAAGGACGAATTTTGGCTGAACTGTGGCAAGCCAAATATGAACGTCAGGGCCTCTGGTTATTAGATGCTGCCACGCATCGTTTAAAAAAAAAGGGTCGCTCGACGGGCCAGGTTCATTTCCCATGCCTGGCAGTATCCAATGACCAGAAGTATAAGCCTCGTATGTTCGATGGGGAAGGACATTGACCTCCGTGAGATATGAAGCCAAAATCCATGGAAACACGTCTTGGCTTTCGTATTGATTAGTCTCATCATTAGATAGAATCTTGATTGTGCGATCACAACCTACGAGACCCAAGCCTTAATACATTGAAACATCGTGCGGCCATAGGTATCCATAGAAGTCAGCAAAGAGACTGTTGTTTGGAACATATTCTGGTCGAAACTTTCCTCCTACAAGTTCTTCACCCGGCTGGGACACCAATGGAACACTGCCCTGACCAACTACTTTGCTTCTTTCCAATCAAGTACACGGACGACCGGCATCCTACCGATCGTGTCACAGTCAATTCACCAACATGGTTTCTAGATACGCCCAAGAGCCTCAAAAGCTCTCAGCAGGCCATTCGACAATAAGAACAGAGAACGGATGATTGAAGGCTTCACATGCTGGAAACTGGGCGAACAAAATAACACGCATTTAATGATCAAATCGACCCTCGCGTATATCCAACTGTGATCGTGATCAGTTACTCCAGGGGCTTTCGTCTCAGATTATCAGTAAGTTGGGTTGACGATGTTGTCTCTTGCTCCATGTGCGTTTTCTCTGTTGTTGCTCTTACCTCAACACACTCCATCCCTTTTAATCCCATCGGAGTAACCTGTTCCTATGCCTTTTGCGTTTGAGCATTCCTCTTACACCCAAGATTGAGCGCCCAAAAAGTAGCCAGAGCTTTCAAAGTGCGATGAAGCAACTTCCACTTTTTCTATCAACAACTTCGAAGTTTTCCTTTTCCACTGCACAACCTTATGCACGCGCTACAAGGTGGATATCATGGTAACTCGTGGGGTCAGGTGTAGATGCAAACCACAAGGGCGAAGACGTCATTGCGCACAAAGGGGACACATCTCACAGCCCCCTCGTAACTTGATACCACCCTAACATGCCCTGTCTCTGTGTAAAGCGCCAAGATCTATTCTGGTTTTCCTCCCTCGGACTTTTCCAAGACTACAACGTCCGCACTTGCGTCTCTTCTGCAGCCGGCATTTCTTGGCACGCCTCGCGGCCGATAGGCCCGACGCCCGAATACGTAGGGCGCCTTGCGCCTCGAAAGGGTTTCAATCGCTTCGTCAACTGCATCAAACCTCGTACAAGTGACACGAATTTTGGGCTCAATACGCGGACCGTTCTCATCGCCAATAAGCCAATAAGCTTGTACAGCCGTCAAGTCCGGGCGCGCACATCGAGAGCTCTCTTGCTGGTCAACGTTCGGGACCCGAGAACGCCGCGTCAAGGGCAATAGGGTTTGCGCAGGATGCTACCTGGCTGGAAGGCTGAGACTGCGTAACTCGTGAGTCGAATGTAGGCCTCGCAACCAAAGTAGACAAGATGTGATGATGTACAAAGCAACTTCAATCAGGTTCAGAGATATAAGAGCTCCGACGGGGGCCAGCAAACTGAGAATTGTTGACCATAGCCCATCTGCTTCAATCAATTCGCAAGACAGAAACACTGCATAAGACTGCCTTTTTGCGCATACACCCTCTCCAACTCTCTTACGATGAAGAAATCTTTCAAAGTCCTCATCTGCGGCGGCGGCGTGTCCGGCCTAAGCCTTGCCCTGATGCTTGAGAGGCTCGAGATCGACTACCTGGTGCTCGAGGCGTAGCCGGAAGTCACGGCCAATGTCGGTGCTGCCGTGGTTCTTCTGCCTAACGGTCTCAGGATCCTCGATCAACTTGGGGTGTACGATTCATTCAAGGAACAGTACGACCAGGGACCGGTCTCGGATGCCAAGTTCTTTTCGCCTGAGGGGCAAGTGCTTGGGACTGTTGAAATGAATGATCTACTTCGCTGGTATGTCCATGGCCAGAAATCGCTGTTTGTGCTCGGTCGTAGCTCAGCTTCTTCGTCAGGATCGGATATCCGATGATCTTCCTCTCGCGGCGCTCTTGTATGGAGACCTTGTACAAGCACATCAAACACAAGGACAGGATCCTGGTGAATAAACGCGTTGCCAAGATTGTCAGAGCTACTTCCATGGTAGAGGTCATGACCGAGGACGGGACCGTCTATAGTGGAGACGTCCTGGCCGGAGGTGATGGCATCCACAGCGCCGTGAGGAAGGAGATGTGGCGGCTGGGTGCAGAACTGAAACCGGGGTACTTTCCTGAGGACGAGTGGTCATGTAAGTCCATGCACCAGATCAGACTGTTTATTGGTAATATCTGAGAAGTCATGTGCTGACAGATTGCAAGCCGTGCCATGTTTCCAGACGGCCATCTTCGGCATCAGTACCCCGCCGCCCAAAGTCAAGGTGCACGCAGGAATGATGACTTACAACAACGGGTTCATTCTCTCCGTCCTTCCCGGAGTCGACAACCGGCTGTATTGGTTCTTCTTCTTGAACCTAGAACAGCCGGCTTACGGAAAGGACGCCCCCCGGTTCACCAAAGACGATGAGGCTCGCGTCGTTAGGGAACATTCCGACGAACCGGTGATGCCGGGTCTGAATCTAGGTGATCTGTACTGCAGGTCCGAAGTCACAGTCGTGACAGCTCTGCAGGATCACGTATTCAAGAAGTGGCATGTCCAGAGGATCATCACGTTCGGCGACGCGGCACACAAGGTAGGGTTGAGCCTCCTTCTTTAACCAAGGGGCTTCCTATAGCAGTCAGGGCTGACCGTGGGATTTCCTAGTTCAACCCAGAGACGGGCCAAGGCGCAAACTCGGCCATCGAAACAGCTGCTTCGATCGCAAATGAGCTGTCCCGGTTGCCCTCTAGGCCGCTCAAGGTTGCGATTTCGAAAACGGTGACGGCTTCGACGGCTCTCTTGCTGGCCACAATGGTGCTCCATTTGACTCGAGTCAAGGGATGGGGAACATGGCCCGGACCGACAGCCATTATTCCGTCTTCTTGGGTTTCCGAGGCAGTGGGCTCTGATTCGACAATGGCATTGATCTACCATGTCTTGGTCTACGGGGCCATTTTCTTCACGTGGACTCTGGACGGCCAACGTCTTGGCAACGGAAGCAGCATATCTCGCTGGTAAGGGTTCTCCCCTATGACCCATCACTCGAATTACTGAATTCCGAGGCCTTGTGCTGACTTTTCCCCAAAGGCCTTTCCCCTTCCTACTCGCTTCTCAATTATGGGTTTCGTGCTGCCGACAGCCCTTACACTCATTCATCCTATCGCCCGACCGCTCTGGCTTCTAGACCCTGTCCTTGTGCCCGTCTTTCTTTTCGGCATCCGCTTCTGGAATAAGAGGTCGGCCGGCTTTGAACGAGTTACCTCGGTGCAGGTTGAGGGCGTCAAGGGTGCAAAAAACGCGTTGAGCACAGTAGCCGTTGGACCAGATGCTGTTTACGGGCTTGTGGTGTCTTTTCTGGCGGCTGCGCATCTCTGGATTCTCTCGGCGGTGGACTTCCCCGGCCTGTCCGGCCCCCCACGCGCTTTGGTTTCCCAGACGCAGCTGGCCACTCTTGCTGCGTCGGTTGTTGTCTACTCGCTCTACTGCGTGTTCCAGCTGCGCCGGCGGGGCTACATATCGACTGCGCAGCTGGCTGGATGTTCCGCCAGCATTCTTCTCAGCAGCGTTTTCCTTGGGCCTGCGGCCACGCATGTCGGGACGTCTTGGTTTGCTGACAGGATAATCTCTGGAGTGGTCAAAGCCATCAACACTCCCAGGTAATCAGTGCCGCTGCGTCGTTCAGGTGCGGCCAGATACCAGGTGGAAAAGAGTCGTTGAGCCCAATGCGTTGTTGCCTATTTGGCTGAGTGGTCCCTTGGTCCCTTCTACTGCTTTCTCGACCTTGTTCTGCTCGAAATCTTTTCCACAAGGGCCGACACATTTTCCCAATTTTTAGATTGTTCTTATCCTCTTGAAACGAAAAGGACAATTGCGTTTCGAGCTCAGCTTTGAATTTTTCCCTCTTCTACAGGCATAATTCCAAATGCTGGCCTGTTCGGAGTCCCTGCTGTCGCCCGGGCTGTCAACCACCAGTTCTAACTTGAACTTTCCTCCACCTCCAACGCTCCTTCCCCACCTCGGCTGGCTAGCATTCAACACGCATCGTTCTTGATTACTTCCCCGAGACTCTGACTTTCGGAAAAGCTCTTTTGTCTCACTTTCACAATCAGTCGCTGGCAAAGCCTGCCAATCGATTGATGGCACGCCTTGCTCCATTATACCCTGGTGTCTGACAACGATTCGGTTAGCCTCGATGATCCTTGGTCATCTAGACCCATGAAAGAGCTCCCAAAGAGGTACGCTTCACCCGTCCCTCCAACCAGCACCAGAGATACGACTTTTCTGAGGTCTCCACCCCGTTGAGGGATGAGTTCCTTCGTCGCCCCAAGCAAATGGAGCCCCCGGCTCAATCAGATGAAAGTTCAGTCAGCGACCAGCTTTGTTTGACTTTTGACAATACAGGGACCTCTCTGGGCACTTGCTTCCTCGGTTTGACCGCCCACGCAGCAACTCCTCGTCAGACCTTCCTTCAGCCTGGGATGCGTCACCCTATTCCGAGATCAGCGTAGCAAGACTCTTCGTCACGGCCCACGGAACAATATCCGCGCGACGTCAAACCCACCGACACGCCGATCCTCACCTGGGCAGTCAGCCAGAACGACCGATCCCGAAGTCACAGACCATCTTTCCATTCTCATCCACCTTTCTCGTCCACCTTTCTCGTCCACCTTTCTCGTCCACCTTTCTCGTTCACCTTTGCCCTCGAACTTTCTCCTCGACCGAAAACATGTCTTCATCGGGCAATCACCAAAGTGATGGAGGAGACGAGAGCAAACAGAGTGTCATCAAGATTGATCCTGATGGCGACCTTACTCTTGTCGTTGGCAAGACTAAAACTCGTTTCCTCGTTTGCTCCAAAACACTGTCACGTTCTGCTCCTTTTTGGAAGCGCTGCCTTTATGGCCAATTCAAAGAGGGAAAACCCGCGGCTGAAGAGGACTGGGTTGTCGAGTTCCCGGAGGACAACCCTTCCGGTTTGAAGTGTCTGCTGCTTTTGGTCCATGGATTGGGCCACAAGATGCCAAAGATCAATTTGCAGCTCGCATTTGAAATCACCGTTCTCACCAACAAATACGGCATGACAAGAACTTTGTGGGCGGTCGCGGGATCATGGCTTGGAGATCTCGAGCCAACCAGACCGGACGAGGGCGGCGACGACACCATTGTCCCCCAGCTGAAGTGGCTTTGGGTAACGAAAGAACTTGGTGATTCTTATCAACACAAAGAGACTTTCGCTGAGCTCTCTCAGGTGGTTTCCACGGCTGCTGGTGGCGATGCCCATCTTCTCCTCCAGCCGTACGAAATGGGTGATGCCGATTTGCTCACAAAAGGTACAATGGAAGGATACGATGCCGAGAAAGACGTCCTCCTCCTGCTTGCAGGTGAGCTCTCTCGCGCAAGTCATAAAAACCTAAGCTGACTTTTAAATATTCCAGGCGAGATTAAGGTTGCGCGTGAGACTGCGCTGTCCGAGATTCAAGTTGTTCTGAAGAAGGACATCAAGAGGTTGCGAGATGCCATCAGAGGCTTCGATTCGTCCAAGGGCAGTGAGGGCGCTTACATCTGCACCCAACGGAACTCAAGTCAACAGAGGCTTTGCGAATACGCCATGCAGGCCATCGTCACCAAGATTTCAGCTGGCAAGGATTCCGCCGTGAAGCCCATAGCCAAAATCGACGAGTCTGTTGAAAACTACCTGACGAGTGCAGTTTGTTTCAAGTCTCGCATCGAGAGAGAAATCGCTTTTGTCTCTAGCGGGGCTCACGCGAATTGCACGCCTTTCAGATCCAGGTTGCCATCTCTGGGCTTCCTGAAGACAATGACGTTGAAAACATGGCGCTTACTAAACGCTGAGGCATTCGAAAGGCAGGCTCGGGTGTCTGGCCTCGAGAAAGATAGTAGCGAGGACAACGACGATGGCGAGGATCAAAACGCCGCTGGTCTGCGGTCTGCCGCTCTCAAGCGCTCTCGCGACGAGTTCGAGGCTGCGGCATCCGATTAGGAGCCAGAAATGAACGTCTCACGATCTTTTTGCGGATGAACAGAAGGCCGGAGGTATTTGTTCCGACATGGCATTTCGGACACGAAGACAATGGCGAAGTACCTAGGAATGGACATCAACAAGAAGCCCGACACATCTGAACCGATTTTGACCGACCGAGTGCGAACGTGTGAAGATAAAAGAGAACTGATGAACGATAACGGAAAATGGGAACATACGGAAGAAGAAAAGGAATGGGCCGACGACTGTTGGTGGTGAAGGGGGAGTCTCCTTTTTGATGGGTTTTAGGGAGTCAGCGTACGCCCACCCAGCTTCTACAGTACGCCCACCCAGCTTCCAGCGTTGGCCCACCTAGTACAAGGAAATTGGTTATATGCGCTATAAAATATTAGTACTGCGGGGTTATTAATAAAGTATAGCTATAGCTATCCTAAAGAGGTTTTATAGCTACCCTAAAGGGGTCTCATAGCTACCCCTTTATTTACAACTTAAAAGTTACTTCTACCCTCTGCCGCCCTTTGCCGCCCTTTGCAGCCCTCTGCGCCCTTTATGCCCTCTAAGCGCTCTACGGCCCTTTAAGCGCTCTGCAGCCCTCTGGGCGCTTTGGGGGCTCTGGGGGCTCTGGGGGCTCTGGGGGCTCTGGGGGCTCTGGGGGCTCTGGGGGCTCTGGGGGCTCTGGGGGCTCTGGGGGCTCTGGGGGCTCTGGGGCCCTCTGGGCGCTCTGGGGCCCTTTGGGCGCTCTGGGGCCCTCTGGGCGCTCTGGGGCCCTCTGGGCTTTTTAGGCTTGTATTTTTAAAGTATTGCTTAAATTGGAAAATAGCTACCCTGGCTTATTAAAAACCCTGCAATACTTGCATTTTAGTGCGGATGCAGCTAATTTTCCTTGTACTGGGTGGGCCAACGCTGAAAGCTAGGTGGGCGTACTGTAGAAGCTGGGTGGGCGTACGCTGACTCGGTTTTAGGCTCAATGCCTCCAGGCCCGAACCAATTCCCCCCACCGCCTTGTCTATTTGAAATCAATCGCAGAGGACAGTTCACCTCTCATATTAGACGAGGAAATTTTGGCAGGGGGGTCTCGAGATATCACAATCATCCAACATCATTAGAAATTACTACAGACCACTCATGGCTCATGAATGCATCACGAAATGCTAAACGTGCCCTTCAGAGGCAGATCCCTACTCGACCTGCCGACCTCCACCGTGTAGTCCCCAGCCTGAAGCAGCCACTTCTGAGCCGCAACATCCCAGACACTCAGGTCCCTCCTCGTAAGCGTGAAACTGACAGTCGCAGTCTCCCCAGCCGCGATAGAAGGCTTCTCAAACCCACGTAGCTGCCTCACGGGCACGTCCTCGCCAGGAATGCCGAGGTACAGCTGCGCCACCTCCTTGCCGTCGACACCGCCCGAGTTGGTAACGTCCGCGGTGACGGTGACGAGCTCGTCCCAGAGGTCGGTCTGGCCGCCCAGCGCGACAGCACCGGTGGGGTACTGTTCTGTCGAGCCGTTGATCTGGCTGATCTGCAGGTTGTTGTAGTCGAAGGTGGTGTAGCTGAGCCCGAAGCCGAACTCATAACGAGGAGTGATGTTCTTGAGATCAAAGTGGCGGTAGTCGATGTAGACACCCTCTGTGAAGTTGGACTGGGGGAAGTGCTGGAACATGCCGTCGAGGACAATATCAGGCTTGAGGAAGTTGTCGTAGTCGGTCTCGTTCTTGGCTACCGTGTAGGGGATGCGTCCGGAGGGGTTCTCCTTGCCGTAGAGGAGGTTGACGAGAGCCCTGCCGCTGTCTTGCCCTGGGAGATGGGCGAAGATGATGGCTGTGACGTTGGGGTGGTCCGCGAATTGGTCGACGAGACGAATACCCGCGTTGTGGAACACAACGATGGTGTTGGCACATTGATCAGCGATGTTGTTGATCAGGCCGTCGGTGTAGTCATCACGGACAGAAGGACGGTCGTAGCCTTCCGTGGCCCAGGCGTTGCCAAAGACGATACATGCGTTGCTTGTGGGGTTGACCAGGGGGTTTTCGTTCTCGAAGTCCCAGTAAAGATCCGTGGAATCTTCGTATGCCTGGGCGACAAGTGCATCATACGGAGAGCTGGTGAAGCTCTGGGAGACCGTGCCGGATCCTCCACCGCTGATTATTGTGCCATTACGAGCGATTCCAGAATACTGGATGCTCAGGTCTCCGAGAAACCCGAGGTACAATTCCGTGTAGTTGGCTGACTGAGCACCGCCAGTCCCTACAAATGTGTCAGTTGACATGCCACGAGGAAGGTTCGGTTTTGACTTGTCAAGCCTGCTTACATTGAGTGAACGCGGCTCCTGTAGGGGGTGCGACCCAAGTATTGACATTGGGCGCTTTGGCTGAGTATCCAAAAAGCGAAATCAACTTTGTCTCCGACGATTTCAAGGGCAGGGCGCCGTCGGTGTTCTTCACAAGGACATGGCCCTCGGTGGCACCAGCAAGCAAGGTGGGCTTTGAGCTGGCGTTGCGGGCGTCAACGACGCGGTGAGGCTTTGAGATGTCATCAGCCAGACCGTAGCCGGGTTCTGGGAAGTCCTCGGCGTCTTGGCCAAGTTGGAACCAGGAGGCGAGGATCCTGGTGACCATGTCGTCGACGCGGCTCTCGTTCACTGTGCCATTGTTCACAGCCAGTGTTAAGTTTGCACCCCAGAGTGTTGAGCTGGGCATGACGACGTCCAGGCCGGCCAGAGCAGAGCCAACGCCTGACTCCTGAGCACCCCAGTCTGAGACAACAAATCCTTGGAATCCTAGTTCTGTCTTGAGGAGCCCGTTGAGGGCTTTGCTGTTTTGGCAGGCCTGGGAGTTATTGACTCGGTTATAAGCACACATGATGTTTCCTGTGCCAGCATGGACCGAGTCGGCAAAGGGCCACAAGTAGAGCTCGTGCATGGTCCTATCATCAACATTAGAGGATCCAGGGACAGCCCATGGAGTTTTGTCTGTCCTCGCGTGGAGCCTATGGGCCTCCTGCTCATGAGCGAGGAAGTGCTTCGTGCTGGTCATGACTCCAGTGTCCTGTGTTCCCACAACGGTCTCATGAACCAGCTGGCCACTGAGGTATGGATCGGGTGAGAAGCCTATAACAATGTGTTCAGTAATTGTTCCCATTCAGCGCGGAGGGGACGCCGTGTCTTACCTTCCCAGTTCCTGCCTCCCTGTACAACACGGCCAACTGGACCTACAACAGGGCCCAGGAGAATGTTGACACCCTTAGTCCTGGCCTCGAGCCCCATGTGCCAGGCTCGATCGTATGCCAGCTCCTTGTTCCAGCTCGCAGCGACATGTATGCCACTCGAGAATGCGCTCACGTAGTCGGTAGCGCCAACGCCATTTCCGGCATTGTTCAGACACAGTCCTGGGAACCCCAACCGAGGAATGCCACCAATGGAACCCGAGCAGCCCGTCGTTGAAGTTACGCCTGATGTCAGGTTGACTTTCTCTTCCAGGGTCAACTGTGAGACTAGGTCCTTAGCTTTGGCGATGGCATCGGCCCAGGCCACAGTCGCATCCTGCTGGGCTGATTCTAGCCGTTAGTTGTCGCCCAATGAATACATCACATCAAAAGGTACATACGTGACGGGTATACTGGTGGAGACTGCCCGGCAAAGTAGGTGTCTTCTGTCACCACGAACTGAGCGTGGGCATTTTGACCGAGCGCTGCCGTGGTGGCGAGACCCGTGAGAATTGAGCGAAGCATATTGGCTCTGTATTGGGGTATGTTGGGGGGCTGCGCGCTGAACTACAACTCGAGAGGATAGCGTGCTAGATGCGATACATCTTGCTCTTATAGATCGAGCTCATGCCGGCCATCCCTGTGGCGGTGACGTCCCGACTGGGCTCACATCCGATACGACGGTGCGCGCTTCGGCCTTCAACATCGCGTGGGAATTTCTACTCGGGCCTTTTATCATGGACGGTGTCCAAGGATGGGTCAAGAATGGAACCGGCAGCTTGGCATTGAGAAATTCTATAGTGCTAAACGGCAGTTTACGAGCGGCGAGAGCCCCTCTTCTCGTCACGAGAAGGTCAAGGATCGCAGTCCGTCAACCCCATATAACCAAGGCGCGGAACACATCATCGGAACGTGATTGGGACTTGACAGGCACGGAACCACAGGGACAAGATCCCCAAGCCTCCTTCGCCGGCAAAACGTCGGCTTATTGCCCGCTCCATCGACAGTTCCCATCGTGTCGGTAGGTCGAGTGCCACCCGACGCCGAGCCAGTCAGGATCTCCTTGTGCCGAACGAGCATAGTGCGCGGGAATGGAGAGGCTTGTATGACAGCAGCCAACCACTGAGCAAGCCGAGGGCAGACTATCCATGCTAGGAAGAAGCTTCAGATCACGGGCATCCCTGCCCCGAGAACTCTGACTTTCGGCAGGGCAATCATTGCGCACGATGATCTGGAGATTGCGGGGCCCCCAAGTGACTAAATCACCGATCAATCATGTGTTCGTCCAACCCTTCATCACCCCAGCAAAGACCGCGTGGCCTGTCAGGCTGTGGGGCCAGCCATCTGCCTGTTGGTCAGTCTGTTCGGTAAGGCCGTGCCTAAAAAGTGGTGTGGGAATTCCGGGGCGATGGGAACTGTGGGGGTGGAATCGCTGAACCTGGTCATCGATGGTCTTCTGCACCAACCCTGTCCGCCCCAGGAAAACAAAATGAGGAGAGAACGCCCTGTGGATCTCAACAGTCCCCGCACTCCCCACAAACTGGTTAGCAATGTTTACCACATCACTCGTCCAACAAATCAGAGGAGCCGCTAGCCGACAGGAACGAGTCGCCAGGATTCTGCCAGACCCAACTCGGTGTGAGAAGTCGGATTTGTGGTCAGAGCGGTCCTTGTTCTGGGCGCCGTGGATTAGATGATCTGCTTACTATTTATTATGTGAACACTGGCACAGTACTGTGGCTTTTATTATGGTAGCTTGATTGGGTTTAAAAGCAGTCGCGTCTCCACATACGTAGGAGATTCTTTCAGCCAAGCAGGCTACCACACAAGTGACGATGTTCTTCGGGGTTTACGTTGCGAAACTTTTATGAGGTGGGAAGCCACCAATGTCTTCTTCCTCAAAAACAGGACTGTCCTTGATTCCAAGATGTGAAATTCCAACTGGTGGACAATATTGATAATGATATGCTGTCCTAATTCCAGTTGCGGAATACTTATCTCTTCATCAAGGCTTATTGTTGGCCTTTTATCACACTCATTTATGACTAGTTAGCATCTGATTTGAAGAAATCTCTGATGATTATAACCATGCGGCATGTGACTTCTAGGTATTTAAATATCACTTCCTGCATCATCAATGAATATTTATCTCAGCAACACTACGTACGGTGTCTACGCATTATACACTCGTGAAATGTCAGCACTAGCATGCGGCAGCAACCTAGGTAAGCGGGGGGGTGCACGATAGCACCCATCATACTGTTGCAGTTTGCTAGCAACGTATGCAGGATGAGTCAGCTGCGGCTGGTCTCGCAACTAGCAGAGTTGGACAGATTGAGGCTGAACATCAACCTCCCGCTGCGATGTGGGAGGTAAGGCTCTGGAGATGACTTTATGCTCGAGTGTGACTGACGAGTGGCTCGAACTTGTCCACTTATCGGAGCCAGAAGAGACATGGAAAGAAGACAATCAAAGCGACGCTATCGACAAAGCGTAAACGATGCGGGGCCTGAGCAGCCCGTAGATGTGACGGTGCTGACTGAGAGATCCTTGCTTCCGTCCGCACAGGTGTACGAGCGGGCCCATCACTTCGACGAGACCACGCTGGGCGAGCTCACGCCGCACGTGGAGACGTACCGCAGCCGGTGGCCCGACGACCTGGTCATCATCGTCGCGGAGGTGACCGAGCAGACGAGGAGCTGGCGAACCGCCCCGGGCAGCGAGCTGTACGCGAGCCTCAAGAGACAGCTCTCTGGGCTCACGGGGCACCGCTTCCCGAGGCACATCATCAACTCGGTCATCAACGAGCGGCCCCGCCAGCCCTACGTCCCCGGCGAGGGCGGCGGCGTGCGCGGCAACGTCGCGTGGGCGCTCAAGTACCGCGGCAGCAACGGCGTCTTCCCGAACCACCCGGGGCCGGACTCGCCCGAGGCCGAAGACCTGCTGACGGAGACGACGTGGATCGGCGCCTGGGTGGGCTGCCGGGAGGCGGTCCTTGCCGAGGAGCCGGCCGAGCCGGGCGAGCGACCACGTCCGCCCATGGCTGTGGTCGTCTTCCCCCGGGATGGGCGTCGTGCGCCGTCCGACCACCACTATTACGCGAGGAGGATGATTGAGCAGTACAGGAAGCCGTCGACCATGTACTGGTGGAGGAATGTGCGCGAGCAGCCCTTGTTCCTCTTCATGGACTTGCATCATCTTTTCAACAACTTCAAGACCATTGTCGCGACGGCTGACTGGGAGGTCAATAAGGTCATGGTGAGTACCAGTGGAATTCAGGGCAGTGGGCTGCCTGTCGCGGTGCAGCCGCTAAACTCGGCAGGAACCCGCATCGTACAGTAGAAGAGACAAGGTGATACCCCGGGTGGCAAGACTAAGGGAGGCATTGATACGATGTAAGCAGCGGTCCCCCGATCTCCCTCTGGTGCCCCACTGACAGCTTTTCCAGTATCGGAGTTCCGACAGGAGTTCAAGACGCACGAGATAGCGCAAAGGTCAATAGAGAAGATAGTCCAGCACCACGGGGAACAAGACACGTACCGCCACGGCGTGCTGGTCGACCGCGTTGCCCGCGCGCGGTACCAGTCCGACCGCCTCAATGACAGGTTGACCGACCTGGCAAACGACCTGGAGACATCGAACCTGCAGGTCGAAATGCTGCGGGAGCAGTGTGTCTACCTGATGGACTCGGAGTTCAACACGGTGGCCGCCCGGACCGACGCCAGGCTGGGCATCCTCACCCTCCTGGCTTTTGTTCTCACCCCGGCCGGCTTCGTCGTCAGTCTGTTCAGCGTGATCGATTCCGGCACGACTCAGCTCATTGTTAGCACGGTTCTGGTTGCGTTCTTCTCCGTTGTGGTCTATGTCGTTGTTGACGGGTTGTATAGACGGGCTGAGGGGAAGACGCTGCCAAGTGCCCTTGCCGTGACGGAAAGGGACCACATTGATGGGAATGGGAAGCGACAGCGACACCGCTGATAAAGATTTTGCATAGTTTTGATCGGTTTCAACCCAGGACGATCGATTAAGAAATAGAGTTAGTGGAAGAATAGCGAAACAAGAAGAGTATGTTAAACGAAAGAAGCACTAAGACTTGTTGTTTCGAAAGAAAAAGAGAAATATAGGGCGAGCGGAGGGGGTGGATCCTGCTAGAAACACTTTTAATGAGTCCTAAACAGCCATCAGGTGCGCTCACTTGAATTGATTACAACGGAGTCGATATAACTCAATTAGTCTTTAATATTATGAATAAACCTTAAAAATCTTTTTTCCCTGAGACAAATGGCATGTCCTGAATTAATATAAATATCCTTCCTAAGTTTTTTTTTTATTTTTAAAATCAAACTTTGCTGATATATATATATATCATACTTGAGATTCAGAAATATCACTTCGTCAGGGTAGCCAGCTCGCCATGTTGATGCCTGAGCTTCCAAGTATAGGAAATTGAGATGCGATGGTTTATTCCTCACACTAATGGCACTCGTACAACACACAAGTCCTCTGCCACGGCACTGCATTGCACATTCTGCGCATGGTTTGTAATTCGGACTGCTCCATGCTACAATCTATCGCCTTGAAAACTTCCACACGCGAATCCCTACCACCGTGGCAAGCCCTACAGCCCCTAGTATCCCAGTCCATGCCAGGCAGGCAGCCTTGATCTTGACTTCGATCAATTCATCAGCAGCTTCCGAGTCGTTGGCGCTGGGGAACGCCTTCTCTGGAACAGGCTTATTCAACATCCTACACAAAGGTGCCCAACCCTCACCCATTTCCATCCAAAAGAGTCGTTCCGGGGGAACAATACGTGCAACATGTTCGTTGTAGCGGTTGAGATATTCTATTGATACTGATTAGTCTTATGCGTTTTGAGGGGGAAAAGCTATACATATTTCGCTCCCTTTGAACTCCTCGTAGGATAACGATGCAGGCCAGCAAACCAAGGAAATACCCTCACCTTCGTCAAAGGGCAACAAGCCCAACTCTCCCGTTCTTGCCACGGCCAGTTCAAGCCATGTCGAGAACCACCTCGCCGCTGGCATCGGCCACATAAGCACGGGCATATACCACGCCGTCATCTTGTTGCTCATATGCTGAGCGCTCTGCAGCCACCGCTTCGGGTCCCGACGTACACATATGACCTTAGCTTCCGGGTAGATCTCGCACAGCTCTTGGATGAAGTGCACGCCAGGCATGTCGGTGATGCCGACGAAGCCGCGCGTGACATCACGCAACGCCGCGAGGAGCCTCGGGCGGTCATGACGAGCTCGGTAGACCTCTACCCATTGACGGGGGTATTCTAGTGGCATGTGAGCAACTATGCCAGTTTTCGTTTGAGGGGTCAATGCGACGTACTCTCTTCCAGCATGTGCATCTGCGTTCCGCCGTGGCATACAGGTCCATCAAGGAGTTCCTCCAGGGCTAGACCCATAGAAACTGTCCCAGTTCTAGAGAAGCCGGCGCCTATGACCTGGAGGGTGCAGTCAGGGTCACTGCTGGGCTTTGAAGCGACGCCTCCCATTTTGATAGCAAGTGGTGTTCCCTTTCACCCCGGGCAGTGATCGAGTATATGCATGCATGTGGTGCTCCTCCCACAGGGCATGATGCCTTCCGAGCCCAGGAGCGTCTAGATTGACTTTATACCAGGATATCCCTTATCTCGGTTTCGGCAGTCGGGCAATTTCCTAAACGAAAAATTGAAACTCCCTGTTGGACTTTACTTTGGCACAGGGGCAGCCACAGGGTTCGAGTCATTTGTAGTGCTCCGAGTCATTCATCCTAAACATTTCCTCAATAACCTCTTAGGAGTCTGGCCAGCGCACCTATGCTTGAGGGCCTGTTTCTAAGCATATTCGACGCTGATCTCATATTCTAGCTGCGTGCGGATGTCACCTAAATCGCTCCAACACAAAACGAGATACAACACCAAGTTAGGCATCTCCAGGATGAGAACGGAATCCGTGTGAGTGGGCACATCTCAAGCCAAGCCAAGCGGGGAATAACCGTAAGCATACTAGCGCTTCAAGGAACCGTCGCAAAGATTTTTACCCTTCAGTCAGATAGAGTACAATCAGACGTCCAAAGATTGGTCGTCTATGGCACCTGAAAGTATGACTAATTTAACTAAGTCTCTTATCATAGAGTACAACAAAACCTTGGAGAGCAATTCGCCCGTATCCATATTGATACAAAGGGATGGTGAACCACTGGCAACCGTCGATGCGTGGGGCCACCTCTCTGAAAGAATACAAGGGATAGCCTTCGAATTCCGCGCGTGCAATAAAATCGCATTTGGGGCCTGCGGATAATTGTAATCAATGCTTTGTTTCTCCACTCCTGGATAGAAAATACCTGCTATCTGAAGCTTGATCTGTGATGATTGAAGCCAATTCCCGGATGCCTTTTCCGTGGATTGGTGTCCACGTCAGCCCGCCTGGGCACCCAACAGTAGAATTGTAGGCGGTGATCCAGGGCCTTCATCTTTCGAAGTGCTTGGCCTTTTTCTTGTCCCGATAGGGCTGCCAAGACGTTTTCGCTGCAATCATCTGCGTCGCCACAAAATCAGCTGTCCCTGCATAGCCGACTTCAGGAGCAGCCACCGCACAATGTTAGCTTGCGTGGCTCCTGGGAAGCTTGCAATTGCGTCAACTCCGAACCTGAGCCCGGCCACATGGATCCTTCGACCTCAACGCAAGGTCCAATCAAAGAAGCGCCCGTTGTGCTTTGATGAGGTCAAACCCTTCTTTTGAACGAGGTGTGTGGCTTAGCTGCAGGTGCATCCACGATGCAGGTCGTAGATCTTTCAGCCGCAAGTGACAAGATATTGCTGCACTTGAGTTCTTGGCAGTTTTATTATCCTATTCGGGAATGGCGTAGCCCGATCCCTCGACGCGTGGTTGAAGCTGCTGACGTTGGAGCACCACTAGCGATAAACGAATGGTGACTGCGCAGTGATGCGTATAAGAAGCTGGTTGCGAGCTGCCTATTTGATATGGATGCCCGCTCGCTGCGTCGAACTGAAACTTCGGCGTCTTTTATTCAAGCAAATTGCATCTCTTAATTGCCACTGATCGCCTGTCTGCCTGTCTGCCTGTGCACAAAGAAGTTGTCGTTTTCACTTCCCTTGTCCCGTGGCTGTCTTTCTACACTGACATCGTGGGTTTGCGATCAGCAGCGTGTGGATAATTCGATTCTGAATTCCTGGCCTGTGACTAGGTCATTATATCTTTTTTCTCCACGACCTTTAGACTCTCTCGTATCGATATATGCAACGAGCATACTCGATTTTGTACTTCAGAAACAGCGTTCCCAATAGTTATACTCACCGACGAATATGGCACAAGATGGACAGGCCAGTACGAAACGTCTTTCCAGATTTGACGATATCAGAGGCAAGAATTTGCTGACACAGAAATAGTTCTCGGTAGCCTTTATGTCTTTGCTCCCAACAAGGGCGCGCCCATTTTCTTCATCATCGCTTATGCTATCTCCGCCATCTTTCACCTGTGGCAATGCTAGTGAGTCTGCCATCCTTGATATGTGGTGTACAGACTGGAAGCTCACAGGAGGCCCATAGCCGATATAGATCCTGGAAGTTGATAGGACTACACCCGCTGTGCGCAGTTCTGTTCACCGTGGGATATGCGATGAGAGAATATGGGTCCTACAACTACATGTACAACCCCGATGATAAGACGCCTTTGATAATATGCATTCTGAGCCAAATCTGCATCTTGGTCTGCCCGTAAGTACACTATGCTCCCCGACGAGATCACCCTAAAATCCATACTGATGAAATACTTTCTTTCACCCTTGGTGTAGTCCATTTCTGGAGCTAGCCAACTACCATGTCCTTGGCCGTGTGTTCCACTACGTTCCTTACGCCGCCCCCATGTCCCCTAGCCGAGTCACGTCTTTTTTTGGCGGCCTAATGGCCGTTATCGAGGGTCTGAACGCTGCGGGAGTATCCCTGTCCGCCAATGCCAATGCGAGCGAAGCCTCCAAAAACACCGGACACATCCTGGTTCTCGTCGCCCTTGTCCTGCAAGTCCTTGTCATCATGGTCTTTGCCTGCCTCTCCATCTCGTTCCACCGGCGGTGCATCATGGCCAGGTTCCCCATGCAGACCAAAGCAGTCAAGTCCACGCTTATCACGCTCTACATGAGCATGGTCTTGATATTTGTGCGCTGCGTCTACCGGCTTGTGGAGAACGCTACTGGCACGACAAGCGTTGACATCGATGACATCGAGGCGCTAGAAGATCTGAGCCCTATTCTCCGGTACGAGGTATACTTCTACATCTTCGAAGCGAGTCTCATGCTCGTCAACTCACTGCTGTGGAACGTTCGGCATCCAGGCCCCTATCTGCCTCAAGACCATCACATATACCTGGCACGGGACGGGACCGAAGTCAAGGGAGAGAAAAGCGCGAGTGATGACAGGCCATTTCTCTTGAACATGGTGAATACTCTATTTTGCGGTCTGCTCTTTCGCGACAAGAAGCCGGCCACACAAGCGCATTTCCACGAGCTTACTGAAGAGCGCCATATTAATGGTCACAGCAGCTCCACTTCGGTTTGACCACATGCAACACACGGTCGGTGTATTGGGAAATGGCAGCTAGCTCTTTGAGGAGGCGAAGGTATTATTACTCTCCGGGGGCCTGTAACACAATGATGCTGCAAGACAATTCGATAAGGGAAGGTGTATTGTTCAAATTTAGTTAAATCTCATGTCCAGCATAGAAGTCTGAAGGTGTACCTTGACACCTTGATCCCATCCATATAGTACAGTCAGAATGGTAAAAGTGAGAAGAATGCCACGCTATTTGTACATATAGTAACATCATCTAACTCATGGCCACATAATATGCTATATATGGAGTCTGTTCGATCCTTCTGGTCTCACGACTCATTGTGGGTGACCTCATCGGCTTTCTGTAGTTACAAATTTGTCAGATATACTCAGCTACTGGATTGCAGAAGTTGTCTTACCAATAAAGGTCCAAGGTAGGAGAATGGAACATATGCCTTGTTGTTGTACCGATCCACACCCCAGCCCAGCATAGGAGGGCAGTTGGTAAACATAGAGCCAGGATTGTGCGAAGTGATGGCCTCGTTCAGGTCGACGCTCATATCAACAACACAGACTGGGGTGTTGGACTAACAGATGAAAATGTATTAGAAATGGCCCATACTGGCGCAGCTCGAGGGACCGGGAGGGTTTCCGAGATTTCACTCACAGCACATCCGGTGTCCAGTTCGGTTGCGTTGGTCTGTTCATCTGCTTCGGCCTTGAAGGCGCACCCCTGGGCATCGAGATAGAGCTCCTGGGGGGTTGTCCAGTTCTTCTGGAAAGCGACCGAGAGAACGCCAGGGAAGAAGTCGGCGCCAACATCTCGCGCCCTGGCCATGCCGTATGAGTCTTTGCCGTCGAAGTAGATATAGCCGTTGTCCTTGCAGACGCCGTATTCGTCATAGTCTCCGCACTTGAAGTTTCCAGTCTCTGTCTCGAGCTTCTTGGGATCCACACCGGGGCTGGTGAGAGAAATTAGTTAGTCCTGAACATGTGATAAGGATGATTAAAGTCCAGGGGACTCGGGTCATGTGAGAAAGCAACACCAAGTAGGTTGAGGCGACTTACTTCTTGATTGAGAAGAACCCGCGAGCCTGGACAGCCTGGTTGAACGTCCACTTCATCAACTCACGGTACATAAAGCTGGTCTTCTCAGGCAATGAGTCTGAAATCCTGGTGCAGAATGCGCCCTCGTTTGTAACCCCGTAGAATGTGTCAAAGTCTTTTTGGATGAGGGCCACAGCGGCTCCGACATTTTTCTGGTAGTCATCGACAAATTCAGAAAGGGAGGCTGAGACATCTTGCCATGCCACGGGGTTCTTCGTTGACTTGGGGAAGAGAAGGTTGACGAGACCGACTGGGGTACCTCCAGTAGCCCCAACTAAAGCTGCTGCAATGAATGCCCCGGCTCCTGGTGTAGCCAAAGTAGCGACGGCCTAGTATTTGCGGGTCAACAAACATCCTCCTAGACATGTAACATCATGGGTCTCATGTTGAATGGAACGGATGGCACTCACGCTGAAGAGACCAAACGTGGCACCGAAGATGGGACCAAACAGAGGCGTTTTGGGATTGACGTCCTCTGGCGGAGCAACAGTCTGAACAATTTGGCCAACGACACCACTGTATGGATAATGTTAGTCTTTTGTGCTCGAGTCGAAACAATTGGGTTCGCAGCACAGGGTACTCACATTGCCTCAGCTTGGCCGTTTAGCAGCGCCTGGTGGTAATTGGCAAAGTACTGGTTTATAGCTATAGGGGGTTAGCCTCAAACAAGTCAGAAGCTTCATAGCAGTGGCGGCTCACTGTAAATATTCCATACGGCCTATCATGAGGTGTAAAAATCAGTCATCTGGTCGTGTATATGGTTCTTGTAGAAAGCGACTTACATAGAATTCCTGATAGGAGTTATACTTGGCCCCTTGTCCGCTTGGTGGAGGGGTGCAAGTACTGAGAGACAAGATATCGCAGGTCCAGGTGATGAGTCCGGCAGAGTCCAGATAACATTGCGAGAAGCCCTTATCGCCGCATTTGGCAGAGTTCTTCGACCACCAGTCCTGTAGCGAACAGTGTCAGTTTCAACGTGACTCCCGCGCACTCTGTCTTGGCCACACTGGGAAACTTGACTTACATTCAGGTGATCATTCATTTTCAAAATGTCCCAACACTCCATGTGGATTCTAAACAAAGGTTAGACGCTTAAGTGCTCGTCTAGGGTCCAGTCTTTTTGCTCACCCAGTTGTGCTGTTCCAACCACAGTCTTCGACTCCGACGGTGGTGTTTGTCGCATGCTGACGAGGAACGATTGAGTCACGATAAAGTTGGGGAAAACCTGAGACGAGGCCGCTCGAGGCTAAGCTCAGCGTCAAGATCGAGGATCGAAGCATTTTGCTGCAGTGCGAGTCAAGCTTCTAAGGAGAGTTTTGGGGGATGTAGAAAGAAAAGGGAGAAAAGGGATAGATTTGTAGCAACTCAAGATGGGAAATCCCCAGATTCACAAAATATTGATCGGCACCCGTCTGACTTTATGTTCCGAGATGCCAGCCCTGGTATCGACTCTCGATGAACTTGGAAGTCCGACGTACCGGTGATGGAGTTCCAAGTGGCGGTGCGCGGTCTGGGCGGATGAATATCAAACATCAACCTCCCCACTGATAGCCCCCTATCGACCTGTCAGCCGCGGCTCAACCCCCGCGTTCCTGCAGATTCACGTACCCTGCTATGCAGGATGGTCGTGCCATGATGATCAACTTGTTCGTGACCACGACTCATGAATAAGGCGCCACAACATGCAGCAACGCAGGGACGAGGTGCACTACACTTTATCGAGCAAAGCGCGATAGGATGTCATTTCAAGACCATAGTTCCTGCCAAAAACTCCAACGGTCATGCCGCAGGTTCCTTCATTCCGAGATTTCATGCAAAGATACTTACAGCACGGACCACCACGAGGCTATAATTACCAGGCCAAGGCGGGCGCTTCTTTGGACGAAACGAAGATAGAGTACGAAAAGTGGGTCCAATCAAACCGTTTGTCAACGACCGTCCATGCAAGCATGTGCATGGATGTTGCATGATTAGAGCACTTGTCAGGTCAGGGGAACGGGGTCTTGGTACGCCCTCATTGCACCTGACCACACCAAGGTCTTCCAACTTTCAGCCTGGTTCGGCTGAAGACCGACTGCCGAGCAGATGATCTTATCCAAAATAGCACGACCATGGGGAAACATTGCTGGGTTGAACCTTCAGCCCGACGACCCGAGATCAGCACTTGGCCGTCTCATAGAAACACATTTGTGGGGAAGGCTGCGGGCAGGACCGCGGCAACGGGCGAGGAGAAGCTTGAATGCTACCCAAGCGCCAGCAAGATTGGGAGCGCAGGGGTCCGCAAACTTGCGAGCACGAGGCTATCTTTAGTCCAAGTGGGCGAGTAGATAGTTAAATATCACAGCGCCCTATGCCTTGATATTATTACACTCATTCATCAACGTTTCGTTTCAACGCTCTCTACCCGTCTATCTTTTGCTAAGCTTTCGTCCGAACCTGGACATCTCAGTCTGTCTTTCACGATACCCTCACACACACACACACACACACACATACACACATACACGCAAATACACAACGCCACCTTCAGTCTTTTTCACAGAGCAATCCAAAGTCACAAACAAAATGCATTTCCGTTCAATACTCCCTCTGCTCATGAGCAGCCTGTACGCCTCACAAGCCGTCGCCGAAGCATATGGAGACTGCTGCATGTGCCATTACGTTGCGCTCCAGTGGCTGTGCGTAAAATGGAACGAAGAAGCGGACTCTCTTTCCTGCGGACTCGGCGGACCGTTCCCACAGGGATCAAAGTGCACAGTCGACAGATTCTACCAGCCAGAGAACCGCCTCCAAGCAAATGTCTCCCTGTACATGGGCGCAAACGAGTCACCATATCGCCTAGATCTGGGCATCAACCCTGGCAACTGCAAGGTGTGGAAGGAGTTCCCAACACAGTGGACTGGCTGGGGCGCCTACATGTTCAACGGCGGCGAGATCTCGTCACAGGAAATGAGTGTTTGTGAAGGATATGGAGCTGTCTGATTCCGGGTCGAAGTTGGAGGTTTGACGGGGGCAGAAGTGAACAAGGAACATTGCTGGGTACAGCAACTACCTCCATGGAGAGACTTATATTGTATCAATACCTTATTCTAAGTCGTAGACAGCGGCACGTCTTGGGATCTTTTAAGGCAACAGTCATGCGAAGATGAATGTTATGGCTTTTTTCCACCTTGTACACTCCCTCGTTCGAACTCGGCGAAGAGAAAGAAATTATGCATGTACGCGAATGAAATATGAACGTCCGTTTCGTAACATGCATTGGTCTCATACTTCGAGGTGTCAAACTGCCACAATGGCCAATGGCCACCAACAACTGATGCAGTTCCGGCATCCGTGGACGGCAGGCTGGCATTCAAACTTTACTATCCTTTCGCAATGACCAGACTCTCGGTGCTCATGTGGGCAACCGCACTGGTAACGTCAACCGAGACCATCAGACCTCAGGCCTCTAGAGAAGAAACGGCATCACGCACCTAGTTGTACTGCAGCATGTGAAGGAAAGATCGAGCTGCAGAGTAGGATGATTGGTGCCTTCTTCTTCGCTTGGACCTGGTTCCGCCTACCAGAGGCCAAGAACAAGACGCTTGAGGAGCTCGACATCCTCTTCGCACGTGGAGTCAAGGCCGGTGATTTCAAGACGTACAACGTGGATGCGTACGCACATGGAGAAGAACGACAAGACTTATATAGTCCCAGAGATATGTAAATTGATCAACTCCCACTTTTCTCACCCGTGGCAATTGGCGTTAAATCCGACCCATAGCACGCTCGACTTCAGCAAGTGCAGCGAGAACCTTCTCATCATATTGCCTGCGTCCAACAATCTGTAGACTTACAGGAGCGCCCGCGAACTTTTCCGGGCTGTACATATCGTATACGAATCGATCTTGGTCATTCAGGGGCTCGTACTGTGAGTCCTTCAGATCCTTCTCCGGGTCCACTGTCGTGACGGGGAATACGACGCCTGGGTAATCCAGCAAATTCCAGATAGCTGTGTATCCCCAATACCGTGACTGATCGTGGGGGGTGGCCGCCCCAAAGGACGGCGGGCAGATGATCACATCTACCTCCCGCCCGTCTCTCGAGCCAGTCTGAGTCCAGGCTCGGGCATATGCTGTTCGAAACTGTTCTCTCTCAAGAGTTCGCTGCGAGAGCTGTTAGGGATCAATTCGGACAGACATCGAGGACTGATCGGACTCACCTCCCAGAGCTCTGCTTGCGTCAGATTCTTGACGCTTGTTTGCTCGTGTATGATGAACTTGGTCAGCGGCAGAATCGGCTCGCCACTTTCTTCTAGCAGCCCAAGACATTGCTGGGCCCCATCTGGCCAGTAGAGTGAGGACAAGATTTCCCAGCCCTTTTGATGATCCAAAGACTCGCACTCCCAGTCCACGAGTTCCATACCTGCTTTACGGCAGGCATTCGCGACTTCTTCCAGAGCACGTCGCATGGGAGGGTGAGGCCTCACAACTCCGTCCCACCACTGTATGGCTACCTTGGGAGGCCTTGCGAACTTATAAGGCGTCCATTCTTTGGCGGCAATAGATGGATCGAGCCTCCACGGCTTCTTTGCGAGTGCAACCTTCATGAACAGTTCAAGCGCCTCCCGATCGACAGTCATCGGACCAGGGGTACCCATCATTGCTTCCTTTCCTGCCATGAAGCCTCTCACTCCCAGGTACGAAAGGCGCTTGGTGGTAGGTCTGGGTGTCATGATCAGCCTCGAAGTTTCTCTTCGCAAACACATGACGCTAAGCAAAGGATTTCGTACTTGAACGCGTAAACACCAACGTGTGCTGCTGGACAGCGGACGCTACCGCCAATGTCGCCGCCAATACCCTGCTGCTGTCAGATCTCGGAGTCAGAAAAAGGAAGAGAGAGTGTGTTGAAACTCACAAGGATGCTTCCCCGCATGCCAAGTAATGCTGACTCCCCCCCACTACTTCCACCTGGGGTCAAATTTCGATTGTAGGGATTGACCGTTCGGCCGTACACATTGCTGTTGGTTTCCAAGTGCATTATGAGCTGAGGCTGTGTAGTCCTGGCATAGTAGACACAACCCTCGTCCCACAATGTCTCGCAGAGCATCGTAGTTCCGTGGGGCTTCCCAATCCAGCTGACGCAAGACGCGTTAGTGACGACTCCAGGACCAACCATGCCATGGTGCTCTTTGGTTGAGATAGGCAAGCCGAACAAGGCACCCTTCGGTTCCGGCAGAGAGTCGAGACATTTCGCCCGAGCAATTGCCTCGTCCCATAATAGCTCTGTGAGGCAGTTTGTCTTGTGTGGCTGTCAGTACTTCGCTCAGAGATCCGAGTCGGTGGTTGTCCTGCTTACTGCCAGATGCGCCACTGCCGCGCGACGCAGGAATGCCCTCGTTACTTCTTCGACGGAGATAGTTCTCTCTCTCAACACGGCAAGTAGCTGGGTCACGGTGTACGACTCCGTGATCTCGATCTCGCGCTCAGTGAGGATTACCGCCGGCAGAACCCGAGAATTCACCGGCAAGTCATTCGGCATGCCCTCGATCTTTGGGTCAACTTTGCGCAGCGAGGCATCGCGCTTGGCCCTCTCCCCCGCCACCTTGTCTTGCCAAGTTGTCATATTTGTTGGAGGACAAGGATAAGGATCGCGTTGTCCGGCGATGGCAGACACGTCAATGAAATAGAGGAGATATTACAATGGACGACGTGTACTTGATAAGAAAATGGGTAGATAATTCATGCGCAGGTGTGTTAAGAAGCGCGGTTGTGGTTGGGAGCGGCTCAGTGATTAAGTCAGCCTGCAGATACATAGTCTCGGCTCTCGGCACTCGGCGCTGCCTAGGAAGCCCCGAGTTATCAAGATAGGCCAGCCCCTCAAGTCGTACCTTATCTAGTTCTCTACCTCCGTAGTCGCAATTATTTAATGCCAGCCCCGGCACTCATATACGCCCAACACGTTGGCAACGCCACAGATACAGCGAGGGGAGATGGATGGATAAGGAAGGGCCATCCCAACATGTTCGTCCCCTTGATTCGCGACCTGCTGAGTTCAATGACCCACTCATGGAAGGAGCCGCTATCATCACAGATGAAATGCCGACCAAGGCCAGAAGACGGTTGTTCTGGTCTCTCCCACTGGCTCAGTCGCGCCTCCATAGACGACGACGTCTTCTGCGAACGTTTCCCTCTGTACCACCTGTAGACAGGCGAATACATATAACTAAGGGAAACTGATTAAGTATTGAAGAATTCGTTAAGGTATTTCTATTTAATTATTACTGCCATGAAGCCCAGTTAGGAACGAGGAAGATCTAGCTTTCTTCAACGCTTATACCTTGAGAGTCCTAGACGAGATAAGCAACGACGCTCATGATTCTTAGCTTATTATTTTATGCTAGGGAGCGTAGCATCATTAAGATATAACTAGCCTTACAAAAGAACCTTGTTATCAGCTTTCTATACTAAGAGCAAGTCATTATTACCACTTTACAAAGAATAATAAACAGTCTTTATTTAGAATTTTAAACGCAAACGCACCAATATATAACAGACTATCATGTCGGCCGACTGCTTAAGTATAGCAAACCTAAGGGGGAATACATTTAGTGCTTAAGTAAGGAGTAGCGTAAACGTTTCAGTGTATATTTCAGCTTGGGCATGCAGCCATATCAATCTGAGCTCGAATCGGCCCCCAATGCAACTCAATGCCTGTTGGGCTTACCGTGGGCTGACATTTCTCGGCCAACTTACGGCGCTATATGCTGCCAAGACCTTCATCAATTCCTGGAGGATGAAATCCACTTCTATGGACCAGTCAGAGGCCATGAAGCTGTATGCATAAGGTCGATCCCAGAACGCCGGTCGCTAGGTTCTATATTGGGCAGCTGCTCGAAAAGTCGGCGGAATGGTATATATTGGCAATGTGAGCCGTGCAACGCGGTGATCCGCTCTGGGCTCTGGGGAGCCTAGGTCATGATTTTGATTTTCAGAGCCGGCTATGGAGGCTAGCTAACAGAGCTCACTCACCATGAGTTCCCACGAATCATTCTTTTCGTACAATACCACACGGCCATATCCTTTTCGATGGTTCACTCCAGTTGTTATCGGAGGCGGAATAGTCGTCACGGCCCTCGTGTCTTTTCTCAATGTCGCAGCCTCTGGCTATGAGCTGGCCGCGATCTCGACCACCGACCCGAACAAGGTACGCTCAGGGGCGGAGTGGTTCGACAGCTGGCCGAAATGGCTGGCTAGCACTCGTGCGTCCTGCGACCCAACCACCATACCGCTGCAGACTGGCCTGTATACGAACAATACCGCCACGCTGCTGCAATACAGAGTTGCTTCAGTATCGACGTACGATGTGCCCGGATCCGACAACAAGACGATACTGGGCTCGCTAGTCTATGACAACAACCCTCTTTCGAGGTGCAATGTGACCTCGGTACTGATAAGCATCGAGGCGAACGACCGCCCCGCAGCCCATGTTTCTGAGTCGTCGGTTGGCACTGTGCTGACGGCCAATGTTGAGTGCCTGCTCGAAAGCCACGGCAAGCCGACGACATATCTAGAATTGGTCACGACATTCGGTGCCAACCGTTCACCGAGCGTTTCAATTTCATTGGGTCACGCATCAGGAGGCCTGTGGTTGGGTACTAGCTTGTTAATGTGGTACTCGGATGAGTTGGCCAAGAAGTATTATCTCGAGAACGTGAACCTTGACACGCCTTTTTTCAAGGCCGAGGCCTTACTATCGCGCACAGCCGGCTATCGTACCTCAAGGCCAGCCACCATGGACCAAATAATGGACATGGACTTCCTCCAAATGGACAGCTGCTGGCTTATGCCGTTGAACTCTACGGGTATCTCGCACGCGAACAACTACTGTGACAGCCACACCATTTCGGAGCTCTCACAAGGTAGCACGGAGCAGAAGCCACTCGCCAGCATTTGGGAGCCATTAAGCTGGCTAGGAAAGGCCATGTGGTTCACAGTTCTGGCAGACCTCGGAAGAGACGACGAGCTGTTACCCAACATACTTTCACGCCCGAGCCTGCTCGGAAACCTGACGAACAACACAAGTTTGCCTGCGGATGTTGACGACTTTGCAATCACGCCGTCTGCATTCGCGACAACATATATATGCCAGGTGCCGAGACTAAAATCCACGGGGACTCTCCTTGTGTCGGTGCTGGTGGCGGATTTGGTGTTGCTGCAAGCTATTTGGAAGCTATTTGTTCTTGCGATGAATTATTTTATGACTTTGAACAAAGACGAGATGCAGTACTGTGAAGGATGCTCGAAGAACTTGAAACAGTAGGGAAGGAGTGGTTTAGGAGAAATCAGGTCCCCAGTAGCAGAGGCAGAATCATGGGTGGATTGCAGTCAAATAGCGACTAGGAGCGGTACTGCCATCAGGCCTAGAGTCTCTTCACCAACGAGAAAGACTTCCTGGAGCTGGCTGGGAATGTTGGGATGGCTAAAGTAATAGGTTCGGGGGAAAACACGCCCCCCTTCCTTGAAAGCATTATCACCGAATCTGGACGCGGCCAGAGTCGGCCCACCAATTGCCTAATCGTCTTTGAGATTTTAAGGCATCTTTTCTCTTGATAAAAAAGGAATATCTAATCTGATAATTTAGGAGTTACTATGACTTGATTCATACTTAAATTGAGTATCTAATGAAAGTTCAGGAGGTGCCAGGAGGTGTCTGGAAGGCCCAGAGGTTATGTGGGTATGTGAGAGGGTAGAACATGCAAAGGGGTTAAAAGTGAGCCATAGGACGTACGTGCAGACGGTGTAGAGGTAAGGTAAAACGGGAAATCCTTACATTTGGAGTCGACAACGGATAGGTCTTTTCATTACAGTCTGCTTAAACCAAAGTAGACTGGTGGGCCGACCCTCGCTATTCTGGACAGCGCAGTGGCAATGTCCTTCACAAGGTCGTGAACCCGCGCCTTAAGACACCTCTGAGCAGGGCGTGTCAGGTAACCAGGAAGATTTTTGTTACCACAGCAGTCTTTGCGCCCGCGATCTGCCATTTGAAAACATTCACAGGCACAGGAAAGATGCAGGTTCGGAGTGGCGTTACAGGGTGGACCAACAGGAAGCGTACTCTTAAAAGCCATCAATGATAGATCCCAAGGGAAGGCTCGGACGAGACTGAGCCTGAAGGTCTGCCTCACAGACTATCCAACTTCTCAGCCATTGCAGGATTTGCCGTGGCTCTGGTGGAGCCAGCTGCCTGGGCACGCACCGACCGCCAACCGCATGGCCTATCCACACTGTTGGTTCCAGCTGAAGGCTGCGGAGCTGCAGCATTGCCTGACGACTCCTCCCGCGCCCTGGTTTCTGGCTTCTCGGTTTCTGGCCTAATACTTCGGCAGGCTACCTAGATACTTGGTAGGCGCAGTGATTCCTGCGTCTTGGGCGGTAAAGAAGGCGATCTGATTGACACACAGTTGCTGCATGAATCCTGGGATGGTCTATGCTGTTGTAGCTTTTGTGCTGCTCAGCCTGAGGAAGTACCGCCCTGCCACGGCGGGTCTTCCCCATAAAAACCTGGTACCAAGCAACACAGTACCTTGTAGAAGGATCGATCCACAGGCCCTCCATAAGAAGCCCGTTGGTTACCCCAGGTCACTTTGCTGACACCTTTTAGCTCTTAATTTCTTTTCCCCAGCCCCCAAAGTCCATTTAGAAGAGTTCAATCCAACGGGCTCAGTAGCATACTTGACCGAAGCAACATGCCGCCGCCAGTAACCTCGGGTTATATGTATGTCCAGTCGCAGAATCATGATTCAGAGAACTTATCAAGTCACTCATCTGAACCGATGAAAGACCAAAATCCCATCTCTGGAGCTGGTGGGAGTAATGAAGAATCCAACACTTGCCAAGAGAAGTCGACCAGACCAACGACAGGCCCATGGAATTCCAGCTCGGCGGCTCGATTTCCAGTCTTGGCCTCGTTAGCCCTTCTTGCTTACCTACTTTGTTTGTTCTGAATCTGCCTCTTCAGTCTCATAGATGTTCAGTATCTTCTAATTGTACTCGTATTATAGGCATTGCAGCCAACGTCGTCGTTCTATTATCCAGCAACGGAGCCAAGGTGGACACATGGACTCGGGGGGGCGTCCAACCCAGCACATTCCTCTCTATATCCGCAGTCATATCCAACTTGTGCCTGGCTTTAGTGTACAACCAGGGCCTAGCGCAGGCTTTCTGGATTCGAAGCCTCCGCGGGTCCTCAATTGAAGGACTGCACCACCAATGGGATGCTGGCCAATCGTCCTTTGGCGCAGTGAGGGCTCTTGCTGCTGGACAAGGCATCGCAAGCGCCTGTGCGATGCTCGCGGTTGCCCTCTCCGCGTTGCGCTCTCCCCTCAACCAAGCCGCAGTGCGGGTGGTTCAAGGCAACCTCACTTCGCAGGGCACGCTGGACGTGCAAGTTGCCCAGAAGCTCCCGGACAATCACACCGCCTACGGTGTTAGCGGCACGCAGTATGGGAACTCGTCCAAGGCGTCGGCGTACCTTACAGAGAGCTTCGACGCGATCGTGCTGGGCTACAACAATCGCGCCACGATGAAACTGAGACACACGGAGTGCGGAGACTCGTGTGAGACGGCAATCAGTGGGTTCGGCTTCGACGCGGACTGCACTACTGTGTCGCAGGATGGGCTGTTCAGCGATCCGTCTGGCGAAACTATCGTAATGTTCTCGGCGGACGTGAACATATGGGCGCAGAATCTGTCAGACGCATATCAGGGCTCGGGATCAAACTCTTCGACGTCGAGTAAGAGAGAATCCGACGTTGATACGTCGACGCCTTACGAGACGTGGGATACAGCCGTCTACAATGCCGGCTTGAATATTTCCATTTTCTTTCGGCAGGCCGATGGCCCTTATCCCACGTTCCGGAATTGCCTCCTGCAGCCGTCAGTCATGGCCTACCCGGTCACATTGACCAACGACAGTACCGTTACCCTGAACGGGGCATGGTCAACCGACAAAAAGATCAAAACCGTGAACTATACAGGCCCGTTCTTTTACCAAGTGGACAGTGCTACAGAGATAGTCTATCACAGCTCCCACATCACAACAGTTGGTGGCTTCCAATACGCCGGCTCGACTTTGTTCAAGTCGTCGGCAATCTTCAATGGTTCTATGCCTATTTTCGATGGCTTACTGTCCAACCTATATTTCAACGGCAGTTCAAAATCATGGTCTGATCCGACAGACGACATCTTGAATGCTTTTCGGGAGCTGTCCTTCCGCACCAGCACCATAAAAGCACTCTACCTGATGGACTGGCGGTATATGGTGGGAGGACTGGTCGTCTCCCTCCTGGCCGCCTTGAGTGTGCTTCCGCTTTTCTACGGATTCTGGCACCTGGGCCGTGAGGTCAGCATGAACCCGTTCGAGATCGCTATGGCGTTCGATTCCCCGCTGCTGGCCGATGCTAGACCGCATTGCGGCGCAGGTGACGTTGTGAAGCAGATTGGAAACAAGCATATTATGTACGGAGCATGCACTACTCAGGAGCCATCGTCTCCTCTTCGCTTGAGGTTTGGGATGTCTGGCGATAGTTAGAAGCCGATGGTGCAGCTTACAAGCAACTTACAGGTGTAGCACAGGGACATTGGCGAATGTTACCAAAATACTCACCAATTACTAGCCATGAAGACCTACCTAGGTATGGGTATCTATGAGGATCTGCTTGAGAATCTGGTATGATACTTCATCACATCCTTGGAAGAGTTGTGAGGTTTGCCTTAAGAAATCGATGTATAAGCTATAACCTTAAGTGCTGGATCACAGCAAGCTGCTGCCACCAAACACAAATCTTATCAAAAACACCACATCATTAATGCTCCCCTAGAGCACCAGGCGCTGTTCAAGGCCCCCAAAATTGCACTTGTGTGGATGAGCAAACCATTAGTCACGGCCGTGTCGGTTTCTACCAACCATGTGAGCCTAGACGACCTACTTGTTTGGGCAGAAATAAATGGCTTAAAGTATTACTGGAGATCACTGTGAGATGACTATACATTTCACCTTGGAAGACTTGTGCCGACAACGACAACATATCTTAGTTGCCTTCTGGTATAATTGGAGAGCAATAGAAAGTCTTCCAAAGCAGAGGCAGAATCATGTGTACATTGCAGTCAAACAGCAGCGAGGAGCAGTGCTGCTACCGGCTTGGACCTACTAGAATCTCTTTACCAACTACCAGAAAGATCTTCTGGGACTAGTAACGTATAACTATGAATAGTATAGAAAATGCAAAAAGTTTAGGAAAAGACACATAGCCGCCTTGTCTGAAAGCATTTTCACCAATTCTTGACGCAGCCGGAGTCTTACGGCCCAGTCTCCACGCTGTTTCGGGTTTTTATGTTCCACTTCAAGTTCTCTTCAATCACAGGTTGCAAGATGGTCTAGCTTTGATCGACTCTTGTAGACCACCTGCTCTGAAATTCTTCCAAGTCTCAGCCAAGGACCGGCAATAAGGTCTCCATGGGGCGATACTCTAACCTCCTGCCGAGCCCAGGCGATCTCGTCATTCGGCAGCACCATCAGATATTGTCATCCCACGGCACACTGTGGACTGTCTATTTCACATTGAGATGAGACCTGGAGAAACAGTTGATTCTACTTTCTACTACCGCAGCCAACGAACAGCAGTGCTCATTCAACTGTCTTTACAGACCCGCGAGGACGCATAGACCAGAATGGCCCTCTATACCTCAGGCCTCACTACAGAACACGTAAGTCCCAACTGGAAAGTGGAATAACAGGGTAGTTCGTGGCGTGTACATTCCGTTTGTCACTTCAGACGTGCCTGATGTAGGGCGTTTTTCATAGAGAATATATAGAATTCAACAAGGCTCGGATGAAAATGAGCCCGCAGAACTGCCTCACTGTTACACAACAGCTCAGCCACTGCAGAATCGGCTGCAGTTCCCGAGTGAGCCAGCTACCTGAAGACTTAGCAACCAGCTGCCACTTGGCATGTCCAGATTGGCGCAGTCATGGGCATCTGAACGCTGTGCAGCTGGGGCATTGCCCCGCCCCTTCTCCAGCCTGCTTTGCACTGCCCATCCAATTTGTACAAAACGGACAACCTCCCAATATTTCCACAAAAAAGGACTCCCTCAACAACTTTCGACTCACCTTTCCTGCGACTCAGTTTGAAGACTCTCCCCAAACTTCTCACATTGCACCAGCCGTAAACCCAAATAAAATGCGACTACTGGATGTTGATTCCGTGACTGAAGACCGGCTCCCAGTCTTCCGCAAGATTGTCGAAAATGGCTCAAGTAGACAGCGCTACGCAATCCTTTCCCACACTTGGGGAAGGCCCGGAGACTACGAAGACATTGTCTTCGAGGACATACCAAGCTCGGAGACGTTCGCTAGATTCCTGGATGAGGCAACCCAGCTGAAGCAGTGGCAACGCGCCATAAACAAGAAGAAAGCCGGCTTCTCCAAGATAGCCAACGCGTGCCGAGTCGCCCGTGGCATGAAATTGAAATACATCTGGATCGACTCGTGCTGCATTGACAAATCGAACTCTGCCGAGCTGAATCAGAGTATCAATTCAATGTTCCGCTGGTACAAGAACTCTGACCGGTGCATTGCGTATCTCGAGGACCTAGAGCCCGACGGCGAGTTGAAGCAATGCAGATGGTTTAAGAGGGGTTGGACGTTACAAGAATTTGTTGCACCTTCAAAAGTCACTTTTTACGACAAACACTGGGACTTGTTTGGTGAGAGGTCTGACACGAGATTGAGTGTGTCGCTATCGAATATCACCGGAATCGATATGGACTGTCTCCAAGATGAAGCGAAGTTCGCCTCCTTGTCCATCGCCCACAAGATGTCCTGGGCAGCCGGCAGAGATACGACAATTCCTGAAGATCGTGCTTACAGTCTCATGGGCATATTCGATGTCAATATGCCGCTAATCTACGGCGAAGGTGGGACGAAGGCTTTTCGTCGTCTACAGGAAGAAATTGCGAGAGTTTCCAGCGACCTGAGCATCTTTGCATGGGACCGGAGCTCCAGGCATACTCCTGACCTGGACGCGTTAGCCTCAATACCGGATGAGTTCACAGAATATAAAGATATGGTCCCCTCCTACCACAGTCAGCACTTCACGAGAACCAATAAAGGCATCGAAATGAAGACAATGCTTTGGCGGATGATTTGCGACGATGGAAAAGAACGGCTGATGCTGCCAATTGGGAAACAAAAGAATGGAAAGCCGGATATCGGAATCATCCTTCGCAAACTTAGCCATAACGTGTATATTCGACGCGGAAACATGCAACCGTTCCTCGACAAGCAGATCACTTCCTCCACGCGAAGGTCAACGTTCTATCTCTGCTAGCACTGGGTATGATCATGTTCTGAACACGTCACGACAACTTGCAGTACTGGTCCCTCTGGAAGGCCTAGGAAACTTCCAGACTGCAAGGCCAGTGCCCGAATACGCATGGGACTGCGAAGATAGGCTATTCTTCAACAATGGGCACTGGGGAGGAAGCGACTGGAGAGCTCTTGAGCTGATCAACAAGGCTCCAGTTCCAGTGTGTGACCATCGCTTTGTTGTTCTACTCCGCCTCAAAGAGGGAAACCCCGATTGTTACCTATTGCGATGGAGGGAGGATTTGGATTTCATGTTTGATCGGAGGCACCAAACCGAGACTACGATGCTGGACGATGAGTTCCGCCATGTTATCCAAGGGAGAACGAATGAAATCGATATTGAGAGTACCGGGGCCAAGTTGTCAATTCACCTGATTCCCACGACCACAGACGAGCATCCCGGGAGGCAATTTCGAATGCAAGTGTTGGAGGTACCCCAAGTCGTACCAGGTCTTCCCGCTTCTGCAGAGCCTACGACAGCCATCAGCCAGCCACTCGACCCACACGGCACAGAGAACAACCATAATCAGGTAGACGTTGGTCTCTCAAATCCTCTGCCAATCGACCCTGAAGTTCATGGAGAAAATGCGAGAGTCTTTTCCGAATTACAAGACCCTGGCGTGGGTCTCCTCATATCAGGCCGTATCGCTCGGTTTGCGATATCGAACGAGACCAAAAATTTTCATTCATCAAGGCGGAACAGCCGCTTTTGGTAAAACACAACCTGGTCTCAAGATGCCGTGGATGCGCCGAGGATCTGAGGGATTGTAGTTCACTCTCTCTGGCTCAGAGCCGCCACCGCACGCCCTCTACCCCAAAGCAAATTCGGAGTTTTGTAGCATGATTTTCATATTCAGAGCCTCTCGAATGAAACCGTCCTACTCTTTCAATAGCTCGCCTTTGCCCTTAACGACTAGAAAATTGAGGTGATCTTAGCCTTGAAATCGTAGGCGTCGGTTTGTCGAACATCTCTTGCTGTAGCTTCGGTGGTGAGATAACGTCCAGCTCCTGTATCAGCATCATTACTGGGCTGATTAGGTTAGCCAAGATTTGCTTTAGCCAAAACACAGCGATCTTATAGTATCACCGAAGAGCAACACGATAGAGTGCTGTTATTGCACCTCTCTTCATGATCAAGTCGGACCTCGTGCATTCAACACCTGTCAGCCACTTTGCCGTCCATGTGATGTCACCAAAGCGTACCCAAATGACACGAGGCCTCTGGGGCCACCATCCACTAGTGTGTCAATGAGGATTTTCCTTTCGCTGTTGAAGATGGGCATCATTTCTGGTCCACTTCCGTAGAGTAGCTGAGCCTCGCTGTCCTGGATGAGTCTGATGAAGGTATTGACTCTTGTCTCGGGTTTGTAGAAGTGGAAGACTGGAGTTGCCATGATCACTGCCCTGTTTCAGATACGTATCAGTCTGTGCTATCTTGATGCAATTGACGTCTACCACAGCATGAATATTGCTAACTTGACTCGCTTGTCCGTCACCGCCGTGCAACCACTGACCACCGCCTCGAGAGAAGCGCCCCAGAGAATGATGCATTTGGCATTGGCCACTGGTGAAGTGCTGAGATGTGTTGTAATATCTGAGATATCTTCGGCGTACTAACCAGGACCAAGCTGCTTACTTGGAAAACTGTCGCTCCCGTCCATGCTCTGACAGTTGTACATGAACACATCGAGTCCTTTTGATAAGCGTTTTGCGACTTGTGGGGGAGGATTTCTTTTACGACGTTGATCTGTATGCCATCCCATCTTTCAAAAGCTCGGCATGATCCATACTGGTCGTACTAGCTATGGAATCATCCTGGCCTGCCTCATCCTGTCGAAGACTACCGTATATCCTCGTGTGGTGTCGACGGTCTCTCTAAAGCCCACTTCCCTGGCGCTACTCAAGTCAAACTGTCTGTCAAATGGAATCTGGAGAATTCGCTCCACAAACCACCAGTTGTGCGCCAGTATATCCATGATTTCAAGCCCATCCCGTTCTACGACACCAGGCCACCGATCCACGTGCTTGCTGACAAAATTTCCCGCCGTCTCGGTCTCCTCGGTCGGCGGCGCACCTTTCAGACCGAAGTAGGCGCAAATTCCGCCCCAGATGTCAGCCCAAGTCACCACCTCCCCATCAGCAACGTTGAAAGCGCGGCCCCCGCCACATTTCTCCGGCTCGAGCGCGGCGAAGATCTCCATCTGGGCGATGATGTCCTGGCTCGAGTCGGTGTGCCGCGAGCGGTATCCTGCAGCGGTGCCAGGGTACGCGCACTCGGCACCCGCGCCGTGCACCTCGCGAAACAGGCTCAGGTAGAAGCCCAGTCCCTGGGCGACGTTCATGGCGTTTGTGCCGGGAACGAATCCGATGATGGTGTCAGGGCGGACCTCGGTGAATGTCCACGAGTTCCCGGCTTCCGCGGACAGGCGCTTGAGGATGTCCACCTGCGAGTAGTAGAAAATCTCGTCCCCCCATGGAGATGGTACGCGCGGCTGCGACTCGTGGAAGGGCGGCTTTAGGTCGATGTGCTCGGAGAATAATAGCCCATAAGCCTTACCACCAGTTTGCAGGATTACAGACCGTATTCGCGGCGCCAGTGCTGTGATCGCCGTGATCGAAGTCTCCAGAAGGGCGTCATTTGCGGCACGGAGGGGCATCGGACCCTTCTCCGGGGGCACCCTATATGCTGGGCAGTCTCTGTGAGTGACGGGACGGCCAGGTCTCTGCAATGTAATGGACGGATTGACTTTCGTCCAGTTTCCATTCTTAGAATGCAACTCACCAGTATAAATGACATGTGTGACGGTGTCAATGTCGGTAATCTTCTCTATTAACTGGGCCTTGACCTCATCCACCGGCCTAGTAAAGTCGATGCCGCTAATGAGTCTGACCCGTTGTTCGTTTGCTGGCAACAAGGCCTTCTCTTTTGTCATTGGTCTATTTGTCGTCCCCGTGATCTTCTCAAAAGTTGTCGGCGTTGGGTATGATAGGGCCTGATGCATGACAGCCCACCCCGAAACGCCTGATGCGCCAAGAACAAGTAAATGAGCCATTTTGATTATTTCTTAAAACTTTTCGAGAATAATGATTGGCATGTCGAATTTTGACTCGAAGCCGACGCTTTCGTGTCTGCTTCTTATATGATATGGGCGACGGGGATGACATTTATCCAGAGCATGGTCGAAGTGTCGACACTGAAGCGACAGGTGTTTCGGCCGCAGATCACGCAGGGAACACACAACTGACTCTGTTGCCACCAGTGCCCTCGCTGGTTTCGATTGCATAGATGCCAAGCTTGGTCAACAATGGTAACGAAGATCAAATTAGACTGTCTTCTCAGTCATACATCCCTAGTAGAGCTGGCAACGTGTCATGTCCAAACATGCCTTTTCATAAGGGCACATCACCTTGCAAGTTTAGACACAACTCCTTGCTATATTCAGGCCACCCTTCGCCATGTCTTCCAACATGACGAAGAACACCACAGCGTTGAGTTGGTGCACAACAACAGGAAATCCGATGTTCATCGAATTTAAGTCATGGTCTAGCGAGGTCGTTTGTCAAAAGATCATGTTCCATTCGCAGTCGCCAGCACCATTTTCATTGGATGGGTAAGTCAAGGGGTGCACATATGGTCCACCCCCCCATATGGACCACTTTTCACACCAAAAAGCTTAATTTCAGCCCTATAATAACTAATTAGAGGAAAATATTAAAAGTATAATAACTATATTAGAATTTCATTTTATTTTTATTATATATATAATAATATTAAACATAATTTTATTTTATTTTTAATATTATAGAATAAATATAAATAAAGAATAGTATGAAAAAAGGAATGTTTTTCTCACGAAGTCCCTGACTTAGGAGGACTTTTACAGTCTTTTACTTTTAACTTATTAACTTTTATTTATTTAATAATATTAAAAGTAACATAGAATTATGTTTAATATTATTATATATATAATAAAAATTAAATAAAATTCTAATATAGTTATTATACTTTTAATATTTTCCTTTAATTAGTTATTATAGGGCTGAAATTGAGCTTTTTGGTGTGAAAAGTGGTCCATATGGGGGGGCGGACCATATGTGCACCCCTTGACTTAAGAGAAGCGTTTGATGTCGATACACCCTTTCTTTGATGTAATTGTGAATCCATGTTGATCTGCGTTTTCTTTCGTGAAACGAAAATTCTGTAAAATTGCCGCCCCAGGACAGCATTCAAAATCCGACAAAACCACACATCTCTAGGTTGATCAGTCGAAAACTATAAGGTGCAAATATGCTTTGGATGGTTTGGCGATATCAACACTTCGAATTATTCATCACAGTGTCTAACCTGGGCAGCATCATCATCCTCGTCACAATGAGGGCCATCATAAAAGTACGGATACATAAGCGTATAACACCCCTCGTGGACAGGTGGACAGTCCACCAACTCCGATTGCGGACAGCAATCACGCACCTCTTAAGGACATTTTAAATACCTATTTAAATCTTAATTAAATACTTATTTAGTTCTAAACTAAAAACTAAACATCTTTTTTTTTAAAAAAATTATAAACTTAATTTTAAAAAAAAGATTAATAAACCATTATCTCTTTATTTAAAAAGCTTTTATTTTTAAGAAATAATTAAGAAATAAAAAGTATTAAGTTTTTTTTTAGCTTTAACTAAGAATTAAACTTTATAACTTTAAGCAGCTTTTAGCAGCTCTTAGAAATGCTTAAATTAAGTAGATTTTAGGCTTTAATATATAATTAAATAAAAAAAATTTAGCCTGCGGCGCTTTAGCTGCCAGCTAAAGCCTACGCAGGGGTGCACGCCTAGGCATATATTTAGCTTTTGGCTGTCCACAGGTGTGTCCACCGGTGTGTCCACAACCAGGGTCGGGGGTGTGATATCCTCTACTTCCAGATAGCCGTCTCTGCCGCAAGCTCCTCCGGATACTTCGGAATGCCTGCTTCCTGCTCGACCGCTCGATAAAACTTTTCCCACAATGGACTGTGATTCCAATGCATCTTGGTGTACTCCCAGTATTCAGGATACCAGCCGGCAAACTCCCAGCCAATGATTGCTGTGATGTGGCCGTTCTTGACGAGGATGTTGTTAGGTTGCAAGTCCGCGTGTGTAAATTTGATAGAGTACTGTTCAGGCCTGGAGTGCGCGAGCGTCACGTCTGGCTCGTTTTCCCAGTGACTTAAGGGATGACCTAGACGGAGATAGGTGTGGAAATCTGCAACGCCGTGGAAAGGACCCCACGCGCTGCCATCAAGGCGGGGGTCGTGATTTTTGCCAAGGTTTACCGATCCAATTATACCATCCGTTGGAGGCTTGAGGCTCCTGAGATGCTGAATATAGCCCCCAAGCTCGGTTCCGAAATTTTTGACTTGATCGGGGGTCATCTGGCGGTAGTCCACTTCCACGTCCCGGGGAGCACTTGATGCCATCTCCATCACTGGGTGATTGCGTTCACCGAACTCGTAAACCTTTAAAATGCGTGGTATTGGTATGTTGGTTCGGCTTCTGACAAATTCCATGGCCTCGAGCTCGTTTTTGAGGCAGTCAAGCTTGAGTATCCGATTGCGAGGCAGCCGAAGTGTCTGGCCTTCTTGACCGAAGGGGGTTTCCCCATGATAGAGCATGCTACCCGCCCAGACTTGCATCTGCAGCCATAATGGCAACCGCCGGGACTTGAGTTGGATGTGTTTCGACCCACTCATCATTCGTCAATTCAGCAGAAGTTGATGAAGTTGGGAGATTCGTTTACATTTCCGTCACTAGAACACGAGTGTTTAATTGAAGCCCACTCCGGGGACGCTGTGTTGTTGGCGTTCTATAGGATTAGAAAAGCCGCCTGTGCGGCAACTTGGCATACACAACGGAACTTGCTTCAAGCCAACATCCGATTCTATTTGCGTTCAGCTGAATGAATGTTGGTGTCCCAGGCTCATTAATGACGTGGACAATTCAATGACAGAAACAAAGCTACCAAGGTCCACTGTAGGCGCCGAAGATTCACGAAGGTGCCTCAGCCGGCCGTAGCACAGAGCCACCTGGTAATAATGTATTTCAACCACTGAGTCACTTCTTGGGTGGCAACCTGAACCAAGTACATGAATTACATCAAGACAATGCCATTGGTGTGACCCTCCACGGGCTGGCATCCAGCGGCAGACATCAGCCGCTCATGGCCGCAGCTGTTCATGAAACAAAAACCGACTGGGGCTGTCTCTCCACTGTCCTGCATTCAATATCTAATCAGGAAAACCGTGATTCGCGCTTATTTGAAATGTTTAGACCCTTTCTTAATTACGCGGCACATGCCCTAGAAGTACCTTAGGAGGGTTTCACGGGCCGGATCGGTAGATTGTGACGGGTTTGCCCCCGTCTCTTCACGCAAACCGGCAATCGACTGACTGGAAAGACTCCCGCGGGTCTCGGATTGGATGATCTACAGAAAATGGGGATCTATGCGGTCCGAGAGATCATTCCTATCACCTCCACCGCAAGACTCCACCGCAAGGACCGACATTGTCTCGGCCGAGACGTCGTAATACGCGTGTAATATATATAGTCTATACTGGGGCATAGGGTGGGGGCGGGGTGAGGCAAACCCTAGGCTCCCTGTATATAGTCATTTCTGCACGCCCCCCTGCCGGCTCGCCCGTCTCGGATTCCGAACATCTGGTATCGTCGTCGGCACCGACGATGGAGGCTAAGTATCAAGCATGCCTCTGCTGTCCTGAGAGTTGAGTCGGGCTGGGCAAGCAGCGACGACGACTTCGCACTTACTGCACTTCTTGACTAACGCTCTTTTCACCTGCCGCTCTTTGTCGTTTCTCTTCCTTTTTTTTTTCCTTCTCTTTTTTTGCCACGCCTCTCTTCCGCTCCTTTTACTCCCCAAGCCGCCACCGTCATGAGACTCACCGACGCCTCGGTCCTAGCGATGCTGCCCGCCACTGGCCTCGCGGCCTGCAGCACAGCCTACCCGGCCGACGAGATCAGCGGCACGCTGCTTCGCACTGTCGTGCTCGACATGGGTAACGACGCCGCCAACGTCACGGCCGCCGAGTACGACCAGTACTTTGAGCAGGGGAGCGCTCTCGAGGGCGTCGAGGCCGTCATTGCCGCCAGCCAGTTCTACATCAACCTGTGGGCCATCCCGGGCACAGAGGCCGCCTTTCGGAACGCCAGCCAGTGCCTGACAGACGGCTATCCGGTTAACCAGGTGCCCTGGCTGTATTACAACGCCACCACTGCGAGCTGGTGGGGCGGCTACGAGGCCGAGACCGAGGCCGACAGCTACGACGACGCCGCCCTCTCTGTCGTTACAGGTCTCATCGCCGGGCACATGGTGCGCTTCTGGGACACCAACGGCGACGGCTACACCGATCTCATCGATGCCGACTACATCGAGGGCTTCACCATCGACACCGTCACTGTTGCGCCACGCGACCTCTTTCTCTCTTTCTCCCTCTTTCGCAAGGCAGAAGTGGGAATGGTTGGTGCGACTCTAGGACATGTATATCTGTATATACTCCGTAAGCCTCTGGCACTTCGTTCGCTTCCACTTTGGTTCAAGAATCGAGCATATCACCTTCAATCTAGGCGGCACGTCGACTTTTGAGGGGCCCATGTGATATGAAATGCAAATAAGGTTGTTGAGGGTTCTGTGGTCATCCATATTTAGATCAATGCTTGTCCTCTGACTCGTGATTAAGCTTCCGCCGTGCAAACTACTCAGCCTCGGCAAGCATCAAGGGCAAAAGATTAATTTTGGCAAATTACCGAAACTTCCGCTGAAAGGTACACATACTATGTAAACTTCTTGAGACTTCACTTGGCCAGCCTGGCGATGCTGGCTGGTCAACTGCGAGTAAACTCTAAACACGAATCCCCTGGGTTGAGGACAGTAGAATGCAGAACGCAGAATTCTATAAGTACCAGGAGGGCTGGAGACCCTGAACAATTCTTCTGTCCTTGACACACGCTCTCAATACGCCTAATTCTCATGTTCTTTGCAGCTTCTACATTCTTTTAATATCTAACCCAAAATGCGCGCCGCCACCACCATCGCTTCCTTGCTCGCCGTGTGCCTCTCGGCAGTCAGCGCAGCGACCATCCAGAGCCGCCAGGTGATCTACGGCTGGTAAGTCCAAGTCGCGACCCTTATGAAGGCCCTACCAATGCGACGTCCTTTCTAATAGTGAGAATCATAGCCATTTCACAGGCGATGGCATCTCGGCCGATATCAGCGTCGGCCACGATGCCGGCTCTGACGCGCCTCTGACCGGGACCAGCGGGAAGACCTACGAGTTGGACTGCGGCACTACCTCGACGCAGCCTGTGCCAGGCGTGTACGCCAAGTGCACCGTCAACGGAGAGAAGCCGGTCATCAGCGCTTATAACGCTACGTAAGCAACTCACCTTCCGTATGGCCACGGCGGACTGTATTTCTGAGGCTAACATTACTTTCGCGTATCAGTTTCATCACTTGCGCAATCCCATAAACGTGTTGGTTACCAAGTGACCGTGTGAGAAGGATCGTCTAAGGATCGGGGCTGTGAGGTTTTCGAAATGCCTTATCCTGTCATCGCACCCCGACTTGGCAGCCCGTTGTGGGCACCTGGAATAAGTCTGGTGGATAAATTACATGGAGGCGGATTCTCTGATAATAATGGGTATGAAAATGGGCTATGCAAAGGACTTACTTTCTAAGCGATATCAGAATTCATATTATGCTAATTACATACACGCACCACGACAGCTAAAACTATTTTGGTGCCTCCTGCAAGGTATCTATCGACATGCAGTTCGTGGCTGCCAGTGTGCATGCATATGAGCCCTGACCTCGCTTTTTTGTGACGGCCGGCTTGTATCTTAATGTATGAAATACTCAACTCAGCCCACGTACAGCTTTGCCCATACGATGATGGTTAAAGAGGTACTCTACAGTTCTTATCAAACAATGGACAACGAATCCTCAGCAAAATGACACGGAACTGCACCTCTTATAGTCTTTCTGAGGGAAGCGCATTACACTCGTAGGCTGCTGCTCTGATGGCGCAGCGGCGAGACTTCTCAGGAACCATGACATCTAAAATCTGGAGTGCCATTACGCTCCCAAGCCAACCTCCATTCGTAGGAACGCCTCATGACACGATCACATCTGTACAAGGTTTGAGGAAATAAAAAAAAGTACCATGATGATCTATGACTGATGCAGCAAGCCCGGGCCTAGAGATGAAGGATATACTGGTGGAATATACTGCTGATAGCCAACTACGCAGACTGGCCACAAGAGTTGTATCATATCCGTTGGAGGCGCTGGAGTGTTGGTGGCAAATATGGATATTTTGAGGTATCAATCACTACTGGGCTCGACGGAAGCATATCAAGGTCTTCCTTGGCCAACTCTCTCACGAAAGGACCCTTCGGAAGACTGAACCTTTCTGCCAGCTTCAAGTCACACGCCATAACACTACCATTTGCGCATTTCTTTCATGACGACAAGGGGCCATGCTCGCAAGCTCAGCGGAGGCTGGATGCCATATGCATGTAGATATCACATGATCGACTCGTGGGCCCCATCCTAGTCGTCTCTGTTCCATCTCAGCACGCTGCAAAGCAACCGGGCATGTTGGGCGGATGTTCGTGGGAAGCGCCAACCTTTTTTGACATGACCAAACGCCAGTACGCCCGATTAATTCCCCTATTTTCTGTCGTAGACCGCCGTGAACTGCTTCCGCATCGATATTTCAGCCCCGTTGTTGCCTCTCGTCGCCGCCGATCCTCTCCAGTGCCTCGAGCATCACGACCGAGTTTCCGCGGATGACCTATGCGACCCATTAGTCCCCTGATCGAAATTCTGGGTAGACTTTGTCTGTCTGTCTGTATCTCAACGTACCACCATGCCGAGCTTGACTTTCTCTCCGCCGTCCTTCTCCTCGACGGCCTCGTCCAGGACGATGTTCAGGAAGACGTCGTAGCCGCGCAGGACGCCGATGACCTTGCGACTGCCGTTGAGCTGGACAAACAGCCTCTTGTCGAGGTACTGCAGCAGACAAGAGTTAGCAGGGGCGCATCGAAACGGGTAACGAGGGGAACAAGGCGGGAGGGACGAGCATCTACAGGCTCCAAAGGTAACAGTGGATGCGGCAGCAGGCCAGCATCAACCTTGGTTTCGTTATCCAGAGGGACAGGCCAACGCACCTTCTTAAGTTCTGGCTGAGCGGGTGCCATCTTGTGGAATGGGCAGCTTTGGGAAATCTGGGGTGGACAGAGTCGTTGGTAGGAAGCTTTGTTGTGAACGCGCCGCGACTTGGGGCTGGAGCTTCGGTGAGGTCAAACCTGCAGGCGGCGGCAGAAATTCGGCAGAGCTGATAAGATAAGCATTCTCCTGTACTCTCATATGCAATCAATCGTTCCAATTTGGCGCTAGTGACCTGCATTTGATACTCACCCTCTTTTTCTTCCTTACTTTTTTTAAGTCTCTTAATTTAGCTTTAATCTATTTGAAATATATATGAGAAGAAAGCTGCTTTTTTTCTGATTCTATTTCTTCTTTTTGCTAGTAAATTAAGTGTGTTAAAGAGGAGAAATTTGCGTTTAAATTAAAGTTAAAAATGACTTAAGTTAAAGTTAATTTTAAAGAGAAATTAAAGGGGGTGAAATTTAAAAGTTATAATAAAATTACTAGAGATTTAAGGTAAATTTAGTTATTTCTGCTTAAAAATACTACCCTTTCTAAAATTTTAGATTTTCTTTAAAATCAAACATTAATACACCTCACACCCTTAATATTTCCTCCACCCTCCTTAAATAAATATTAAAAGAATTAAAAAAGAAGCAGCTATCTTTTGATATAGGGCATAGTTAAATTGAGAAGGTATTCGTTGTATGGGAGGTGAAAATATATGAAAATTAAAGTGCATATGAACTTTGGGGGTGGGTGTTAAATGCAGGTCACTAGCGCCAAATTGGAACGATTGATTGCATATGAGAGTACCTGAGCTCCCCTACTAGAACTACTTTAGAAATTCTTCTCATAACACCACAACCAGCCAATTATTCAAGATGTTTGGCGCAAAGAGGAAAGCGCGCAAGATCCGGGTGGCAGAGGACAACGAGGACAATGCCGAGCCCGCCTCTGCCACCGAGGAGCCCATGGACGATGGTAAGTCGCCCCCAGAACGTCATGATCCAGCCCGTCTTTTTGCTGATGGTCGCAACAAGACAGCTGATGCGCGATTCTCTCACAGCTCCCGACCCAAGCCCGTCCTCCGTCAAGTTCACTCGCAAACCATTCAAGGGGTCATCGCTCAGGAGGAGCATCAACGTCAACGATGACGGTGACTCGGGCGGACTTAGCGGCTCAACCGCGACGTCGGCAGCCGCCGAAGAGGACGAAGACGACGGCCCAGCAGTGGTGCGACCAGCGGTCAGCCGGTCGGGATCTACGAGGGTGAAAAAGAAGGCGTCATCATCGCGCCTTTCTTTCGGCGTGACAGATCCTGCGGACGACGGCGAAGGAGCCGACAGCCGACAGCCCATCACACCCAAGAAGCCAAGCAGCCTGTCGCAGCGAGCCACCGAGAACAACGCCCTGCGGTCCTCACTCTCGAACCGCAAACTCCCCACTCGATCATTTGGGCCGGAGGCCGAGGAGGCATCATACAGTAAAGAGTACCTGGAGGAGCTACAGTCGTCGACGCCCAACACCCCGCAAAACATTGCGTCGCTGCGCATACACGATGATGACGCCGGCGCCGGCGCAGGTGCAAACACAAGCGGAGAGGCCATGGACCTCGACCCTTCCGAGCTCGAGGGCGCCGTGGTCGTGCCGCAAGCCGACCTGTCTGTGTCAACGTTCGGCACGACAAGCCACATCCCATCCGCCGTCGAGATCCGCGAAAAGAAAGAGCGGCGGGCGCGGCTCGCCGTAGAAGGAGACGCATACAACGAGGACGAGGACGAGGACTATATATCCCTCGCCCCGAAGAAGAAAAAGGACGACACGCGGCTGATCGCCGAGGACGAGGACCTCGGCGAAGGCTACGACGAGTTCGTCGAGGACGCGCGGCTGGAGCTGGGCAAGAAGGGCGAGAAGGAGGCGGCGCGGCGGCACCGGCGCGAGATGGCGGACCTGATCAACGCAGCCGAGGGCGGCGGCTCGGACGGCGAGGGCGAAGGGGAGGACGCGGACTCGGACGCCGAGCGAACGGCCGCGTACGAGGCAGCGCAGACGAGGGCCGCCATGGGCGGGCACCACCATCTCGCCGACGAGGGCGGCGCGGCCGGAGGGACCGGGCTGGTCATACCGCGGATGAGGGCGCTCCCCGAGCTGGGCGAGTCGCTGGCGCGGATGCGGAGCCTGGTCCAGGGCGTGGAGGAGCAGGCGGCGGCGAAGAGGAAGCGGATCGAGGCGCTGGAAAAGGAGAGGCAGGAGATTGTCGCCCGGGAGGCCGAGGTCCAGGAGGTGCTCAACCAGGCTGGGGTCAAGTACCAGTCTGCCATGGGAGTCAAGCAAGATAGTGTGGTGGATCCCCTGAAGCTGGCGGCAGAGTCGCCCCTGCGTGCTGCCTCTGGTGCGGCCACGATCCCACCCGCGGAGAGGGGTCTCGAGAGCTTTGGCACACCTTCGAGGCGGCAGGAATACGATGAAGAGATGGTCGACTGACAAGATACCCGGAGCACGCAAATGGACAAGATGTAGTAAAATCAACCGGAACACAGTTCATGCAGTCACTTAAAATCGTAGTGCTCCCTTCTCTAACAGGGGAATGTAGATGACAATGCCTTTCCCTTTGAACGCCGGAATATCAATACACAAATATGCTACACCTTTCCCACCTCAGTTTCCTCTCCGATCCCGTCACATCCTGTCCGACCCAGCCCCATGCTGTCAACTCTGGGTCCACAGCTCCTTCGTCAGAGCCCGCAGCTTCCTTAATCCCCGTGTCCATTGCTCTGAAGACTTGCTGAAGTCTCCCTCTTACTTGGACCTAGAAACACCGGCACCAATCACACCAGGGAGCTTCTCCTCGCCAATGCTGAAGAGCATGGCGATACACCCGGTCACCAGACCCACGAGAACCACCGTGGTAGTGGCGATCAACCAGAACGGCGAGCTGACGTCGATCTTCTGGCAGTAGGCCCCTCCCCAGTGCACGTGCTTGCTGTTCTCCTTGTCGGGGAACTTCTTGGTGCTGAGGCAGCTGCACACGAAGCACTGCTTGTCGCCTTCGCGCGTCTCCTGCCCCGGCACGGCGTACTTATCCACGCATGTGCCGTGGCCGGTGCAGTTGCTGGTCGCGGTGACGCACGAGTTCTGGCTGGTGAAGCAGCCCAGGTTCATCTTGTCACCCTTGGCGGCAGCACCCGGGGTGATGCCGAGATCGACGCCGCCACTGCCGGGGGAGACAGTGACCTTTTCGACCTTGGCGTCGCTCATCGGGGACTCATCCGAGAAGCGGCGGCGGAGGTCGGTGGGGGCGTCGGTGGTCCAGTACGAGTGCTTGGAGGCGCGAGACGATTCGGGGAGAAGGATCAGGGTCGCTTCAAGGTTGTTGGAGAAGACGGACTTGGACAGAGCGGGGATGCTGTCGACGAGAGCCTGAAGAGCTTCGGGGTCCTGCATGGAAGTTAGTGCACACGTTCAGAGCACTTGGCCAGCCTAGAGGCAACTGGTTGAGACCATCTGTACCTTCGCGGCGTCGTACTTGACGACCAGGGACATGCCCTTCCAGCAGCTGTCGTAGGGGTTGATGGCAGCTGCAACATCGCATGATCCAGAAACGCCACCGGCAGCGAACTCGACATCAACAAGGTGCTTGTTGGCCTTGGTTGACGGCGCGTCCTCGATCTTGAATGCGGGCGCGTAATCCTCTTTCTGAAGTCCTTCTCTCAGCGTCCTTGCATTGTCCTCTGTGACGCCCTCGAGCAGCACAACCAGCTGTGATGGGGAGACATCCTCGGAGGATCCACCGAACAGAGGCCTCGGGCTCCTGCCGTACTGGTCGAAATATGAGAGAACCCTGTCGCCGACGATGGTGCTGGAGAGGTCCTTGAGTTGCAGATCTCCGGTGACTCGTTGGAACAGAATATCGCGGGCCAGCTGTCGGGGCAGGCTGGGTGTTGCTAGAGATGATGATGATGAAGAGGCGGCGTGCTTCGAGCTGAGGATGTAGACTTCGGCCTGTTCGTGTGTTGCAGCGCTGGAAGCCAGGCCGGCGAGGCCAGCGAGAGCTAGCCCATTGAGGAGCATCATCTCGACAGACAGGGCAGACCAGACCAGGTTGGTTCTGATGATGGACGTCGGTATGCCTTGTGCTTGGGGTGTTGTCGGCGAGGCAGTTGGCAGTAAAGCTGGTGGGTGAAGATTGCGTCGTTGGACCGATTAGACTGGAGCTCCCATCAAGCTGCCGCTGATGGCTTTTGGAGGATGCGTATGACGGCCTCGAATGGGACGGTAACGGAGCAGCACCCCTGCCAGCGATACGGTACGGATGCCAAAATAATCCAGATCCGTTACCGTGACCGTTTCGCTAGTCTCGGCTACCTACAACTAGCGGCTGGTGGCCTGCAGACTGCGGGCTGCTTATCGCCGATAAGATCGATCTGGCTGGCAAGGGTCCTGCCTCTCTCTCCCTACGGACTACGACAGCCGCAAGAAAGTTGCCGCATCCATCGGGGCGGGACTCTGACAGCATCTACACGAATCTCCACCCCAGCTTGCACAGTACCACCTTATCCCATCCGTTTCCTTTCGAATATTCCAAGTCCACGTTTACGTCATTTGTTTGGTGTCGCCGGGGCAAAGCATACCACAGGCGAATCTGCTTCCCCCTTTATCATCGACGTACGGTAATCTTGCGAACTGCCTGCCGGTGCTGAGTGACACAACGAGGGGCGCAGCAGCCTTTGCGATCCGCCGTCACCAGCTTCGAGGCTCGGTCTTTCTCCTGCGCGGCCGCCCCCCTGGCGCGCCCTTCCGCCAACTGCAGCGTCCGATTTCTTGACGGAAACGGCACTTTCACAATGTTGCGCCAAGTAGCAGGGCGGCGTGCGCTGTCCATGTGGCCTCGCAAGACCGCCGCCGCCATATCCTCCGGAGACCAGGTCGCTGTTCACAAGGTTCGATTTCTGCCGCGACGTGACTACTTCAGGTATGTGCTGTTCCTTCGTCGTTTGTCTCCTTTGTCTCCCAACCCTCTCCCAGCCTTTGCTGACCATGCCACCTCCCTCCAGAAAGTTCTTCGTATACACGGCTACCGGCATCGTGTGCTGGTATACCTGGACAACAATAGCCACCCTTCCGCTGAGACACTTGGACATGAAAGATTTACCTGAAATCGAAGACAAAGAGGAAGACGAACCACTATTCGTACCGTTTCCCTTCACCGACAAGCAAGTCCAGCCGCCACCATATGCTGGGAAAGAGGAGGAGTGGCAGAGCTTCGTGGCTTTCAACAACGACCGCGACCACAGGAACCGGGCTAAACACGACCTCGCCATGTTGGTGAAGAAGACCGCTGAAAACAATTCACAAATCAAGCGGTGGGCCAAGAAGGACCTGGAGCTGACACTGGGGCCGAATTGGTTGATAATAACGTACCCGGACAGGCCACCGCCAGAATTCATACGGACGGGGTAAGTTTGTTGCCGCAATGCGGCTTCGTTCTGTGCGGGCATTCTTGTCTAACGTTTCCTTAGCATCGAATTTAGCGACGAAGCCATCTCGATCAAGACTCAGAAGGTTGACACGAGAACCAAGACGTTGATCGACCGCGTGCTGAAGCCGTATCCCCTGGCAACCTCATCATACGCCTTCGTCAAGGCATTCTTCAAGCAAAGCACCTCCGACGTCGTAAAGCTCTTCGGATATTCCGAAAATAATGACATCTCCACATCAAACCCCGACCCGGATATTGCGAAAACTCTCAAGCGGCTGGAGGCCAGGCAAATTACCGAAGGCGGTGCTGCGACAAATTCGTCATCTGCTGCAGCCTCAACTACACCCAAGACCGATCCGGAGGCGTCCTCTTCCCAGAAGTCTACCATGCCTGATTCGACGCCTGCCCGGGCGCCTGCTACCGCCAAAGAACCCGATCAGTCGGGCCAGGAACAGGGCAAGAAGTCTCTCGTCAAAGAATCCATTCCGGGTTACACAGGACTTGCGAACAAGAGCCAAGGGCCTTGGGCCGCGTTTTCCCAGCAATGGAGGCGTTCATGGAGGCCACTCAGATACTTCCCTCCGCGAGGATGTGTCGCCATCCACGGTATGGTGGCTCTGGAGTCGCCCAAGGGCCGTATTTACATCGACGTCTCCGCATGGTACAACCCCATAAAGAAGGAATTTCATCAGGAGTCCATGCAGCTGGGCTTGAAGGCCATCAGCCCGACACATCAAAGCCCAAGGCGCTAAAGAACGATGGGAGCCGTAGTGAAAGGACGCAGTGGGAGATGCAAGACATTCTGGGTATCAGGAGAACAGGACCACTAATGCTTGAAATCATTGTTTGGCGTTCGGGATGGGAGAAGACATGGTCCCCGCGGGTTCAACGGACATCATTATATCTACATGGCCACTAGACTTCAGCGATATTTTCTTTTTCCGCGCTCTCTTTGATCCGCGGTTTCCGGTCAGTGTGTTTGGGATACCAGTGAGCGTTAAGAAGACAATCCGATGCGATTGGTGGGCTTTTGGGGAAGCAGAACAGCAGGAATATCCTCCCCAGAGAATATAGGTCCATGGCCGCTTTTGGCCGGCCCATGTCGTCCGTGTGAACTCTGTCTTGCCTCCGAATGTGAATGCAAAGACTTCTCGACATTTCTTTGAAGGAAGAAATTGGACCAAGTCTGGCCTTCGCTTGTGAGTCACATGAGGTAGTAGAGGTCTACAGGTGCAGAAGTTGTCCTTCGGAAGACACGAAGACTCCAATCGGTGCTGCTCCGTCACACATGTCGGGAAGAATTAAAGCTGTGAATGTGCTAGTGTAGTTAAAGCCGCCAATGGGGGTGATTCAAGGCATGAACACTAAAACTTGTAGACAATCTAGCAAAAGATAATGGAGTGACGTGGAGATGTTATGATACAGGAGAAAGTTCCGCGTTGTCGAGCTAAAAAGTCGGCCATGATAAATCATGTCCCAAAAGGGAAAAGGGGGGGGGCCGGGTTGGCCACGAATTACTGGTATAAACAGGAACATCCTCTAAAAAGGGGCTATTCCGACAAGTCAGAACGTAAAACACATAATATGTTTTCTGAAGATTGGTTTCTCAGAGTGCTGCTTTATTGCAGAAAATTCATGTTGAATTCCTCATTTTCCGGTAGTTCACTGAGTCCATGCCTCATGCCAACATTTTTTGACGAAGCAAGTTCAGTAATCATTAGAATGGGAACAATGACAGTCCACTATGTTATATGTTTCATATTTCCTCTCGTAGCCTTCTGATGTACGACGTATAAGGGGCGAGTACATGAGCACTGGCCCCGAAATAAAGTTTAGCTGTCTGATTTACGCAGGTCGCAATATAAGCTGGCCATGACAAGCAACACACGATCAACTCTGTCGTTCGAATATATTCTTGGCATACGAGACATATATGGGACCGGATTTTATTCCTCAGATTGTGCAAACTGCCCGCGGAGGTGATTTTCACCACATGACAAGGCTAGTCATGCGGGTGCACAGAGCGTTCCCGTAAGGGCAGAACATGCCACGCAGAAACAAATGTCCGGACCGTGCTTGAATTGCGATCACCAGAGAGTGGTACGGGTCGAGAATTTGCTGCCGAAAGTCGAAATCGTATTACATATCCACAGAAGAGTCGGTATCTTCCGAGTAAGTCGAAGGACGGAGATCACCAGCATGAATCGCCCTGCCGCGTGTCGCGCTGGAGCAGCCACGGAGACAACTTGCACTCGCACATATCGCACGACTGACTGGCTTTTGAAGTTTGTATGGCATCTAGCGACGATGTGAAGGGTCTCGCAGACATCAACACAAGCTGGAATCCGACGGTCATCTCGACCAGGGAAGCTTCATCGCTGATATGATCGTCTTTAATGGTGCCCACACGCATGTCCTGCGTCCCTAGTCAGGAGCTAAAATCGATGACCAAGATAGGCCGGATAGACTTTGCTAAGGTTCGTCGCATCTTGAGCAGATCGCCAAGTTGGAAGGAGGCCCCACAGTCCGCAGCTCATGATTCGGAACGCGGGATCCAAACTATCTCCGATCCAACGGCACGACTTTGCTAGCTCCAATCTATTGGCCTGAACCTACAAATCAAAAACAATTTCTTATTGGGGGGCCATTACACCGGGACGTTTTACTGATCGGTTCGACGGGATCCAACCACGAATCTGAATCCGAGTTCCAAGCTAGTGGAAGATCCTTCCCAGACGAACCCGAGTGAGAAACTATAAAAAGGGGTTTGGAATACACTACCTTTCTTATTTTGGCGCGGATGGCTCCATGCGAGCGGTCTTGGCAGCGAGTAAGTTTCCAGTGGTCTGCTGCGCGCCGCGGAGGTCGTAGCCCAAGAATAAAAGCGCCAGGGATCATACAAGTTGCCAAGGTGAACCTTCAATGCGGCTCTGTCACTTGGCGCTTCCCGAAGTATCGGATAGGCCGGGTGGTATCTAGTCATGTGCATAGCACCACTCCACCCCCGTGGTAGGGAGAGAATAAAGTTCAACACATCATGAGAAGATTCAGCCATTGTGGACCTTCTCATCCCGTTTGCTGTTTCGCCATTTATCCAAGGGAGAAGGGCTCTTGGCAAGAACCGTAAACATGATCTGCACCCGAGGACGGGGGAGGCCAGGAGCAGGTAATGACTAGGCAGGAAGACATGATGTGGTCATTTACAAAAAGCTTGCTATGCCCTTCTCGTGGCCAGCTGAGGAAATGTCCAGCTGGTTCATCTGAATTATCTTCACTGTCATTCTTTTTTGTACCAGTGCTTGTAGCTTACAATGGTCGACACTCGTTTCCTAGCCGGCGGGAGCCGTGCTTCTATTCTCACAACTATCCTCGCGTTCACTACCTCACTCACTACTGCCTTTCCCACGCAGAATGACTTCAACGGCGTAGAGCTGCTGAGGAGGCAGAACTCCTCCCAAGCCCTGGGTGACTGCCTTGCCACCGCCGGCATCGAAACCTCCCTCCCTTCCAGCGCAACCTGGACCAACGACACTCAAGCATGGAACTCTCGTGTGTCTCCTGTCCCATCTGCAGTCGTCTTCCCTAAGACCGAGGAGGAGGTCTCAGCTGCACTGAAGTGTGCATCGACCACAGGGACCAAGGTCACCACTCTCGGTGGTAACCGATCCTTCTCCAGCATGGGCTTTGGACGTAACGACGGCGCCCTCATCATCAACCTCGTGAACCTGAAGGTGCTGGAGTATGACGAGACGAGCCAGCTCTTCACGTACGGAGGCCCCGTCATGATTTCGGAAGCAGCCGGATTCATGTGGGAGAACTACCAGCGTGCTCTCCCCCACGGTCGATGCCCTGACGTTGGCATGGCCGGTGTTGCTGCCTCTGGTTTCGGTACACTTTCTCGTGCCTCTGGAACCGTGCTGGACAATGTCGTCGGCGTGCGCGTCGCCCTCGCCAACGGCACCATTGTCGATGCCGACGCCAACGAGAACTCCGATGTGTACTGGGCAGTCCGCGGCGCTGCGAGCTCCATCGGAGTCGTGCTGAGATTCAAGCTTCAGACTCTTGAGCCTCCCTCCCAGGCCGTCTTTAACTACACCATCGCCTTCTCGTCCAACTCCACACCCACACAGCAGGACAACGTTGACGCCCTCATCGGCACTCAGACTTGGGCCCAGAGCGCCGACAACAACGACCTCCTGTCCATCCGTTTCGGCATCAAGACCAAATCCCAGCTCCAGGGCTTCTTCTACGGCACCGCGGAGGAGTTCGACAAGGTCTCCCAGTCCCTGCTGAGCTACCTCCCCTCGACCATGACCATCAAGTCGACCGAGGCCAACTTCTGGGACTCGGAGGAGTTCACCACCCCAGGAATCAAAACCAAGTCCATCACCGGGCGCCGGTACTTCTACATCTCCTCCGTGACCATCCCGGGCTCCGCGCCCCTGGACAACTCCACCGCGTGGGAGCTCTTCTCCGCCACCGCCTACGAGGAGAAGCTCGCCGACGCGACCGCCTCGGGCTTCGTCGACATCTGGGGCGGCAACTTCACCAAGGCCGTCAAGCCGGGCGACTCGGCCTGGAAGCACGACGACAACCTGCTGCTGATCCGCTGGGACATCCGCACGTCGGCCTCCGACGTGCCCTTCGCGGACACGACCCTCGACGCCGTCCACGACCGCTTCTACCAGTTCGTCGACGCGTACAAGGCGGCCGGCGGCACCCCGGGCGGCTTCACCACCTACCGCGACGAGAAGTGGGACATCGACCAGACCGCTGAGTACCTGTACGGGGACAACTGGGCCCGCCTGCAGGCCATCAAGACCGCCGTCGACCCGGATGAGCTGTTCAACACCGACCCCCAGGCCGTCCCTGCGCTGACTGCTTAGGCGGTTGCATCGCGCTTTCTGTGGATATCTTTGTGGACGAATTGTGTATACATACTTTGATAACAGTCAATACAAACCTTTGTCGTGATCCTTAACACCTTGAATACTCATGCATGTCCAGGTCCTCTGCACATGTGTAATGCGGAATTAAGGATGTAGTATGGTTGTATTCATAGTCTTTCGGCAAATATGCCGCGAGAAGTATGATTTATCATACCCTCTGAACGCAAATGCTCCATGTACCAAAATCAAAAATATTTGGTACTCAACTAGCCCTAACTATTATACCCAGCCGCGACAAGTAGTCCCGCGCCTCATGGGTATATTCCATGGATCAGTCGCTATTGCAGGAAGATCAGGTGCGAACCCAAACAGTCCTCCCGCGCCATGCTGATCCTCGTGCGGAAACAACCGGGTGAACGAGCTGCGGTTCCAGGGGTGCTCCGAGGTGGCTGGCTGGTTGTCCGCCGCCAGGACCCGCGAACACGCCACGCAGCGCCTCGGGGGCAGCCTGGGCCAGTGGAAGTTCCAAGGCCCGACCTCAGGCCCCGGCTGCTCGCCGCCCACGTTCTTCTTCTCCCTCCCGAGGAGGGCCGTGTTGAGGTCGATGTCGTAGACCTGCTTCATCCCCGCGTAGTTACATGTGCTGCCCGAAAGTCTGGAGATTCCACAGGTCCGCCTGCCTCAGCTTGTCCTCCCTTGCGAGCTGCAGGGCGCGGGCGCCCTTGACCTCCTTCAGCGCCGCGTCCATGTACCAGTCCAGACGCTCCTCCGGGGTGGGGCTCCGGATGTCTGTCGGGGCCCATGTTCTGCGTTGCCGTGGCTGCGGTGTGTACCCGCTGGGAAACTCCAGCGCTCGGGGTTCTCCAAAGAGTGAGGCTCGTCCTCGCTGGTTGGTCCCTGGGCAGCCGAGGGGACGGACTGGCTGGTTACTTTCTTCGTTCGGCGCCGAATAGCAACTGATGACATGATGGAATGGCTGGTTGCTTTCTGCATCCGGCGACAGTGGCTCCTCGAGCTCCCTCTGGAGCTCCCTCTTGAAGTCCTCATCGGCATGCTCGTTCTCGGGTGCAAACTGCACACGTCTAGAGCGGGTGCGTGTCTCTCGGACTGGTGCATCCGCGTCACCATCGGGGGTAGGAGACTAAGGAGAGCGCTGAGATGCGTCAGTGCCGGCTTGCTTCTTTTGGTTTCAAGACATGCCACATCTCGATTGGCCTCAGTCCATGTCTCTTACCTTTCGCTTGCTAACTACTTTGCGTTTCTTCGGCGCATGTTTGAGCCTCCGGTTACCTCTCCTTGGATTTGTGTCTCGTTTAAATTTGGCTGCTTCCACGATAGTCTGATAGTCTGGATATGACTCCAGCCGTGGTTTCCTGAACTCGCTTGATGTTTTTTGTCGTCTTCCGCACCATGGTAATCGGTGAGATAGCCAGAGAGGAAAGGGGCAGTGACCATAAATAGCGCTTCAGAGTAACAAGGTGAAGTCCATTAAATATGTACGTACGCACGGTATACATGAAGCGATCATTTCTTTGAGCGAGTGCTGGGTTTCTTTCATCCAACCGGGCGAATCCCGATGCGGCCGTTTCCGTCGAGCAGACCTGGTTCATGCTGTATTAACTACGCATAAGTGAATTGGTACAGGACGATCTCGCCTCATACTTTTAGCAATTATAACTGTGGGGACTTGGCCTTACCTGGGTAGGAGTACAATGAAGTGCGCTCTATCTAATACAGGGCGTAATGTAAGAGCCTCTTTGACAACCTCCCTAGCTGCAAGTGGAAGACACGTGCCTCAGGCGGAAGAGACCATTTGTAATAGAGCAACCTTGATCAAGATGTCTTATGCCGAAAGCCATTGCAGATGTATCTATCCCCTGTAAATTGGCCTGATTTCATTGTACACAGATTTTAATTCACCAGTAGTATTAGGACTAAGCACCCAAACTCTAAGTACACTGCCCTAATATATTGATATGTTGATTCTGTGGGACAAACCAGAGTGCACTTTGCAACTGTTGCTTTATTACTCACTGTGGTACAGACAGCGCACATAGTATCAACATGTTCAAAGCATCCAGGGGTGGCCAAGACATGGCAGAAAAAAGAAAGAAAAATAATTAAACAGCGAAGGAGTCACTACAATATGCAAAAGAAAATTTCCAATGCCCATTACTGGAATCGAACCAGTCACCTCATCATCGCTATTTAGTACTAGTGATGCGCTCTACCGATGAGCTAAACGGGCTTGAAGTCAGGGTTTTCCATGGCTTCATGATGGTGGATCGTGAGAAAATCCACAAGGGGGAGACCTGGGCCGTATCCACCCAGGAGAAGCATGAAGAGACCCACCTGTCACTCTGTCTCATGGAATGATGTAAGACGATTTGTTCCGTGGTTATCGAGTATGTGGGTATCGTATTTGTATTATCGTCATAATATCTATTTCTTTTCTGGTCTTTTTTCTATCCTGTCTAACTTTTGCGGAATTTATTCCTGTAATTTTCTTTCTTTCCCATTATGCAACTTCTTTGCGCATATGTCTATTGCTCTAGAATGAATCCCCCCCACCTCAGGCCGGATCGAACGGCTTCCTCTCCGTCTCGCCGCGCTTCGACCATGCCTCCTCGCTGAGCGCGTTCCACCGCACCCTGTCCTTCATCTTGAGTTTCTCGCATGCTGTGTCCTGCGTCTTTGGGTATCCCGGTCTATCGTCTTTGGTCTTTGGTGTTTCTAGCGGTGGTGGCGGCCGCGGGTGTCCGTTGGCCTCCCCGTCCTCCTGCGGCCTGATGTCCAGCTCGAACTTCTTGTCCTTGCACGCCTCCAGGATCTGCTCCGGCACGCCGTCCGGGCCCTCGACCACGATCAGGGCCCGCAGCTCGCGGGCCATGAACTCGATGTTCTGCAGCATCATGGCGAACAGCTCGGTGACGGTGTCGTCGCCGCCGAGGGGCTCGGTGAACTCGAGGACCTCGAGGCGCGGGGGCAGGCCGGCCGAGTGCAGGCGGGGCTTGCGCCCCGTCTTGCCGAACAGCTGGGTGTCGCGGTTGAGGCGCAGGTACTTGACGGACTGGAAGTCGCGCAGGCGCAGGACCCTGCGGCCGCCCAGGGTGGGGTGGTCGATGGTGATGGACTCGAGGGTCTCTGCCTGGTCTTTCAGGGCCATGATGTGCTCGCAGATCTCGTCGGAGCCCTCCTCGAGGTCAGGGGTGGGCTCGGCCGTGTGGTAGAGGTAGAACTCGCGCAGGCCCTCTGGGAACTCCATGATGTCGGCGAGCGAGTCGTCGTTGATGTCGCACTCGAGCAGGCGTAGGGACTTGAGGGCGGTGCTATGGGGTCGCTCCATGAAGTCGAAGCCCCTCTCGTCGAGCTTGGCGCGGCGGATGGTCAGAGTCTCGAGGGTGGGATGGGTGAAGATGTGGATGTTCTCGCGCAGGTCCCAGTAGCCGTTGTCGGGGCACTGGTAGAACAGAGAGCACGTCTTGAGGCCGGCGAGGTCGAAGGGCCCGTTGAAGAGGGCGCCGATGCCGTGCAGCAGCTTGACGGGGACGGCGATGTCGAGGGTCTCGAGGTTGGACATGGAGGCGAGGGCGCGCGACAGGCCATCGACGCCCTTGCGGAAGGTGTTGGAGCGGGCGGACTGCTGGTCGAGGGCGCTGTCGAGGATGAGGTGCGACAGCTCGGAGCTCGGGTACTCGAGCTTGATGTTCTCGATCATGGAGCCACGGCGCGGGCGGCGGTCGAGCGACTCGCTGAAGATAAGATGGTGCTCGGGCGATTCGAAGAGGATGCTGCGATAGATGCGGTCGGCCAGGGTGTGGTACTTGTGGCTGAGGATCGAGACGTTGCAGATGTCGTGCCTCGACTCGTGGGCTAGCATGTCAAAGATGAGCAGCAGCAGCTTGTCGGGCAGCCGCGCGAGTCGGTCGGCCTGCGACTGAGAGTGCGACTGGGTCTGGGTCTGGGGATCTGGCTGCGGCTCAGGGAGCGCGTTGGATGACGGAGTAGTGGGGGCGCCATTCTCCACCACGTCGCGAGACATTGTCGACTCGGTTGAGGGAGTTGCGGGAGATGAGGGCGACGGCGGCGAGGTCGAAGAGGGTGGCGCGTAGAGGTGCGACAGCCCTGCGGGCAGGAACGGGCTGGTCCAGGGGGCGACGTAGGATGTGAGTACGTGGTGGAATGTAGAAACAAAGGCGTTCATGATGAAAAAGAAGCGAAAGGGAACAAAAGGGTGACAAAATCCCGAAGGAAGGTCGAGGGAAAGTCGAGGAAAGTCGAGGGCGGGTGGGCCCAGGACGTGAGCCGAAGCTTAGCTGAGCTGGGCTGGGTCGAAGTGAGCTGACAGTGACAGCAACAAGTAGATGAAACTAATGGACAATGGGTGAATAATAGAATCGAGTGACGAAACCAGACAGACAGGACAAAAAGGTCGAGGGCTGCTCTGTCTGATGACACGTGGAGTGACCCGATCACATGATTGAGGGAAACAGGAAAATTGGCGGGAACTCGAGGCAACAGGAGAGGGAAGAGGGAGAGAGAGGGTGAGACCAGACGCCAAAAAACCAGTCGAAAACGTCAATAAGTTTTGCGACTTGTGATGGCCGCTAAGAACAAGCCTCACGCAAGCGCTCCATCAAGGGTCGCAGGCCGCCGCCCAGATAGAGACGGGCGGATCCAGATTGGCAGAGAGAGAGAGGCATGGACATTTCATTTCAAAGCCGTCAGGCTGCCTTGCCTGCCTTCTGGGGCGAATCCATTTTTCTTAGTGCCCGTCCGCCGCGTGGGGAAAGAAGCACGCCCCTGCAGGTCTGGCCTGCCAGGCCCAGGTCCAGGTTGGGTTGTGCCCAGGAGGTGCCTGCGGGCGGATGACGGGGAGAGTGATATGGGGTCGACGCCGTCAATGGAAATGTTCCGACACGCCAAGCGCGATCCAAAGATAAATGGGTGGCAGGTCGTGGCCTGATCCTAAACCCGGACCCTGAAATGAAGCACACCGGGGAAGTGTAGGGGAGGGGCTGGGGGTCGTCACCCAACAAGCTTATCTTATCAGCCTCAGCACCACATTCCTCCCTTTCGTCTTGGGTGAGAGATCCACTTCAGCCAGGCAACACTTGATGAAAATCAACATACTTCATCTGACAGGTCCAGTTCAGCTGCCTTATTGTAAGCATCGCATCTGTTGACCTTCTATTTACCTCCTCTACTAAGGCAGTTCCCCTTTTCTTGTTGCCGGGTGTCTTGTCCATCACCTCCTCGCGTACATCTGCATCACATACGCCTAACCTTCAGTCATCTAACTCCGCTTCACCACCATGGGCGGCGAGGGCCCTACCATCGCCATCATTCGGGGTCTCAAGGCTCGGGTACCCGTGCTAGACCGTTTCCTGAACGCAAATGGGGTCGATGAGACATACGGCCTTGCGCCTTTCTACGATGTCGACCCCGACAAGCGGTCACGGCTTCTGCGCTCAAAGTTCGGAGGCGGCGATACACGCACCCGCATCTTTGTCCCCTCAAACCTGAGCCACAATGAAACCAATTTTGCATATGTGGCCTGGGCCTGGGAGATGATCTACGCCCAGAAGGAGATTCTCTTAGACCAGCAGCTCCCTACAAATCCACCGACGGGATGGGCAGCTGTAAAGGACGAGATCTTATCCTTTAGTCATGATACTGATTCCAATTGGAAGGCCGCTGGGCATGGACAGACGGGTTTATTCATCGTAGTATCAGACGAACGGCCATACTTTCCCCCATCGTTTCTGCAACAAACTACAGTAATTTATTCATCTTCGACTACCCCCCCCCCCCGTGTATTTACTTGCGGCTGGGGACTTGCTAATACGCTACTTTGTGCAACAGCCACCGATCCATTGCGACCAATGCGAGGCTACTTTTGACTTGATTTACAAACGACAGGAGCACCGGAGGCTGGAGCATGGAATCGACGACGGATGCAATCCACTCCCAGACAATGATTAACGTGGATCACCACACCAGCTTTTGGCGTAGTTGTTTCCAGTAAGACACATGGCTTGACGGGACATCAAGCTTCCAGAGGCTCAATTGCCCGCTAGCCCGTCTTCTAGGCTGTGTGTTAGTACAGGCCATTGCATTTTGCATGCTACATTTATTGCCTAGAGCCAGGCGCGTGCCGAGGCGTGGTAGTCTGTAACACCGCGCCTGGTGCCGGGAGACAGGGACGCGTGCTGTTCCGTAAGCAATGTTCTTCCATAAACCTCATGCCAGCTGTGGAAGGTCCCTGCCTCCGCCCCTCTTCGGACTCATACATGGCGCTTGAAGGTCTAAGCCACTTGCCTTATACTAGAATAAAAGTTGTAAGATGTTTCAACCTCTATCCTCCCTAACATTCGTATTTGATTATGCCTCCATATTAAAATTAACACGCAAATCCTTGAGGACGTTGTGGATTTCTCTTTGTACTCTGGAGCTACTTCCGATAGTGTAGAATATTATACACCTATAAAGATAAATGTCTGTATTGCATAATTAACCAAGAATAATTTTCTGTGGTGCTCCACAGTTCTTCTCCCAAGTATCCTTTGATATGCGTCCCGCTGCCTTCCTGTACCTGATGTTGCCTCTGGTTTCAACCCACAGGACGTTGTAGAACTCATAGGTCTTGTCACGCCACGTCTCTGGTAGTTCTTCTTCGTAGCCCGAGTGCGTATCGTAATCTTTCAGAGGAAAGAGTGGTCCCTGATCTCGCCCAAGTAGTCTATTTTCAAAGAACACTGGAGACGGAGGTACCGGAAGCGGCAATCTGGTGTTGAAATTGGAAACGGCCAAAATCTTCTTGCACTCCGCTGTATCCAAAGGGCCACTATCACGGCACTCGAAGTGGTAGTGGTCGCCATTACACGGATCAAACTTGTAGCATCCAAGTCTGTCAACAGTTGCCTCGTACGTTGAATCAGCATCCCAGTAACTGCAACTGCCTCGGGAAATAGCTACGACTTCGATGGTCTGGGCAGAGCAGGCGGTTGGAACATCATCCATCACTCTCATCACGCCTGCCCATCTGCCCACGTAGTCCTCGAGTGTGATGACAGGGCACAAGGTATCCACTTCCAGGTCATCTTTGTCCAGAGACGTATTAAAAACCGAGGCTGAAAGGGCCGACTGGAATTCAACCCGTGGCTTGATTCTGCTGCTGGGAACGAGGGTCCGGCGTATGCGAAGCTTAGCACTCGTCGTTGTTTTTGACAGAAATTGGGTACTCCTGGAGCCGGCGTCGACTGACAGGTTGTCATTAATAGGTGATGGATACCAGGAAGAAGGTTCGTCGACCTGGGGGTTCAGACCACTTCGGAGACTCTTCGGATCAACCAGACATTGCCATCCAACCCAAGACCAGGACGGCAGAGGTGATGGCGGCGTCAGGTTCGGATCAGAAAAAGCCGCAACTCTCCCCTTGGCTTCGAGCGAGGCTGCCAGAGGAGGACAGAGTCAAGGACGAATGTAGGTAATCCGCTGATGAACCCACCATGGAAGGATGGAATGAAACCGTCGAGCACGCAGGAAAAGGCCGCAAGGGCGTCTTGGGGATATGTGAGGTCGCGATGATTATATCGGCATACGGAAAGAGGGGCCTTCCGTACCCTGCACCTTTGGTAGCTGGCTTCAGCGCTGTCGGCCATGTTGCTGCCGTTGGACCCGACTCAACGGCGTAGAAACCAGGGCAGCTGGTTTACATCGACTGCGTTGTACACTCACGGATTGACCCCGATACGACCTTTCTGTCAGCGTATTTCGAAGGATTCAGCGATGGGAGTAGGAAGCTGATGCGAGATGTGTGGCGCAATGGGACATACGCAGAGTATGCCAGGATGCCACTGGAGAACTGCATCCCACTTGATCAAACAAGTCTATGTGGTGGCTTGGGGTACTCGCTTCAGGACTTGGCGTACATGTCATACCTGCTCGTGCCTCATGCTGGGCTGAGAGACATCAAGCTCGAACCTGGTGAGACGATCGTCGTCTGTCCGGCCACCGGATTCTACAGCGGCTTTGGTGTCCAAGTCGCAGTTGCAATGGGTGCAAGAGTGATAGCTATGGGCCGAAACGAGGAGAAGTTGGCAAGGCTGAAGGAGGATATCAGAAACCGCTCGCCAGGTGCGAACATCGAAACAGCCACGATAACGGGCGATGAAAAACAAGGATGCGGCCGCGTTGCGTGCTTTTGGTGTCATTGATGCCGTTCTAGACATCACGCCCTCATCCGCGTCCGCGTCAACCCACACCAAGAGTGCGATCAAGGCCCTACGTCGCGGAGGAAGGGTCAGCTTAATGAGATCTGCCAGGAACATCTCGGTTCAAGAAATCATGATGAATAACCTCACTCTGCAAGGTAAGAGCCCGCGCAGCTGGTCAAAGAATTATAACTGACAACATGAAAGGCAAAAACATGTATGAAAGAGATGTCATTCTGCAGTTCGTCAAGCTGTTGGAAAGGGGCCTATTCCCCAGAGGTAAGGGTTTCGTTGACACAAAGTCCTTCGGGCTTGACAATTGGAAAGAGGCGTTCGATGTAGCTGCGGACTACAATGGCATCGGCAAATGTGTAGTCTTTGCCCCGGAGGATAGTGGTACAGCTGCTTAGATACAGCCTATCCTCGATCCTTCAGGCATTTTCACAGTGTTTGCGAAGGTTTCAATGAATAAGAACATTTTCACATGCGACAAGGAAGCGGACTCGACAATTTCCTTTCACCTAAGTCCCTCGCATATAGTAGGGCTGTAAAGAGCAACGTACCCGTCCCTTGTGTGTATGAAGACGTGCTGCTCTGATTTACAAAGTGCTTGACCCGAACGCTACGTGTTTTTCTATACTTCTGCAATAAATACTTAGGGCCTGGCAAAGTTAGTTTGGCTGCGTGCCGATAGACCGACTCAGGGAGCTACACAATGCAGAGCAGCGCCACGGAAGATACCTGCATTCTTTTGTCCTAGTGTGTGTTCTAAGGAATTACCATCCGCCGTTAAGATTGGAATGGTCGTAATTTGCACTTATAAAAATTCCTTTCAAGTTCCTTTAGGAAACGGCTAATCCGTGCCGGATCTATCATCACTGCTTGCAACTCCCACCGAGCAATTGTGTACGAACTATAATGCACACGAATGGATGCCGCCGAGCCATTGCTCTCTGACTTTATCAAGACCAGACCCTACTGAACCAATTCCTCATCCTCGTAGTGGCATCTCCGACTACCTGCCTCTGGCCCTCCAGCAGGATGAAATCATGTGCCTCCTTCTCAGCAACCTCCAACTTGACCTCGACGTCTGCGTTTCGAGCACGAATGCTCTCAGCAATATCGATCCCTTGATCTCTCAGAAGCTCATGCTTCCCACACGTAACATAAACTTTCCTAACAACGTTTCCCATCCCATCCAACCACTTCTCATCGACGTCTGCCATCAGTGCCCACCCCCTGCCCTCCCGAAACTCCTTGGTCTCGATCAGGCCCCAATTAGGGAAAAGCACACCTAATAAGCCTCTAGGCTTCTCATGGAACATCTCGCGGATCGGTTTATCAATGATCCCCTCGCTCAGAATATCACACGGCCGCCCGTCGACAAATGACCTCGTCAGCATGTTCTGGCTCACAAGCGGGCTAACCAGGAACGCCCCGGCCAGCGGCTCGTCCAGCACGATCCTCTCGGCCAGCGGATGCGGGTGCAGCAGGTGGCTGAGCAGCTGCACCGTCAGGTTCCCGCCCGCCGAGTCGCCGCCCACGACGAGCTGCGAGGGTCGCACCCCGCCGCGCAGCAGGTGCGCCAGCCCGGACGCCGCCTGGCGCATCTGCGTGGGGAACCGCGCCTGCGGCGTCAGCGTGTACTGCAGCACGGCGACGGCGACCCTCTCGCGGCTGCTGCTGCCGTTGCGCCGCGTGTTCCTGCTGGCCAGGACGTACGCCTGCAGGCACCACTCCATGTGGCCCGGGACCGCGGGCATGAAGTACCCCCCTCCGTGGAAGAAGTAGACGAACCGGGTCGCCCTGTGCCGGTCGCCGATCCAGAGGATGTGGGACCTGCCGTCTGGCAGGACCTCGATGTCCTCCTTCAGCTGCTCCATGAGCTCGAAGTCGCCCGACTTGCGGTCCTCGGAGCGTTTGCTGCGGATCCATGCTTTATATGTGTCCATCGTGGGCGGGGTGAAGAGCTGGATTTGTGCTGGGGAGAAGGTGTACAGGAACATGCGGATCGCGGCGCAGGTTATGTATGGTCTTAGGGGTAGCCTGCGCCATATTGCTGTGAGGACGCCACGAACGAGGTTGATGGCTAATTGGATTGGAGCTGTGCGCATGACCGCTGTTAGTGATGCCGGATTTCCTGTAGGTTTTTCATGTCTGCCGACTCACCCCATATGAGCACCCGAAAGGGCAGGTCAATCCATTCGCGCAGTAAGAGGGAAGGCCTGCTAACGTATTTTTGTTGTTGAGCCTGTGTCATATTAGCTATCAAGCAACCCTGCATCGTCATGGGCTGCATTCTTGAGGACCACTCACCATCGCGTCAGTGTGGACCGCAAATGCTGCTAGCCAGTTGCAAGCCCAGTCTACACTGAAGTCGATAGAAAGAAACGAGACACGATCATCTACAGGAAGGAAGTAGAAAGAAATATATATTCCCAACTGAGTGTTTGAGCCACCAAGCTTGAAGCGTGGGAGCTCGGACTTGTGACGCGCATTCAGAGTTCGGACGATGTGATGCCTCGGCTTCATGACTCGGCCACTGTTACAGTACGCTATATAGGTGATAGCCACGGTAATGCTCTCGGCATTATAACGTCCCTCTTTTGGTTATTTCATACAATAGGCTTTCTTATGCCGTAATAATTTATAATGCCTCCCTAGGGGTTTTAAGTTTGAGCCAAACTTTATAATTGCTATTTTTAGCCATGGACTTTTTCTTATATTAGCAAGGGGCCAAGGACTTAACGTAATCTTAAATCCACATGTAAGAAAGAGGCAAATTAAAATAAAAAAGCTAAATAACTTAACTTAAAACTTTAAAATAATGCCTTTAAATTTATTTTAAGGGGTATTTATTTAGCAAAAAGGTAATAAACTAGCCTTATTAATTCATTAAGATAATAAATCTTAAGGTTAGGCAATTATCACAATACGCTATATAGGTAATAGCCATGATAATGCTCTCAGCATTACAACATCCCTCTTTTAGGTGTTTAGTACAATAGGCTTTCTTGTGCCGTAACAGCCACTTTGAAACAAGCTCGCACTTTTCAGAACCTGTGGCCCGTTTTGGAAGGCCATGGAAGCTCGTTCTGAATTTAAGGTTTGCGGCACTTCAGGGATCATATCACGAGAAGCTCCAGCTGTCATTCTCATCCATGCCCCAACCACATCCAAACCTAGAGCTTACCCAGCCGAGCCTAAAGGAGCTTGGTCCATCAGTAACAATTCACCCGATACTTCTGACCGTTCAAAGCCACAATCTGTTAATTGAGTGAGAGCATACCTTTATGAGAGAACGATTTCGCTATTCAGTCAGTGGTCAGGCTCTCAGTCATCACAATCTGCACAATCGTCACTCAGTCAGCATGTGCTAAATGGGCCAATGGTGAAGAATACCATCTTGACCATTCTTTTGATCACAGACGTGCAAAGTGGCCAGTACGGGGATAATTGGGCATAAGCTGAGTATAGTTGTTTGTTCCGCAAGACTCGAAGGCCCTCAAAACTTCACCTACAACCGCACTGTTACATTAAATGCTGTCCCAAAGTTTATCTACTAATCAGGTCACCGCCCATCCGCGGGCCCCCAATGACCAATTCTCCATCCACCTCTAGACGGCACTGCCGTTACTTCCCCCCTGCTGACACTCAGGAAAGCCCCGGTCAGCCTGGAAGGCAGCCGTGTTGAACTCGGAGTAGACCGTGTCGATTTGCACAGTCTCGGGGTTGACGTCGAAGTTGATGATGCCGTTGATCTCAAACTGGTTGCTCCCAATTCCGGTGGCCCTCCACCGCCAGCTGATCTTGTCGCAGGTGTTGAACACACCCAGGGTATCGACCACCGGAAGTGGGGGCGTCTGGGCCTGGCTGTCAATGTAGGCCTGCTTGCTCGGGTACGCGGGCTGGCCGAGCTGTGGAAGATTGGGATACGTCAGTTCTTTGTGCTCCTCGCTTGTGCAAGCCTGGGGCGCATGTTGTACTCACGGGTCGCTGAGACAGCGTCAGGATGGAGTCGGAGAGCACCTGGAACTTGTCGGACAGGATCGCCTCGGCGGTGCTGTTGAAGTCTGGGCCGAGGGGGTGCTCCAGCAGGTACGTATAGCCATTGACAAGAGTGTCGACACCGGTCTTGTTCAGACAGTTTCTCGGGGGCGGTGGCCCGTACCCTCCAGCGAGCGCACCGGCAACGAATGTCAGGACAATTGGAATTGAGAAGAGCATGTTGGTTGGTCTGTTGTGTCTTTTCGGGAACTTCAGTAAAACCTTCTTTTGGGATTGGCGGTCGGCTTCTTTCGGCGAACGAGAGTTGGTAGACGGACTGCTTGGTCTTTTGTACAAGATGTAGTTGGACGTAAAATGGGTAACGGGTGGCACGAGTTGCGGGAGTGGCAGCGTGTCGTGCGACTTTATACGTGGTCCTCATTTATACTCATTGACACCCTCAACAGTGACGCATGAACCCATTGGAAGTAGGATTCAATTGCTCATTGTCACCTGGCCACCCAGCCACTACTGCGGTCTACTGCGGTGTCCTCGGATCATGATGCTGTGATTCACCGCGGGTGAGACCTTGCGTGCTTATTCCGCTGCAAGGACGGCCAGCCGCACGTTGCTAGCGAGGATGTTCCTGGCTACGTGCTCGATGCCTCGCCGTCGACAAACCCCAGAACGGTCATTCGGCCGCAACCACGAGCTAGCAGACTGGCCGGCAGCGACGTCGAGCTTATTTGCCAAGCTTACCGAGCTGAAGGTTATTGTCCGCAATGGTCTGTCTGACTGTGCTGGGAATGACCAGCGCCAGTGCCGTAAGCAGACTGTGGCACCCAAACCGGCAGACATGAAAAAAGGATCTTCATGCATGCGCATGCATGATTCTTTCTGGTTCAGGTCTTGTGTATAGCAAGCTGCAGGTCTCGGGCCGCAAAGAGGTCTTGGTGCAGCCACCAGAGCAGCCGGCCGCCTGGAGCCATTATGAGGCTGACATGATGTTGGAAATATAATGCGCGTACGAAAAGGAGGGCTTGTCGGAAAGTTGAATAATATATTACCCGCCCACAATAGCGAGGAGGGAGGTCAGCTGAACGTGAACCTGCCCCTGTGATCAACGATACGACACTGGAAAAGCCCGCATCCAAAGCATAATATAAACATGGTGACACCTCCTGAGTGGGCCGTTACTGCTGAAATTCGCAGTGGCTTGTCGTGCTCACCATAATGTGCGATCTTATCACCGGCCCGACTGTGCAGGTCACTGGCTGTTTTGCTTTGAAATTTGGGAGTCTGACAATTACGCGAAGGTCTCAACAACTCATTTTACCCTGCACCACAGTCCCAACGGAAGCGGGTGGATTGTGCTCGCCAGCAGACCGTGCCACGGGATGGTATTTGTCATGTTGAGTTGTCAAGTTTGACCCAGGCCAACTCATTTCCCCCTTCAGATTAGGGAAATCTCCACATCGCGGTGGCTCACATTGTGGTAAAAAAAAAAGGACGGATTCCTAGCTCTGGTGAATTTACAGCATTTTGCACCAGTGATGTGTGACTCGGTATGGAATTGATTCCTATACGGCCGGAAGAGAATGCGAAGACATAGTGACAGCTTTACATTTCACCAGATAATCTGCTAGACACCAGCCCGCTTAAACAGGTCAAACACCCTACATATGTATGCCAAAATGCTTTTCCAGAACAGGCCAAGGAACAAACACACGCACACATGACGTTTGTACTCACTCCAAATACCTAGTCAAAGTCTCGCCCTTTCCCCGGGTCCGTCACTCGCAAGATCGCCCGCCACGTTCCTCGAGATCCAGTCCGAGATGGCCATATTCGTCACCATGGGGTTGACGCCGCTCGCGCTGGGGAACACGCTCGCGTCGCTCACGTACAGGCCCTCGGTGCCCCAGACGCGGCCGCGCGGGTCGACCACGCCGGTCCTCTCGGACGTGCTCATCCGGTTCGTGCCCATCTGGTGGGCGGAGCACGTGGCCACGGGCGGCTTGTTGCCGTGCCTCTCGAGCTCGGCGAGCCAGGCCTTGAAGCGCGGGTCGGCTACGCCCGCGTCGGACACTGTGCTGACGAGATCATCTGTCGGGGTTGCGGGTGAGGGAGCCGAGTGAGGGGATGCCTCGTCGCGGATGAAAGGCCTCAACCCGGGGAGCCCCGCGTGGATCTCGATTGCACCCTGCAGGTAGAGGATCTTGGCGAGGGCGACGAGGCCGATCATGGCGTGGGCGCGGTCAAAGGCAGAGGGCGTGTAGACGATCCGGGGCTGGCCGGAGGCCGGGTCCGGGTACACGGAGCCGGTGTCGCGGTCGCGCACGATGGAGATGTAGCTGTTCATGTGGCGGTACTTGAGGGCGAGCAGCTTGAAGTCGACGCCGTCGTTCCAGTTGAGGAACTGCATGGCGAAGCAGGGCATCATGGACAGGCACTCGAGCTTGGTGCCGTGGCCCTTGCCGTCCTGGTTCTCGAAGGTGTTGACGACCGTGGTCAGGATGCCGCCCTCCCATGGCCGGATGTCGTCTTTGAAGAAGCCGTGCAGGACGTTGACTGGATGCAGGTAGAGGTTTCGGCCGATTTGAGGGTTCTGTGTGATTTTGTCAGTAACTGCGAAAGGCGGTTGAATGTGGATTGAAGAAGTGCTCACCTTGAGGCCACTGTTCTTGAGGATGACAGGACTCCACAGCGTGCCACTGCTGACAATGACCTTCTTTGCCCTCACGACTACCTCTCTCACGATCTTCTCCTCATCCGGCCCGTCTGTGTTGTTATATTTACCACGACTTGTCCAGGTGCCAACAACACCCACAGCCTTCCTCCTCCCGCTCTCATCGAACAAGACTTTCTTCACCTTGAATCCCTCGACGAACCTCGCTCCGTTCCTCGCTGCATCAGGGTACCACCCATTCACCGGGCCCTTCTTTTCCCCGGTCGAACAGCCCAGCGCACAGTGCCCATCAGCATGCGCACACCGCCCCGTGTTCTGCGGGACCTTCTTCGCAGACCAACCCAGCTTCCTCGCCCCCTCAACCAAAAGCGCATTCCCATGGTTCGGCTCAAAGTCCTCGTGCACGCCCATCTGCCCACACACGCGATCAAGACAATTCTGGAACTCCTGCGTGCCGAAGAAGTCCAGGCCCCGGCCGCGCACCCACTCGTCGCGCACGAAGCCCTGCGGCTGCAGGCTCGCGCTCCAGTTGACGGTGCCGCCGCCGCCGAAGCACGAGCCCGCGACGATGGAGATGCTGTTGTCGTCGCTGGCCGTCGTGCAGCCGCCCTCGAGCAGGTTGAAGAAGGCCTCGCCCGCGGCCATGGGGAAGGACGACGCGTCGAAGTGGTAGCTCTTGTCGAGGACGAGCACCCTGTGGCCCGCCTCGGCGAGGTTCTTGGCGCACACGCCCGCGCCGCAGCCGGAGCCGACTATCACCACGTCGGTTTCGATCTCGGCCGGTGGGAGCTGCGACGAGCTTTTCGATCCAGAGGGCGGGGATGGGGCAGGTGGGAATTGGACGAACTCGTAGGGGTAGCCTGTTGGGGGGTTCCAGCCCTGAGGTGTCGTGGGGAATCCGGATAGGGTGTGGAAGGCTGGGTTGGTGGCGCTGAAGATGACCTTGCCCAAGGTTGTGAGCTGCCTGAAGAGTCCACGGATCTGGTACAGGTGGCTGTTGGCCCATCTGTTGAGGATCTTGGTGCGGTCCTCTAAGGGAAGCCTGGTGATGGGCGTGGCATATCCGGTGAGGATGAGACTGCCGGCTTGTGTGCTATACACCCGTCAGCATCCCCCTCATCTAGGACAATCTTTGGAGCAGACTGGATGCGTACCTGAGTATATACAGAACCCGTGACAGCAACGTCGTCAGCTCCTCCGGTACGTGGTGCAGCATCCCCTTCAGAACCTGCTGAAACAACAGGTCATCCGTCGGCCTATCCGAGAGGTACTTGTTCAGCTCCTCCTCCGATGCGTGGTCAAGCAGCACCGTGTCCTTCCTCAGATGGGACAATGCATCTTGGTAGCGGGCGTCCGAGATATAGGCTATTGACCTAGACTTCCGCTTCGGCGCTGTCGACTCCCTCTGTATGCTGGGCACGACTGCGTCCATGATGGCCAAGAGCATTCGCCACTGTGCGTCGGGCATGAGCTCCGCCGTCTTGAGCCGCCATGGTATGCCGGCTGGCTTTTGGGCCGACAGGACGTTGGTTATCGACTCAGCCATCTTTTTCGATATATTGATACGTGACTTATCGAGGGCGAAAGACAGTAGGCCCCTTTTGAGAATGGGAAGAACCACAGACCTCTACATGTCTCGGAAAAACAGTTCCATTCATTTATGAAACATTGGGAGGCGCTATACGGCGGCGCTGCCTCTACCCCGGATCCCATCGCGCTTGGGAGCCCCGCATCTTACAGTAACTTGGGGTTGGTCCGGGGCAATGATACTCTTCTAGTCCCTGGCTAACAGCGCGGACCATTTGGCAGCGCCAGAGCCTGGCGGGTTGGGAGGAGTTGGTCCCCGCTGGCCCGCAGGCTAGGCAAGCCTGCGTAGGTGGGTGCTGAATCATGGGGGGAAAAAGCCATTCCTAGGCAGGCCTGTTGTGGAAGACACAGCGAGACTATCCATCCAATCCGCAAGCATGTCGTGAAAAATTCTTTGCCGTAGCTTCTCAGGTGCTCAGCTCGAAGCCATGCCTCGGCACCCCCAATTGGAGAAGCATTCACAAGGGACCGAGCTGTCTATTGGGAGGGCAAGGCCAGCACATGTCCCCGTTTCAGCTGGCGCATGCTCGCTCGATCCCGAGCTAGATACACTGCGGATCCCTGGCCGCGGCAACTGGATGCCGCCCCGCTGGCCACTTGTTCCACTTGCTCGGGACGACCTAGTGCTCCGGCTCCGGCCCTGCGCTCACTTGGACATGCGGCAACTTGTTTGGTGTTGACATGGAGCAATAGGTAGGCGGTGTTGTGACATGTAGCTAGGCCTTGATGGGATATCTGTGTTTGCATTTCTGTAAGCTACCCAGGTCTGTATTACCAGGATGCGTTTGACAAATGCCTTTCTAAATTTGGAGCGGAAGGGCTGTATGAGTCTGAACACTCGCTCGCTCTTTCCCGCCCTCTATTATTCTTCGATAATGATACCATTCAGACCTTCTTGAGCTTGAAACCGCCAGCCTGGAAGTACCTCGCCGATGAGAACACCACTGCTGATGCAAAGATCGAGAACCCGCAAAACAATTTCAAGCCAAGATAATCCCCTCCCCGTGCATCAACGATGGCACTCGCAATAGGACTGCCTGTGAGGGCACCGAACGACTGAAAAGCAAAGGCTGTACCCGTACGGGCACCGATCTCCCTTATGTCTGAAATCTGTGCGATCAAGGTCGGTCCAATCGATGTCAGGCCTGATGACAGGCAACCAAAGGCCGCAGTGAACACCAGGATCCCGGCATCGTTGTTGATCGGGATCCAGAGGGCAAAACAAGCGATGCTTGTGAGAGTGGCGAGGATGATCATGATGTTATAACGGCCAACTTTGTCCGCAACCAGCCCCGGTATTACACGACCAACAATCCTATTCGAGCACGTATTAGTACTTACGTCAATCACAACAGGACATGAATTCGTCAACATACCCAAATGCATGCATTATCGGCAGCAGGTAGATGACGAGGTCAGCGTCCATCCCTTGCGCCCTGGCCTGCAGGATGACGAAGTTGTAGGGCAGGAACAGCCCCCAAAAGACCAAGAATAGTCCGAAGACCGTCGACATCATTGTCGGCTCTCTGATACCCCGGACGTACTCCCTCATGTCTACCGGCCTTTTATCCAACTCAAGGCGAGATCTGACGGTCGCGCAGGCAATGGTGAGGAGGAACAAGAACATGAACCCCACTGCACGCATCGCCCAAGGAAATCCGACGCGGTCGATTAGCTTCGGAATCATGATGGGTAGGACGATACCGCCGACAGACGACCCGGACATCATGATACCGAAAGCGGTAGCACGCCGACGATGAAACCAAGTGACCAGACAAGACATGCTTGCGCTGGTCACGGCACTGGCTCCAATCGGACAGACGATGCTTTGGGAGAGGAAGAAATGATAGTATTCCGATCCCAAGGAGACCATCATTATTCCGAAGACATAGATGAGAGTTCCGCTGACAAGGAGCCACTTCGGACCAAACTTGTCAAACACAAAGCCCCACTACATGTTCACGTCAGACGCACGTGTTCAGAGCGACTCAGACCCGCCGGTGGGCGGGGGCAAGGAAGGGGGGAGAACCTACAACAATAGGCAAGAAGTTCAAGACCCACTGCATGAAGCTGGTGATCCACGAGATGGTGGACGAAGAGTACTGACGGAGCGCATAGTTGACGTAGTACGTCTGGAAGACGCCGATGCTGTTGCCCAGCCCGAAGGTGCAGAATAGCACGCACCACGTCCCGAACAACACGGTCCAGGCCTTCCTGCCGCCCTCGGGGAACCCATCTGCGTTGACATCGACCTCCTGCGCCGTGGGTACATGCTGATCGACTGTTGACGGCTCGAGGTGACCCTCGGGACCCACGTAGCGGCCCGGTTCCGGCTGGGCTGGCCGGCGAGCCCCATCTGACATTGGGCCGGTGTCGGTGTCGGTGCCGGCCTTCTCCATTTTGCGCGGGCAGGTTCGTTTTTATTCCCGGACTATGCGCGTCGGTTGTAGCCGGTGGGTAGCATGATCTTATATCAAGTTTGCAAGCCTAAAAGTGCGGCGAACGCCTTTGAATAAATACCCCGGATGCTCTCGAATAAAGATGGGGGCCATGGGGCGTGGGGACCCCGGGTAAGTGATCCTCCTTCGCATTCTGTTACCTAATTGACAGCAGCTGTGGTTATGAGGTGATTTGCATCTGGCCGGTCAACGAATGACGAATTACAAAGCACGGGCGAGCCTGAGACTCGCAATAATTTTTCCGGATAACACATCCGGCTGCTGGAGGTCACACGGTCCTTAGGACCAGGCCGGAAATCCACAGGAACGAAGCCATCGCCAAATCCACCATAATAAGGCGTCAATCTAGATACAGCTGACAAAGAGGTGCTTATATTGCAGTTGACTCACGTCAGTCTTCGATGCTAATTGCCACCATTGAATTGGGCCTATGTGTGAAGTCGAGCCGTGGCAAAGTTTGATAATTAAACCCTTGCCTCGTTCACAGGATCCTATATACTGGATATTCATCGCCCGTCTCCAACGGCACGATGTTGAAGCTGACATAGCTGTCGATGTTTTCCGGCTCCAAAGCGTTGAAGGCAACACCCGCGTTCCTCTGATTCGTCCTCACCAGAAAGCTACCCGGCGGAAGCGAGACGGTCTTCTCCACAGGCTCAGCCGTGACAGAGCTGAGGACCACGCCCTCGTAGTAAGATCGTGACAGCGAAGCTGATGTGATGTTGTAAGCCTCCACGGTGCCAGCATAAGCGTCCGTGAGCTTTTCGACATCAAGACCCGACACCGTCAGGCGCTCGGCAAGGTCGGCCCACGCAGGAGGGATGAGGTAGGCCTTTGGGCGAGAACGCGTGAGGTTTGCGGTGGCCGGGGTGTTGTTCTCGAACTCTATGGGGAGCTGCACGACGTCGCCTGTGTTGCGGTCCACCATCGTCCACGTCCGGTCTTGTAGCGTCGTGTAGTCTGTGACGACAATGTCTTCCTCACTGTCGATGAAGTCCTGTATACCATTCTCCAGGGTAGCGTAGACCTCATCGAAGTTGTCAGCCGCCGTCTGGAGGACTGATGAGACCATAGTGAGCCCAGCGTAGGTGCGGCGCTTGAACTCTTGGCTGGCAATTGCAATGCCTCGGGTTTCGAACAGGAATGTCACGGTTTGTGTGAGGCCCATGCCGTTGCGGCCAATCTTCGCGTCACTGCCTGCTTCCACAAGCCGGATGGGGTTGGAGGATGAGCTGATGGTCACGTATGGCTCACCACGCAATCCGGCAGCCGTGAGGTCGCTGCCAACATTGACAGCAAAGAGCTCCTCGGAGATGTTGCGGATCGACGGGTGGATGTTGAGATTCTATCGACACGTTAGAAATCCCGGAGGCCATGGGAATTCACAGAGTCAGGTTTGATATAAGACGTACCTTTGCAGCCGAGTACATCCCATCAGCAGCGTTGCTGTAGTTTGTGCCATATCTGGGCGCAGCACCATACTCGTGCATATCGACTGCAATATGTGGGCCAAATTCGCTGAAGAATGCTTTGATATCCCGCGTCTGCTGACGGGCGAGCTTGATGTGATCGCGATTCGGGTCGTAGTTTGTCGCCATTGTCCTTTGAAAGTAAGAAATTCCGTCTGGGTTGTATCGAGGCAGGACCACAATGTCTTGTGTCGCTAAGATGCTCGCAGCCCATTCTTGATCCGCGTCCATCTTCCCCAGCAGTGCAAGCAATGATTCGTCCCCGGCAGGCTCATTTCCGTGGACACCACCCTGTAGCCAGACCTTGAGCTTGCCATCACCGACGGAGTTGGCGCTGGAATTGGCGCTGCTGCTGCTGAGAACCACGTAGGGAAAAGCGCGACCTTCTTCAGACTCGAAGTCGGTAGTCTCGTACGTCATCCACGAAGGGTTTCTGTCCGCCAGAGCCTGGAGAAATGTGTCTGCATACTGGTCAGCCTTGTTGCTGTCCATCCTGTGTACGTGAACATGTTCATTGCTCCTGCTGGCTTACGCAAGGTGTATTCGCTCGTCGCTCCGGCTGTTCCTTCTGGCCAACCCTGCGGAAATGACACGTTTGAGGCAAACGCCGGACTGTAAAGAGTCACGTTGGGAGCTGGGAACGCGCGCGATTCCACTACCGATGGATCAGGCACAACGCGTACAGAGTTGCCGCCGTACTGTGTCTGTGAAAACACTCCACGCAACAACAACACGGCCGCTAAGGCAGCTTGTTGACGGGGCACCATTTTCCTTCTTTGTCCTCAACAAGAAATCGTGAAACCGATACTTCTTTACCTCGACCAGAGCAAAACGAAGCTGGGCGAATCAGGGAGTTGCTTGGTGCTGTACAACAACGAGGTCTGGTTAAAGAAACAAGCATTTGCCTGAACTCAATAATACCGCCCTCTACAACTTTATATTAGCATCAAGGGCTTATCTTCGACCCATTTCTATCGGCAGCCAGAGCGGGGATGTTGGAGAGTTCTTCGCGATTTACGCGTTCCGCCAAGGCGCGTTAATCTTTCCCGGCAAACGGGCTTCCTTTCGCGGCCTCGCAAGTCTTGGAAGCGTTTCTTGGCTTCTCAACAGAAGTGGAGAGATGCAACTCTCCGTCGATCTCAAGTGCTCATGTGTAATTTTGAGGATTCACACATACGTGGGCACAATCTCATTTCCTACGCTGTCACAACTTGGACAGGAGTTCTCCACGACGTTTTGATACATTCTTTCAATCAATGAAGCGATAGTGCAGACCGTTGTCAATTCGCATCAGGTAGTGCTGTTCGCAGATTCTGTCGTTCAGGAGCAACGCGACAACATGCCTACTACTGACAGCCTAGAGGAGCAACCAAACTGACAGAAAGGTGGCCGAACAATGTCCTCATCAAACAATTGCGAGGTAATTACTCAAGAAGTGCAGCCATGTATAGTCCACGTGCAAAGAAATACCACGACCGGATGAACCATAATCTAACGAAAGAGAAGTCCTCGAAACTACTAGTAGTTGAAAGATATCGTTTTCCTAGCCGAATGATGGCCCTGCTGAGTCAGGTGGGAGGTCTTCAGCAGATTCATTGCCGATGTCGACAAGCTTGAATCCAATTTCAAAACAGGCACAAACTGGCTTTGGGGTTGATACCTGAGGGAGCTGCAACAGCATTCGAGGGAATTTGTGGTCTGGAAAGACAGGGCAGCTTAAACCATAACTAGGCTGTCATCATTGCAGACCGCATACTGCTGTCCTGATGAGCTGATGCCTGACACAACAAACCGGAATAACACCAATCGTCCCACTTAGTTGAATCGGTCGCATCACCTACATCATCCGCGTGCCGTGTACGAGTCAGCACGGAATGCTTCCCTGCCTGTTCATGCTTCTTCCAAGGTGCCATCATGTCTCCTACATCTCATGAGGCGACTGTCTTAGGAATTTTGAATATTTCAAGCAGGGCAACGTCTTGTATGAGGCGGGGTGCTGTGGACCCGGAGGTTGAGTGGGAGGCATGACTTCTGAGTCTCACGTCATCCACCTAGCCTTCTAGTCAGCCTCTAGTCACTCAAGCAAAGTGGAGGCTCGATTCCCAACTTTCAGAGCGCGGTGGTGGTAGCCAACAAATCGTCCATCGACCTCGATCAGCAACTTTGGGAGTATGGTGGAGTAACAGGCCTCTCTGTGAGCATTCGGAGCTCTCGGAAGTAAATGCATGGAGGCATCTGGTATACTTTCAGAGCTCAAAGAAAAGCAAACTCAATTTCCCAAGGTTTCGGGTCCAGTGGCCGACGGAAGCACATCCGTCCTTAACATTACCTTGGTAAGTCCAACCCTCCTATACGTCAGTTTCAATGTCAACAGAAGTTCTCCGGGAGTCTCAGCAGTCTGGTATCATCCAAGGAGTCGGGACTCGATTGATTGTTTGCTTGCTCAACGTGAATTTGTCTGGCTCTGTGCTCAGACCAACGGATGGTGCTCCCAGCAACGAAGGCGGTCAATGACGGTTTGACGTGCAGGACCACTTGAGACACTGTCTTACCGCGTACCGTGTGAGCTGCGTTGTGCCATGGATGACGAAATGTTCTGGCTGCACTAGGAAAAGCAGAGGCTTGTGTTCGGATGAGAAGAGAGCTCAGCCCCTGACGAAGCTTGCTCTCCAATCTTCATCTACCTCAGGCTTGCCAACGTGTCCAGCCTGGAGCCCGCAATTCGCAAATCCCATGGCGCCATGGCCATGCAGGTCCCATCTCCGAGATGTCAAATGACGACGGGTTTGCCGGATCTTAAAATGACAGCGGGAACAAACGCCCGTGTGCACCCAGTCCGCCTCGCCGTGTCACACGCAAAATGTCGCCTTCGTGCGGCCAAGTCCAGCATTCCCAGTCAGCGTCCCTGGCTCGTCATGGCCTTCCGCTTGGCATTACCCCATACATAGTGGGTATTACCCCATACTTTGACGGCTGTTGCCCCAAGCCCCAGGAGTATTACCCCATAATTACCTAAAAAGGGGCGGGCCGCAACGAGCCGCGCCTAACCTTGGGAGCACTGCGGTAGCATGTAAGACCACCTTGCAGGTCATGGGATTACCACGACGAAACGTCTGACATGGAGCACGTCTCTGTTCACGGACCCGGGGCCCATGCCCGTCAGCTATGGTATAAAGGGATGGGAGTCCGGGGCTTTTGTATTGGAGGGAGTCCGCAGTGAGCTTTTGTAGCAAACAGGCCCATCTATCCCACCTATCTTCCATCAGTTTAGAAGGTGTTCGAAACAAAAGTATTTCGTAAGAAATATTTGAAACAAAAAATTCGATATTCGAATCCCGATCCACTACCAACATGCCGCGAGCACCCAGAGATACCTACAAAGCTCACCAGCACTGGGTATACGAAGCCCATCAGCAAAAGGAGGCACGAGCATTGGGAGACAAGCTGGGCCTGTCTTTCCCAAATGGCAGTGCCGGCGGTCCCGAGAGTGATTTCATGTAGGTGCTTCCCATACTCCCGTTCTGTTATTCGATCTTCATCTGTCTGAGAGATGGAGACCCATGATCCTGCACCAGGTAGTCTAACAGACATGAAGGTACCCCATCCGTCGTCTCGTAGTGACAGGGCAAGACACGCCCTCCAACATGCGCCTGCTATTCGGAACATCATCCATCTCGAACATGACTCCGTACCACGAAGCCCGACGATTAGTCCTCATCGACGAGCTGTCCGGCGTCTCCTCCTCAGCGGCAGGGAACTTGGACCAAGGGTGTCCGTACTGGTCACCCCGGCCCGCCAGCCGCGAGGAGACAGAGGAGATAGAGAAGCTACTTCGTTTCGAGAGGAAGTACAAGGATATATTGCCATGCGCGCTGGGCGGATCAAAGCATCAACATGGGCGCAAGATAAGCGTGGAGTCAGACGAGGGGTACGGAAGGGGTGAATCAGCATCACCTAGGAGGCGCTACTCATAGCTATTTGTGGTTTCGATATTCACGGCGCAGCACACGGTGGAAATGGACTTCAGGCGTTTATATTGAATGATTAACGACAAAATCGGGGTCTATGGTGATACCCCAAAACCAAAAGCATAGGGGGCAATTGCAAAGCAAGGAGCCCGGAAGGATCGGATAAGGGTAGCTGATTCGGATCACCATGTGTGTCTAGGAAGACGAATGATGAATAGTAGCAATGTTGCTCTGATTTACCTTGCCGTTCGATGAGATCCATGGACCAGTGGGGCGGACCACTTGCACAGCGAGCTGACATGATACATTGTCTCTGATGGCTCCTTCACATGGCTTGATTCTCACCTTTACGGCGTCATCGATCTAAAGAGCACTACATTGCTCTCCTGCTCATCAAATAATGATGACGCCTTCCTCTAGCCTCTGTTCCTTCCACTCTTCGCACTGCTCAGTGACCGAACGTCGCACGGCGACAATGTAACTTCCATTCTTGAGATCAGAAGCACACATATTTCCAGGCAGCTCATAATGACTATCAGTGTGTTACATATCCCGAATATAAGCCAGAAAAGGCTTCTGACCTTACTGCTGGCGTCGCTAGACCACACCTGTGGATGCTGATACGCGTTTGTGGTAATGGCCAGTCGGATGAACATGGCCAGCATGAGATGTAGACTGAAGTTGTTGATCGTGTTTTAAAATGAAGCTGAGACACCGTAATATTTCACAACATGCTCCGCGCGATTACTAGCTCCGTTCAACGAGGTCCCGTGATTATTGCAGTGCACCTATCACTCCTGACAGCAGCAGTATTACCCCTTGCTGTTCCCCATAGTCAAGTTACAGGTCAAGCATGTCATTATGAGAGATGCAAGGTACACAAACACAGGCCTGAATAGTTATGTCATCCTCCGTACTGCTAGATCTAGAGTAGTCTACCTCGCAACGTATTTAGCAGGCTGTTTACTGTCGCTGATCTGAATTGCGACAGGTTCCAGCTGAGTCACTGATAAGTAGGACACAGTTTGATACATTCAGGGTACATGACAGTGACATCGTGCGACTCATATGCAGCTGGAAAGCTGCTTGTGTTTCGGCGGCCAAATCTGAAGCCTCCGTCACTAGTTACCGAATGCAGCTGACGTGCATCGGCTGAATAGCCAGGTAATCAAACATAAAGCAGCTTACCGGATTGAGTTGCGTCCTCACTCTTGAGGAGCTAGTCTACGTATACAGATGTCTCCAAACACGCAACAGCGAGGTCTAAGACACAATTAGTTGGTACTCCAGGGCTAGGTATTCCCTATGCTCGACAGGCGAGGGCTTCTGTGCTATCAAGCAAGTACAAGTGCTCTACACAAGTTCACAAGGCAGTCGAACACATGGGAATGCGCCGCTGTGCAACTTGCACCAACACTCAAGATAATGCATCACAAGGAAAGAGCATTACACCGACACTCCGATGTATACGGACCAGGTGATGAGCCCACTCTCCCAGCAACCTAGCCAATTCATGATCTCGAGGAAAATCAGCGAGCTCAGTATGCACGACAGACAATATCACTGGTAAGGCTCTCAAAAGGTCTCGCCGGATATGTCACAACTGAAAGTCGAGACGCGTGTCTCGGATAACTTCCAACTGGATCACTTTGGCACAGGCTGGACGTGCCGTCACTGCCCGGGTTCTTGAGTATATATTTGATCCAAGGCTGATAGCGGCTTGGAAGCAGATAGGAATTCGAGGACCAATTACCCTCGGGAGGAATTTCTAGGCCTAGTATGTGCTACGGTGGCGGTCATGCATTGAGTGTTGGCGGTGCTGGCTTCGGGGTAAGAATGTCTTAAAGACTCCGACCCGTCTCCTCGTCATTGTGGCTGTACACATATGCGCGCAAAGCTAGCATCTCAGTAGTAAGGCGGAGGCTAGCCAGCTGCTCCTTTCTTGCAGGACATCGAGACTTTAAGTTTTGACTCGTTCGAAATGCGAGGGTCTTGGCTCACTATATACGAGAAAATGACGGCTGATCATTTAGTGGATCCGCGCATGACCATGGCGCTGCAGAGTTCATCCCGATTTAGATCGCGTTTAGTTTCGTTTTCTTGGCAGGGGAATCGGGCATTTCTTCCCTGCCGCCCCGTCTATAAACATGTGAACCCCCCGGGAGTACTGGGTAAAGCCGTTGTGCCTTGCGATCATCCACTGAAAGGTTACACAGATTCAACAACACCACTGACAAAAGAAAAAGCCCATCATGTTCGCCTCTGTTGTCTTGACTACTCTCGCCGCCGCCGGCAGCGCACATGCTGCCGTAGCACAAGGTTCCTGGGGCGTCCGCGCAGATTACTCCCGTAAGTTAATTCACTGCCTCGAATCGTGTGTCACGGCTCAGAGCGCAGAACCCCCAATTTATTTGATTGCATCCCCTAACGAGTTTCAGGCTGCGACAGCACCACACCACTGGAGGTCGTCCTCGACGGCGCCACCAGCAAGTCCTCCCCCGCGGCCAACATCACCGACTTCGACATCCCAGCGCCCTTCGGCGGCAGCCTGGTCATCAAGGTCGCCGGCTCGGTGGGCCTCGGCTCGCCCTACCCGCCGCAGCAGGTCGGCGTCGAGATCTTCGCCGAGGCAGCGGGGGGAGACCCGGGCGCCTGGGGCAATGCGACGATAACACCCGGGACCGGACAGCCGGCGTCCATCTCGCAGATTTCTTGGAACACGCGGGACGACATCACCCTCGCGCCGGCCGAGAACGAGGAGGTCTCGCTTGAGACGATCTTCGATGGTGGCAGCTTGGTTGTTTACTATGTAAGTCGAAGACCCTATTTCTTGACTGGTGTGAAAGTATGGGAATATCTGACTGATGCGCTTTTTCGTTTCTAGTGCGGTGTCCCAGAGGCTGGCGGGCCCGTTGCATAGATCGTGCCGGAATCTTGAATTATTACATTCTGGGTGCCAAGGCTTTGCTGTACCTCCCACATGTCGATAACTTTGATCTCGCATACTTGCTGCTGTATATATTCCTAGAGCACGATCAGTCGCTATTTGCATCCAACGGTGCCAACCTGATCAATTTGACTATCATCCTCGATCACAATATCTTTTCCTTGCCAACTGCGTCAAGCAAGTATGGATGAACCCAATCACTCTGACTTGGAACAGTAATGTTTATGGAACCCCCAAGCCATCTTCTGATGGTCTCTGCAGCAGTACCACTCCGCCTTACACCCAGCGCATTTGCTGTCATCTCTGACCGGCGCCCCACAATGCCCGCACCACTTTTCCCTGGCTGCCGCCTCCCACCTCTTCTTGGCCCTTGCCGCGACCTCCCTCAGCCAGCCGTCCATGGTAGGATGAGGGCTCACGCCGTGTGAGACCTGGACCGACTCCGGGATGATCCCGCGGCACACGGAGCCCATGCGCCCGCGAAACTCGGATGCCGTGTCCAAAGCAAAAAGCCCCTGGCCCTTCTTCCCCGGGCCCCGGCCAACGTCTCCGAACTGCATGCTGCTCAGGTCCAGGAAGGACTCCGTGACATTTTCCTCCTTTGCGGCTGGGTCTTCCTTGGACGGGTTAAACCTCGCGACAGCATGCACCATGCGATCTTCATCCCCACTCCGGTAGCCCGTGTCCTGAGACATCTTGACTATGGTGGTTTGCATGCGAGGCTTGATGAGTGTCTGCTCAACGATGCGGAAGGTGTTGATAGTCGTGGTGTACGAGGGGGCCGCATTCTTGTTCCCCGACGGCTGCGGCCCATGCCGGATGCGCAGCGGAGTGGAGGGCGGGAAGCTCTGGAAGAAATACTGCAGCAGCGTCACGCAGGTGAAGCACGTGTCGTGGCAGCGCGATCGGTGGAAGTATGTCTCGAGCTGTTTGGGGGTGGAGAAGCTCAGTGGGTTGTTCGGGGCGAGACCGCCCGCTGGGAGGATGTTGAGGGGGGTATCAGGCTCTGTTGTGCTATTCACATGCCCTGGCGGCTCGGCGTCAAAAGCTATGAAGGTCTCGTTGTCCTCGACCTTGACGGGCAAGGGGACTTGGGTTGACGCCTGGCCAGGCAAGATGACCTCGTGCAGCTTGGAGCCTCGGAACCTGGGATCGGTGGAGCTCCGCTCGTAGGTCAACAGCAGGGCAATGTCGACGAGGTCCAAGGTTTGGCTGTCGTCTGAACTTGCGGCCATGATGTTGCAATCTTTTAGGCGATGCTTCCCAACTTAAGAGTGGCCTGGAAAAAGCGAGGGCTGCTTGCTGGTAAAGACTGAGGTGTAATAGTTGAAGACTGAACAACATGCCCTTAGATCTGCTGTCTGTGCGTCTAGATTCTCAAACATCCATATCAAAGTATATGTCACAGTCTGATAAAAACAAACGAAATCATAATCCCCTCTCTCCGTTATTCGCAGTGGACTGGGGTTACAGTTGGGCTGCGGCAGGCAGGTTGCACACGGGCCACTTGCAGCCAGGACGTCCTCCGCTCTTACTGCGTGAACTCTTACAGCCACCAGAGGGATCCTTCCTCCACTCTTGGTGACATAGGGTCTAACTTAAAATTATAAAAGTTTTAGATAACAATCAAGAGTTTTACCTCTTATATACTCCTCTGATAACATTCCTAACCCCACTTGATTGTGCTGAAATTGATGGCATAAAATAAGTCATGAACGCATGGCTGGTTCAACGGTACGTGTTCTGTGTCTCACGTGATCAAGTAGACACTGAGGCCAAGTTCGGCCTTGCTATTTGCATACGATCTACAGTGCATATGCTTAGCGATGGTATTCCCAGTGCTTGTTCTGAGGCCCTGTCTCAAATGAGGTAACGCGTGGCTATGATCATCACTCTACGATCGTGTAGGGCCTGACACTTGAGCTTTGATGCTGCTCGTGTCCAGGGCGATGATTTGAATTAGTATCGTGGAGACCATTCTCGCACACATATTGGAGAGTTATGGAGTCCAGAGGGCGCATTGAAGATAACTAGAAGAAGTGGGCCGGACTGTGCAATCCCAGCACTTGGCAGTCCAGAACATGAAGACCTCCTTCCTTGGTATGTTTTCTTCCATTGCCTATGCTAGTTATTTATCCCGGATGATTATATCACCAAGAACTTCCTAACGTATATCTGTCCCGTATGATACCTGGCAAGTCAACTTTGTAAGCGCGCCTCCCCATGAGGCTGTGGGGAGTCTTGCGATGCTGCTGTCAAGTGCTACGGATAGTCCGGGACAAGCTTTTGGATGGAAATCAGGGGGCATTCAATCTCAACTGCCAAGGGGCAGGGGGTGAAGAGCATGGGCGGGTTTGTGAATGCATGGTGGGACGCGATAGAAGGAGTGGAGTTGCTCGATCTGGCAGCTTAATGGGTGCAATTGCCCGATTCGGCAACTTAAGTGAGATGCGGTGAACAGTTACTCCCTGCCCACCCGCAATCACATTCGGACGGGAAAGATAGCTCTTGAGGGCTACGGTGCAGCTATAACGAGGGGCTGATCTGCATTCACTGAATCAGTATGGCGGAGATTGGCTGGGCGTTTTCACCAGTGGCACCGTGACGTGGTGTTTCCCTGGACATCGTATCCATGAGCCGAGTCGTGAGCCGACTACTGATGGGACTTACACTCGGCAAGCAGGTTGTCGTACTGCTGCTGGAAGATGTGTATATATAACCGCCAGGTACACTGTTGTTCCTCTTTTCCGAGGAGCAAGACAACACGCCGAACACAGTGAACAGGAAGTCATCCCCGCGGTTCACGACAGCATATCCAAGCATGTTTCTTCCTAGTCTCCTCCTCGCGGCAGTTCTATCCAGCATTGCAACTGCCCAGGGTAATGTCACGTGCAACGCGACATCATCGTTGGCCACGACACAATTGCCCAGCGGCGATGACCTTATGACGAGACTCAGCGATGCAGTCAACATCACCACACTGGGCGCCGATCTCGTGATCCGGAACGCGAGCATATTCACCGCCGCCGAAGGCGCGTCATCCACAGCGAGGGGCTTTGCGGTCAAGAACGGCAGCTTCATTGCGGTCACTGGCAACGACACCGAGCTGGAGCCGTTCATTGGTTCGAATACCGTGGTGAGGGATCTGGCCGGTGCGCCGGTCGTTCCCGGCTTGTTCGACGCGCATATTCACCATTTTCTTGGGGGAAGGAAGATCGTGAAAGAAGTGCAGTTCCCGTCCTCTGCCTCCGTCGATGAGGTGCTCCAGGCCATCAAGTCCTACGCCGCCAACATGACCGACGCCACCGCTTGGATCACAGGCGGCAGCTGGGGAAGCGTTCTTCTACCCGAAATCTCCAAGACGGGAGCTCTGGCACGTTTGGATGAGGCTTCAAGTGGACACCCCGTCCTGCTCGATGATGACAGTCATCACAACGCCTGGGCCAACACCGCCGCTCTCAAGGCCGGCGGGGTCTACACGGACACCAGCACGGGTGTCCTAATCGAAGGCGCAGTCTCACCGGTCCGCCAGGCACAGACTGCGGCCGAACCCGAAAGTATCGATGACCTCAAAGAGTACTCCCTCGCCGCATGGGACCTTTTGCATTCCTACGGCGTGACCGGCATCCAAGACGCCAGCGTGTCGCAAGAACAACTCGACGCTCTGGTCTCGTTAGACGAGGAAGACAAGTTGCAGGGATGGGTATCGAATTGTCTGGCTATGAACGGAGGATTGGCAACGCCCGGGTTGAACGCCACCGAATTCGATGAGCATGCCCGCGAGGTCCACCGTGACCGGGTCCGCACCGACTTCACCAAGCTCATACTGGACGGAGTGCCACCCGCCCAGACAGCTGGCTTTCTCGAGGCCTATCTCCCCTCCACGGAACACGGCTGTAACCACCACGGCCAAGTCTTCAACACCACCGAGGAGATAGTTGACATCCTGCGGCTGTACCGCACGCAGGGCCGCAGCACCAAGATCCATAGTATCGGGGACTGGACCGTGCAAGTAGCCATGGATGCGTTTGAGATCCTCCGGGCGGAGGGATCCACCCAGAAATACCAAATTGCCCACGGCCAATTCGTGACTCCCGAGGATCGACGGCGGATGAAGCTTCTCAACGTGGTGGCCGACGTGTCGCCCTTTCTCTGGTACCCTGGTATCATCACCCAATCGATCGCCACCGTCTTGCCCGAGGAGATAGCTTCTCACATACAGCCCAACCGGGACCTGCTCGACCTAGGTATCCTGGTCGCCGGGGGCTCTGACTGGTCTGTCAGCGCCGTTCCCAACCCCTGGGAAGGCATCGGGGGGCTGGTCACCCGCCAAGACCCCACTGGTCAGTTCCCAGGCACCCTGTGGGAGGAGCAGGCCGTGACTGTGGAAGAGGCGATCCGCATTTTCAGCATCAACGGAGCCAAGGCCGCCGGTCTCGACGATGTCGTCGGTTCCATCGAGGTTGGCAAGGCCGCCAACTTCATCGTTGTTGATCGTAACCCGCTCACAGTCGACACGACGGAGATTGGCCAGACCAAAGTCCTCTCCACAACCGTCGCTGGCAAGGAGGTCTTCTCTCAGTCCGCCTAGGGAAAGCGCTTTGCTTTCTCTTGTCGATGGGAAGGTGGTGCAGTTTTGAACCCCGTCCGATATGAAACTTTGGTGTTTTCTCTTTTACTCTTTGAGGAAACTCTTTGAGGAAACAGAAGGAAAAGGAACAACCAGAGGAAACACTTTTTCAATTCTCCGTATATGATTGTATGCTTAGTGGGTAGACTCTTGATATCCAAATATAGGCTGTAAGTAGTACCTAACTTTGCAGTGCTGTATTACTTGAGGCCCGCTCCCGATGGCCGCTCTCGGGTGCTGAAAGCTGTGCGACATGGGCGCTGGACAAGGTAGTCTACCTAGAACCCCGTCACACCCACACCCATTTGTCTTGAAATAAACAAGTAAACGGACGTCCCAAGATGCTCGACCCAATTCGAATTACCCTGAATCCCAAGCATTCCTGACACACTCAATCGTGATACAGACATGACATTGTCAAATAGCGGAGTTAGCGGGCCCTATGACCGATGCCCACCGAATCCTTGCCGGTTAGACCCGACCAAAACATCAGCCCGCTAATAAGCACAGAATTTTGTTGTCATCATCCTCACCTCTCACCCTGACAACTCACCCCTTGATCCTTTTCCGTCATTCAATTTCATCACCGTCACGATGGCTGCCTCGCCTGTTGCCCTGGCCACCCAGAAGGCCCCCGAGGGCATCGACCTCTACTCTCGCTTCGCCCTCGCCGGTGCCCTGGGCTGCTCCGTCACGCACGGCGCCTTCACCCCGGTCGACGTGTCCGTTTGTCCCCAGATGCCTCAACTCGTCCCAAAAGATCTCTGACTGACACCACCCCCCCCGAAGCGTCAAGACCAAGATCCAGCTCGACCCGGCCACGTACAACCGCGGCATGATCGGCGGCTTCCGGCAGGTCATCCGGAACGAGGGCGCCGGCGCCCTCCTGACCGGCTTCGGGCCCACCTTCACCGGCTACTTCATCCAGGGCGCCTTCAAGTTCGGCGGCTACGAGTTCTTCAAGAAGCAGTCCATCGACCTGCTCGGCATCGAGAAGGCCCGGCGGAACCGCGCCGCCGTCTACTCCGTGTCCGCCGCCAGCGCCGAGTTCTTCGCGTCCATTGCGCTGTGCCCCCTCGAGGCGACCCGCATCCGCCTCGTCTCCACGCCCGGTTTCGCCAACGGTCTGATTGGTGGCTTCGGCAAGATCCTCAGGAACGAGGGCGTGGGCGCCTTCTACTCTGGCTTTGGCCCTATCCTCTTTAAGCAGTACGTCGGTCTCGGTGGAAACCGTGATGGTGTGCAGTAAAGATGAGATGGGAACTGACACATATGCACAGGGTTCCCTACACCGTAACAAAGTTCGTCGCCTTTGAGAAGATATCCGAGGCCATCTTTGCCCAGCTCGACAAGTCCCAGCTGTCCAGCGGTGGCCAGACGGCCGTGAACCTGGGATCCGGACTCCTTGCCGGCTTCGCCGCTGCCATCGTCTCACAGCCCGCTGACACCATGCTGTCCAAGATCAACAAGACCAAGGGTCTCCCTGGCGAGAGCACTGCCTCCCGTCTGGTGAAGATCGCCGGTGAGCTTGGTGTCCGCGGCTCTTTCGCTGGTCTTCCCACCCGTCTGTTCATGGTTGGCGGGCTGACTGCCGGCCAATTTGCAATCTACGGCGACATCAAGAAGGCCCTTGGTAAGCTTGGCTGCTCTCTTCCATCCCAGACTAGCAGCTAACCCTGTGATCTAGGTGCTACAAATGGTGTTGAGATTGCCAAGTAGACGTCCGTGTTGCATGACGGTCATATATACATATGTGGATTAAACAGATAGAGACTAGAGCGCTGAGTGTAGAGATGGATGTAATCTAGCAGTGGTGGCGTTAGGAACCCACGTTTCACGCTTCTTGGAGAAGCGGTGATATAGACTAACCCCAGCATATGGATTCACCTTAGAATACGCTCTGTTTTACGGGATAGACGAGAGAATTCATTTTTTCTACGCTTTCCTTCCACATTCTTGTGAAGGGAGGCCACCTCAGCCTAGATACCAACCCCCCCTTCGTGTGCTGCCGCGATACCCAAATGGAGACCAGCAGCCTGTTTCTGTTTGAACAGCACACCAACGGCGGTATTAGTCGAGTGTCCTTACTTCACTGCTTTGCAATGCGTCATATTCCGTCCTTCGAGGCTGAAATTTGCGTATTACAGAACATAGCAGGCATGCCAGGAACATGGCTTGATCGACAGTGCAACATCAATAGGCGGTATATGCCGATCGCTCCATATCGACCGATCAATATGTAGGGAATGGGTCTGATGCAGATTATCTTGAATTTTTGCACCCTTTTTATTTCTCTGAAAACAGAAAAAGGTTTCATGTGTTGAGCCAGCCGAGGCAAGTCAGGACCCGTGGTTCCACACGTGCATGATTATTTATCGACGCATACAAGCCGTTTTGGTGGTGTTGGGATATCCTTAACTTCGTACACGACCATGTTGGCCCATCTATGGAGTAAACTAGTCTACAAATTTCGTTTGGTTCAGAATCCCCCATGCCCCGTTGAAACATCTGTCTGAAGATGGGCACACATTAGGTGAAGAAACAAGCGAGCCCCCGAGAGAGAGGCCGTCCAGTACTCCAATGCAGATGCCGCCGCCAATAACCGATGACGATATAATGTGAAATCATTGAGGTAGAGAAGAGAGGTGGGCATGGTCATGCGAGGAGGGTGTTGAGAACTATCCATCACCACGAGACAAAGGTATCATGATCGAGAGGTCGGACGGGTGGAAGGACCATCACTTCAAGCCTTCTTCTCCGAGCCGCCGCCGCCCTGGCTAGGCGTGAACCAGCCGGTGAACGAAGTCTTCATGCTGGCCATGGCCTCCTTCTGCGCCGCCTCCTGCAGGGCGGCCTCCTCCTTGAGCCACTTCTCGCCGTTCTCGCGGATCATCTTCTCCATCTCCTCGTAGTTCTTCTGCCCGCGCTCGCGCGCAATGTCCTGCAGCATCTTGCCCTGCGCGAAGGCAGTGGCCGGGTCCTGCTCGCCCTCGGGGACGACCATGACACTCAGGTTCTGGGGCTTGAGCCCAAAGAGTCCTCCCAGGGCCGCCATGCCGCTCTTGCCCTTGTGTGGGTGCTTCTTGCGCTCAGCCTCGAGCTGCTTGTTGAACTCGGCGCGCGCAATGGCCTCGCGCCTCGCAAACTCGGTCGGGATATGCTTCCCCTCAAAGGACTTGAGGACCTTGCGCACGTCGCTGTACTGCATGGTGTGGATATATTCGAGGAAAGGGATGAGCGACACCAGGTCCTTGTCCTTGGGGTCGCCAGTCCACTTCGGCAACACGATTGCGTTCTCGGGTTGCGCGCGAACGTGTTGTTGGTTTGTGTCGATCATTATAACCTTGGAGAGGTCTCGGTTCAGGTAGGCAAGATCCTGTTGACGTGCAAAGAGTTGTCAGTTGAGCTCTTTGCAAGTAAAGAAGTCATACCGATGGCGTAGGGGTTGACTACCTTGACAATCGCACCATCCTTGTACTTGGTGGCCTCTCGGTACAGTGGCCAAACAATAAAGCGGTAAGGGTCCAGCTTGCGCACAAGAGGCTCGCCCATGGCGAAGGGAACAGTGGTGAAGAGAACAAGCTCATAATACTGGCTCAGATAGTGCAGGAAGTAGTCGGCGCCAGGTCGTTTTGCTAGCCGCCAGCCGTGCTCACGGGTCCACTCGCTGTGCACAAGCATGTCCTCGAGACTGATGCACAGTGTGTAGGGTCGCTCGAACATGGGGTCTGGGTCGGGCAGCAGCTTCTCGAAGGCAGGCTCGTGGTAGTATGTCAGCACCTCGCTCATGCGCGTCGAGGCGCGGTTCCACCAGAGACCCAAGCCCCAGCCGTTGGGTACCTCTGGGTGCCTGCGCTCCTCCTCGTCATCCCAGTTCCGGCCGAGGTAGACAACGCCACCGACCATACCGGCGAGGGAGGCAGCAAACATGTAGTTTGCGAACCGTTGGCGGCGCTTCTCGGTGGATGATATGTATGCGGAAGCAGGGAGCTCGCCCTTCCCACGCCCGCCGCCTGCGCTTGTGGGCGCAACCTCCTCGACTGCCTCCAGCGCGGCCTTCTCGTTCGCGCTGGCCTGTTCGTACGCAAGGGTAGACGGGATACCCTGGGTAAGGTCGGGAAGCTCAGAGAGAGGGATCTCCTTCTCCGGCGCCTCGGGGGGCTTGTCGGCAGCTGGTTCGACGGGTTTCGCAGGCTCGGGCTTGACAGCTTTTGGTTGTTCTGGTTGTTCTGGGGCGACCTTGGCGGGTTCTGAAGGGGCGGCTCTCGGTGCGGACGAGGAGGGGCTCTGCTGTTGGGGGGTGGATGGTTTGGTGTTGGTATTTGATGGAGCGCTGAATCCGGAGCTCGGCTTGTTGTCCTTTGCCATGCCCCTACTCCATATCGTTGACGCAGCTGCCAATGCTGGCAGAGGTCTGCGGGTCGGGGCAGCAGAGGCCCATCTCGAGACAGCAGCCGGCTGGGCCAGGCGCAAGGCTGCCCGCGAGAGCATGATGGAGGATGTGTGGAGCTTTACTCAACCTACTGCAAAGGGGAAATTAAAGAGTACGAAATTCAAGTGTCGAACCAGTTGCTGAATTACAGCCCAGACAGGCGCATTGTTGGGGATGGGCGAGCAGGAGAGCAGAGTCGGGAGGGTGGAGTGGAATCGAATCCAAGTCGAGCCGAGTCGCCAGGTTATTTCGTCACCATAGAAAATTCAGAAGCGACATGCTCATCGGGGAAGTCGGTGGCCCGAGCTCCTTGGAGTCGTTATCGGTGGATCCGGCGTGCTCTTATCGGCCTGCTTGAGGGTTAGGGGATCGGCCGGTGGGGGAACCATCCACCATGGTGGTATGTTCAGTGGTCCCCGGCATGGGGCGAAATGCGTAGTTTGGAATCCTATGAGGCCCTAGACATTTTCCATACTACTAGTAATATATCTGCTAGATCACGGGAACTATTAAGTGCCTAGCTATACAAACTGGACTCTCTTAAGTGTTGCAAATTAGGATCAAAGAGATCTGATGCGTCCTAGATTAGCAATGACTTGTACCACGGCGATGGGCACATATCCACAAGGGAAGGAGATATCCGAGATTTTCCAACTCACAAACAACAGGAAAGGCAAAAAATGCCGAGGGGAAAATTCCCCAATTCATCCCAACCGCAGGTTGTGCTTTCCTATTCCCAGCCTTCTCGACCCTTGCAAGCCCCAGGTTCTCGAGCCGGGAGATTTTGTTACCAGCTACCCCATGCTCTAAAAGTGCTTAAACTTTTCCAATCCAAGCGTTGCCCCGGTAGTATATAGAATATCTAATTTTTGAGCTTACCAACTATGGGCTCTGTACCTAGGTAAAGACACGAGCAGGGCTTCAGCTGTAGGAGCATTCTGTAGGAAGCAGAGTGGGCCCCAAGAGTACATGGTACATCTCACCATTCGCTAGTCAATTCTGACTGCAGGTGAGGGGGGAAGCAGGCAGCAAATTGTGGCACAGTCACACGTGAGTTCAACGACAACTACTTTCCTGGCATGCCAGGTGTCTCAAGGCTGCTGCTTCACACTCCTCTACTTCTCTTCTGTTTGCACTGATTTCAGCATTGGTTTCGCACTCATCATATTTTGTCCCTGCAGAATCGCGGCCAAGGTCGAGCTTCAGATGCGTGCGGTCAATCACCGTAGAGCTTAGAAGAAGCACACCTGAACGACTGGATGCCAGCTAGAACGAATTATTGCCCACAGCTACCGATCGAAACGTGCAAAAGGTTGCGGCTAGGCGCCCAGCACAAGACTAGACTCTGAATGCATATCATCTGACGAGAGCAGAATGCCCGTCGAAATTCAGAAATCGTCGCCCCGCGACGAGGGCCAAAGTTCCCACACAGAGGACTGGCTTGCCACCAACAGCGAGGTACAAGAGCTCGCTGCTGCAACTCCGGCAGTTGCGCCTCATTCATGTTCTCACTGCAGGGAGTGGGAACTTGATCTTCTAAACAAGACTTTTAACCATAAAGCGCAGAAAAGTCACGGCCACACTCAGAGTAGCCTGACAGGATCATATGCTCGTGAGAAAGCCGAACTTGGCTGCCTGTTTTTCGAGAGGAGTCTGTCAACGGTAATTAAATCTCATCCTGAAAGACCAATGTCGAAAAGTGAATTAGACGGCGCCGTCGTGTCTGTGTTTTCAGGTGGACTGAATCCCCACCGAAAATTCACTATCTCGTGGAAGAATGGCAAAATTGAGTCGTACAATCAGTCTTACGAGATATACATGCCACATGGTATGCCAATACATCCGCCCTACATCGCGAATCTAGACGCTGACAAGGCCAGATATCCGTCCCCCGACTGGCGTCTTAGCGGGCCGTATTCCGCCCAATTTGGTACCCAATTCGAATCTGAGTTACCGGAGGGCCAAGAATTGGATAGACGACTGCAACTCAAACCACACCAAGTGTTCATCTCGGCCTAGAGACTTCATGCCTTCGAGACTGCTTCACATCTCCGGAACCGACAAAGAGCCAGCGATAAGGCTGTCAAATGACCATCCAACTGTCCCTTACGCGGCCCTCTCTTACTGCTGGGGCGCAGACCAGCCCGCAAAGACAACCCGGGCGAAACTGGGATCTTACCTGAACAATGTCGACTTTTCCACCCTGCCTTCCACGATACAGGACGCCGCCATCGTCACCCGCGGGATCGGCCTGTCCTATCTCTGGGTCGACGCGATCTGCATTGTCCAAGACGACTTCGACGACGTGATGGCACAGCTTGCGCAGATGCACGCCATCTACCATTGCTCATGGGTGACGATAGCGGCGGCGGAGGCGCTGACGTGTAATCACGGTTTCCTGCAGCCGCGGGGCCAGTGGCAGCCCATCAGGATGAGAGCGCGGCTCGATGAGAAAGATGCCTCCGATGTGCTCCTGGTTCCTGAGGGCAAGTCCTGGAGGTCGGAGGCCCCGCTCTTCCGAAGGGGCTGGACAATGCAGGAGACATTGCTATCCAGCAGAATCCTGCTATACGGCCAGAGGGAGCTGATCTTCCTCTGTCTGGAGGGCGAGCGATGCGAAGGAGACGTCCCTTCCGATATCCGGTATTTTCAGACGTTCTTCGATCCCGGGAGCAACCTATACGTCCAGTTGGATCATCCCGACAGCTGGGGCTACTTGGTCAGCGCTTACTCGCAGCGCCTCCTTGCGGTTGAGGATGACAAGCTGCTGGGAATAGCGGCACTGGCTGAGAACTACGGGAGGACCAGGGCAGTGGGCGACTACCTCGCCGGCATGTGGAGGGAGAATTTCCTGGAGCAGTGTCTCTGGACCACCGAGCCGTATCCGGCCGACGGCCGGGTGGCGAAGCGCCCTAAGAAATATAGAGCGCCATCGTGGTCTTGGGCAAGTTTTGACGCACACATCTCGTCTTTTGGAGTCTCCGCCAACACGCCAGCCATGATGATGCCGGAGACGATGGGCCCCAATGTTACATGCCAGGTAGTTGATGTCCAAACGACCCTGGCCGCGGCGGGGAATCCCTATGGGATGGTCACCGGCGGATACTTGGTGATGAAGGGCAGGCTGAGACAGGTGGTATGGCAGACTAAGGTGGGGAATTGGAGGCCCGCTGGTCACTTGGTGAAGGGTGTGAAGATTTTAAAGGGTGATGGCATAGATCCCAGGATGACATTCGAGGTCGACTGCCCGCAGGAGTGGGAGGGGAAGGGGGATGTGCTGCTCTGGAGCCTCGAGATCTGCAGCGCGGACAACGGGCGCGGCTATGCGCTCTTGCTCCAGGAGGCAGGGCATCAAAAGGCTTCGTTTCAAAGGGTTGGACGGCTGGACATAAGGGAGGATTTCGACGGGCTAGGGAGCTGGTTCGAGAGCGAGTACGAGTCTCCGGAAATCAGGATTATCTGAGCTCTGCCGCCTTCAAATGGAATTTGTGGTTGGCTACTACTAAAAGTTGGTATTATCTAGGTAATGCTTTCAGCAGGGGGAGGATGTGTTAAGGCCCTTACAGGCGTTAGTAACTTTGGTCATCTAATTTGAGGAGGAAAAGACTTGGATGCAGTGAAATCGATCATGTAAATGAGGCCCCGAAGGTCTAACTTATAGAGACTTTATGCTTGCAATGAGCGAGATGTGTTTTACATATGAGAGAGGGTTAGGGCATAGCAGTAGAATCAGCCAGCGGCCATGCTCGCTGCGGTGCCGCTATACCTAATCGGGCTAGTACACAGCCTTCGTCTTGCACGGGAGAGTACACTAGATCTCGTCATGTCGCTTTACCGTTACATACTTCCTCCTCCTCACCTGTTCCCCGCAAAGCATATGCACCCACTCTCCCCTCCTGCCCCCGCCTCACACGACAACCTAATCCAACCTTGTGTCGGTGATCGATCGAACTGTTGCTCCTACTTCAACTGGCCCGACCCTTCCCACGACGTCTTCGTCCCTCGTCCTCGTTTCCTGGTGCATCGCCAGTCCTCAGCGTCCGACCCGCAGACCTGCACCTGCAGTGATCCCATGTCCCGCCCCAGCCTGTCCCCATCCTCGCAAGTCTTCACGATGGCCGGTGCGGATGCTGCACTCTGAGGGTGGTTCCCCAGTCGTCGGTCGCCTCCCAGTTAGCACTCACGATGGGACCACCCTCTGAGTCCTGCACATCATTCGAACCCACATTCAAGCACGCATAGGAAACAAGCCGAACCCAATCGACGCTACACTTTGCCCCCCGGTCGGGAACTCCGGCACTTGGCACGGAGACCCTCAAATCGAAGACACCATTCCCCATATCATTACACAACCAAACCACCACACGAGTTCCAATCCGGATTGGATCACCTCGCGCGACCACTATTCCCGACCATACGAGATACCCGTTGGCGTATACCCTCGATACCCACCGCGACGATTATTGCTACCGAGCACAGCGAGTCGGAGTTTTGACGGTCATTGCCACCACACCATTCCCGAGCAATCATCTTCCAACTTATCGATTCACGATGCCTCGCAGGCCCGTCAAGGGCGCCCGCGCCAGGGGCCTCGCCTCTCCCACCCCTATATCGTCTACCCTGACTACCCCGATCAGTTCTGCCTTCACTTCCGCCTATACCACCGAAGCCGAGTTCGACCCCGACGACCCAAACAATCTTGCCATCGGTGCCCTGACCCTCGACGTCCCCATCGCGAACAGGAAACCGAAGAAGGAGGTGTTGAAGCCGTTTCCCTTCATGGACCTTCCGTCAGAGCTGCGGATAAAGATATATGCCTTCCACTTCGCAGACATCGGCCCGGTGGTGGACCTCGAGCCGGGCAACTACTTCACCATCCACAAGAAGCTGTCCATCCTGCGCGTCTGCCGCCAGTTCTACCGAGAGGCTAGCCACCTCTTTTATAGTTCCAAGACCTTCCGTGTCTTTCCCATCGACGGTAGATATTCCAGGAAGAAGCTGGGGTTGCTCGCCCGCCTCAAGCCTCAGTCCCGCGCCCACCTGACGTCCCTGGAGTTGCGCCTGGGGCCAGGCTTCAACAAGCCCTACCGGAGCTGGGCCGTCAACGACCTGCTCGGCCTGAAGGATTGTGGGAACGTCAGGCGCCTCTCGGTGTACGTGGAGATCGACCCCAGCGACGGCATCTTCAACGGATGGCGCAGGTCCACCGGGTTCTACGAGGCCTTCTCGCAGGGCTTGCTGGACGGCCTGCTGCAAGGCCTGCCCAGTGTCGAGTCGGTACAGTTCGACGCCAACCCCGCGGTTAAGAGGGCGGGCGACATGATGCAGGGTCTGCTGGAGGTGGTCGCTACCAGTGACCGGGATGTCACCTGGGGCCCGGAGAGAGGCTGGACCGACAACGAGGAGGACGAGATCGACAACGAGCCACCCATGGGACCGACTGCCGCGATCGACTGGAGTCTCCCTCCGCACGCTGTTATGGCCGCTTTGGCAAAGGAGGTTCTTGCATAAGAAGTTAGGTTTAGGGCACCGGAGTTCTTGGTTTTGATTTGGAGTGTATATTGGAAATTGGCTGATGATAGCCAGGTGTTGTGCAGTTTTGCAAGGTAGCACGGTCTCACTTGTCCCATTGAGGACTCTCTTCTCCCTAGGAGCCATGAATGAAGCGTTCAGCTTGTCGGCTATTCTGATAATCATGAGTTAACGACTACTCGTCTGGTTATTGCTTCACATTCAGCCAAGGAGCATATTTGATATCAGCTTACAATAGTATGGTGTGACTGGCACTGGTTAGCATGACAGTTGAATTTGCATTGAGATATTTAAATATTACAACCAACGCTCGTACCTGCTTCCTACCCCTGAACGTCTGTCCGGCGCACGCCAGTCATCCCTAGACGCCCTCACGACTCGGCCCCAAGCCCCCCCATGTCCACCAGACTAACAACCTCGCGAATCCTCCCCCCATCAAACCAGTAGAACACAACCTCCCCGATCCTCACGAACCGCCCGCCGCCCTCCGCCGGCGGCTGCGCCCCCGCAAAGGGCCTCACCAGCGTGCCCGCGAACTCGAGCCGCGCCGCGACGACCTGCCTCGCCCCGTCGGCGACCAGGTCCACGATCTCACAGCCCAGGTCCGGGATGGCGTCGCGCACGGCCTGGCCGAGGTTGTGGTACTCTAGGACGGTGAGGGGGTGTGTGTTGTGTGTTACGGGCTGGTGCAGGAAGTGCGGGAGGCGGGCGGTTGCCGTGGCCGGGTCGGCCATGAAGGTTCGGACGTACTCCCTGTAGGTCTCCGCGAGGGCGCGTCTGGTGGTCGTGGTGTCGCTGGCCGTGGGCGGGTGCGCGGGGATCGTGGATGCGCGGTGGGGTGGTGGTGCTGCCGGTGACGGTCCGCCTTGGGCTTGTGGTTTCTCGCCGAGGATGGCCAGGCTGGACGAGGATGAGGTGCGGTCCAGGCCGGTCCTGGTGGTGATGTGTGCTGCCAGCTCAGTGGTCTGCGGGTCTGTCGCCCCATTGGCGCCGGAGATGTCGCAGACGGTGAGGATGACCCTGGCCGCCAGGAGTGTCGATGCAGTGTCCTTGACGAGGAAATCAAGTGTTGAGCTGACGATTTCGTGCTTGGCTCCGCCGATGGTTATCTCTGCGTGCTCGTGTGGGTTGTTCTCAAGGTGCCGGTCGAGCAGTTCCAGAAGAACGGTACTGGTTGCCGCGTTTGGAGCCATTGTGGTCTGACCCAATTGAGTGTATTACTCAGAATAAGTCTGCAAACTTCTTTGGCCGTGTTTAAATTGTTATGCAGATCACTGGCCAGCGGTGTTGACAAAACACGCCTTGTGAGCGCGCCCTGCGTGATGTCATTGTCAACGGCTGAGCTATCGATTGAGGATAGAGTGTGTGGGACGACGGTTCTACTCCGCATGCCAGGGCTTGAATCCCAAGACAAGAATTCAAGTCTTTCTCACATCCGGCACCCAATAAAGGTTTGAAGTCATTTCTTTTTGTGGAGACCTACAGCCATATACTAGTAGGAACTAGTTGGTCCCTGATAGGCTTAATAATTAGACGTAGGATTGAAACCGATTCAGCATCTTTAGCAGTTCCATGTTGTCTGTGAGCGTGGATCGCAACACGCATTCGTCTGCTTTGAGCTGGAATTATCAGCGTTCAAGTTTCTCTGAAAATAATTTACCCGAAATCCAATCAATACGAGTCCAGGTCCGGCTCGGTGCGCGGTTGACCGATATGTAGAGGATATGATTTGCCCCGAAGCTTCATTCTCTCGAAGAATTCGCCTTTGCCTAGGCAAAGTGATTTAAAAACCATCTTGTGGTTGGGAGACACCTGCATTGCGCAGTTTCGATACAGCATCGTGAAACGACCGTGGAGGCGAATCGGAGTGATTTCACTGCTTCTCTGCCAGGTTGCTATCCGCGGCCTCCTGTTGTGCTCGCCCGGTGTAACCCCGATGATACTACGTTGGCTGGTGTCGATTCGATTGACGCTGGAATTGGCAATGTCCTGTTTTCCAACTACGCAGTGACACCAGATTGATGGGACCTGATATTAGGACATGTTCGCTACTGCACAGATTGAGTCAATGACAGTAACCCCTGAGTGGCGAGGTCAATTGTCACGTAGCCATCCGGTTTGAGAAGCTCGCGGTGACGGCCTGGAGGTTATGGAGTCATGGCTTTTCGTAGACTGCGACAGTGTGCCGCAGTGTCCGATCAGATCGTCGGACGGACCGTCACACCAGAACTCCGTAGGCAACAAAGCACGTTACAACCGCCAAACCTTACGTCGGTCAGCTCGTGTACAGTGGTGCACCGGCATCGGCAAAGTCATCCCATCTACATCCTCGCCACAAGATCTGGATGATCTGGATGATCGTGATGGAATGCCTTTCACCTTGTTAGCTTCGCTGTGCGGTGTTGGGGCATCGTCGAGAAACAACCTCCTCCAATTTGTACATGACGGCGAATCGCCACAGAAAATTCGCTTCACCTGAACCTCTCGATCTCCTCTCCAATCCGTTGATCAAACCCTAACTGTGCTCTTCAATTGCAAAGCCTTTTTGATGTGCGGTGGGTGCTGGGACAATCCCAGACCAAAGTCCCATGACGCTCATCCGGGAGATCGCCATCATCAAGTCGGACGAAAAAGGCTTGGGCAGGAGATGAGTGGCAGGTGAAGAGGGGTTCTTCTCTTCGTGATGGGCGAGGCGCTCGAACGGGTCCTTTTCTGAGGCTCAGCTGGGCCCTTTCCGCCCCACTTGTTCGGGTACCTGAAACCGCAGGCGAGGCGTCACAGCGCTGCTCCATGCGTCATAGCAGCGGGCGTCTAAAACGTCGAATCTCACGGCAGGGGCTCGTACGGCGCCTATTCTGCTGCTGACCCTTGCCCGGGGGCACCCCAAATATAGCACTGACAAGTCTGACACGGGCGCGCAAAGTCCACTCGCTGCCTTCGGAGCCGAGCAGCTCTGCAGCTGAGTGGTCTCAAACTTCAGACGCCATGGAGCCCGTCGCTCATGACGCGCGGTTCACGTCGCCGGGTTGTAACGCCGCCGTATACGCGAGCTGCGCCCCCCGTTGGCCTTTTCCGTAAACACAGAGTAAATAAAATCGTACGGGGCCTTCATTCTGCGGAGCCATGCTTGCTTCCTGACGGACTCTGTCCTTTTCAGTCTCGCCCTCCGGTCGCTTCTCCCTTGCGTCTTTCTTTTCTCCCGCAGATGTTGACCATCTCGACATCCTAGGCTTTGACAGGAACAAGCCGTTTACAACCCGACCTTTCCTACGTTATACAGTGGAGCTGTCGCAGCGCGAAGAATCCCCGAGAAAAGTCCACATCTTGTTCCACGTGCGCAGGCTCGAAAAGACAAACGATCACCTGAGTCGGAGAAGAGCCCTGGAATCCTACCGTACTTCTCCACCAATTCCTCGACCAAATCATGATACTATGTCACCTCTCCATACGCAATGTCACCACAATCGTTTACGCCATACTACTCCAAATCACTCTCGCGTTGGCCTTGCCCACAGGCGAAGCGTCGCGGATCGAGACGAGAGGCGGTGTCGAGACACTACACCTGCAAATCAAGAGAGAACCCGAGCTGTCCGTCGATAGCTCATCAATACCAAAGATCGCTGGGGGTGCATTCGGCATCGTGGCACTGGGGCTCATATTCGGTCTTGGGTCGGCCTCGATCGCCGTGTTCGGGTCCCTTGAGTGGCGGACACGACGGGACAAGAAGAAGCAGGAAAAGGGCCAGACTGACCCGGAGAAGAAGCTGGACGACAGCTCCAGCGAAAACACGACGATTAGATAATGATAATGTCTTGAAATATCCATGTGTCCTTACCATGAGTGCTCCCGTGTTCCCTTAAGACAAAGTTATATTGATATCTTCACAAGCCATCAATTGGTCAGCGAAGGTTATTAATGTGATCCAGAAAGTGACGGCCGCAATTTCTGGTTTACCCACCCAGTCTCTGTGCCGTGGGCGTTAAGTTGACACGGTGAAGGAGCAGTGGACAGCCGATAATGCTGCCCGGGCACGTATCTCAGTACGTGAGGGAGCTTGGGTTAGCAGTCAATAGGCTCATCACCTTGCTTGAATCATGGACGAAGTAGGAAAATAGATGCACACAGGTAATGGATTAAGTATGCAGCCAAGGACAACTGCACTTCTACCCCGTTCCGTCTTTCAGATTAGGGGCTAACCTCGGGACTTCTAGGCACCCAAGAGTGAGGCTCCGCATGCCATACCTCCCTCCCTCACTTGGCTGCTGACTGGGTTTGTCTTCGGAATATCGAGCCGATCTGGCAAGGCGATAAGTGGAATACCAATGTGTTGGGCTACCACCCTCCCTCACAACGGACACAACATGGTGTGGCTCCTGCAGCCGCTCTACCCATGTCGGTGCAGACGTTCCCGAGGTTCTCTGCTTGGCTGCGGCTTGGTGAGGGGGAAACACCCGTCGGGTGAGATGTTGTGTCCAAATTGGGGTGCGGTGGGCAGGGGATGTGGGCGAGACCAGAACACTAAGCCCTGTCAAGAAAAGCTTTGTGTTCTCTCTCTCCAAGACGGGCACGGCAGTGTAGTGGGGTTTCTTTTCTCCAAGATTTGATGTCCGCCGTTGGCCTATTTCCCGCTGCGCTTTTGACCGAAGCCTCTTGATCAAGTTGCTCCTTGGAATGCTACACGATGGCTGGACCGATTCGATGCTTGGACCTTGGGACTTAAAAGAGAATTCATCTTCGGACGTCGAGCCTTAATGATTGATCGAGGAGCTTGTTCCAAGAGAAGGCTCGTGATCTCACAGGTAATGTATCGCTCCAGGGCCAATTCCAAGAGCGGACTCGCACGAGAAGACTCATACGAGCAGAGCTGCATGATCCCGTAGGCTTCCCCAGATTCTCCAACCCGCGGTGGATTTCCCATCCCCGGCCACGCCACGCTCCCTTGTCTTCCACCTAAAATCCCCACAAAGTCCAGGGGTATTGTATTCGAGTGCAACCTCCACGAGAAGTTCCACCAATCGTCGATATCAACACCCACGCATGCTCTCTGCATCTTCCTGCAATGGCCTGCAAGACGCTCTCAATTCCGACCAGATGGGCCCCCATGTATACATGGCGCAAATCCTCCTCTGAGTTCTCTCGCCTAACGGTGTTGACGGGCCGGCGCTCCAGTCACCTGCGGTGTTCGAGGCCGGGCCATGTAGCTAACACCTGATGTCCCTACGGGCAAAGCTTGTGTGGTCTTATGTGTGAGGGGGACCTGCATGTAATAAGAGCCACGCGAGTCCCCGACCACAGGTGGACGCGGCTGCCACCGTGACATTCTGCCAGCTCTCCCACGCGCAGACACCACTACCCCTCTGTTGTTGGAGTTGGTATCACCAGGACACAGTGTCCCACAGACTTGAGATCCAGTCAACATGGAGCCAACAGAGAGCAAGGAGGCTCGGCCCGAGCACATTGACGAGAAGGGCACGGCGCCAAACCTCGACAATGTCAAGGTCCTCAACGACGAGGCCGCTCAGGCGACAGCCACCGAGCACAGCATGACCCTCATGCAAGGTTTTAAGACACACAAGAAAGCCGCGATATGGTCCATTCGTAAGTGCAGCCTGCGGTCATGCGGTGGGACACTGCGGTTCGCAGCTGCTGACAAGCCCCGATCTCAGTCATCTCCGCGACAATCATCATGGAGGGCTACGATACGCAACTGCTGGGCAACTTTTGGGGGTACCATTCCTTCCGAAGAAAGTTTGGCGAGTACTCCGGCGAAGAACACGGCTGGCAGATCACTTCGGCGTGGCAGGCCGGCCTCAACGATATCAGCGGAGTGGGAAATATCATCGGAGCAATGCTTAACGGGTACCTGACTGCCAAGTATGGACACCGCATAGTCTTGATGGGCAGTCTGGCCTGGCTGTCCGCCGCCATCTTCATCTCCTTCTTCGCGCCGAGGATCGAGGTCCTCCTGATCGGCCAGTTCCTCTGCAACATCCCCTGGGGCGTCTTCGCGACGACAGGTCCGGCTTACGCTGCCGAGGTCGTGCCTCTGGCACTTCGTGGGTATCTCACGGCCTACATCAACCTCTGCTGGTGTATCGGCCAGTTCATCGCAGCCGGCGTCCTGAAGGGCCTGATTAACAACGAGACCGACTGGGGCTACAAGATCCCCATGGCCATCCAGTGGGTCTGGCCCGTCCCCCTCTTCATCGTCGCATTCCTGGCCCCCGAGTCTCCTTGGTACCTTGTCCGGACGGGACAGCTTGACAAGGCCAAGAAGTCCCTGATCCGCCTTTCCGAGCCGGAGCACCAGAGCGACCACGATGCGACTATCGCCCTCATGGTCCGTACCAACGAACTGGAAAAGGAGGAGCGAGCTGGTACCTCGTACGTCGACTGCTTCAGAGGGACCAACCGGCGCCGGACGGAGATTGCCGTCATGTGCTTCGTCTCCCAGATCACAAACGGCGGTGCCCTCTGCTACACGGGCACTTTCTGTATGAACACCCCATCATCCCAATGGTCGCAGCACCAGCTGACATAATTTCAATCTAGTCTACGAGCAAGCCGGCCTGAGCGCCGACCTCTCCTACAGCCTGGGCCTCGTCGGCACCGCCATCGCCTTCTGCGGCGTCGTCATCTCGTGGCTCTACATCTCCAGGTGGGGCCGGAGGAGCATCTGGCTCTGCGGCTTCTACGGCCTGCTGTGCTGCCTGTGGCTCATCGGCATCCTGGCCTGCGTCAAGCCCCAGACCCACACCCTCGGCCTGGTCCAGTCCATCCTCTGCATCGTCTGGCTCGGCGTCTACTCCATGTCCGTCGGCCCCATCGTCTACACCATCGTCGCCGAGATCGGCTCCACCCGCCTCCGGACGCAGACCGTCGTCCTGGGCCGCAGCGCGTACTACGTCGCCAACATCATCGGCGGTGTCCTGCAGCCGTATTTCATGTCCCCGACTGCGTGGAATGCCCAGGGAAAAACTGTAAGCCTCAAAATTGGTAGACCAGTCAATTTGCTGCCCGTCTCTAACGTACATTTCTGCAGGCATTCTTCTGGGGTAGCTTGTCTTTGCTCACCACCATCTGGGGCTTCTTCCGTCTTCCAGAGACCAAGGACCGTACCTTCGAAGAGATGGACATCATGTTCCAGCGCAAGGTGCCCTCTCGGAAGTTTGCTGATTATAATATCAACTCGGACGACAGGTACCTTGTTCATTAGATGGCTGACCTGGGATGTCACGTTGTCATATATTCCTCTAGTTCTTGACGGCATGCCCAGTATTACATGTTACGGCCATTATCGTCCAGGGTACTCAGAGTCTATATATCCATGTTCTTCTGAATTACATGATTCTATAGCAGAACAATGTTAAATATTCTGATGTGCTAGTCCATCGCATGACATAACCCTTTCCAATGACATCTCGGCAGAAAATTATGTCAGGAGCTAGACGGACACACATACACTTACATGTAGGGTTTCTCTTTCTAAAGACACAAAAATAAGCTAAAATGACGAATTATTAAAAGAGGAGCAGTCCCCTACAGCTCCTTCACATGGTTCGACAGCCAGTGGCAGACCGCGGTCCCGCCAGCTGATCTGGTTCGAGCTCCACCTTGGACAGAACGGCGGCGAGAAGCTGTCCACCTGGCTCTACCACAGCGACTCCCGCTCGGAGAAGGGCTTCACCACCGTGCAGAGCAAGCCAGGTGTAAACACGGTCGCGCCGGCGGAGCAAATCAGGGGCGAGTGGACCTCGACCTCGCCCCAGAGCAGCATCACCTACAACTTGGACTGAAAGATCGAGCTCGCGGACGGGCGGACTCCCAATGTTTGTTCTGTTGCTGAGGACGAGGAGTTCTTTGAGCCCATGCTGGCCGCACTGAAGCATGCTGGCGCCATCACTGTGGTTGGCGAGGCCGAGGATGGGATGAAGTTTACTAAATTTGGTTGATTGAGATCAGACCAGACGGTGCCTTCAGTTCCGGGCCTTTGTAAATTGCAAAGGCTGCGGGTGTAGGGAGGAAGGTACAATCAACACGTCTGGCTGGTTTTGGACGATGGGCTTAAATATTGAAGACACAAAGGCACGGATATGAAAGAACATAAAATTAAATTGCAGCTACTACAGAGGGTTCAAGCCAGATGCTACATTTCCTTGGCACGGCTCTTACGTCAGGCTACACAAATGTCCGTCTTGGAAGTAGAAAAAGGCCAGTCGTCGTCCGCCATTCTCTTGAGGTTGCACAACATTAGTACGGCGCTATGCGTTATTATGGCTGCTGACTTTTCAGAATGCGGCTGGCGCCAATGTCTTACTTTCCAAGCTTTCTGAAGGAAGGGGTGATTTTCCTTCCCCCTTCCTGTCGTTCCGCGATTGTTCTGTTTCGTATAGCCCGCAGTCTATCAGTCTTTTGCTAGTCACGCTGCCACTCCTGCTTCCAAAAACTTACTGTCTTGGGGAATCATCTCCTGAATCAGCCAACGCAGTGAATACAATGCTGAAAAGAAATGGAGCAGCCGATGCTACAAGCGCCGTCCCACAAACACCATGGTCACGATATCGAGGCCACGGTCGAGACATCTTCGGACCAAATCTGCCTGAATGAGGGACCCCATGCCTCCCAGCTCCCCAGCAATGCCCAGTACTTTTGCAACGGGTGCAGGAAGTTTGACCTGGCCACGTTGTTGACAACAGCATCCAAAGCAACGCGCATCGGCTTTTTGAAAGAATTCAACGGCCCACTCTGTCAATTGTGTGATACAATTCGCCATTTCGTCAAGTTACACTGGGGTCAAGAATCGCCATCGGCAGTGGACGGCCGTCATCCAAGTGTATACATGCAGAGCAAAGAATGGTGTTCTTTCTACGACTCAACTGGACAGGAGAAAGGCGTGTACCGGATTATTCTGGCCCTTGATCAGCGGCCTCCGAATCTCCGGCTGATGAGGCAGGCCACGCCCTACGACAAGACAGCCAAGTTTGTCCTTACTGAACTAGAGGTTGATCCCATGAAGATCAACGATTCTAGCGTCGTGCCCTCCCCCAGGCGGCCAATTCTGTCATGCATTGATCTAGCATTAGTACAGAATTGGTTGAACAACTGTCGGGACCATGACTCCTGCAAGAAAAACCGGGCGGCTCAACGGGCCAACATGGCGCAAACATTCTACACCTCCGGGTTTCGGCTGATTGATGTTATCGAGGGCAGACTTGTTGAAACGACCGAGCCCTGCGAATACATCGCTCTTTCATATGTCTGGGGTCAAGCGGCATCATTCGGCCTCTGCACGAATAAGGAGAACCTCTCCATTTTACATCAGCCATCATCATTGGATAAACCTCATACCCAGGATGGTGTTTCGAAGCGTCTCCCAAAGACGATTGCGGATGCGATCTCACTCTGTCGCTTTATTGGACAGAGGTACTTGTGGGTGGACAGCTTGTGCATCGTGCAGAATGACCCGGATGAGAAGAGACGCCTGATACATGGCATGAATGGCGTCTATGAGAACGCAGACCTGACTCTCGTGGCACTATCGGGTGTTGATGCCGATGCAGGTCTGGCAGGCATTAGCCCCCGTGGTCCTCATGCAGATAATTGTGGGCAAGAACATCTTTTCCACAAAGTCCATGGTACATGCAGCATTGGAACAGGCCGGCTGTCGCTCGTCAAACAAATCCAACGCTCCCATTGGAACACGCGCGGATGGACATATCAAGAACAGCTTTTATCACCACGAAAGCTTTATTTTGCATCTGGCGAAGTTTTCTATGATTGCGGGTCCCAAACATTCAGGGAGGGATATGCTTTCGAGACCTTGAGAGGCTCGGACAGGTTGGGAGCTCCGTGGTATGAGAGAAACGACCCTCTGGACGATGCACAGCCTACAAACACGATAGATCCGACAGGCCCGGAATGCTCCAGCCCGCAGCGGTTGGACACGGAATTCCAGAAAATCGTGTCAGTGTACACGCGGAGAAACCTCAACGAATCTGGTGACATCTTGCATGCTCTCACTGGTTTATACAACATGTTCTACTCGAGTTCGAATCGGGACGGCTTGGGTATCAGTGCGCTCCAGGGCTTACCAGTGAGATGCTTCTCCAGAGCTTTGCTGTGGTACACTCCAAGACCATGCCACGCGAGGCGGAGTGACGTATCTGGAGCTAGTCCATCGACGTGGTCATGGGTCTCCTGGATCACACCAGTTGATTTTGCTTGCTCACGGAGACCAAGCTTCCCGACAACAGGGCGGAGTATAGGTCACTGGATATCAGACCCACTCAGTCTGGTTGAGGAATGGTGGTTGACGTTTCAAACGCAAAACGTTGTCAAAAAGCAACGGTTCTCGGGTCGTTTGTTTGGCGACAAGAACCTCACGCACCCGAATAAAGATAACATGACTGCAATGGAGTTGCTGACCTCGTTCCCGCGAGTGGCACATGGCGTCGCTGACGCACTTTCACCACCTCTCGTACCGGGGCAACTCGACTTTCTCGGCCTTTATATCCCAGTTCCGAAAGCAGTCGCATGCCCCAGGTGGTCCAAGGGACCTGGAGGAAGAGAATGGCACTTAAACTTCGAAGGCACAACAGCCTTTAGTGACGATCTGGGATGCTACGCTATAGCCCTGTTCGATTGCGAGGAGACCATAGACGCCTTTGTTCTCTTGCTCTATGATTGGACGTACCTGGGTATCTGCGTGAAAAAAGCAGGCGACTGTTTCGAGAGAGTTGGCATCTGCATGATTACACGTTCGAAAAGGGACTGGGAGACAATTATGCAAAAAGGCTTACTGGAGATATATTGGAAACGTATTCTGTTACGGTAAACGGACAGAGAGAAGACAAGAGGATTGATTGAATGGAGACATACCGCTGAGTTAGTATGCGTAAGGTTACTGTGGATGGACTACGTGTAGGCTTATGATGACAATGTAATATTGCTTCTTGTGTACCCAAGTAGTCACATACCAGTCGTAACAATGCTATCATTGAAGATGGAAAGAATCCATATGTTAGCTATATGATTTGCCTAGGACAAGAGAAGACCCACGCCTAAGTCTACAGACTTGTTACCCGCCGCCTCAGGACCAGGGGCGTGTCTTCCTCGTCAGGGCACGCGAGGAAGTCCATCTTATAATTGAAGTCCATGAATCCGTGGACAACGACAGCATCGTCCTTGTGCGCGATGGCAAGGCTGTTCTTGGCCACAACCTTTACCATAAAGTCTCCCCTCGCCCGCCAGAATGGTGGTATGAAGAAATGTCGAGTGTAAGACTTGGTCTCTGAGATGTTCTTGATGCTCAATGAACACACCCACCCGCCGCGGTCCAAGAAAATGACACTGGACCGCGATATCGCAATGACCCTCTTAACTCCGGCGACCATATTCCTCCCTGAGGCCGTGGCAGATGCTTCTGGAACGCTTGGTTGCAGACGGCGGGCCTGTAGCATCACAAATGCCGTTACCTGTCCGTTTTGCAGTGGCAGAGCTCGAAATAGGTAGCCGATACCCGTTTGAGAGAACCATTCGTTGGGGATTGCTGTCTTGCGTATGTCCGAGGACAGACTCAGTGATATGCAATGTGGTTCTGCACTCTGCTGTAGCCCGGTCCACTGACTGAGCTCGATCTGCTGGCCTCTTGCCAAAAGAAGACGAGAGTCGTCGGCAGGGTGGGCCACCCATCTCCTGTCCCCGATGGAGCAATTGCAAAATTGACCGCGGCTTTCGTCCCATTTCTCCTGTCCAGAAAGGGTCGAGATCAGAATTGCAGTGCCATCTGGACTCACGAGAGCCTGTGTGATCGCAGCTTGAGCCCGATGGTCTAGAATATTTTCTCCCTGGGCCCAGGACCCTGTTTTTGATTGTGGTGGAGTGAGCTGAGTGAAGATACATCTCCTTGACGTGTCCACGCTCAGAAGGCGAGCTTTCTTGTGGTTGAAGTCCAGATGGCGGATCTCGGCCGCATGGAGCTTCAGCTCAAGAACGACTTGACCGGTCTTTAGATGATGTATACTGATCGCACCATCCTCCCTACCACAGAAGAAGAATTAATCATCGTAAGTTTGTGCAATTACCGTGACGACCCTTGAGTCATCGAAGGGCCGGACGGCCTGACTGGGGCTCCCTGGTGTGGCTACCAAGTACTCCTCTGGCTCGCTCGAATTGCCGTCCATTGAACTTTTCCTGACCAGCACAGAGGGCTCCCAGGAATTGCAACTCTTGCCCCTCACATCGAAAAGCCGGAGGCTTTTCTATGAGTATCGTGCCCGTGGCAATCTCGTCGAGCGAGTCGAGACGGTGGAGAAGTCACGGTATGTAAAAGGTCAGGAGGGATATGCCTCCTTCGGTATCGCCTTGCTGCAAACATCCGCCCATCTATAGGCCCTCCAATTGTACACGCGTCCAGTCCATAAACTTACATACACAAACGTCTCGAGATATATGGCAGAACTTGAGGAGACCCTGTATGTAGTGGCTAAGAAGGACATCCTATGGAACGTGAGGCCGTATCCCGATAGGGCGGTCGCCCTTGACCAGGAGATATGCGTACAAATGGCTTTGCAATGATTTTGAACAGCCTGAACAATATCCGGAACTGTGGAAATGGACATTTCTGCAACTTAATCTCATAAGCAGCCAAAGCTCTGGTCTATATACCAACACCTTTTCTGGAAACAAACTCCACGTCTTTCCTCATCAACCATGGGGCATGGGACAGGACAATGTGGACGAGTGGTCATCATTATCGTCAGAGCTAGACCCCGTCGAAGGAGGAGGTACTAAATAACTTCGACCATGAATCCAGAAATCCATTTGAAAAAAAAAAAAATAGATCAAGAGATCTCTTTGTCGACTAAGTAAGGGGCAGACTGATGCTTGTCTAAGCTCTACCAAAAAGGTTGGAAGCTGAGAGCTTGTAATGATGCGATGACAGTTGATCAGATGGCACCGAGTATCTAGGGGTTCTCGTATGGAATGGATGGGAGGGCTTCTCGTCCTGGATGGCAAAGGCATGGCAGGGCGCACAGGACGATTCGGCACATTTGATGGTCTATTAACAAAGGACTGTGAGGTGTTATCGTGCCATATCAAGCACCAAAGTGACTCAGCATCTCATAGAAGGCCCATGGTCGGGCTTGTGCCCCATGATCTTGTTTTTGCACCGTCTAAGAGATGCAGGAGATTCTCCCCAACGGGTGACTCGAAAGATGCCGGGAGGGAAAGAGACTGAGATGTCAAGCACTGCTCTTCCGGACAATTTCCGGGGATGTTTGGGAGTGATATTACACCACTGCCCAATCCTTGTTGGTTTCCTCTTGGCCACAACCAACACGCCGGCCCGATGGAATGGCGTTTGCCAACCTAGCACGGTTTGCCGCAGTAGAGCGTTGAAACCCTGGACGAGATCCCAGCACCGGAGAATGCCGATTGCCTCTTCCCATGACGCCACAGCTCTTGTACCGTGCCAGAAGGAAACTCGTGCGCATTGAGGCTCTCCGCGCATACCTCCTAGACTGCTTCTTGAAGCGAATCGCTAGTGGTGCTCCTAAATGTCGACATGCCAGCGCAAACTAAGAGGTGGGATTGTTTGCGGTCAAACAGGAGATCATGGGGATCGCTGCACCGCCAGTTGTTCAGTTAGGTATATAAGCTAGGTAAGTCAAGTGGCCCACATTCGGCCCGCCCGGGGATTCGGCCCACGATTCACACCAAAAAACCCGATTTCAGCCCTACAGAATATAAATCTATAAACGTATTAAAAATAAACCATATACATAGGAATTTTATAGATTTTCTATTTAATATAGATTAATATTGAATATAATTCTTTTAAGCTTTAAATATTATTAAATAAATAAAAGTTAAAAAGTTGAAATTTTAAGACTGCAAAAGTCCTCCCAAGTCAGGGACTTCACGCGAAAAACGTTCATTTTTTCATGATATTTTCTATTTCTATTTATTCTATTATATTAAAATATTATTATAAATTCTTTCAAAATTTAAACTTAATTAATAAAAATTAAATAAAATTTTAGTATAGTTACTTTATTTATAGTATTTTTCTATAATTAGTTATTATAGGGCTGAAATCGGGTTTTTTGGTGTGAATCGTGGGCCGAATCCCCGGGCGGGCCGAATGTGGGCCACTTGACTTATGTAGGTGTTAGGTGTTAGGTCTGGGTATAAGTAAGAGTGTAAGTGTAGGTGTAGGGATGGGTGTAGGTGTTAGATGTATGGGTGTTAGATGTGTGGGTGTATGAGCGTTGGGTGTATGGGTGTTAGGGTGTATGGGTGTTGGGTGTGGGTCTGTTAGGTGTGGGTGAGGTAGTGATGTACCAGTGTGCCCTCCGTTCCTGGCCCTCTCAGTGCATGTTCCGAGCTGATACGGGAAAGAGCCCCCCCCCCCCCACGCCATCGTCACTGCCGACAAGCTGTTTGTCTTCTGGGTCATTGATGACCCTTTGCTTGTCTGCTTCAAACATTAGGTCAAAACATTTCACTTCACTCTAGCTTGCCACACATGATTCTGTCATCCAACACATCACACCAGTATCGTTGTCTGCTAAACCCAACACAAGCCACTGATCAACAAAATAGGAACGGCGAGTCCTTGATCGATCATCTATCAATATCACAACTCGCTCAATTGCAAATGGCGAGCAACTCCTCCCCGGCTGCCAGCATTAGCATCCCTGCCGACGCAGTATGGAAAAGACCTCCCCCTTATTCGCCTTGCATTCACGCTGCCAACAACCTCGACCCGATTGCCCTCTTGGAGATGGAACCCGAAAAACACCACCGCGGAATGCGAACCGCCGTTCGCGTGCGTGATCCCCCAACTTGGATTGGGCTTGAGGCGTTGATGACAGCTGTTGAGGACGAGGAAGGCACACTGTCGTTTCTGCAGCTATTCCACCAGCCAAGGGCGAAACTTGTGCCTCGGGAGCAAACCCTTCGACCTGGTGGTTGCTACCTGATCAAGGAGCCTTTCCTCACATTTTCCATCGACGGCGCCTACTACAGCCTGCGAGTGGACCATCCCAGTGATATATTGTGGCTTCGTCATGGCCATGAGCTTCTTCCTGCAAAATGGAGAAATGACAATGCCGTGGTCGGAACAAGTCGTGACGCGAGAATGAATGGCAACATTGCCGTCGGTGAGAAGAGATGGGCAGCGGCAGAGACTCGGTAAGTCTCACTCCACGCATTGGAGTCCAAAGAGTCATATTTACTAATGCTATCAGCTACACTACTGCCGCTCGAACAGCTGAAACGGCTGAAGAACTGCATTTGGCTTACCTCAATCGCTCTTTGGCCAATCTCCGACTGGGACGCCCAGCTACTGCCCTGGCAGATGCCATCAAGTCGTACGGGGAAGACAGCTCGGCACGTACCGAGAGAGGACTTCTCCGCGAGGCCAGCGCTCTTTATGAACTCGCAAAATACGGCCAGTGTCTGGACACACTGCAGACACTTATAACTTCTCATTCCGAAAGGGCTTCAGCAATGCCAATGATCGAACGTGCCCGCGCAAGGCTCCAAGAGCGACAATCAGGCCAGTACGATTTCCGCCGCATGTACGAGGAAGCCCAAAAGACACCTCCCCTGATCGAGTGTGCCACTTACATCGGGGCTGTGGAAATCAGAGATTCACCAGGAAAGGGACGTGGGGTGTTCACCACGAGAAAGGTCCTGGCTGGCGAACTCCTCATCTGTGAGAAGGCGTTTGGGTACGCCTGTTGTAATGAGGATTTTCCCGTTGACGAAGACATGACGGAGCTCGAGAGTAGTAAGAAATATCTGCGCACGCAAATTGTGCAAAAGCTGTTGCACAACATTGAAGACGCTCGATCTTTTGTCGACCTGTATCATGGAGACTACGATGCCGTCTCCGTGTACGGGGTTGACGGGCGTGCTGTGGTTGACTCGTAAGTAGTGGGTAATGTCCTCTGATAGTGTTTTGCTAATGTCTGTTCAGGTTTCTGGTTCGGAAGGTCATTGACCTCGCGGGCTCCGGGGCCCCAAGGACTTCCCTGTCCTCCAAACGAGACCTCTCCTCAAAGAATTGGGATTGGCAATACAACAGCGCCGGTGTTTGGTATCTCGCCTCCCACATAAATCACTGTTGCATCAGCAATGCCAGTCGCTCTTTCATTGGAGATATGCAGATCGTTCGAGCGACAAGAGACCTCGAAAAAGGATCCGAGCTGTTCGTCTCTTATGGGCTCCCGTGCGGATTGCACTCGTACGCGGAAGCGTAGGAACGCCTTCGCAGCTGGGACTTTACCTGCGACTGTGCTTTGTGTCTCGACCGAAAGGTGACGTCAAAGGACGTGCTGATGCGGCGGAGGTCACTGCAGGAAAGCCTCACACGGTTCATGGAGAGCCAAAGTTGGGAAATGAACATCCCCAACGCCAAAACGATGCTTGAAGGGCTCGAACAATCATATTCCACCACGGCCAAGATCCCCGGTGCAGTCAGACCGGAGCTCTGGGTCCACTACTTCACCCTTGGTATGAGGCTTCTCAGAATCAAAAGGCCCTCTGAGGCCATTGAGGTGACTGTGAAAGGCCTCGAGGCACTAGGGTTTGTCATCTCCGCAAGCCCGCCTAGAGAACGTCCAGAGTCATCCGAGCCTGAGCTCCTGATCAAGCAGTGGGGCATGGCGGTTCCGTACTCTGCCGATGCCTTTATTATTCTTAAGAGGGCGTACAAGAGAATCGCTCCACAGCTTTCGGTCGCGGCGAGGATGTACGCGGCGATTGCGTATACCATGGTCATGGGCGAGAAGGAAACGATCGTGGACTCATTCCCAGACATGGCATGAATCATCGACAGTTCAGCCTTGGTGCAGTCATCGAGCTTGGGTTTCCGTTTTGAGCAAGAAAGCCCCATGAGAAGTTGGCAGAATAAATTTTGAGTATTGATTGTTAATTGTTGGTAGTCAGTCGAGACTTGGCGAGGCTTCGACAAGTTACTGGAAAGTTTGACTTGGAGAAGCGAGGCTTTGAAGTACAATAGGCATGCCAAAGCGGATGTACGGGACATGAAGGCTGGAAGCGATATTTCTTTCGAATAAAATCAAGTTCATGATTGCTGTTGCTGTATTAAATGTAGTCCAGTTTGTCCCGCAGATGGGCTTTGTGGTGTTTTCTTTTCATGGGCGAGACGCATTTTCAGACTTTTCTGTCGGATCTCCTCCACCTTGTCGTACTCCCCCCATTCGGTAAGCCACCGCTCAAGATCATGTACTAGCTCCAGCGCCGCAGAGACGCCATAGCACGGCCTGTCCTCGACCGAAGACAGGCTCTCGATTGCACCCCGCAAGAACTTCTCAGCGTTCACTTTGTCCCCACTCTTCCGGTACTCTTTCGCCACAAAGTACTGGGCGGTATATTTACCAAGCATGTCGTGGTCTTGGCCGCGGTCCAGGAGGTCCAGGAAGATCTTCCTTGCCTTCTCCGTGGACGTGCCGGACTTCTCGGCGTAGAGGCGCGAGTGCTCGCCGTAAAGCCACAGAAGGGTGACGACCGGCAGGCTTGACCTGCCGTATTGAATCTCGTGGCCGCGTATTGTATCTTGGAGGCCCTTTTCGAAATTTGACGGCAGCTGGTCGTAGCCAGCCGTCTCGCCAAACGCCAGCCACTCGCCCAGCAGCGGCACGTTCCAGTCGGGCTCGATCATGGCGGTCCACGTCTGCAGCTGGCACCTCCAGGTCTGGATGATGGCCTCGCGTAATACTCGGTCGTCCAGTTTTGTCAGGCTCGTGAGGATCCGCCGCAGGGGGCCGGGCCCCGAGTTTTCATGGACTACGGACGCCGCGAATTTCAACAAGGCCCTCAGAGTCGCGTTCATGTCTTCTGCCCTAGACTCGTCCCATTTCACGCACAGGACCGTGATGCAGATGCAGCCAAAGGCGTTGTTCACGGTCCCGAACAGCAACATGCGGATCTGCTCGGGGGCCCGTCGCAGCACCAGCAGCGCCTCGTCGACCCTCGATTCCTGGAGGAGGCGCCGGACCGCCACGAGCCCCTTGAAGTAGTCCCCGTAGTGCGAGGGTAAGCTGGCGCGCCTGTCAAGTTCGGCATCATGTTTGGCTGCCTTGTGCTCGCGGATGTAGTCGCGGGCACTTGTGAGGATCTCCTCCGAGATCCAGAGGTCACCAGGTGAGCGGAGTGAGCGGAGCACATGCATTGGGTATAGATGTGGTGTGGACCTCTTCCTACCGAGGTGCGTGACGAGGCTGCTCAGACTGATCATGGTCCCGTTGCTCAGCCGGATGATTTCGGGCTTAGCGCCCCCTTGGGTTTGTAGACCGTTGGATGCCACATGCTGGAGAGCCTCCCTCTCAAGTCTAGTGGTGATATATTTTGAGAATCCCCACCGATTCAGTCTGGCCTTGTAAGGTTTTAGTCTTTGGGAATCCGCATCCACGTGTTAGTTACACATGCACAAAGCTCGGGTAAGCGCGGGGTTCAAACTCACGATGCCTCAAACCCGTGTTTAGTCTTCATGATCTCCACGACTTCTTTCAGGCTCCGGCCCTCATCGATATAGAGTCTTCTTATGGTCGCCTTGTGTGCCTCCCACAAGGCGTCCGATTTGCCTCGACGCTGGGCCGTCGCGGTTGGCGACGATGCCGCCACGGGCTCATCCATACTGCCAGGCCCATCCGGCACTGGGTTCGTAATCCCCGTTTGCAGCGGCTGCTCGAGTCGATCTACTGCGCGAACAGCCATTACTCGCTCTCTGGTCCCATACTGCATCTCAGGCCACAGTCGCAACCGCTCTTTCCGACCTGATATCGACGTAGGCTCAATCGTTGGGCAGGGCATGCGAAGGCCAGGAGGGCCGAGGGCCTCGGCCGGGAACGTGAGGGAGATGATGTTCCCGCAAAATGACCCATCACGTGACGTGTCGATTTATATGCCAACAGGGGTAACCCACCAACGGCCCATGGTCAATGCTACCTGGGACTTTAATCAATTGAACTTTAATGCGGACCGGACTGCCGCGGCCCAAGATATTTGCCTATCGCCTTGCGCCATTGTGGAGTATCGCGGAACTTCCCAATACGCTTTCGCTCGGTGAGTGCACCCGATCGTCGAGATCTTACCTCTCCTTCCTCCTCGATCTAGTCCAGCCCGAGATCGGTGTGAGTGATCTAGGCTCTCGGGAGATCTACGGGCACATGAAGTCGCAATAATGTGCTTGGTACAAAAGTGGAACACCCACTTCGCTTGCCGGCATTAGTGCCCGGTGTTCAGGGGCGGAACCAACAACCCAGTTGAAACAACAACCACCGACGACCACACCGGTCACCACATGGGGAAGGTGTGCACATCACTGAAGCGGGGGTCAATGTGTAATCAGATGCAGTCCACAGGAATTAAAAAATACGCCGTCTGGGCTCTGTATCAAGAACTGGTAGGGTATACAAGGTTCCACACATATCATGCAGGTTGTGTTGTCAACTTAGTAAGTTAAAGGTGTTTTTGAAAGGGGCAGCACCAACCTCGTATGAGACCCAGCGGACAGAGAAGTTGTCAATAATGCAATTTCAAGAGGATAACAGACCAGAAAGCGCAGGCGACAATTCACAAACAAGGCCTATAGACTTGACGGCAAACTAAGTTCACGGTGCATCGGACACACTTACGCTAGACGGCATGGCGTTGTTTTTTTTTTTTTTTTTTTTTTTTTTTTTTTTGAGTTATCCACGATGTCACCTTCATACTTCCACTCTATCGGCAACTACTCGAATGCTTTGCGGATCTATGTGCTTCTTGAATTTGGTGGAGAGTGATGGACCGACTCATGTGGAGCTTAATCGCTTTTCTGACTTCGTACAGAGCGTGTCAGTAAAGCTTTGCTCGTCCCTGATGCCCATCTGCCCGAGGCCGTCCCTCCCCACCTGACACCTCTTGGCTCACGTGCGCGAGTCGCTGCTTTGGTTTCCACACCAACTGCCTTGTGGGGTTTTCTTTTGAGAACGCATATTTGCACCCACAAAAACACAGGATACACCCATATATCACCAGCACCAAACCAATACCTACGCCCAACTCACATACCTAAGTCACACATCCAATTTACATACTTAAGTCATACACCTTATACGTATACATCTAATTTATATAAGTATTAGGTGTATAGGTGTTGGGTGTGGGTGTGTAAATAGGCCTTATAATATGCTCTCAATTATTGGCTGCGGCTGTAGTGTGAGTGATGTATAGATGTACCCTCCGTTTTTATGGGTGCGAATATCAGTTCTCATTAACATTGTCTTCTGTCTAGGTGTGGCTTACCTTTATGAGCACCCCCCAAATGACTCTATTCATTAACATGTGTGCCTCTTCCTCGTCAAACTGTTTTCCACTAGCCCAAGTAGTATTTCTCCTCCAACTTCCAATCAGCACTAGCAGAGATTCGTTTCAAAATCTTATGAATGTCAACCCAGTGCCCATAAATCAGGTCTAACTAACCCCGAATTTCACTTCAGCATCAGCTAGTCCCTGGGAAGCATCCTTCGCAGATACCAGGCCATGAGCCGAGCCAGCCACAAGCTATAAGCCAGCCAGGATGTAAACCGATGACGCACAATAGTTCCACACCACATCAGCGTATCAACAACGTGAGCATGATTGTGATCGCCCGCCGCAGCGGCAAGGGACCCCCAATACGCGCATGCCATGGCGAGATATGACGCTACCGCGTAATGCGCTGCCAACATGGCCAAGGTGATGATCGGGACTCCGGGGGTGGTTGGCAGGCTGTTGGTCCACCATGCTTCAAGTCCCGGGAGGGCCATGATGGTGCTGAGCACTGCAACATCGCAGAGAGCGAAGAAGCAAAAGAACTTTGCGTCCTTGAAGCAATCCTCGCACATCGGAGTGCCGAAAATTTGCAACATTTTGGCTTGAGCAGTCTTCTCGAGGTGTCGGTTTGCTGCAATTTCTTGGTAGCCGGCTGGTTGCGTCCGAGATGGGTCTCCACGAGTTGGAGTTTGACTGAGTAGTTATCACTGTTCACCACGTAGTTGGGTTGCTATTGAGCTCATGTATGTATGTTCTGTGAAAAAAAACCAGGTTTCTGTTCGGTTCGGGATGAGTTTGCTTTGGTGTTGCATACAAGTTGTTAGAATTTGTCCTATAGTAATAGAAGCGGACGGTTTCTTCGAAGAATTTAAGGACAGAAGCCAAAAAAAGAATTCGTCTTGCTGGCTGCGGTGTAAATATTTAGCCTGAAGAAATCAGCCAACTTATGTATACTGGGGAACATTTATCGGGCTAGCAAAACTAGCTACTGGTCATTCGTTCGATAGTGTAGGCTAGTCTTGCGCTTAGCCCAAGATCATATTCTGCAGTAGAATGAAGAAAAGTCGACAGATATTATCACCTCTTGTAACATTTACAACAGTTGACTTCAACATGTGTGGATCCCATGCAAGCCTGCTATTTGAGACACCCGAACTATCAGAGGGACAGCAGCGAACCATCTTTGTGTATATATAATTGTTGTTCCCATAAGCTTTAAATCTCAGCCCCTCTCGGTCCCATCTCCTAGAAGAGTGAGCAGAGCAGAGCAGAAGGACATGGGCAACCTGTAATAAGGCTTGACGCCGGGTAGTCAGAGCGTGTCGCTCCATGAACCCTCCGTCACAACAAAAAAGCTGAAAAGCTTCATCCAGAATTTGATTTCTAATCCTTCTGGTCTGTCTCATGTGACTAGTCTACTTGGAACAAGCGTCCTCAGGACGGAGCCATCGCCGCACGGAATTGCGAACAAGTCGTCACTGTCTTGATATCATGATGAGAGGCCCAACTTCTCGGCAACGGATGGAAACGCACTAAGTGCATTGTGCCCATTAATCATCACCATCTCCTCCTGACTGAAGATTCCATTAGGTCCAATCTCTTCGATCCCAGCTTGGACTTGAGGTTCATGGATATATGGGTCTATGAAATATTGTTTTAGTGGGACACGACACCAGTTACTTCAAAGTAGACTCACAGTCTGTCCCCAGCACAATTTTGCTAACGTCTCCGCCATAGAATTCCCGCAGCCCCCAAAGCTGAGCTGCAGATGTCGCACTTGCGGTGTCGAAGAAATACCCTCGGAATTGTGCAAGCGCGTCAGATGCGTTGAGGCTTCCATTGGACACCCCACTGGCCATCCCAGCGATTCTCGTCGCCACGGAAGGCATTGCCCCACCTCCGTGCGGGAAGACAATGTTGATGCTCCTGTAGCTTCTTCGTTGACCAGTGAAGAGAAGATGCTCCATGGCACGGACGGAGTCAAAAGTAAACTCACTCATCCCGACTGGGTATCCTATCGATGCACACCCACACCCCGGGGCATCTGGGTGAACAAAGACACTTGCGTTTCGGCTGTTGAGAATATCGAACACTGGGTCCAGGGATCTGTCGCCCAAATAGGTCCCGTTCGCATTGGTGTATAAACCCACTCCGTCGAACTTGAGTTTATCCAAGCAGTACTAGCTTGCAAGATTAGCCACTTACTGGGCTTGGCTTTCAGATTCCCTCGCTTCCCCGTGCTCGACAGACAGACAGATTTAGCTTACTTTTATTTCGTCCACTGCTGCATCAACATGTGGCAATGGCAATATACACATCGCCCCAAGTCTTGTTGGATACTGTCGTGTGTAGTTATGCAAAGCCAGGTTTAAGCTTCTCGCTAGTTGACTGGCCGCGGTCTCATTTCCGGCAAGGAAGTTCACCCCTGGAGCGCTGATAGACAGGGTGGAGTAATTGACTTGATTGGCATCCATGTCTTTGATGTGTGTGTCCAGGCTCCAAGAGGGAACGGGCAAAATGTTGACATAGACAGTGCCGTTGATCGCAGGGAACCCTCCTTGGCCTAATGCTTCATGGTAAAAGTCCGGAGCAACGTGAGAGTGAACGTCGAACCGGAAGGGCCTGGATAAGAGGGAATCCAACGGGGCCGCCACCGCCGGACGGACGAATAAGGCCGTGGCCAGGCAGAGCAAGATATTCATCTCCATGAGGGTGGCGCGAGATTCTGATGAAAATAATGAGAGGCGGAGATGATTATCTGCTCAAGGGGGAATCCTACAAGAACTGGAGTCCAAAGTGACAACAACACCGTCTCTGCTGGACTTTTCAGTATTCACTTGCGTACTGGCCTGGAGGCGTATGACAATCTACCTTCAGAGAAGCCTCAATTGGACGAGTCAGGATCCCACAGACGGGTTCGACGGTCTTGAAGGTGGAAGTGTACAAGAACGCACGAGTTGGATTTTGTTGTGTCGTGACTCGCCCCATGGTGCGGAATCAAGGGTGTCCAAAGCTTGATTCCATGAATTGAGTTTACCGCCAATATCACTACAGTCGCCGTAGAAGACTGGCCATGAAAAAACGCTAATGTCGCATGCAAGTTTTGTTCGGTGGTCGTTGAATAGCCGTAAATACGGTTACTTCAGGGCAAAAGCACATGATCGATTCAAGTCGCTGCATAGTGGCAAGTGGCCCAAGCGACTACATCACGAGCAACCTAGGTATATTTTGCTAACCCTAAACGTCCGGTGACTCGCTCAATTAATGCCCACAAGAAGTATTGTCGATTATGTTTGTACTTGGCCTGAGTGGAAGCGACTCATTCAAGTCATCGTTCGGATGGAAGGCTGTATTTCCTACGTTTGATTACAGCGACATTCTTGATGGGACTGTTCCCGAATATTGCAACTGCTTGGAGGCCATGTTTCTTCCCACATGGCTTGCTCGGAGTCAGTAAGTCTGCAGCAATCTGTCGAACACGAAGATGTGACCAAAAACTTCATTTTATGCTCACAGATATCCAGTGAGCTATGCCATCAAATGCTAATGCTACCGTACGCCCTTATTATGCCTATTGAAACACTACACCGTGCTCCTTCTTAGCCCATGTTCGCCAACAACGCCTCTTTCTGGGCCGCCTCCCTCTTGGCCTTCCTCTTGGCGGCGCCCTCGCGCCAGGCGCAGATGAAAACGCCGCCGAAGGCAGCCACCGCCGCAATGCCGAGCGTCGTGCCGACGATTGCGCTCGAGAGGCCAATGTTGACCCTGCTCGAGGAGGACGTCGACGTGGCAGAGGCAGAAGACGTCGTCGTTGTGGAGGTCGTAGAAGATGAGGATGTACTTGTTCCCGTGCCCGACGAGGTGGCGGATGATGAGGTAGATGACGGGTTGGAAGTGGACGTTTCTGAGGACGACGACGAAGTGGACGTTTCCGTGGCCGTGGTACCCGTGCTCTCATCCGTGCTTGTGGTGGTGTCTGCGCGCCCGACCATGTTGGGCCTGTTGCGGGCGTGTAGTGATCTCCGTCTCAGCTCCCCCTCCAAGTCCGGCTCTGTGTCTGAGCTGGGGCCGGTCTGGCACTTTTCTGTGATCCACAGTGCATTCTCCGCCTCATCTGGGGTGCAACCAGCTGCCTCCAGGCAGGTCGCGAGGAGTTCCACGTCCACCGTCTCGATCGCTGTACAGTGCGTCATTATCGAGCTGTCTGCGCAGGACAGGTCTGCCACGATGCTTGCCAGACATCCTCGGCCCATCAGCCGTGGAGGTGCTGCCGCAGAGGGAGTGGCCAGGAGCAAAGCGACGGCCACGTTGGCGAGATTTTTTCTTATGCTGAAGGAATTCATTGTGTAGATGGTGTTCTCGGTGTGAATGATTTCTTTGCCTGGTGAAGGGTCAAGAGGAGGAGGATATGGCTTGGGAGATGTTGGTCAACTCTGTCGTAGGTAAGATTGTTGAAACGTTGTGGCACCTTTGGCAAGGAGTGACAATTAAGCTTAAGCAAACAAGAAACTGAAGTGGGTATCACAAGGAGAATGAGCAAACAGTGAGGTGAAGTGGTGTAACAGGAAAGCCACCTCAGGCTGGCGAGACGCTTTTAAGAAATTCCCTCTGTGTCATGGGGAGCACCTAGTCACCCGCGTCACTCGACGCCGGCCAACAGCTCACCAGGAACGTTCAGCCCGGGAGCCGCCTCCACTGCGCAAAATGGCAGAGCCACGGCTATACGGTACTGCGCCCCCGCGTGCGACCACTTTGCGTGTGACGAGGCCAAGGGCGAGGGAGGCTGAAGGGGCATAGGCCGTCGGCATGTGGGGGTGAAGATGGCGCCCGGGTTCCCGCATTTTACACGTTAGGCTTCATGACCCCCCGCAGCGGTCATAATTAGGGTCCGAGATCTCCGGGAAGGGCAGGGCCACGCGCACGACGCGACGCTCGTCTCCACTTTGGTCCACCACATGCCGGTCTGACGGGTGTCATTGGCAGGGGACTTAGCGACGCTTGCGTGAGGCGCCACATGCGTTACGTGTATCGAGAAATTTCACCTCGCACTTTGTCCGTGGGCTGAAGGTGAGAACCTGAGGGTGCTGTAGGTCGAGTGGTGCGAGCACATGAGGGACCAAGGTACCCTTATGATAACTCTTGAAACCAGGTGCTGGTGACCCGGCACAAAGGAGTGTCGATTGCTAGTCTCGGTAATCGCCGCACACGGATCAAGGATAAACGTTTGACTAAGCGCGACGGTCTCTCACGGCAACAGGTGCCGGTGGTCGAGTGCCCTGACTCGCGAAAAGAATCACCATTCGCCTGACGGGCGTAGCCTGGTCTAGATTACAACCTCGAGCCAGACTGCTTCGGGCCTGCCAAGAACGCTGTGCTGGCTTCCGTGCAGAACATGGCACGACTTTGCCGAAGCGCGCAGGTGAGGCAAGCATACAGGAGTCACTACTAGTACGGGGCACGGTGCTGTACTTGGATCTACAACAGTCGGTGCCATTCCGAGACATGTCGAAGTCGTCCGCTTTTGTCCCACACCAGAGACAATTGTCGTCAAAGACAGCCTCGACCCTCCGGTCCAATCGAATTATTCTAGCGGTCCGTCTCAAGCGGGACCAAGAAGGAGCCGGCGTGTTGATGGGCATATGGGTGAACACTGCGTCTTACAAGAGAAACACGTTGAATAGATATTGCGATGGGTTACACGCCAACAACACATATTCCTCGCCTTGTGGTAATTTTGCTATTTAGCGACTCTTGCCACGGGTCCTATGCAGGCAGCTCATGACTCTCGTGCCACCGGGGAGATAATGGAAATCCTTCGAACCATACGGAGCCATTGCCAAACACAGAACGGAATCAGACAGCTGAATTTTTTGATGCAATTTCGAACGAGTTGATTCGCCGGCACCAAAGGCACTCGAAGAGACCGGAAAAGCTGCTGGAAACACTGTTTCGACCCGTCCGTCATCTGCCATCCGGACCTCTGCCGAGCTGCCAACGTCGCTAGGTGTTCTCCTTTTCCGGAGTCGAGAATCAGAACGCTGGCGTGGCACACCTGTTGGTCTTGGGCCAACACAGGCAGACTGGCCAGCGCTTACGGTGCCCAGATTTCACTTTGACATCTCAGGACTTCCTAATCCGACTAGATGAATGCCGCATAGATGTAGGGGAGTTACGCTCGTAGAAAGTTGCAGCACAGCAATCAGATGACTCGATCCTCAACGATGGCCTAGTCTTACAATGACTGCATAACCATGAGCCCGCTCCAAAGCTCCGGCGGCTCGACTGATTGGAGTCTCGCTCGACAACCTACTACCTCCAGAAGCCTGCTGCAAAGGCTTCATTTAATTTCCGGTTTATCACCAGGGCTGATTCTTGAATTCCGAAAATCTATTTAAAGCTCGCCCACGGCCGCTATGGTATTCACAGCTGCGCCGTCCTCTGGCGCCCTTCTTGCGGGCAGATGGAGACCATATCCTCGAGTTCCCGGTTGCCTGACGATGCGTGGCCTGTAAATGGCTACCACACTTTCTGTAAACTTGGCGGACGGACACCTGGAGTTTCGAAGCCGACTAAACCAGTTACCCAACAAGCAAAACAACTCTCAAAGTTCTCTCGTGGATGGACGCACTGACTCCGTATGGCGTAGAAGCACAAGCAGCGATAAGCACGATAAAAATGCCTGCATCTTTCGCGGCAAATGGCGAGCCCCGGTTAGCTCTACGAAGGTGATAGTCGCGGCAAGTCCTCGTCGCTCGGAGGGAAGTTTGCTGGCTGGTGTGCCAGGTGCTAACAATCATGAGTGGTATGCCTGCCTGTTCAAGCACAGGACGGTTGAGAAGGTTGGCATAAATAGCGGACAATTGGGATTTCCATAATTCAAGCGCCCTGGTCGACCTCCACAGCATTTTCTGGCGCCGGGAGCCGTCCTTTTCTCCTTTCCCGGTAGCTCCCACCGAAGAGCGCAGAGCCATCTAGCTTCGCAGGCAGGAAACAGGACGGTGTCCATGAGGCCACACCAGACAGAGCCGGGTGCCAGTGGAATCAATGCCGCATCAGCCAATGGCGCCTATCTTGAGCCTGAAGGAACAAACCCACTAAGTCAAGAGTGTGGACAACCAGACACAAACGATTACTCATACACCCGGGATGGAAAACATGACTTCTCCGTGGCCTTGGACTTGGTCGGCCAGTGTTAGGGCACGCGTTGAATCCGTCAACCTTTCTCCCGCACACCCTAGCGAGACCAGTGTTGTGCCACTCAAGATAGCAATAATGCTTGGTCCGGCCTGTACAACAGTCAGCCCCGTGCTCGTGAAATTTGGTCCTCAAATCAAGCTTTCACGGGTTTACACGTACATCCTCAGAGCTTCATCCTCAATACTGCACCCCAATCATTGTACACGCTGACAGATTTAACCTTGATATCTTTCTCCCACACAGTCCGGCACTCTGCTGTCAGGCACATGAGGATACCGCTACTGTAGGAGCCTCTCCTCTTTCAGGCTGAACTGCCTAAGCCGACGCCTAATTGGTGGTAGCAGGACCTTCCCACTGATTAGGTGAGGGCAGACCGGACATTCTCGCTGATGGCAGTCAACGCAGACAAGCGGGAGAGGCGTCGCTAACGCTCCTCGTCCTCGTCCTCGTCCTCGTCCATGCCCTCCGCAAGCTCGTCCTCGTCTCCCTCCTCTTCCTCAAACTTGGGCAGGTGCACCACAAACACAGGAGTGTCATCAGCCTCGTCCGCATCGCGAATGACAAATGCCACAATGTCGTTGTTCCTGAGCCCCTTGCTGACGGGGGTCTCGTCGCCCTTGATTTTGAGGTCTTTCCATCCCTTGCTGTCGTCGTGGGGGTTCTTCAGGATGCCGTATGCGATGTGGTAGTCTGCGCCTTCTGCTGGAAGGGGCGTGGGAAGTTCTTCGATGCTGGGCCGTAGGCCGTCTGGGTAGCGGTCCTGCAGGACGGAGAAGAGCTCTGCCGTGAGCTCGGAGAAGGGGCCGAGAGGGTCGACCAGCAGGAAGATTGTGTGGACACCGTACTTGAGGCGCAGGGAAATGGGCATGTCGGGAGGGTCATCTGGTACATCTCGCTTGGGCGGCTGTCCGACGTGAGGTTAGCAAACAGCTCAAGCCCTTGGCAAGCAAACGGTTGGTGGCCGGAGGAGTCACGAGGAGTCGCGTTCAGTCGCTTCTCGCGCTGCGGCTGGGAGGATGCACACATACCATCTTGACGGTGATCCAGCTGGTAGTACTATGGTGGGTACTCCAGCAGTGGAGATCCTGTCCGGTGGGAAGAGGATGTCAAGCTGAGTACGGACACACGAGAGCAGGCGAACGCAATAACGAGTGACTGAAGGGAGGCAGAAATTCGCAAAGTGACGTTGCAGACAATGGATGGCTCTCGGCTCAGCCTAACGCGGGGCCAATTCCGCATTACACTGACAGGCAGCAGGAGCTTGGGCCATCTGGAAGTTTAAGTGGGGCACCCCAGCCAATATGTACCTACCCAGGTACCACCCAGGTGGGAGGAAATCAGATGCCCCTCAGGTGCTTCTTGATCTGGTGATTTCTCTGCAACGCCGGCCTCAATTCGCCCCAGAAATAGCCCTACCGCGGGCCCATACTGACCTAATTTGACCAAGACCACTCTCCAACACCTTGCCTACCCATTGCAGCCCTCGCAACCTCGAGAAGCAGCATCATGGGCCGCCCTCCGAGGACGCAGGAAGAGCTTGAGGCCTTCCTGGCCAGGCCGCCAGTCGACTACCAGGAGCGCCGTCGAATTGCCCTCGAGAACAGCCGCCTCAATATGATGGCCCCGACGAGGATCTTGCTGGCTGCAGTGTCCTCTTTCGGCGTGGGCACGTCTCTGGGCATGGCCCAAGGGAGCAAGATGACCGGCCTGCAGTTCCGTGCCGAGCACGCCCACAAGCTGCCCACCACGCCGACCGGCTGGTTCATGTACCATAAGAGCAAGAACTACAACATGGCCAGGGGAGCTCTCAAGGAGGGCCTCAAGATGGGCCTCAAGGTGTCCTTCTGGACCACCGCCATGTTTATTGTCGAGGACATGTACGACGAGTACCGCGAGTCCAAGGACTTTGTCAACACCGTGCTGGCTTCCTTGACTGTCGCCGGCGGATTCAGCCTGTGGAGTACGCGTCGAAACACCACTCCCTTCTTGCTTGTCTTCTGACATGACCCCTGACGGTGTGGATGATCTGCTAACCACCCGTGCCGTCTGCAGATCGGTTCAGTCTCCCCATGACTGCCCGCACCACCAAGACCGCCCTCGCCGTCGGACTCGTCTACGGCGGACTCCAAGACGCTGCCGGTGCAGCGCGAGGTCGACCCATTGGCTACATCGACTGGATCAAAAGACAGATACGCGGCCAGGGCAAGGGACTAGAACAGAAGATGTGAACTGCCTGCACCAACACTTCGCATCGGGCGCCGAAATGTTTCCGAATAAGAAGTCTCTTCAGCCAACATCAGGTGGACCTGATCAGCCTCGGGATACGGTGTTGACGTGCATCAGCATCATGATGACCCTACCGATCTCGGACGTTTGACAATGTTTGCTCTCGGCTTTCCAAGGCTGAAGGCTATTGCGGGCGGAGAGAACGCCCGGGCCCGTGTTCTGATTCAGCCTCAAAACCAGCAAACATGGAGACTCACGCCGCTGCAGACCGCAAAAGTCGCTGCGGTGGATCCATTTCACGGACGACTCGCGCAATGCTGAAACGACTAGATTGGCTGCTCGCCCTTTGTGGTGCCTGGCACCAATGCTTAAGCCGTCGGCTTCCATCTCGACCGGTCGACTCTGCACCTAGTCCAGCCAGTCTAGCGATCCAGGCGATGGCGCCGCCATCGAAGGTCCCCGCAAAAATCGGCATTGCATCTCTGGGAGCCCCACAGAAAGCCGAAGTGCATGGCAGGGCCAAGAGGTTCCAAGGTGACCCCGAATCAGTGCTGCGACGCAACAGGCGTGCATCCCGCCTCGGTGCAAGCCCAGCACAAGCTCAGGCAGCGCGGGAAACCCCACACTGCAGCAAGCTCGACCGAGTGACGCTCACATGACCGAGTTGCATCCCCATTCCAGCCGCTCCTGGGTGCTTGTCTGGCTGTCTGGGCGAAATTATGTCTTCGGCTCAGATTCGCGAGTTTGAGATTGGCCCGCAGAGTTGGGGAATGAAAGGGAGCGCAGGGGAATCTATTTGTCAATGCCTATCCATCGGCAGCCACTTGGGAGCCACCACCCAGACAGCGCGACGGCTAGCCACGGCATTTCCCCCGGCCGCGTTCCCACTCTGAGCCTTCTCCACGTGATGGTCAGCGATAAGGAGCTGGAGGGATTGGCCCGGCCGCTTGCTCTCAGACTTCCGCCAGCCTCTGATTGCACAATGGCTACCGTCCTGTCTGTTTTGTCCCTGGGGCTCTGGGCTCCGGAGGGCAGCGGATAGACTAGTCACTTGATAGCTCGGCCCTGCTTGCCACTACGTGGTTGGCTGGCCTTATAGCATCGGCCTTGACGATGTCGGCGATCCCTCGCCTTCGGTTCCAGGGATCCGTTCTCAACTTAGACTTACGAGCTTGGTCACCTGTGTCATTGCGATCACCGGAGATAAAGGAACGGCGATCGAGGGGGGAGGCCAGGCGAGGCGAGACGAGGCAAGGCAAGGCATTGACCGACTGCCCATCAAATACAAGTAACCCAGCCCTCGGGACGGACTGGTTTGCTTCTTCCTTGGTGGTACGGAAACACTTGCCTTTGTCTCGTGTATCAAAATCTAATATCTGCATACTCGTTTTCATTGTCTGCTCCTCGCTCCTATTCTGCCTGTCAAGCGTGCATCACATTATACCCAGTTTCAAGCTTTTACTTTGCTTATCAGATACCCTACTTTCTGCTGTTTCCCGCCTTCTGCAACCCAACCCGATATGGCTTCACTTCGGCCGCTCTTGACCACCACATCTCGTGAAAAGACAATGGCGATGATACCTGCACGTTCAATCCGCGGCGGCGCGTTCGCGCCTGTCTCCAGAATCGAGACGTCCCTCCTGAAATACCGACCTCTGCGACAGCCACAGTTCAACCGCAATGCATCAACATCGACCTCAACACCGGCGGCAACGCCGCCATCATCCTCGCGGTCCCTTCACTCATCCAGCACAACCCGCCAAGCAGGCGCAGCTCTCAACACCACAGCTATTCCAGGCCCAGCATTTGAGGGTTCCATCCCTTCTGACATGGCCGCTAAGGCACCCTTATCGGTGCTTCCCTTCATCACAATCCTGCGCTCCCTTGCAGTGACCACCATGTCATCCTCACCAGTCCTCCTGCCCCCTTCGCTGTCAATCATGAGCATGCTCGCCCACACCACCAACCCGATCCTGAACCCCGACCGCAACCCTCTTCTGAAGCAACTTATCAAGAAGACCTTCTACGCCCAGTTTTGTGCGGGCGAACGCGGGCCAGAGGTCAAGGCGACCATGGCACGTCTCAGGGATATCGGGTTCTCGGGCGTTATTCTGGGTTATGCTAGGGAGGTGGTCTTGACTCAGAGTCAGCTGAAAAGCCTGGCGACGAATGGCATGGACAGTGCGACGGCGCAGGAGTGCATCCAAAACGAGGTCATCCCTTGGGCCAAGGGAACGCTGGAGACGGTGCGACTGGCTGAGCCAGGTGACTACGTGGCCTTGAAGTGAGTGCTTGCCCATCGACGAAATATGGAACCGAACGTCACTTACTAACCTTCTCTCACCAGATTCACCGGCGCAGGCCGCAAGGCCCTCTGGACCCTGTCCCAGCGCCTGCCCCCGCCAAAGGCCCTCGCCAGCGCCATCGACGAGATCTGCACCCTCGCCGCCGAGCGCGGGGTCAGGCTGCTCTTCGACGCGGAGCAGCAGGCCGTGCAGGCGGGCATCGACGACTGGACGCTCGCGTACATGCGCAAGTACAACAACACCACGCCGGGCAAGGCCGTCATCTACGGCACCTACCAGGCCTACCTGAAGGCGACCCCCGCCGTGGTGGCAGAGCACCTACGCGCGGCGCGAGAGGACGGGTTCACGCTGGGCGTCAAGCTGGTGCGCGGCGCGTACCTGGGCAGCGACCCGCGCCACCTGATCCACGACACCAAGGCCGACACGGACGCGTGCTACGACGGCGTCGCCGAGGCGCTGCTGCGGCGCGAGTGGACGGGCCCGCTGGCCGAGTTCGCGACGCCCGAGGACACGGGGGCCGCCTTCCCCGGGGGTCAACATGGTGCTGGCCTCGCACAACGCCGACTCGGTGCGCAAGGCCCGCGCGGTCGTCGACGCGGGCCACCGCGGCACCGAGGTCGCGTTCGCGCAGCTGCAGGGCATGGCGGACGAGGTGTCGTGCGAGATCCTGGCGGGCAGGACCGAGGGTAGCGGCAGCAGCAGCAGCAAGGTGGCCGCCGCCGGCGGTGACAAGGACGCCGCGAGCTCGCAGCCCCGCGCGTACAAGTACCTGGTCTGGGGCTCGACGGGCGAGTGCATGAAGTACCTGCTCCGCCGCGCGCAGGAGAACAAGGACGCCGTGCAGCGGACCAGGGACGGCCGACGCCATGAGGGCGGAGATGTGGAGGCGGCTCAAGGGGGTCTTTGGGCTGGCTTAGGTCCATTTTCGTGCGAGCAGCTTGCGCCGCGGTGATTTGGAACCGTTCGTTTCCTCAGTGTATTCATCCTCGGAATATTGGCGCTTTGGGAGTTGGCTTTGGGACTGGTGGTCTTTCTGGCGGTTGTTGAGCCGTCAGGTTGATGGACTGGCGTGGACCCAGCTGTGCAGGATTGGAATTCATGGAGTTTAGGCGATAGATTCTGATCTGTATAGCATCGGCATTGCTTGATGATTCAAATGAATGATGTCAATTCAGTCTGAATCTCTGTGCTTCCTGACATCCCTAGACTGGGCACGCATGTCTTGGCAGTGATGGAGCATCTGCACTTTGATAGGATTGGCACTGCTTCGTGATTCAGATTCTTGACTAGTTAGAAATTGGTTGTGCATCGCCACACCATACATCTAGTGTGTTTTTTGTCGAGTAGCCTCGGGTATGATCTTTGAAAGAATAACAAGAAAACAAGAGCGCTCGTATGGACACATACAGGATATATACACACCGGCCGACTTTGATAGAGTTCCTATGCCCTTTCCGCATCGGGATCAATCTGTCCTCACGCCAGGTCTCGACTTGGCATCTCGTATAACGTCGCTCCTTATTTGTCTTCCTCTCACTGGATCTGGTATGTGACAACTCTTGTGGCTCCTTCTCGCCCTTGGGCCATCGTCAACAACTTTCCCTCCCTGTCCCGGCAGCTTGTCTTCAAGGGTGCCCTCCCCACCACTCTCACACAGCATGCATGACAGGGCCTCTCGTGCCGTCATCATAGGGCCCGTCTTTCGAAAAGCGTTGTTGATCTAGTGGCCCGTGTCTGGGAGGACCGCTTTGACTGCCTCGTCTCCTCCTGGGACTGTGGCATCTGGTATCCTAAGCAGTGGACCATCTGGTGTACGTGATACCCCCCAACACAATACTGTTGATGCCCAGACACTTCGTCCTCCGCACTGCCATGCAACCGTCGTCGGTATGTAAATGCCTGGTGCAAGATACCAAGGTAGTGGTCGTCTTGGTATCAATCCCTGAAGCCACCGAAAACGGTGGGAAATGGGGAGGGCGGATCGACATGATCACCGGGCGGACGTGGAATACCCACATCCCCATCATCGGGACGCTGCTCGTAACCCAGGCCCTTCTGCTTGGTCATTGAGCAGGTGGGGCAGGCGTAGCTTACGTCTGGGTTGTGTCCTGAGTCGAATTCCCCCCGGGGAATTTCAACCTTCCGGCTTCCCGTTCCCCGCCTCTTCATCCTCGGGCTCCCCGCCCTCTGGCTTCTCGTCCCCCGGGGTCCCGAAATCTGACGTCAAAGGAGGCCCGAATTCCAGATGCTCCAGCTGGGGCTTGCTCGCGAAGGACGACACAGACGGCTGGTAGCCGCTGTCCCGGCGGGCCTCGGGGCCCCAGTCCACAGACACCGACGACCCCTGCAGGAGCTGCGACCCGGCGCGGCCCTCGAGCGCCCTGCTGATCTCCTTGTGCATGCCCCTGGGCTTCCGGAGCAGCCCCTTGCCCGGCTCGGGGTCGGCGCCGCTGCTGACGAGCGCCGCGACGATGTCCACCTTCTTCATCGGGTCCCTGATGTACGACCGCGCCTGCGACTCGATGGTTATCGTGAGGGGGGTGGACTCGTGGGCGGCGATGTTCGGGTTCGCGCGGGCCAGGAGGAGCAGCCTCACTATCTTTTCGCGCCCCTGCGAGCAGGCGAGGTAGAGCGCTGTCTTCTTGTGGGCGTCCTGTGCGTCGATGTCGAGGTCCTGGTCTGCGATCGAGTTGGGGGGTGATGTGGTGAAGGTGGAGGTGGACGACGAGGAGAACCTCCGCGCCTCGTCGAAGAGGCCGGATGTCATTGTGCTTGCTCGCCGCAGCCTATGGTGCAGCAGGAACTTTGTGACCGATGGCTTCTGGCTCCTATGAAGCGGCGTCTGTTGCTGGCGATCCCTAACTTTGACGCTGGCCCCTTTCTGTAGGAGAACAGCAAGCGCTGCAGTGTTGGAGTACCCCACGGCGACTAGCAACGGCGTGTCCCCGTTAAGATCTTGGTTCTCGAGGGTATCAGAGTTCTCCATCATCTGCTGCAGGGCCAGGTCGTCGTCACACTTCTCTGCGGCATGATGCAGTGGCGACGAGCCGTCCTCGTCCACGATGTCGAACCGCGGCTCGCTGTTCTCAAAGGAGACATTGATGCCTTCCTTTTCACACCACTCGAGGGCCTTGTCACATATTGTCCGCCGATGTTCCAGGGGCCGTCCCAGGATGGTGCGGAGTTCTTGTTCGAATGCCTTTTGTTGGGACAAGAAAACGGACCGGTGCTCCCTGTCGCCAAACTCGACTCGGCATTCGTACAATTCTGAAAGCTCTTCCCCGGCCTGACGTATTTTTGGAATATCTTGGGGGGACTCCTCGGAATATGCGTATGCATTGAATGCTGTCCTCAGCTCCCTCTCAGCAAGGTCCATCTGACCAGTCTCCTTGTACAGCCCCCCCAGCTTGTAGTGAAGGTTCAGTTTCTTTTGATCGTTTTGATCGGATGTCGACGACCAGGGCAAGGTGAGCCGGTTGTTGCTGCTCCCTGTGGCACTGCCTTTGGGATTCTCCCCAATGATGTTCTCGATGAGAGAGACCGCCTTCTCCGTAGACCCTTCAACTTTGCACTCGATAAGAATATCAGCCAATCTTTCTTCCATTTCGTCTCGTTCTTCCTTCTTGAATGGGATTCCGTATTGGCTGTTTAGCTCCTCCTTGATCAACAGTGCCCTTCGCTGGAGCTTCTCTGCATTCTCGTAGAGACCATACCCTACTAGACGTTCCAGGTCTTTCCTGTTCTGTTCCCATTCGGCATCGAGCTGTTCTCGTGCCTTTGGAAAGGGTGGCACCTGTGCTGTGCCGCTGACTGCAGGTGCATCCCCAGGTCTCAATGCCGACATATACCTCGATGACGTAGCTGTTGTCGTGCTGACGGACTGGACGACAAATGCAGTGGCATCGTTGGCGAAGGTCCTGATTCCTCTCAATGTCGTTTCAAAGGAGTGCTGGTTGAATGCGTGCACGGCCGCATTTTGGCTTGGTAGTCGATGCCTCGCCGTTTCGTTCAGGCCGGTTGCTATTTGGCGAAGCAAGTCGTCGGTTTGGTCGCGTTTGAACCTTGCGTTGTGTTAGCTCGGCCGGTGCGAAGATCTTTTGGGCGGCACTTACAGATTGAGTGTCTGCATAAGAAGATTCATGTACGGTATATACTCATCGATCTGAAGTTTTGCCTGGGTGATGGAGCTGTCGTTTAGCCAGAAATGGAACGCCGTGGCCGCATTCTTCTTCGATACGCGCTTTGGTGTCTTTTCTTTGAGTATGTTCAATGGCGCGGTGCAGCTTGTAGCAATTCCTTGGATGACTTCATAGAGCTGTGCCTCGTAGGGTATTTTGGGTGGTCTTTGTTGGAAGTATTGCTCAAGCATTTTGAGGCATTGGCCAAGATGCAGGATGTTCTTCTCCAGCCGCTCGACGGCCTTCTGTGCATCCTTGATGGCCACGACAGCATCTTTCAGCGTCCGCAGCCCGGACGCGACTCCGCCGATAAGCTGTACGACGGCCGAGACAGCCCCAATAGCTGTTAGTGGATCTGCCATGGCTGCTCATAGGGTCGACGGAACAGTGAAGGAAACTCCTGGCAGCCGCTCCGCCAGCCTGGAGTGTCTCGGGAGCCCGGTAAGTGCCGCAGTAGCCTCTGCGTCGCGCGCGTAAAGGAAGTCTTAGCAACGAAGATTCGAATGAAAAGCGTGCAATAGGAGACCCTCCCGGAAAATGCCATTCATGTTATGTCGATCCTTTACCGCGCGCACATGTGGGCCGTGCCGTGGAGACACGAGCTGCCGGGACGAAGGAAACGTGGGACAGGTCGGTGCGGAACAAGAATGAGAGCTTGAGCACGCCAGAGGATGATGGGGATCACTGATAGGTAGGATTGAATAAGGGCGGCACTGCGTCATGCTTTTCAGACCATAGCCTGCTGCCTCCTTCCGCCCTGCTTTGCCACCACGGATGCGTGGCTGAGCCCCTCGAGTGCAGGAAGTGTGTTGTACAGGCTGGCAGCCTGGTATTTCTCGCTTATCGTTGTGCTTCCACGTGGCTAGGAAGAGGCAGGACACAAGCTTATTCCACCATCGTCGACCATTCGGCTGCGTGCCAGACTCGGCCTCCGAGCTATATGACTCCTTCCATCAGCCTCAATATTTTGCACCTGCTAAGCGGGGTTCACACCATCCAGGCGGACCTCCAATTCATGGGGCCCCAGGATGCTGCAGGCTCTCCAGGAAACGCCCACATGATACGCCTAGAGCCGCATTAGACTCGCGGGGAAAGAGGCTACATATGTGCCCAGCAGGGGGGGGGGGGTCGGGGCTGGAGCCTGCTTACGCCCAAGTCTTGTGATGTGAGTCCGATGAAACCTCGGGATCCTTCCAGGTGGCGGCAAAGTAGCCATAGAGAAGCAAGCGAGTGCGACTCTTTATGCGTGTGTTCTTCACTTGCACTTGAGACAGTGTCGCGAATGAGGTATTTGTTTTAGTCGTAGAGTTGCGAGACCGTTGCACGGCGCTACTGATGATGAGCAGTCCACTCTGCCACCCGGGCGGGATTGCCAAGAGTCGGATGCATCCTTAATTGCGTGGTACCTGGCGGTAAATCCCTGCGGTGTCACCAACAAGTCAGAAGTAGCATATTCAGCTGGTGTCGATCCCGACTGCAACGATTTTCGATCCTTACTGAGACCAAGAACGCCCCCAAATACGCCCAAGGCAAAGCCTCATGACGTGGGCATTGCCCCTCTCCCACTCGGCGAACCGCGCTAAATGATTGCCTGGTTTGCCATTTGGTTCTGTTTATATGACTAGTATGATGATATGTTTCGTTGCCGATCAGTATCTCACTTAATCCGTCACCTATAGAGCACCAATGCTGCACACTATCACGCTAAGGCGTTCGCAAACTTGATCTGATGAAACCCTGGACCCACGCCCTTCGAAAAGTGTTTCCTACGGCGTAGCACGAACTCCTAGAACAGTCACCATGACGGAGAAGTCGCCCTTGAGCCTCGTCGACAGGTTCCGTGTTCAGGTTGAACAACGAAATCTGAATGACAGGGCTTTGATCGAGGGACCTCTTGGTGCGTCTGGCCCTCATCAGGGAACCGGATGCTTGTCATTTGTTCGTCTTGCTGATGGATGTTGTCAATAGTACACCTGAGCGATAAGGAGCTCCAGGCAGACGTGAAAGAATTTTCAAACCAACTCCCCGATGTCGAATACAAAGATGTTCTCCGAGCAGCACGCGTCGCAAAAGACATACGTACGTACGACCAAGTCGCGAGAAACTTCGCCACGCAGACAAACCTCCTCGTGACCTTGGAGGAGGAAGAGAAGGAAGGCCTGGTATCAGAGGACGACGAGCTCCGAGGGCAGTTCCGCCAGATCTTCCCCGTCATCCTGACAGTCGGCTGCGCTGCCTTTCTTCAGGGCCACGTCCAGGCCTCCTTCAACTGCGCAAGCCTTTACGCCCAGCGGCTCGAGTGTCTCAGCTGTCGTGATCTGCCAAATGACCCGCTCTGGCAGTGGAAGCTCGGGGCGGCGAACTCGAGCCCGTTCTTCGCTGCCGCCATCATCGGGGCGCCTTGCTCCCTCCTTTTCAACTTCTGGGTCGGCCGCCGAGGAGCCATCACGGTTGCCGCGCTTATGATCCTGGCGAGCTCTCTGGGCTCTGCATATGTGAATACCTGGTGGCAGCTGTTGTGTGTGAGAGTCGTAAATGGCGTCGGTCAGTCACAACAGCAGCTCTTGAACTGGTTCAGTACAGGATTTTGCTAACGCAGGCGACTTTAGGCATGGGCATCAAAGCCGTCAGTACTCCTATCTTGGCCGGTGAGATCGCCTTCACCCAATGGCGTGGCTCTTCTACTCTCATGTGGCAGTTATGGTCAGTGTTCAGACCCAACGTCCCATGTCCCCGAACAGAAGCATGCAGTAGTGGGAGTGGGTGACACTCACCTTCTTAGATATGAACTAATTGCTCGCATTATACAGGGTGGCTTTTGGAATAGCAATCGGTTCCGTGATCAACCTGGGCATCGCTGCTTGGAACGATGCAACCGATGACAGCGACGACCCAAGCAACCAAATTCAAGCCCTGAGAGAAATACTAGGGGCACCTTTTGTGCCTGCAGCGATTCTGCTGATCGCCCTGGGGTGGTGCATGGAGAGCCCACGATACTACATGCAACCAAACACACCGCACCGCAACCCGTCTCGAGCTTATGATATTCTGCTCAAAGCAAGACGGACAAAGGCAAGACCGCACGACTTCAAACAAAGGCTCTGGCAACTGTCTCTAACATCTTTTAGCTACAAGCCCTGAGAGACCTATACCTCATCCACAAGTCAGTCGAGCTGGACGAGTACCGAGTCACCGCCTCCGAGCTCGAAAATGCCGGCATGTCGCATGCGAAGTCCGGACTCACATATGCAAACCAATTTTGGACGGCCGTGGTTTATTGCTCTCGGCAATACGCTCTTCTCTTCACACAGACAAAGTTGAGGAATGCCGTGTTGAGTACATGTGTAGTAGCACTAGCTCAGCAGCTGTGTGGAAGTAAGCACACGCCATCTAAGCACGAACTCGGTCACAATCGCTAATTAAATGCCAATAGTCAACGTGTTCGCCTTCTACTCGAGTATGAGAGTCCTTCGCAATAGACCTGGACAGCACTGACGGATAGCAGATACCTTCTTCGTCGGCACCAGCGGCAACAGGCTGAGCGCCATGGGTTTCAGTACCGGCTTTGGTATGTTATTCCCGGGCATACCAACCTAGTCCCTACTGACAATAAGCAGGAGCTGTCAACTTCGTTTTCGGCCTTCTTGCCATAAGACGCATTGACACATGGGGCAGACGGAAACTGATGTTGACCACGCTGCCCGTCATGAGTCTCTGCCTTGCAGCGGCTGCAATGCTCTTCATCAACAAGACGCACCTCGTACCGATAGTAGTGTTCATATATTGTGCGTATTCCCCAGTCCTGGCTGGTCGCGGAACAGTGTCACTAATACTTATGTCTACTATTAATAGTATTTGCTGCGGTGTACTCTCCCAGCTTGGGACCTATCCCATTTACACTGGCATCCGAGAGTTTTCCGCTGGCACAACGAGAAGCTGTACGTAACCCAAGCCCCCCACCCCCTCATACCATCGGTGTAGCAATATTAACCCGACACGGGATCGGGAAAGCAAAGCTAAGCAAAGCTAACATGCAATACACAGGGCTGCTCCATCGCGATAGCAGTGAACCTCTTCTTCGCCGGCGTGCTGACCCTGGTATATCCAGAACTGGACCCGGCACTCCATCGCTGGGGCGGGCTGGCGCTCTTCTCAGCCCTCAACCTGGTGGCTTTCGTGCTCGTGTTCCTGCTCGTCGAGGAGACAAAGGGCTTCAGCCTCGAAGATCTATCCATGGTCTTCGCCGTGCCCAAGCACAAGTTCGCGGCCTTCCAGCTCCGATACGTAGGGTACCTGTACCGGAGGTACATCCGCAGATGCAAAGATGAGGAGGAGCCCGAGTTCTACACCGTCGCGCTGGACCACCGCCGTAACAACCAGCCTGATGCAGGCGTTCGGAGTGGGGAGGAGTCTGACATGTCTGAAGAATGAAGCTGGGGGCAAAGAACGAGGCGGACATGCAAAAGCGGTCAAATCTGTCGAGCAAAAAGAATGCATCCTCCGGCAAATCTCTGCATCGGCTTAGTCACAGCAGGCGCATTGGAATGAACTCGATCATTGATAATCCTTAAGTTCTGACAGAGCATCGATGCTGGAACATGCAAGCCCTCCGGCACAATGTGCATCCAGAGAGGGGCCGAAAATCCACATTGGAGGCGTCCCCGTCTGATATGTTCATGCGCGTAAAGCTGGGACCCTGAGCCATGTACGGTATGGCGGGATGCCTATGCGAGCAAGCATCATACTCTGCCGACCACTGACAGTGTCATAAAGTCCCCACACCTCGTGGGGCAGCAGGCACTCGGCTTGAGGACCAGACGAGATGCGTAAACTTGTACCATTGTACGGCAACCCTTCTATCTCTGTCGCAAACATGAACTGCCTCATCACGCGACGAGCTCACAATGCCCCTGACTCCGGTGCCCCGCTTGGGCTGTTTTGGGGGCAGCAAGCGCTGACCAACAGGAAGCAAAATGATCCAGCCGGTCAGTCCTTGTTTCCACAATGAAAGGGTGCGGGTCAAGTCATGACTGGATCGCCTGGGTCACCTCGATGACTCTGCTCTCCTGAGACACGGAGGAATCCATGCTCTGGGCAAGTACGATATGACCAAATGGGAGCCCACGAGGATGTGCCCCGCGACGAAGGTGCTTAATGCGTCTCGTCTGAGCCAGATCCACTCCTCGGTGAACAGAGTCACATGTTTTCGCAACTCCGGCCGTCATGGACTTGTCGTGAGCGAGATTCGATCGGAGGAGGGTACGCGTACACAAACCATCCAAATGGCGCGCAGTGCTCGGCTCCGTTCGTAGACCAGTCCGGATGCTGGCCTCTGCATCACTTTGCTTCTTTGGCGAGACACCGGGGCATTCTTCGCAAGGACCGCAGGCTCTCCCGTCCGTGTCCATTCCAGCAGGGAGATGGCCATGCCACATCACTCAGGCTGAACTCGCCAAACGCCCTCAATGGATGTGGGCTTGGACGCAGACAGGTTCCTGGGCGGGTCCGACAGATCTGCATGGACTTTGGTGCTGCTTTTGACAGGCAAGTAGGTCACTGATGCTGTTGATGCCAATCCTTTCAAACCCAACATGGCAGCAGGAAAGGGGAAGCTAGACTCCGCGCAAAGCCATGGAGCTCAGGACAAGCATCTCCGTCTCTCTCAGCCGTTGCTTTTCGTCCTTGATATTCTTCAGAGAAGGCGCGCCGTTGAGCTTGTAGTATTTCGAGACCTTGGACCAGTCTGTGGATTTGGCGATCTCCTCGTCGGAAAATGGAACAGGCGAGCCTTCCACGCTCTCCGAAAGATGTTTCCAGACGTCGTCGGCGGTCGGTGGCTGCGGTCTGTCGTCGGTGGGGTAGAGAACCTTGACTATGATGATATCCTTGACTTCGGGCGAGATTCCATAGCGACGGTAGGCCTCTGAGATCTGGGCAGGGGACACTGTCAGCATCCCGAACCGGTAGAGGCGACTGTATCACACTCACGTTGTTGCTGGCGCTGAGGGCAAGCACGGTCTCCGCATGGACGTTGGGCGACTTTAGCCTTCCATCCAGGAGCACGGAGAGTGCCTTGTAGGCGGCGGCGAGGACCTGCAGCCTGGAGACGACGGTTGTCGCGTCGATGAAGGCGTACTCGAAGTCGGCGTTGCGCGCGAGGAGCTGCGACTGCAGGTACCCCGCGTTCGCGACGCCCTTGAAGAAGGCGACGTGGACGCTGTGCGTGGTCGGCACGTGCTCGAGGGCGACCGTCTCGAGGAGCGACATTGTCGTGGGATGTTTTGGGACGTTAAGTTCCCGTGTTAACTCTGGGTGCACCGAAGTTGGTTTGGAGTGCAGTTGCAGCAGTCCGTCGAAAGCTTGTCGAGCTTCCTCCGTTGCTGAATCGAGGAAACTGCCAGCTGGTGTGGGGCTGCCCGCACCTGTCGCCAGCTGGACTCAGCATGCTCAAATCTTCTACAAAGAGGCCCAAAAAGTCCTACTTTTTTGATTTGAAATGAAAAAGTGTATCGTGTCAAATATTCTGAATGTCTGAATGTGGTGACCTGTATAAAGGGCTATGTTCGAAGCGTAAACTTGGTTAGGCGTCATGCTTGCCTCGTATTTGAACAATGAAGAGCATATTCCTAACTATCCTGCTACCAAAGTGACTAATGAATCTCTGGAGGAACAGTAAATGCTGCCCTAGACATTGCGAATTAATTACGTGTCGAAACCCATTTTGGCTCTGCAACTTATAGGAGACAGGCAAGAACCGAATGCCATCTGCTTCTCAACAAAGTCTCGAGGAAGAATATTCCAACAAATGGCAATCCATAACCAAGTAACATCTGCTATGACGATTGACAAACGGGCACCGATAATGCAGTCTGTAACTGAAATAATTTTGAAGAATACGTTTCATGCTGATGCGGAGGAAGACACGGAGTCTTCGTAATGTCTTGGGCCATCACCATGCGCCATTGTCAAGGTTGAGCAACCTCACAGATTTCCCCCACAAAATGATCATTTTGCCAGCATCCCGGCGGCAGAAAATATGCATTGATACTGATTGAAATTAAAATACTTCTATAGCCCCGGCCTTCGCCAAAAAGTGGTCGTATGAGGGAAAAGAGGAAACGATCTTCTGTGGCACGACTCATTCTTGGGGGCCCCTTGGCCAAAGCTGCTGCGAACGTCAACCAATAGATGACTTTTGTGATTCAGCAATTAAAGTGGCTCCGCTCAGAAGAACACGGGCTTCTTGAAAAGTTACTATCTGATATTCAATCATGGTACCATTGTGGAGATCATAGTACCACCGAACTGCTACTGGTAGTTCCATGGGTTCTCATCGCCAGGCCAGTCTGACATGAAGCGCAGTGAACCTCGGAGGTCTTGATCATATGATCCCTCGGCAATGCAGTGAAACCCTGCGACCGCATGCAAATAACTGTCTTCACACTACTAAGGCACAGTCCAACAGGGCCGGCGTCAGCAACTGACGCAAGTACCGAACGATTCAGATGAATACAAGAATGCAGAGGCCATCCCACGCCAATAAGCCCTGAAATGCCCATGATTTTAGTAGCATAGATTCAAAAGAATCACTAGACTACTAGGCTCAGCGTGCCACATAGAAACAATCGGAAAACCGTTTACTCGCCAACCAAGCATTGTATGGAGTAGTACGGCGGCTAACCACTTTCATTCAGCATGCTACAGGCTCTGCAAGCTCCCAGTCAACGGAGTGTGGGCTCATTTCTGGATTCTCTATCAACCTCAGACACATGAGATGATAGCCCACATTTCCATGTCTTTGCTGTTGGTCCCAGCATAACGCCCGCAAATGCGACCCTGGGGCCGCCGCTGATTTAAGGCTGTTCACGATGCGTGCATACTGTCAGCCCGCAAATAGAGCTATGAAAAAGTTTACAAGAATAGCTAGAGTAACGGGGGCTCAGTTTATTCACACCAGCAATAATTTCATTGGCAGCGATAGCTTTGCAGATGTTATTGCGAAGCGGTCTGGATTACATGTGAAACCATTTACTTATCCTCTCTATTGTGCGCCAGCAAAAAAGGCATTGAGGTTCGTATTTCCTGCATCGTGTGAAAGCTTGTAGTTCAAGGACCATGAGCGATATTTCTCTTGCATAAGCTCTACAGCGGTTGGGCAGAGCCTAGGAGCGTGGGTCTATCAGAAGTACACATACAGCTTGAGATTTGATAATTAGTCTAGCTCCCTTTATGATTAGTCCAAGTTTCTCTACCAGAGCCTAAGCGGATCAATTTGCTACACTTTGAGACAGGTTGCCTCTGATCAGTAGCAGGTGAGGATTGGTTACGATTGCCCCTTGGGACCACGATATACGTATCTTGTTAACTTGATGGTACGATGATATAGAGCCTGCTTGGAATTGAGCCTTCAGCGTCAAGTGGTGATTAGGCACCAGTTCATTCTTGTAGTTATTTCCCACCTGCCAGATTCTGTGCTATGGGAACCATCCATCATGCCAATTTGCTCCCACAGTTCAGACGTCACATTTTGAGCCAAGGACGCGAATTGTGTCTTTCATTGCCATGCGTTCCCCTGTTGTGGGAACAAGTGCATTGTCAGTTGGTATCGAATCAAATTAGGGTAATGTTGTGACACAGTGACCACACTCCATTGACGTCTCTGAGATGGGTGAGTGATGCAAACCAATGCAGCCACTTTGATATTCGTGTCACACAGGGTCTTGCAAGAATGGGGATTGTAAATGGGGATTGTACAGTACATGTCCCTCGCCTCCTTCTGAGGATGCCCCGAAAGGGGTTGCCGCATAGTAGCCCCGTAGAGCCACTTGCATTGTTGCACCAACAAGACGATTTATTCCATTAGGCATTCTTCGCCACAGCGAGTCCTTCAGGCTTTAAAACCGAGGGAAATCGTCCGAGCTTAACTTCTATTTGGTGCCACGTATGAGCGGTAGCATTCTCGCCCTACAACCTGCCAATACTGCAGTGGCAACTTCGAATTGTGTCTTCTCATCCTTTCATTGGTAAATGCTCCTTACATTCTACGACAAGACCACAAGAGGAGCCACAGAATCCTATGTATATCACGTGGTACGCTAATCCAACGTCACGGTCAGGTACAAACGGCATGACAGAATCGCCACCTGCAACTTTCGTGCGCCCGCATGCGGAAGATCAGCAACGGGACCTGAGACCTTGCAGGTTTGCTTTGACCCGATTGAAGGAGTCGGAGCCGCATCGGTCCACGGCAGAGGTCCAGATCCAACAGCCAAAGTCCGGAGCCGGCCGGCGTTTGCGTCTCTGTGCTGAGGATGTCGGTGGCGAATCCGGCACCGCGGGCATTGGCGTGTACATCTTTTCCAAGTTGAGGCCCCTCCCAAGTCAAAACATTGCTTAGGATCAGCCGTTATGGGCTCGGCGTCCAGAGGGCACTGAGCCAAGTGTTAGAGGAAACCCGAGTGTGCCTATGCCCAGTGGCCCAGACTGGACTCAAACAAACCCAAGGCTTGCTCACGCAACCAATATACGTAACTACGATGCAAATATCACGCCGGAAATCCAGAAACGGGTTGGGAGAAGGGGCAACTCAGCGAAGGGAATGACAGCGACGGTGCTGATTAATTCAAGAGATACCGACGGGACATGGCAAAGCGGAGAGACAAGCGACCATGTGAGCACAAATTTGCATCCTCCGGCTAAGAAGAACGGGCAGACCGTACCACTATTGCTTTTTCCTTTCCTCGTATTCATTTTCTCCCATCCCTCAGTCGTAGCAAACACCGATGCCAAACCCCAAACGTTGAACCGGATGTAAAACGCCATCGTTGCCCTTTCTAGGAAATTTTCGGCCGAGAACAAGTCCTCGGACAGGGGTGCGCTGCGGGCCGACGATCTTGAAGAGGGGACCCCCAGGCAGCCGAATGACCCCTGTGGCTGAAAGCTCGTTTTTTGGTGTAAACCCCACCAAAAATAAGTTTTTAAATTCTAACAATTTAACTCGTATTTCTCAATTAATTAAACTTTAAATAAAATAAAAAAGATATTTACATTATGATTTAAAAGCTAAAAATTAATAATTAAATATTTTTAAAATTACATATTATTGTTATGGGTTAGCCTTGAGCATTTATTAAAAGGTATTTAAAAGGAGTTATGAATTGTAATATTTAAGAAGTAAGTTAGGCCCTAAAAGGGCCTAACTTTAAATTTATCTTTTAAGTATATACCTTATTATATAAAAGGGTTGAATATAATATAGGCCTAGCATAGGCATGTATTATAGCTTAAGTAATAGCTTAAGCTTATTATATAGCCCCCTTCCCACTCTTATATTATGTGCAGTAAGGATTAAATCCAAAGCTTTTATAATTTTATACTAATTATATATTTACTCTACTATATACTTATCTTAAAGCTATATCCATTTATTTTAAAAGTAATAATTATTTATTTTATTTTTATATTAGCTATATTTATATATTATGCTTAATGTAATATAATATAAAGTATATATTATATATATTATAGGCTATTATAATATAATAATATTATTATTATATATATAGTTTTTTATTAATATATTATAGTTATATATAAGTTATATATATTACTAGCCTTAAGCTATAATATACCCTTATTAATATATTAACATTGCTTATTATAGCTATTACCTTTATATTATATTTATTATTACTACTTAAAATAACTTCCCCATAATTATACTTCCCTTTATAATTTCTTTTTCTTAATACTATATTACTATTATAATGCACTTATTATATGCGTTATTTTATTATCTTTATATAATCTTTTTATTATCTTTATAATTATTTCTTTATTTATATTAATTACCCCTTAACTTTATCTTATCCTTAGCTAAAAAGCCTTTTTTAATATAATTAATATTTATATAATTTCTTAATTTCTTTATAATTTAATCCTTTAATTATTCTTCCTTATATTTATTATGCTTTTTTTATAGCTGCTTTTTTTTATTAAAAAGCTATTATTTTAATGCATTAATATTCTTTTAATTTCTTAATGATTTCTTAATATATCCTCCTTTATTTATATTATACCTATTAAGCGCCCTTTTTCTAGCCTATTAATACCCTTTTAGTTTCTTAATATCCTCCTTAATACCCTTTTAGTTTCTTAATATCCTCCTTAATACCCACTCCTTTCTTACTATATAAAAAGAAAAATAAGAAATGGCTTTTATTATAGGTTTTAATAGTTAGCATAGTGGCTTTAATGCAATTATTGTT